CTATCACACGAGTCGAGTCATGGTGGGTAGTCTTGGAAGGAATGGAGATGGAATGAATAACGAGGATCGCGAAACTTCAAACTAAGTTGGATTATCATATGGTCTTGAGTGTTCACAAGAGCTATACAAATAATGAACATCATAACCATATTGTTGTCATCAAAACTAGGAGTTATTAGGTTATGATTCGAAACTTTCACTTTCACATACATGAAGAGAATGCAATCATGCTACGGATATCTTGCAAATAACGAGCACTCTACTAGTTTTGGTTAACATTTTATTGATTGTGGCTATCTAAAGTTGGATCAACTTATGTAATAGATAAGAGTTAGGGTGCTTAGTAAATAGTAAGCATCTCATTTTCGACCCAAAAAAAGGACATGGTGCTTTCAGGTGATGTAAGTTGTAATTAGATTGAGTATATGAGTTCGATGAGTAACCATTTGTATAGTTGAGACAGTTGATGGTTATCATCAACCTCCTCTTTTCTTTTTCTTTTAGTTTTGGAATCTAATCTAAAGAATCTAAAGAATACACTTTCCCGTAAAAGGCATCACCATTTCAAATTTACTCTTTCCTTATTCTTTCACGTCAGCAGCTTGATTCAGCCAATCACAATTCGTTACAAAAAAAATATCTTACCCATCTTAAACAACTCCCGTAAAAGATGGGACAAAACCGTTTATTTATCTCGCAATTATCTCTATGGTGGCATTTTTTCTCTCTCCCTTATTTATCTCTACGGGGAAAAAACTGAATGATTGTCCCTCTTGCTCTTTTTTAGACGCCCATTAAACTACAATTGTTCTACCTTTTACTTTTTTATTTCTAATCCTTTTCTCACTTTAGATAGGTAACTCAAAGTTATTATCAAAATTAACGGTACACCAAATCTCCTACCTCCCTAAAATATTTTTTGCATAAGTGCTTATGTAATAGATAAGAGTTGTGGATTAACTGAAATAATTTAATAATTAATTTAGTTTATCAAGCAACAGCCCAAACATCAATATCGGGACACATGGTTAGTTGAATCCAAACTCGTAACCACGGGTAACCACCCACATGACATCGGAGCCACAGGGGATAGAGTTTCTTCCACCACTAAATCTACCTCATACAATGTACAATATGATTCGAATCCAATTGGGAATTGCAGTCTGTTAGTTCGCAATTTGACGGGAATTCCTATTCCTATTCATATTCCTACTAAGAAAGTGATCCATACTCTGATCATTTGAAAACTCTGAACATACAATGTTTCTTAATACGACTCGTATCCAGATCCTCATAACTTTCGTAATAAAGCTAAAGGGTAACGTGGCATTCCAACAAAGTGAGGAGATGTTAGTAAGTTCAACAATAATCCTTTTGTCATTGTGGTCATTAGCAATACATGAATGTGTTTTTTGTGGTTTTAGGGTATAGGGTTCAGGGTTTAGGGTTCAGGGTTTTAGAGTATAGAGTTTAGGGTTCAGGGTTTAAGGTTTTTGCTTGTAAGTATGTCCTTCGCGTAGTACATTAGTAGGTACGTGAAGGTTTGCCGGTTACTTTTGGCTATCGAGGTCAATTGAAAAGTAAAAAGAAATTAATAAACCGGAAAATTGACAAGTAGATGGTGTATTATCATGCCACTCCAAAGAAATTAGCCAAGCCGAAATTTTTGTCATTGGATTGTGTATTTCGATGTATCGTATAGGCAGTCGTATTTGGAGATTGCCTGTTGGTTTATACCGAAGATGAAACCTTTGAATAACAGGTATGGACAAATAAGAGCGTTCCGTGTTAAAAACCAAGATCAATATGCCCAAATCAGCCTTCCGGCCTGTCTTTTTTAGGCCGCATTCAATTTACTTAAGCCCTGCTCTTGCCTCCCTCGACAACACACACCTCGTTCCATATCTTCGCTGGCATCGGCGGTAAAAACTGCCCCTTTCGACCACGGTGAAAACCCTAGCGCCAAGGTATGTCACTATCTGGTCCTAAGCACGCCACTCAGTTGAAAACATCATATTCCTCTAATAAAGATTACTACGATCGCAGCGGACACACGAACTAGGGCAGTTTTCCGCCGAGACAACCCAGTCGCCTCGCGGGATTACGAGGACCCCACCGATCCCCAAGGTTCGATGTTTGTGTTTCTGTAGGTCTAAATTGGTACTGGATTCGATTGATTCGCAAAATCTTACAATAAATGGTGACTCCACTTAGTGTGTTTCTTGTCTCTATTGTAGACCCCATTTGTGCTTCGATGACGTTTCGAGGTTTGCGGTTGGGAACCAACAACCGTACTGTGATAGCTCGGCTTCTAAAAACGTGGACAGAAGTCATTGACGGAAAGGTTTGGAAAACGCCAGCATTGCGCATGCTCTGGATGGACAAAAAGGTCTGTTTACGATTTCCCAGCAAAAAAAACACCACCTGCTTATCTATAACATTCTTTTACACCTGCTAATCCTGCAGAAACGAGTTATTGAAGCTCTGGCATATGAAAAGGACATTGATGACGTGATGGCGAGGATCAAAGTTGGTTGTCTGTATCGCCTAAGCATTATCGTTACAATCCCCTCGAGTAAGAACAAACGCATTGTCCCAGGAGAACTGCGGCTGCTCATGAACTCTGACCAACTGATTGACAACATCGAAGAAGACCAGAACAATCCTAAGTTTCCCCTCGACTCATTCATGAACTCTCATTTCTCAATGGTCCCTACAAAGTTTGAAAGTTTCCACTGCCACGCAGATAAAACAATGTACATCACTTTCACGACCAACACACACTAAAAATCCCATAACATCTATGCAATTACAGATGTCACAGGCTGCGTACGGCGAATCACATTACCAAATGCCCTCCAAGATGGCATGCTTGATTTCCATCTGGTTATTGAAGACTACAGGTATACTAAACTATGTACCTAAGATCGTTAAAACTTTCGACAGCGAATAATTTATATTTTGTTTGCATTTGCAAAACAGTGGGAACAAGGCTGTTGTGCAGTACTGTGGCTACGATGTCGCTGGTTACCTCCAACAAGCAGCAGATGTAGAGTCGCACCTCCCGCTGATAACCACAGTTACATCGGTAGTCTCCGTGCCCCATGCATGCAACGATGATGGTATATATGAGCTGGAATCGACACAAGCCAGTCGTCTGATTATCAGTTCATACAATGAGACCACTGAAAGAGTCATGAACAGGTATTGATTTCCTAACAATCTCTAAGACAATTTGTTCACTTCAAATATGCTTTCATTGCAACAACTTAGCCTAACATAGACATCTATTTGCAAAACTCAGGTTTCTGCCATGCCGCAAACCGATCAAGTAAATAATCTATGGAACAGCTGAAAGGATGGGATACTTACGCTACCCTCGCCCCCCAAGAAGAACACTTGCTCAGATAAAAGAAGACTTGAGTTCAATACCACAACATCGTGAGGTATATTATGATGCTTTGAAAAATCCCAACATTCAAATATGTTTCACTTGCTATTGCCGTGCACTCTAACCTGGCAAAAACAATTTTTATATTTCAGACCCTCTACCGAACCATAATCAAGTTCACTCATGTCAAATGCAAAATCGACATTTGAAGAACCACTCGGGAAACGCCAAGGTGAGATTAAATATTTAAATTGACCGGTTTGCACTTTTGGCAAGGAACGCTTGCATTTTTCTCAACAAAGCTAACGAGCTTCTATTATGACCAGACTACATTACCAAATCGAGGCAAGGTGCAAATCTGAATCATCCGAGGCCGATGTTGTACTCAACCACGAGGCAGCTCTGTCAATAATCTGCATGATGCCGGCAAAGTATCTCAAACTGAATGAAGATGAAATAAAAGACATCATCAAGAAAAACTGCAAGAAGACCTTCGCAGCAGAACTGTACATTGCATGGCCAAACCCAGGTCAGAGCACCGTGCCGCACATCAGGGTTGCCACACTTTGGGATCGCTGTGCTTTCGACGATTGAACTGAGAATCTATTGTGAATGCTTAGGACACATTTTCGGAATTACTTTTGCATATGTACCTATAGTCAGTGTTAGACAATATTGATATGCAGATGTCCTTAATGGAATAAGTTGCAAGGGGAAAAACACAGATTCTGAGACGAAAATTGGTGTCCAAAAATAAAACACATCCCGCAGCGCGGGCTTATTTTATTGTATTTTGTCATAGAAACCCTTGCGGATTAACTAGGTAAGCACGAGAGAGCCACAATACAACGGCTTCTTCGTGAAATGATAGTCAAAACAAATAAGAACAATTAAAACGAACATTACAAGAGCCAGAGTAGCATAAGGCATTACGTGCCACAACATGGGCAGCCCGATTCGCTTCTCCAGGAGTAAAAGCAACAGAAACCAATGGCAATTCTTGCAACATAAAGATGACTTCTCGTAAGATAGCCCCCACAATGGCATAAGAAGCCTTCAAATGTTGTACAACCGCAATAACTTAAAACCAAAAATGAAATGCTGCTGATGGGTTTTGAACCCAAGCCAAAAAATTAGGCTTGCAAACTGCCATCCGCTGGACTGCAATCAACATTCTTTGTTCAATTGTGTACGCTTATTAATATGAATCATCTCGCAACGAAGCGCGGGCTTATTCCTAGTAGTAATAACTTAAAACCAAAACTGAAATGCTTCTGATGGGTGTCGAACCTAAGACATAAATTGGCATTGCAAACTTCCATCCGCTGGACTACAATCAACCTGCTTTGTTCAATTGTGTACGCTTATTAATATGAATCATGGAAACAATTTGCTTGCCACTTAACCAACAAAAACCTATTTGTCCAAGTTGATTAACGAGCTCTACATATTGTGTACATTTGAGGGCCAAAAGCAGCACCATTGGGCCAGAAGGCAACCAAACTAGCATCCCAAGTCAATTAATCACTTATTGAAAGTCTTCTGGACTTATTTTGTTCATGAAAACCAGCCATTATTATATAGCTGTAGTGAAGTGTGATGTTTATTTTCAAGCTATGTGGTAGAATTGTTGCTTCCTACGTTGGACTATATTGTTCAGCTTGTAAAACTAACGATCCTAGCTAGCTATGTATAGATTTTGACATTTTTTGCAATCATTCGTTCCTATTGATAGATGTTTATATTTAAGCACGTTCGTATTTTTATTTTCAAGTTCGCTCTTGTTATTAATTTTCAAGTTCGCTCTTTCTTATGAATCACGAATACTAATTTTGGATTGTTTGTGGCATGTAGTGTATTAAGAAGCAACAAACAACCCATAAGGAAGCAACAATTCATTAAGAAGGCAGGACCCGTACAAAATAACATTGTGTTCACACACTTAGTACACTTGGATAACAAGAGAAATGGCATTAAGGCCGACACTAAGCAAATTTAGTAGATTACTATTGACATTGCTGTAATGGTATTCAGTTTCCACGAGGAAAGAATAGTTTGACCAATAACAGCTCAAAATACCCATGGTTCCAAGGACCCAATGTGACCATAAACTCATAAGAGTTTCCACCAAGCAAGTTGACAAGGGTAACGAAATCGGCATTGGCCATGTCTTCATCACTTACTACATCTGAAAGGATTTTGCGTAAGTTTGCCGATGGGAAAACAACCTCAACATCCAAATAGTCATCCTCAATAACTAAGTGGATCAAATGAACTCTAGATGCAGCACACCATGATGTCCTCAACTCGGTGACACGTCCAGAGAAGAGGTAAGAAGTGCCCTGGTGTTTAAAACAACAAATGGATTTTCAAAAAAAAATTAACAAGCATTAACAAACAGAAAAAGTGCAAACGAGAGCGAGAATGATGAATGACAAAAAAAATTTATTTCAATAACCTCAACGTCACCATTCTCTTGCAACAACATAAGACTAAGTGATTCCGTAAATTCAGACATAGTTACTGCTTCCTCATACAACAGTTTTGCAACGAAACCAGGCTCAACCATAAAATCCCTACAAATAAAACCGTTACTAATGTCTGACCATACGAAAAGGAAGCGGAGTAGACAGTCTAAGGATTAGTTGGTAAACAATACTTACGGGTACCATTCAGATACACGATCCATTGTAAGAAAATTACACCTACGAGTATAACAACACACTACGTCAGATACTCTAATCCACCGTACCAAATAGTTAAAAAGCATTTACAAAAATGTACCTGCGGCGGTGGAAACGTGGTCGGCGGCAACTCCTTGTTAGTCCGGGAAGGAAGGAAGACGACGATTGGAATTCCTTTTTTCCACAGGATTTTCCTTCGCCTGCTCTTCTGTCAACAGACGACAACCCTACCCTTGCTGCTCTCTCCCTAACTTTCTCCTGCCTTTCGTCCTGGGAACTTTCTGCCGCTCTTCTTCCCACAACCCTGTTAGGAACGGAACATTTCCAACAAACCCCTCAAGCGAATCAGCGGCGGCGGTGGCAGGCGACGATGGTGGCTCGGAGGTGGAGACCAGTATTGAGCGACCGCCGACCAGCGGTGGATTGACTGGCGGAGGCGGAGGCGGAGGGGGAGGCTTGCATGCAAGGGAGGCGGAAGCGAAGGAAGGAGGAGGGCGGTTAAGTTTTCTTTCTCAAGGAAAACAGAGAAGCCTGCGCATGGGGGGAAGAAAAAGCAGGGATATGGATCGATTACTTGATTTTGTAGGGGAGGCTTTTATAGTTGTTCAACTTTGCCATAATTGAAGTGTTTTGAGGGTATGGCATATCTAGTTTTAACACAAATATGTGCGATAAACAAAATTCGCAGAACTTGACCCAGGAAGGTTTGACATCATCAATGATAGAACATTGAGGCGCCGCCGTTGATCTGTTAGTGACGGAACTTGGAAGCGAGGCTAATGGCGTCGGGGTCATCAAAGACCATTTGTGTCGTCGTGGGAGGACTCTCCGGTGGGGAGGTCACCCCTTTTTCTTTCGACGAAGGTCTCTGCAACTCGTTCGAGAAGCAATAACGCCAATCGCCAGAAAAAGCGAGCAGAGGAGAACCCTTCCTTCTTCTTCTGGTTGCAAGGATTCGAAATCCCTTCCGCAAGGAGAATCTAAGTTGTTGGTGAGCGATGAATTTGGGGCCGACAAGGGAGATTAGAAAGGGTAGGGAGAGGGCTAGCGGCGTCTAGCGGCGGAGGACGGAGGAACAGGGGAAGAGGATAGAGCATTAAGGTATCGGCGTGTAGCAGCGGAGAAGAGAGGGTCGGGATGGGGGGAACGAAGTGCTGGTAGGTTGGATGGGGTAGGTACCCTTTATGTTTTGGGGTGGTTGAATTTGGGTTCAATCAAAATATTGAAAAAACCCAACCCAACTCAAACTAACCAACCCACGGACATAGAGGACTAAAATGAAAGAAAAACTAATTCTATGAGTTTATCTGTAATTTTATTTAATATAAATTCCGAAAAAACAAATCATTTAATAAAATTTAATCTCAGCCGTCGAGATCACACGTACGGTTAAGATCGTCAAGGTACGCCATACCCCGGAATTTACCCGGGGTACGATAGAACTCGCCTTACTTCTATATATGTATATATACACATAATCATATATGTAGAGGTTGATGAATGGATGTGTTGGTTAAGGAATCGACACTTTCATTAATCAATGATGTTAATCTTGTTTAATTTACTTGAATTTCATCTCTGTTTTTGAAATATGAGTACAAATTGTTTTCTTTTACTATTATTTAGCTTGTTGATAAGTCATATCTTGGATTTAGACTCATATTCAATTTTGCATATTCCAATTTTATGAGTACAATCGTGTTTTTCAATTTCCCGAAGTCTCTACCGGTAGATTTGCACTCGTTTATAACCAGTTTATGCCGCTGCTATTATTTTATTTTGTACAGATGTTTCAATTTTTTTATTACTTACTATATTGTGGGTGAATCCGACAATCCAACTGCATAATCCGCTATCCGCCCGACCCAACCCGATAATAAGTGTGGTTGGATGGCGGGTTGAAAATTGTCAATCCGTTTATGAGTGGGTGGATTATTTTTATAGTCAAAATCCACCCAATCGGCCCATTGCCCACCCCTATTTAGCATATGACTATGCAGGTTTATTTATTGATGGTACACTTTTGATTTTCAGTGACAACCGTCATTTGGATCATTTGATTTGTCTCATAAAAATATTAAATGTAATTTAATCCGAAAATCTAATATGATTAAACTTGTTCGATGGAACTTTCAAAATTCATCTAATGACAAATTTACAAACAAAATGTACTAATCAGCTGTTATTTCTAGGGATTTTTCCAATAATAGCACCTTTAAAAAAAATTACAAAACTAGCACCCATATGAAAAAATTGACAGAAATAGCACCCTTTTTAATGGAACGCACGATAGGGGTGCGTTCCAGCTTACAAAACGCACTAGGGCGATGCGATTTAATGCTGATGCGGAACGGTCTTCAAGACCGTTGGATGGAGGGGCGATCGGGCGGCTGAACGCTTGCCAGCGGAGCGATCCGCGCCAAGGATACCAGATCGCACGCCCGAGATGCGGTCAACCCTAGGGAAGCGCACAACGCATCGGGAGGGAGCGGTTTGGCTTAGGGCAAAATTACCCGACCGCCCCTGGAGGGTGCGGTCTGATGGGTATAAATATCCCCCTCCCCCTCTCATTTCTTCACACCACAACCCATTCTTCCTTCTCTCTCTACAATTTATCTCTCTAAACCCTCCCCCTCCCAAAAGTGTAGGAAATAGTGGTCTGTTGGTTGCGGCTAAGTCCGATCTGCCATCAGAAAATATTTCTTAGGTTTTTTCCTCAAAACCCGCCGAGCCGAGCCGAAGATCTGTCCGAATTGCGCCGAAAAAATGGCCGATTGGTGGCAAGGAGAAGGAGTTTATGTTGATGAATTTCAAGCGGTACGTACTCATTATTCTGGTTTAATTTTTGTTGTTGTTATAAGTTTTTTAATTAATCTATGTACTAACCTCGTTGTTATTTTCTCGTAGGTTGGGGAGGACGTGGATATATACAACCAACGGTACTATTCTAGAGCAAGGACCGTTGGATCCAACCGACTTGTACGACCAACCCAACCATCGGTCAAGTGATGTTTGGAACGCTCACCCGGTACATACAATTCTTTACCATTTGTCCTTCTTTTATTTTGTTAATGTATTTAGTGGAATATAAAATAATTTTATGTTGAATTTTTAATCGTGTTGGTTGTTTTCAATAATTTAATCGAATACATAGCGCCACTTACTTCGACTCTTTATAAAGAGATGCACGTCTAAGGAAATGAGGTTTTAAGCGATTATCATATCCTCCCATTCCCTGGGGAAATCGGGTATTAAGAGATCCTCGGATCCCCCTTTTTCTGTCAAAAAGACTGCGTTTCTAAGAAGATGTATACCTATTCTAAGAGTCTAACGAGTGTTGCTTTGTATTCGATTAAATTATTTAAAACAACCAACACGATTAAATTATTTATCAAACAACCAATACGATTTATTTTGATGTGTACAAAATGAATTTTATTAATTTCAAACATTTGAATATGTATGTTTCTCTTTAATTTTAAACATTTCAAACATTTGAATTTTATTAATTTTATTAATTTCAAACATTTTGATGTGTACACCATACGATCAACTCTTCTCGTGCCATCCATGCAAGTAACGTTAGTGCACATTTGATGGAGGTCTTCAAGCAGCGGTCTGGTAGCGACCTTTATCTTCTGAAAATTGTCACCTACGTAGGTAACCCCCTTTCCGGTCTCTTCCGTGTAACCATTCCACCGTAGTTCAGTTAATATCATAAAAATAAAAAATAACAATAAAAAGTAATACTAAATAAACTTACGAGTTAACGTTAATCGCAAAACTACTAAAGAAATATAGAGCTACAACAGAAAATTTAAAAGGGAGAAGGAGAGGTGTGAAGAGAAGTGGTTGTCCGGGAGGCATTTTATAGGCAAAATCACTGATGAAAGTTTTCGTCTGCCATGCAGGCCCATGCAGACCCACGTCTGTTGCGTCTGCATGGTATGTCGGAAATTGATTGACCAAAACCGCACCTTCAAGGTGCGGTTTGTATGGCAAAATCGCACCATGAGGGTGCGGTTTTGTTTGGGAGAAACAAACCGCACCTTCATGATGCGGTTTTAATAGGTCAGGCCAAAACCGCATCTCGGCCAAGCGGTTTCTGTAGGTCAGACCTAAAACCTCTTGGCCAAAATGCGGTTTTGGTCCAGAAATAGGGAACGCACCTCTAAGGTGCGGTCTATTAAAAAAGGTGCTATTAGTGTAAATTTTTTCGGATGGGTGCTATTTTTGTAAAAAAAATTTAAAGGTGCTATTTCTGGAAAAAAATCCCTTATTTCTAGTCTCTATCGTTATATAAAGCAAATGTTAACAATTAACATTAATCATCTGCGGAGTCTAGTTTTTACTAATTTGTATTGTTGACATCTAATATCAGCAACATACCATCATCATGAACATACTAACGTTTGATAATCGAATGTGAAAATTGTAGTCTCACTGTCAACTTGATCGTTCACAATATTAATGTGAGCCTTTATCAAAATTACAAACCTAAATAAAATATCCCAATCAATAATCTGTATGAATTTGTTGAGTATTTATTAAATCTAAATTTATATGGCTGATTGTTCATTTTTTTGTCTTATATCTAATTCCAAAGATGAATTATGACTAATTATGTACCCTATTCAACCTGTTCCCACTTTCCAGACCCTTCAGGAACAATAACAGAGCTAGAGCCAATTCAGTTACTGGAAACATCTAGCTCCCCTGTTTTTTTTTATATGGAGCGAAAACAGAGCATCCCTCCCATCCATTCACCAATTCCGCGACTCACCATTTCTTTTCTCCAAATTCAGTATAATCAAGCTCAAAGTAGCTCAGAACAATGGCCCCAGCTCTCTCTCTATCCCTCCCCAACTTCCCCGTATCCAAATTCCACGACATTTCCAAATACACCCACATCCCAAAGAAAAAGCTCTTCCCAGGAAATCCTCTAGAACCAAAACTAAACCGGAGAAAGCTAATATACTCCACCACTACAATCGGAATAACCCATCAGGTCATGAGTTCTGGTTGCAAGCCAGCAAATGCAGAGCCAGAGTCTCCAGTTGATGCAACTTCCAGCAGAATGTCATACTCCAGATTCTTGGAGTACTTGGAAGACGGCGAGGTAAAGAAAGTGGACTTGTTTGAGAATGGAAGTGTGGCGATCGCAGATATATTCAATCCGGCTCTTGAGAAGATTCAGAGGGTTAAAATCCAGCTCCCAGGTTTGCCGCGGGAACTGCTGAGGAAGATGGAAGAAAAGAACGTTGATTTCTCTGTTCAACCGATGGAGATGAGTTGGAGTGATGCTGTGCTTGATCTTTTGGGAAACTTGGCGTTGCCACTCATATTGCTGGGAAGTTTGTTGTTGAGATCAGGAGGTCCGAATTCCCCTGGAGGACCCAATTTGCCATTTGGACTTGGCAGGTAAGATGATTTCTCTGTCTCCGTTTTCTTAGTGCCTGAAAAGTGAAAAGCATGATAACCATTGATGTATTGATATGAGACTCAAACAAAACAGGAGCAAAGCCAAATTCCAGATGGAACCAAACACCGGAGTAACATTCGGCGACGTCGCCGGAGTCGACGAAGCCAAACAAGATTTTCAAGAAATCGTTGAGTTCCTAAAAACCCCTGAAAAATTCTCATCAATAGGCGCCAAAATCCCCAAGGGAGTCCTCCTAACCGGGCCGCCTGGAACAGGGAAGACACTACTGGCCAAGGCCATCGCCGGAGAAGCAGGGGTTCCCTTCTTCTCCCTCTCGGGTTCGGAGTTCATCGAGATGTTCGTCGGCGTCGGAGCGTCGAGGGTCAGGGACTTGTTCAACAAGGCGAAGGCCAATGCGCCGTGTTTGGTGTTCATCGACGAGATTGATGCAGTAGGGAGACAGAGAGGGACTGGGATTGGCGGAGGAAATGATGAGCGGGAGCAGACTCTGAATCAGTTGCTTACTGAGATGGATGGGTTTAGTGGGAATACAGGGGTTATTGTGATTGCGGCGACGAATCGGCCCGAGATTCTCGACTCTGCTTTGCTAAGAGCGGGAAGGTTCGACAGACAGGTAAGTCTTATTGAAATCAACTAATCTAATCAAATCTCTTTCAATAATTTAAGTTATTGGGATCAATTAACTCTTTATTATTATAATTGAGATGTTTTCCGTTCGAATTCCGTAACTCCTAGAGAAAAGCTAGCTAATGACATGTTTGTATTTCTTGTTCGTATTGTTCAATAATGTTCATTAAGGTGAGCGTTGGATTACCAGACGTGAGAGGAAGGGAAGAGATCCTGAAAGTACACAGCAAGAACAAGAAGCTGGACACTCGAAACGTCTCCCTCAGCGTCATCGCAATGCGGACGCCCGGATTCAGCGGCGCCGACTTGGCAAACTTGATGAACGAGGCAGCCATTCTCGCCGGCCGGCGAGGTAGAGACGTGATCACGTCGAAAGAGATCGACGACTCCATCGACAGGATCGTCGCCGGGATGGAAGGCACCGCGATGACCGATGGAAGGAGCAAGATGCTCGTCGCTTACCACGAGATCGGCCACGCCGTTTGCGCGACGTTGACTGCCGGTCACGATCCGGTCCAGAAGGTGAGCTTGATCCCGCGCGGCCAGGCTCGGGGGCTGACGTGGTTCATTCCGCAAGATGATCCGACTCTTGTTTCAAAGCAGCAGCTTTTTGCTCGGATTGTTGGAGGGCTTGGCAGCAGAGCGGCGGAGGAGGTCATATTTGGGGAGCCGGAAATTACCACCGGCGCGGCAGGGGATCTTCTGCAAGTTACCCAGGTTCCTCGGCAAATGGTGACGATGTTTGGGATGTCGGAGATCGGGCCGTGGGCGCTGACGGATCCGGCGGTGCAAAGCGGGGATGTGGTGTTGAGGATGCTGGCCAGGAATTCTATGTCGGAGAAACTGGCTGAGGATATAGACTCCGCCGTTCGCCGGATAATTGGGAAAGCTTACGAGATTGCCAAGGAACATGTAAGGAACAACAGGGAAGCAATTGACAAACTCGTGGAGGTGCTGCTAGAGAAGGAAACTGTTAGCGGGGATGAATTCAGGGCCGTTCTCTCTGAATTTGCCGACATTTCTGCCAACAGAGTCAAGACATTGCAAGTTGTAGAAGCAGCCAATACTTAAAGCCATGCCTATGTTAATGATATCATACAGAACAGTCAGTTGACTGGAAAGTAGCTCACCACCAGTCGAGCCGATAGGATATACATAAGATTATGGAAATTTTGATGTTAGTGATGCATATCCATACTAAACCCAGCATTATTCACATGAAATTAATGTTAGTGACCCCATTGATTCAAGATGGTAAACGTGTTTGACCCCAGTGATGCAAAAAGGGCCAAACGAGTAAAGGAGGGGGAAAGTGAAGCAAATCGGAAAGCTTTTCTGTGTCAACGAAGTTAGGAGGATTCATGACCTTTCCAAGTTTCCATACCATCAGCTGAGCTTGAAAACAACTGATCTACATTAACTTTCAGTGGGGACATGCAAAAGCTAAACTAAAGTGGAGACTCTTCCAAATCGAACCCCAAAAAAGCTACTTAAGTCCAGCTCCAAACACTGCCTTTTCTCCCCTACCTCTCTGGCTCACCAGCCTCACAAACAAGAACCTTTTCATCATCAACATCAGCAAGTTGTAAACTTGAGAATTTACATACACAGTTTTTACCTTTGGCACTGTTTCTCCTTGTTAGATCTTTCTGCTCCATCGTCTCTCCCCCTCCCTCCAGTTAAAACAGCTGGTGCATTATCTGCAACAGAGAGGTGTACGTCCCAAACACAACAATGATGACGCCTAACACCACTACCCCCCAGAGCAGCACTGTTTCGAGCGAAAACCTCCTGTAGCTGCCGGAGATCTTCATGTAACATCCACAGGGAAGTATGATTGATGCAGTGACGCTCAAGAACGCTCCAACCAGAGACATGAGTTCACCGAAGAAAGGCAGTGCTAGAGCTACGATTACTGTGCTGATGACGAATGCAGTGCTGATGAACATGCTGAATGGCCTCTTGTTGCAGTAGGCACGGAACCTCTTTTTGGCTACGTTCACAATGGGGGTGACCATGAGAGCGTACTTGGCAACTGGGTTGACCAAAGTAGTGTAGATTGCTACCTTCGCGCTGAACTTGTTCGTTGGAAGGTCTAATGTTATCTGGGATTGGACATGCGGTCCAAACATCATGTACCCGAGAACAGCCATCGACGCGTAGCAGAATGTGCAGAGGATGAAACACAATAGTAGGACCTGCATTGTGATGACAAACAGTCAGATTGAATAATAAGATCATTGGATTTTATCCGTGTTCAACATATGTTATGAACATTAGATATTTGATCGTCATACTGGAGTAAAATCGTTAAAAGGCATAGATTCTACCGAGTTCACTGATTCCACTACTAAAAACATTATTCTATCTATAGCAGGCATATGCACAGACTAGATTTGGTCAAGTAAACTCGTAAAAACATAAGCTTTTTAGGAGTTCACACAAGACTGTGACCTGCTGCGAGTGCCAAGTCCCCAAAGTGTTTCCAATAGCTAAAAGTCATTCACGAAGGGAATGGTTTCTTACATTGGAGAACTGTTGCTTATTCTTCATCGAAGTGTAGAGAGTTGGGAAGACGGGATGAGCACAATAACAGAAGGCATACAAGCTAACCGCAGTTGGGATTCCACCCAAGTTCAATGGCGTACCAGTCTGGCGAAACCCAACTCCCTCGAACGCTCCTGTCCAGAAAATCGAAGCAAGGATGATGGCAGAGGCCAAAACTCCACTCGCAGAGACGTAGGAGAGCAAGCTCAGGTTGTCGAGCCAAACTGAAGGCAAAATGATGAGTGCAACAAGTATGACGAAGCTTTGCCTGCCCCCTAGGTGGAACCCTGCAATTTCTATTGCCATGTCTGGAAACAAGTTCACCAAGTTATCCCCTTCGAGTATCAGGAATCCTGTTGCAACCAAGTATAGCTCTACGTTCATGAAGACCGATACCACGAGCCTTCCTTTTCTGCCAAATGCACGGTCTCCTATGTCGGGATAAGTTCTGATGCTGGAATCTTCCTCCATGCACCTTTTGATTAGCAAACCTGCGTAGAAGGTTGCACCGGCGATGACCATTAGCAAGATCAAGCTCAACCATCCTCCCGATGCTAGAGCATACGGGGTTGAAAGTATCCCAACACCTGAAAAACGATGAACAACAAAGTAGTAATATTAGCAACCTTGCTTCGACAGAAAAAAAGGAAGTAACTTGAAACACGTTCATCTATGCTTCGCCAAAGTATTCACAGTTTAACCTGACAAGGCATTTAAACCATGGAACATGGTCTTGAAGGTGGAAGTTTTGCCTTCGTTACGAAAACTATAACTGGATTCTAAATCATCATCAAGTTTGCACGCATCCCTATGCTGCTCCTGATCAATTATCAGAGGCACATCCAGTGAAGAGTCACTGTGAGGAAAAGCCTCCATTTTTGCAGCGAAGAGATAAGAGACAGAAAGACTGGAACTTTCAAAAGCAAGAGGTTTTGACTTGAGAGAAAACTAATGCCCAGTAGGGCTTTATAGAGGCTGCTAATTACTAAAGGTGGCTGGGGAAAACATGTTAAAGATGAAGTAACCAAAACACATGCTTAGTCCTCTTTGGAACCACCATATTTATGGCGACGTAGACTAAATGTGAAAGCAACAAGAGCAGGGCAATAGACTCAAAGTGACCACCCGTACCACACTCACAGCACTAACTTTGACAGACGTGTCAAACTAAAAACACAAACCACATGTGAATTAGGACCCCAGTTTAATCAAACTCCCTAATTCCCATGCTTTGCAAGACATCTCACATTATAAAGACCCTTCATCGAGTTTTGACAGTAGAAATCGCTCCCCAGGACTGGCTTACCGGAACCTGGAGCCCCTTTACTGTGGGGCACATCCACTATAAAGAAAGGACCATCCTCCCACTTGCCAACCACGACAACCCCTTATCTTCTAGCCAATTCATCCCTCTGGAAACTGGCAAGTCAGTGAACCACTCTAAACATGACCATAGGAAACATGGCAGGTAGCGCTTGGAGACTATTCATAATACCCATATTCCATATAGCAAGACTTATCAAAATTATGCGCAAAGTTCAGAACTTTGGAGCAGAATATTGGAAGGCAAGCAATTATTATGTCGACATCAGAGAATATAATTCAATGCCCTCCCCATACCTACTCTGGACCTTAGTGGTCTTAAACAGGATGTACTCCAAATTTAACGGCTACCTTATAATTACTAATCATGAAGAAGATGGGGCCTTCTGACCAGGAATGAGAGCCTGCATCGTCACACCATAATCAATATAGCAAGTTCTTTCTATTACAAGAAGTTAAAATTTCAAAAAGGAGAATAGCTTGCTGGCTGCTGCAGCCTGCAGCAGCTTACATGCTTGTTTGTCTCACCCACAGAGTTGTAAAAAGGGATGTGGTTCCCAGATTTTGACAGGTTAACTTCTACAGTCCGCTCAAGTTTCTGTGGACCGTCCCATTAGAAAATCCGAATGCCCATCACTTAATTATTTTAGTACCTACCTATGTTTCGCCATTTTAAGCATGAGTTTAACCTCGAGATGAAAAATAGGTAGCTGCTCCAATCATCGATCATTTCGACTATACTCAGTGCAAATAATCATCCTGGCTACAATCAGTGGGATGAAAAGTTGAACAAGGCAAGCTTAGCTAGATGAACTGAACAGAGAAAGACAAAAAATCAGCTTGTTGGCAAATTGTATTGAGAATGTGGAAGTAAGCATCACGATGTATGAACATCAGAATTTCAGAAAGATACATGTTAAGATATGCATGAAAAAGATATATACTACCAAGTCATCATTGTTATTCTTCCTGTTTCATCATTGTTCTTGGAAGGATCACAAACTCTTGACATTAATCTTCTAATCCAAACTGTATACGTAACCATGAAGTGGAATTGAGATAAGGTGGCAGAGAAATGTTTAGTGGGTTGGTGAATCACTAGTCAAACATCCATCTTTCTATAACCAAGACAATTATACAGGTTTGGCAGGCGACTTTGTTCTGACGTTCAAATGGTGCATTTATCTTCCTCTAGCTAGGGAGAAACACATCTAGTAGAGAAACAACATAACTCTCTACTAGCATAGTTGCTACTCCAACAAGCAAACAGAGAGGGTCAGAATCCAATGTTTCAATGACACTCTCATTCAAATTCATGTTATGTAATGATTACTGTACAGGGAGCTTAGCTCAGGATATGTAAGCGTTCCCCAAGAATTCAGAATAAAAAGGATAAAGTATTCTTCAATGAGGATGATGATTCATCATCGAGAACTAGAGGGCTCCCCTGTTTCCAGGGAAAAAAGAGGTGCATATATCCCTGTCTTGTTCTGTTCTGTTTGACGTCGATCTAAAACAGGGAGGTGGTGTAAGTCAGTAAGTGTACAACGACAGCTAATATTTCTCCATTCATTCTCTAGCTAAAGCACCGCCACAAATGTGAACTGATTCTGAAACGAACAGTCTTCTTTGGATTCATACGAAACAGAATATTATCTACAAACAAACAAGCTCTTCACGAGACGCTCGCACGATGACACGAACAATGAAGCAAAAGAAAGAATAAACAAGTAATATTATTTCAGTGGGTGCATTAGGTCATAGCGGCCGCAGCAAATAGACAAAAGGAGTAAACAAAGAGCGATACCCTTTTTTCCTCTTTTGGGTTGGCGGAATGCAGAACACAGAGAAATCACAATGGAAGGCTGAGATTAATAACCTGACAAAGCGTTGAGGCCATTGAAGCAGGTGTTGAAGAATGAGGTGGTGCCCTCGCGGCCGCCATCAGTGGCGGAGTAGTGGTGGTGGTGGAGTAGTATTTGGTGGTGGTGGTGGTGATTGGCGATGCTGTAACCCTTGGCGTCGAAATGCTCGGGCTTCTTATCAGTGTCGTTTTCGGAGGAGAGAATGAGAGGGATTGTAAGCGACGACGGTGGACTGTCTCGATGCCCGGCGGCGCCCTCCATTGCCCGGCCGTACCTATTCTCTGACGGCGAAGAAAAAGAACAAACGGAGGGAGAGAGCAAGGGAGTGGGATCTTCTCTCCTCTACTCTTTTTGTCCTTCAATGGCGGTCTTGAAACAATACATTGACATTATTATCCCCGTCCCGTATCCCGCAACGTTCCCGGCTCAAAAAAATTGCCACCTGAGCTCCACATGTCAAATCTCCTATATCGCCATGACCGTAAATTACGGAGTCGTTTGGAAGTTGCGATTGTTTTGTTGAAATAATGAGTCGTTTGGAAGTTGCGATTGTTTTGTTGAAATTGTCATTATGCATGTATTGTTTACAATGCATCGTTTCTTTGTTTTTTTTAATAGAAACAATACATGGATTGTTTCTATGATGTGATAGAAACTATTACTCATTTTGAGTGATTGTTATATCTCAACTTTTAGTTGTCATTGTTGAGATAGTTGAGTTGAGATTGTTTTGTTTCAGCTTTTAGCTGATGCGACATAGGGCTGGCTATTTTGTCCGGGTTTTTTGGTTTTACCCGAAACCGGACCGTATAACCCAGATCGAGACCGGACCGGGACCAGATAGTAAACAATCTAATCCAATCTTTGAGTTTAGATTTGAGGTAAAAAACCGTTCGGGACCGGATCGAAAACTGGATAAAGACCGGATAAGAGAGATCAACACCCAAAACTTAAGGGTAATTTGCATAAACGGTCACAAACCTTTGCACTTAGTACAAAACTTAACCAACTCCTCACCCTTTCTGGCCTTAGGCCACTCAAATCCCCACAAGCTCAATATAAAATCAAGACCTAATTGAGACCGGACCGGATCAAGACCGGACCGGATCCAATCCAATCTTTGGTCCTTATATATTAAAAAAAAACCCCGGACTGGACCGGATCAATTTCGGCCAACTTAACCAGACCGGGCCGTATAGCCACCCTTAATGCAACATACACAATCACACATACCAAATGTTGTATTCTACAATGCATTAAATTCGACAATACATGTATAATATTATACATGCATTTTCAACAATACATCTATTTAACAATCGCAACTTCCAAACGACCCCTACTTACCTGAAAAGTAGGGATTTTTCCAAAAGTAGCTCTGTTTAAAAAAAATCCAAAAATAGCACCCAACTCCGAAAAATTCCAAAAATAGCCCCCTTTTTGCAAAACCGCCACCCGGGAGCGCCTTTTTTGAAGAAAACCGCACTGGTAGGGGGCGGTTTTGTAAACCGCACCCCCACCATGTAGTTTGGTTGCAGACCGCACCCCACCATGCGGTCTGCTCTCTCTCTCTTTTTTTTTTTTAAATCCTATCCTAGGTGGAAACTTCAAACGAACGTATCTTTGTGTTCGGGTATCCGATCGTCGCGAATTTTTTTTTATTCCGCATAACCTTTTGAGATCTTGCAAGCCAAAGACTGTCGAAGGTGGTTTGGTCCCGCTTTCGTCCCAAAAAATGTCGTTTGCTACCACGAACGAGCTTTTTTCTGATTTCGTCAAACTTTGGACAACCATAACTTTGTGCTCCAAAATCCAAACGACATGAATTTTTTTTATTTCACATAACTTTTTAAGGACTACAATTTTTACTAGGAATGAATTTTCAAAACAGGAATTATTTTTGGATATAAAGGATTTTGGGAATAGCTTACCTTCCCTTCTCAGCAATCCACGTACATTTTGAAATTATGTCTATGATAAAAGTTGTATTCCTTAAAAATTTATGCGAAATAATTTTTTTTTCATGTTGTTTGGATTTTGGAGCACAAAGTTATGGTTGTCCAAAGTTTGACGAAATCGAAAAAAAGCTCGTTCTGGGTAGCAAACGACATTTTTTGGGACGAAGGCGGGACCAAACCACCTTCGGCAGTCTTCGACTTGCAAGATCTCAAAAGGTTATGCGGAATAAATAAATAAAAAAAGATTCGCGACGATCAGATACCCGAACACAAAGATACGTTCGTTTGAAGTTTCCACCTAGGTTAGGATTTTTCAAAAAAAAAAAAAAACAGACTGCATGGTGGGGGTGCGGTCTGCAAAACCGCCCCCTACCAGTGCGGTTTTCATCGAAAAACGAGCTTCCGGGTGGCGGTTTTCGCCTAAACCGCTGGTACGGGTGGCAGTTTTGCAGAAAGGGTGTTATTTTTGGAATTTTTCAGAGCTGGGTGCTATTTTTGGAATTCTTTTTTAAAATAGTGCTACTTTTGGAAAAATCCCTGAAAAGTATATAAGGAATAATTAAAGGTGAATTGCAAGTTTGGCATGTTACACGATTGTCACTCAAATTATTTTCGCTTCAATTTATTCATCAACACTACACATTTATATCATTCATGGTCACTCGCGTCTAATTTCGTTAAATTTATCATACCTAGCAGTCACAGTTATTCTTGAATGTTAAAATGGTGACATAACAATTAAAACATAATTATTTTTTATTTCCACATCATACTAAAATTTAATAAATGTTTTCTTTCATAAAATTTAATAAAAAATTATTTTCATGAAAAAATCCCACTTATCTTCTCTTTCTCCGCATCACTTAGTGAGGTATATGATGAAAGTGTGTTAGGGGTGAGGACAAATTGGGGGGAAATCCTTAGGTTTATCTTTCTGTGCGAAGAGTGTATATATGCTTTGTTCATTTGTGGAAAACTGGGTTCTCGGCTATGTATATAGCAGAACAATTGTCAAGGAACCATCATGTTGGAGTAGAGTGAGGAACTCCGAATTCATGCAGCAGCCCCTTCAACCAAACCACCTCTGAGGTGAGATTAGATAATGTACGATACTCAACCTCAGAGAATGACTTAGCTACTGTTTCTTGCTTATGGGCTTTCCACGTAATTAAAGTTGTTCGAAGCATAGTACACTATCCAGGAACGTCTAGTGTCCGGATATGTTGCCTAATTTGAATTAGAGTATCCAAAAAGTTGATGAAGAAGAAGAAGACGAGACCTTGTCCCGAAGAGTTTTTCAAATACTTTAGTACTTGAAGTGATGCACAGTAATTAGCAATTGTTGGTCCAAGCTGAAACTGGCTGAGTTGTTGTACAACGAAACAAATATCTAGTCTCGTGATAATGAGATATTGCAGTCCTCCAAGCAAGCTCTTAAAGTTGGTGGTATCAACCAAGGGAACCCCATCTGAGGTCGAGAACCTGAACTTAATATCCACGGGTGTTACGCACGGGTTTGCAATCAGTTAGCCTTGCATCAGAGATCAACTTCAAGCAATATTTTCAATGGCTTACGTTCAATCCTGAAGAGTGTCAAGCAATTTCCAATCCTAAGAAGTATTTAAGAGGGTCCAAATCTCTAATTTTGAACTGACTCCGTAGAAAGACTTTGGTTGAATTCATAAGTTCCTTATCTTGTCCAACAACCACCATATCATCTACATACACAAGAATCACAAAAAAATGCATTTCATGCCCCTTTAACAAACTCGTAGCTAACAAGTGAGCTTGAAATACCACTACAGATTCGCCAGGTGGTGAGGACATAAACACCTCTTCATCTAAATCACCATTTAGAAATGCATTACGAACATCAAGCTGATCCATACACGAACCATTAACACTACTAATTGCAATCAGTGTCTTCACCGTGTTAAGTTTCACTAGGGGAGAGTGTCTCAAGAAAATCAACCCCATACATTTGCGTGTATCCCTTTGCAACAACACGAGCTTTGTGGCGCTCAATAGTTCCATTTGGGTTGAATTTAGTATTAAGGTCCATTTATTTCCTATAAATGTCTTCCCTATAGGCAATGAAACAACATCCCATGTATGATTATCATCATGGGCATGTAGTTCAAAATTCACTGCTTGGTTCCAACAAGGTTGAAACATAGCCTCTTCAAATGTTTGGGGTTCAATGTCATGATAAATATTAAGAACATAACTCAAACATTTGGGAGAGAGTCAGGCAACCCTAGGGAACTTGGGCAATTTTGATGCAAGCACACATGACACAAGCTACATTCATATACATCCAAGTGTTATGGTGTCACCTGGCCCGGTCAGGATACCTAAGTATGGGTTGACTAGGTGAGATACGCTGGTTAGATGAAGATTTTGTAGAAGACGAGTGGGAACTATTGAACTAGAAGGATGTGCAAAATAAAGAGAAGGGAAACGAGGAGAGGGTGGAAAAAGAGATGTTTGAGGGCTTCATGGACTACTGACAGGTTCTATGGGAGGTGGAGAAGAGAATATAGGGATGCTGCTAGGGCCGAAAGACGCTGCAGAGGAGAGTCGGCAGAATTAAGATTGCTAGGGGAGAAATTTTCAGAATGGATGGAAGGAGAAAATGTTCGAAAAGGGAGGATGTGTTCATAAAACTTGAAATCCCTGGAAACAAAGACTTGATGAAAATCTAAGTCATTTAACTTAAAACCCTTAATTCCTCAAACATACCCTATAAAGACACATTGTCGAGCACGGGGACTAAATTTTGTTCGATCTCTCCCTGAAGTTGAAGCATAACATAAGGAGTCGAATACACACAAATTGGACAGACAAGGAGGGACACCATAAAGAACCTCAAAGGGGTTTTTTTTAGGGTTAATACCCTAATTTGGCCCGAATTTTAGCGTAAATGACACTTCTGGCCCCATTTTTCAAATAAGACATTTGTGGCCTACTTTTGAAATTATTGGACAGATTTGGGCCAAAACTTGTGTTGACTGTTATCATTAACGGTCAAATATTTATTTCGTTAAATGATTCAGCATCCTATGCTGAAGTGGCAATGATGTGGCTGCATATCATTTTTATTTCAATTCATTTGTTTAGTACTTAAAAACATGAAAAATAAACATAAAACCCCTAATCTAAACTCCCTCCTCCCTCCAACCTTCAATCGCTTGCTTTATATGTTTTTTTGCTCGTTCTTTCTTTTCTTCTCCCAGTCGGAGCTTCGTTTACCGATCCAAAATGAGACTCAGATCATTGGACACTGAAAGTATATCGGAGAAGAAGGAGAAATCAGATGAGGAGAGGATTCGAATTTCATCATCAGGGAGAAGAGAACGGCCTCAAGCGCTAGCTTCCCTTTCTTCTTCCCTTGCTTCCCCGACCTTCCCCTGCACTAGCTGACACTACTGCGTAGTAGATTTATCAACTTCTTACACTTATGCGGTGCCTCAGTAGATCTCACTCCTCCATCGACCCTCCCCTCTCATCCGCCACCATGGATCGAAAGCAGAGCTCCCCCTCTTCTCTGCCATCGTGGATAGCAAATCCCACAAGAACCCCAATCTCAATTAGATAAGAAACCCAATCCCCTCCCAACTCCCTCCATCTCCTTTTCATCTGCTCTCTCTTCGCAGTATTGGCCCATCTCAAAATTGGTTCTGACCATGGCCCTCACTGTGCCCTAACCATGGCTCTCGCTTCCATGGGCAACAGCGCCGCCAAGAAGTACGACGAAATCGACACCCCACCCGTGAAGAGAGCCCGCGATATCACCATCAACACCGCCACCGCCACTACGCCCACGTCGACTGTCCTGGAAAAACCGATTACGTCAAGAACATGATTACCGACGCTGCATAGATGGATGGAGCTATGAATCTAAATCCAAACTTGATCCTCGGCGGCGACGTAGCTTCAGATCTCACGGCGGCTCGCCTCTTAGGCGGTTTCAGAGAAGGATCCATTCTCGCGGTTAGATTCAATTTGTTCTCTAGGTTTGGGGTTGCAGAAATAGATTTGCGATTTGTGTTGGCGGCACGAGGGCAGGGACTTGCGACTGAGGAAGGCGGGGTGGCCCGGGAGGAATGGCGACGGCGGCGGATGTACAACCATCGACAGCCGCTGAAATATGTTGGGAAATAGGATCGAATTTGAGGGAGATTTGGAAATCAAGAAGAAGACGAAAAGTTTAGAGAGAGAGGGAGATCCATCATATCCCTTCACTTTATTTTTTTCAAATTTTCATTTTCATTTTCATGTTTTTTGTTTTTAAAAATCTTTATATATTATTATTTTAATATAAATTAAATGAAAAGCCACGTCATAACCACGTCAGCGTTAAGTGATGAGTCATTAACGGAAACAATCATTGACCGTCAGTTTTAACGGTCAACTCCGGCACTAGGCCAAATCTGTCCAATAATTTCAAAAGTAGGCCACAAATGTCTTATTTGAAAAATGGGGCAAGAAGTGTCACTAATGCTAAACTTCGGGCCAAACTAGGGTATTAACCCTTTTTTTTATTGGAAACGTCTTCACTAGGTGTACGATTGATTAAATAGACCTTGTGGATAACAAAGACAACCCAAAAGGAAAGGGACAGACCAGATTGAAATCGCAAAGTCCAAGCAACATTGAGAATATGTTGGTGCTTGCGTTCAACAGGAGTGCTTTATTGTGCTGTTTCGATACATGATATTTGGTAAATTATGCAATTTTTATTAAAAAAAGGAGGACATGTGAAAGTCTTTACCATGATCACTACAAATAACTTTAACTTGTGTTTAAAATTGGGTAGCTATCATGGCACCAAAAAAAAAAAAAAAATCAAAATGAGAAGAAGTTTCACTTTTTTATTTCATCAGGTAAAACGCATACAACACGAGATTTATCGTCAACGATAGTGAGAAAATATCTATAACCTTCATGGAAAACTCAGATTGATAATCACTCATTTTGGCAAAAATTGATAATCACTCAATTTAAGTGATTATAGGTGGGCCTATAATAAAGTAATGCATGTATTCTATCACAGTAATATCTTTCCTACCAAATGGGAAGAACGGCAAAAACCAATTGTCAATCTTTTATTATTTATAATTATTATTTTTAAAAGAGCGCAATTTTTATCCATTTATAGAGCACAATAAAATTAGAATAAATTACTAGGAATCATATATATAGTAATTTGCCTAGTATTAGGATATTATATTTGGATGCCTAATAGGACAAAAGAGTATGTCCTCATCTTCTCTTCCGAGATCTCTCTTTATAATATTGTCTTATCTCTACATTCATATACACCACCACACATCTCTTGTATTAACTTGAGCATCAAAGTATAGATCACGGGATCACCCCCTCCTCTCCACAAGTTCATCAACTCTCAAAGAGATTGAACAAAAAATTATGAATCAGAGCACCAAATTGAACAAAAAATTATGAATCATAGCACCAAATTATTATTATTGTTATCAATTCGGAACGTCTTTGGTCGAAACACCTAGTGATATAGGAATTAGACTAGAATAAAGAGTGTTTTATTCGAATTTCAGGGTTAGTTATTATTATTTATAAAGAACACCACTTAGACGTAGACGGATATTGATCTAAGTTATACGCCCGTATTAGGGCTGGGAATCCAGTCACAATTTTCTGGTCAAACCGAAAACCGACCAGTTTAAACCGTCCTGGGTGCAACCGGAAACCGGATGCAACCTGATCTGGTTCGGATTACGGTCGCCAATATATTGAGAAAAATAGTACCAAGTATAACCCGGTTAAAACCGCAAAAAACCAGAAACCGGACCCTGTCTTATCCTGAAGGCCAAAGCCAAGCCCAGCCTAGCCAAAACATACCCACTCACCCAAAGCCCAACCAGACCCCAACTCACCCACTAAAAGCCCAAAGCCCATCCAGACTTGCAAAATCCTAAACGCTAACTCTCAAGCACTCCTCCAGCTTCTCTCAAACTTGTCAACCGCCGCATCTATGTCCCTGAGCAGCACGTCTGAATCCTCTTCTTCTTCGTTCTCTCGTCGGCGTCCAACAACTCTCCCTCCGACTTTGGCAACATCTCACCCTAGACGGCGAGTCGGGTCTCTCTCTTCTCGAACTCCACCGAGGCGCCGACCGACACTGCTCCTGAGGATGACATGCACAATCGTTGCCCTGCTGACATCGCCGCCAAGATCCTAGTTGACATCATAGCCAAGATCCAAACTTTGTTTGTCGAATCGCGGTGAAGAGGACAACGACGGAGGCGATGATGTGCGTGCGTCGACAGCTGGGTTGGGTTTTGATAGCGAAGAGAAGGAGAAGAAGAATCAGGAAGGTAGAGGGAGCAGAAGAATCGAAGGAGGGAAGAAGTGGATCTTCTGGAGATTGGAGATGAAAGTGGGGGAATTAGGGATTGTCCAATTGTGCGGGTGGGACTTTGGGAAAGGAAACAATCCGCATCCACCTTTTGGTTGAAACCGGATCGGACCGGAATCCCATCTAGTCCGAGCAAGGTTGAAATCGGATCGGACCAGAATTTCATCCAGTCTGATCACGGTTGAAACCTGGTACTCATATAATCCCGTCTTCGGTTGTGATATTGGTCAAAACGATTTTAAAACCCGGTTATCCGATCCAGTTTTAACCAAAACGGACCGTTTCCCACCCCTCGCCTGTATATGTTTGCTCACAATGGATTACAATGAGTCCCGAAACCAAAAGAGTCCCCTTTTAGCTGGCTGAAATACTTTGGATGGTAGGCACTAAAGATTTACGGGTAGTTTGCTTTAGGGGTGGGAAACGCTTTGGTCCGGTTAAAACCAGACCGGATTAACCCGGTTTTTTGAAACCGTATTGAGCAAAGCTACAACAGAAAATTGAATTGGATGGACACCCGGTTTCAACCGTGACCGGACTGGGTTGGATCCGGTCCGATCCGGTTTCAACAAAAAAACTGGATATTTTCACTACCACCAAACGCCACCGTTTTAATTCTTCTTCTCTCACAAAACCAAAAAACACACGCATCTGCAACCAACAAATTGCCAAATCTCTCTCTCTCCTTCTCTGTCTCTGTTTCTTTCCCTCTCACATTGTAAGTGTCACCGATAGAGAGTTCTCTCCCACCGACGCAACCATCGCCACCATTCCTCCGTCTTCCTCGTCGTCGCAGTCACCATCGTCACCATCCCCAAATCATCATTGCCGTCGCCATCCCCTTTCACTTATTCTTGCTTCATTGTTGTTGCATGTTTCGATCTGGGCAAGATCGAGACGGAGGGTGCAGATCAAAGGTGGTCTCAAATCGGTTGGTGAGACTGAGAAGAGAGAGAGACCAGATTGGGTGCGATCTCACATCGTCGTCTCCATCGTTGTCGCTGTAGCCGTAACCGTCGCCTAGAGCAGAGACCAGACCTCGACGGCTCGGCCAGAAGGGGGGATCGCGGTGCCGTCACGGAAGAAAGGGCAAGTCGGCGCGGCGGCTGCTTCGACGGTTGTGCGGCGATCGGCTGCTCTGGTTCTTCTTATAGAGCAGAGAGCAAAGAGAGAGATTGACAATGCGGCGGGGAGGTGGAGACTACGATGGAGATGGCCACATTAGGGTTTTACGGGTGGGTATTTGGGCTTCTGGGTTGAGAGGGGTTGGGCTTCAGTAAAGGGCTGGGCTGGGAAGGGCCCGGTTTTCCGGTTATTTTCGGTTTTAACCGGGTTAAAACTGGTACAGTTTTTTCTCATATATAGGCAACCGGAATCCGGACCAGACCGGGTTGTATCTGGTTTTCGGTTGTAACCGGGACGATTTAAACTGGCCGGTTTCCGATTTGACCGAAAAACTGGAACCGGATTCCCAGCCCTAGTTTGCTTTGTAGATTTGAAAAATGAAGGTTTTGGTAAAATTTGGGTTTTGTAAAACCATGGATATATAAGGGTTTGGGTTCATTATGGACTTGAAAAATACCATTGTTTGTTTCATAGATTTTATAATGGAATTGGTTAATTAGATTTGTATGTATGAAATAAAATTTTCCTTTATTGCCCTCATTGGTATGAGAAGAGAAATGAAATGGGAGGGGTAGTTTGGTATTAAATGATGGACTTCAAAGTCCATGCTCAATTCCCACCTAAAGATGTGGAACTTTCAAGTTTGGGGTCCACGGATTTGAACCCTTAAAGCTTGCGGGACCCACGAATTTGTTGCCCACTTGCCCCTAAATAAATGAAGCAAACAATGGATTTCAGACAAAGTTTATAATAGATCCGAATCCATCACCAAATCCATCACAAAATTCATCCAACATAGGACAAGCAAGTTGTCTCGATGTGGGCTCTACGAGCAGGGCCCCGATCAAGCAACCAAAGTCAAGCCATGAACTTGTTGGTCAAGGGTTCGAACTTCCACCATTTAGTGCGACTTCTATTTACTATCAACAAAACAATGATTATAGTATTGATTTGTCAAAAAAAAAAAAAAATGATGCATTACACAATCAACGGCAAAGGTAGGGCATAAAAGGGTGGATGTCGGGACTCAGTTTGAAATTCATACCTTATATCCAGTTGAATCGCAATAACAATTGAATTACACACATTATGATATGTATTTGTCTTGGTTTATTTTAACGATTACATAAATGATTTCCACTAAATAAAACTTGTAGTTATTAGTTTCTTCATTTTCTCATTCTTGTCTACTTTCGACTTCGCTCTTTAATTAAAAGCACCTGTTAAGCCCTCTCCTAGCTGATAATGATTGTGACAAAGAATCTCAAGAATTATTATTAGAGTATGTGTATCGACTTGTAAAATTTGCGTTGTTACGTCACGTATTTCGTTAAGTGTTCAAAGCAGTGTTATTAAAGCCGAATCGAGCCACTCGGCCCGACCGGTAAAACCGCCACCCGGTCACAAAACTGGCTCGGCACAGTCTAAAAGCCGCTCCGGTTTTATGTAGAGGTTGGCAAGCGGCCGAGGCGGTTAACCGTTCGAGCCGATTGAGCCGCTCGTCCGGTTTTTGCCATTCAGCCACTAAATTTAATTAAAAAAATTGCAAAATTTTGAAAATTGAAATAATCCAAAAACGTCGTGCTGTCAAACTGAATCATTATTTCCATTTCACAATTTCAAAGCAAAGAGATGAGCCCTGATTAAGAAACGTCCACTATTTATACTGATAACGTTTATTAGGTACCGGTTCTCTAACGGTTTTTAAACGGTCTAATGTCGGTTGGACCACTAAAGTGCAAGCCGTTCCCATTACCGGGTCATGCTCCGGTTCGGTTCTAACAACATTGGTTCAAAGTGTATTTGTCGCAATGTAGTACATGAATTATGCACTTTAAAGTCAAATGATTGATGAATTCATGATTTATTTTGTTTAATATATTGAAAGGAAACATAATTGACAACTAGTTTGGATGATGCACGTATTTTGGCAAAATTTTCAAATTTTGAAAACACGTGGTGGTTCATTATAGACTTATCAAAAACACTTGGATGATGCATGTAAAAAAAAAACTAACCAAAAACAATAACAGAAAACACAATTAAAAACAAAAGCTAAACAAAATTCACATCAATAATTTTGTAGATGATCATAATGAGAGTACCTGACCACCAGCATGTCTTGATCAACATTTTTAAATTTGACACCGCAGACGGGCATTTGTGATTTGACTGAGGGAAAAATGGAGAGCTTGGTGGAAGAATGTGAAAGAAATTACGTTGACATTAGGAATGTTAAAGTAATTATCATGGTAATTATCGAACTAAATACTGCTAAATTATATTAACTGTAGAATACAATACGTAAATCAAATCGTCCAAATTAACAATAACCAATTTACCAATTTAAAGTTTAATTTGTTTGGTTAATTTGTTAATTGCATTAACCAATATAACATAATATTATCATTACTTGATAAAAAAATGGCAAAATATATGCATAGCCACACATTTCGAATTTCTCACAATAATAACAAATTTTTAATAAATCTAGCCATTTCATTTACAAACTTTAACAGTGTTAAACGTCGTTATTTAGGATAACAATATTGCTGATGTGGATGCCACCTTAGCTTACACATCAATTCCAACTAGACATGTCACGACAACTAGATGCGATATCATATTTTATTTTAATTAAAAAAACTCATAAATCCCTTCCACATCGGTGCAACTTCGTCTTCCCAAATCCCCTCTCCCTCTGTCAACTCTTTGTCCTCCCAAATCCCTCTCTGCGAGCTTTCAAGAATGCAAAACTCACCCAGATCCTTAAATCCCCAAACCTAGATCCTCCGCTGCCTACAACAAACGCAAAAAAATTGGCATAGTGATTAAGGTTCATAGATTTTGGGATTCAAAATCCACCATCGTCATGTCCTTTCATCGCTCTCAACCCGAACACCACTCTCTCCCCTCCATCGATGCCTCTATCATCATATCGCCATCATCATATCCCTGCTAATGATATTACTCCTTAGTCTAACAGCGGTGTTATAACTGTCCTCCTCCAATAGCTCCATCTCATCCAAGTGGTATATAAATTTGGTATTGGTATTTACCGATACAAAAAAATTAGGAATCGAGATACTGAATTTGTTTGAGGATTGAGATTAGGATTGAAGTTGAGTTTATAATACTATTTGGTATTTGACATTTCGATATTTGACATCAATATATCGATACCCTATCGATTTTCGACCCTAATTATTATTTGCTCCTTGAATCCAAGTAGTTGGTTTTCTTTGGTTCGGCTATAAATCTTAATTTAACATTTAAAATACTAATGTAGATATTCTGAATTATTTTCATACCCAATTTAAATTTATGTCGAATCAGCGCAAAGCCACGAAACTTGAACTTCTCAACAACTAAAATTTATAATAACTAATATATGATATAATTCTAAAAAAGTTATCCAATGCATGTAACATGATTCTTAATGAAAGCCATTTCAGGGAATTGTAAGCATAGTAGTATTTCTACCTAAAAACAAGAAATATATTTATTTTTATATAAAAAAGAGTATACATAAGAGGGCTATAAGCCTGCAAAAAATAAAATTTGGTCCATAAACATAATAGCCCACCAGGCCCGTGGAGAGCTCGGTCTGAGCCAAACCCTAAATAGTCTCAAGTACCCGCAACCGCCTCAATTATATTTGGCAGATGAAAAAAGAAGGGTAAATACAATAGGACTTTGCTACGGTGACATGCATATCACGGTGACATGCACTTTTCGGTCGACCTCATATAGGATCAGGTCGACCTAATCAGTTGTTTCAGTGTAAAAACAGTTTCATGGTGCCTACTTTGGAGATTCATATCTTACAATTGGCTAGATGGAAATTGGAGATTAAAGGCTTGTTTTGAAGCTGAAGTGTCCATCGACACATTAAAGTACTTGGGAGCTCAATAGAAAGTCCAGAAGACCTTTTTTGAATCTGACCAAAAGGCTATGCCAAAATTGGGAAACTGCCTGAAAATGGCTAAGTCTGGCAACGTGTTTGTCAAGCCTACTTTGGGGCTCAATTTGAGAATCATGGATGCGAGTCAAGTCCAGGGGCCTCTACCACGTTAAATTACGTATTTTTTTATACAAAGGCAAGGCATTGGATGAAAGATTCAATATCTTTAAGGCTTCAAACAAAAGGCTCGAAGTTGCTACGAAGGCTGTTTTTCTGGCAGCTTGCTTGTGCTCAAAGTCTGCCAGAAACACAGCCTTCGTAGCAACTTCGACCCTTTTGTTTGAAGCCTTAAAGATATCCAATCATTCATCCAATTCCTTGAATTTGTATAAAAACATACCTAATTTAACGTGGTAGAGGCTCCTGGACTCAACTCGCATTCATGCTTCTCGAATTGAGCTCAAAAATAGACTTCACAAACACGTTTCCAGACTTAGCCATTTCTAGGCAGTTTCCCAGTTTTGGCATAGCCTTTTGATGAGGTTCAAAAATGGTCTTCTGGACTTCCTATCGAGCTATCAATCACTTCAATATGTAGAGGGACACTCCAGCTTCAAAACAAGTCATTAGTCTTCAATTTCCATCTAGCCAATTGTATGATATGAATATCCAAAGTAAGCACCGTGAACTGTTTTTACACTGAAACAACAGATTAGGTCGACCGAATCCTATATGAGGTCGACCGAATCCTATATGAGGTCGACCGAATTCTAAATGAGGTCGACCTAATCCTAGCTGAGGTCGACCGGAAAGTGCAAGTCACCGTGACATGCATGTCACCGTAGGCACACCCAATACAATATATTAGCCAAACCTTTTGCGGTTAAACAAAAGAATAGCCAAACCTTTCAAAAAACAAAATAATAGCCAAATCTTTAACTTTCCATCTGGTCAACTGTTAGTTGACTCTTATGTGACTAATTCGTGCTGACGTGGCAATGACAATTATTTAACTGTGCCACACATACATATTTTAAACTAATTATTTATTATTAAAACAAATAAAAAACAATAATGGAACACTCTCCATCCCTTCCCCTCTCCTCCCCTCTCTCTTCTCCGGCCAAGAAACTTCGAAACCCTCGATATCTCCCAAACTTTTTCGTTAGCAGCAACCACCTCGTCGTCCGAGAACCTCCGCTTCCTCCCGTCATGCTTTCAACTACCTCCTTCCATGGAAACAAGCAAAGATTCGACACTCCAGTTCGATCCGTCGTTCTTAAATGGGGTCGCCGACAATTGCTAGAGCGATCAAGCAGTTTGGATTTAGGGAATCGGAAGCGATGAAGAGCGAGGGGAAGGAAAGGGGTAACAGAGGAAGAGCCACAGGGGTTTTGGAAGCGAGGAAGAGTAGGGGATTTGGGCAATGTATTGATTGGATTTAGCTTTTGATTCTCTTAGTTTGACACATAGATAAATGGGTTTCAGTTTAATTTGTTTAGATTTGGATGGTGTGGAGGGGAGCGGCGGCAACAGGAGTGGAGTTGATTTGGGGTTCTCAAAGTGGATTGAGTATGTTCGAGGCAACCCAGTTTTGCTGGGGATTTCTATTTTCATTCTCTTCGTATTGTTGAAAGGTGAGAAAGATGTAAGCTCGTTTGTGGAATCGAAGCAAGCCTTGCTCCTTTGGCGATTCTATGTAGCGTTCGAGTAATTATCAGCAATAGCTCGTTGGCTTGGGTGGTAGGTGTCGATGACAACATAGGGATTAGGTCACGGCGGCGAGGCTTTTGGTTTCACGGTGGGCAACGATGGCTGGGTTTCGTCGGAGGATTGGTAATGGAAGCATTCATGGAGTTTCGATGGAGATTGGAGAGAAGGGGATGCGAACAGGCAAGGAGATAATAGAGTGGTGGCTATTTTTTAGTGGCTTTTTAATTTATTTTCTTTTCTAAACAGAAATTAATTTTTGGTATATCCATGTGGCAAGTCAAATTTTTTACTTTTTGCCACGTCATTGAAAATTTGTTAAACATTTTGCCACGTCAGAGTCAACTAACGGTTGACCGGACGGAAAGTTGACGGTTTGGCTATTAAATTATTTTTGAAAAGGTTTGGCTAATATTTTGTTTAAAATGAAAGGTTTGGCTATTAAATTGTATTAACCCAAAAAAGAAACTAAAAAGTGTGGTTGGTCAAAAGCAAGGTTGTCAAACCGCGGGTCGACCCGGACCCGAACGAGATAGTGAGTCATGGGTTAATGGGTCACCCGTTTTAGCCCGGAAATATGGAAAATGTATTTATATTGTACTTATCCTAAATCCAACATAGAAAAAATGCAACACTACTTCAACCCCAAGTCTCCAACACACTTAAATAACATCAACTTAAATTCAACATAGTAAAAATTCAACAACACTTAAATCAATCACATAACATCAACTTAAATCCATCATAGTTAAAAGTTCAAGAACACTTAAATCCACCACTCTTAAATCCATCACATAACATCAACTTGGAATTCCAAATAACAAAAGAAAAGTATTCAATCTTCATAGATAAAGCTATCCATCTCCATTGCATCAACAAGATGAGAAATGTCGAAGTCAATTTCATCAGTAACATCATACTCAAAGTCCTCTGCATCAAAACATGAAATAAAATATTCATAATTATTACCAATTAGAAGATAGTTATTAAGAATGTATAGACTTTTCTATAGTTACTATAATAGGCAAACCTTCAACACGAGGACGCTTGTTAGAAGATGATGATGATCCTTGCTCCTCCTCCTCCTCCTCCTCCTCATAAAGAGTCTTTTCAAGCTCTTCATAGTCTATATCTGCAGGTGGATCTTCTTCTACAATCCAAAAATCGATGTTATCTAATTGTTCATAATCAATTGGGTCTTTCGCCCACTCCTTCTTCAAGCACCTACAAGTCAAAGAAGATTAAACAATTAAGTATATGAATATGAAGTGTTAATAACTTTACAATGTTGTATACAATTTAATCATTACCTATTCTTCAACCTCAAATTATAAGTCACATAAACAAGATCATTCAATCTTTGATGCTCCAATCGATTCCTCCGCTTATTATGAATTTGGTCAAACACACTCCAGTTCTGCTCACATCCAGAAGAAGACGATGTTTGAGACAAAAGTTGAACAACAAGCTTCCTCAAATGTGGAGCATCGTCTCCAAATAGTGTCCACCATTCAGCTTTTCATTAAAACAAATTAATCTAAATAAGTATATAAACTTTGAAAACATTGTAAGCTTATAGCTAAATATGTAACAACTAACAAGTAATTAGAATTGGTTACCAGGAGGTAAAGTGGAAGTACACGAGATATCTGATTTCTTCCCAAAGCTTCCAAGCTTATCTCTAAAAAGTCTAATATCTTGCATTGCTTCTTCTATATTATCACATAGGCCTTCAGTTTCAAGAAGATCAATAAGACAAGTTTGCACACCACGCTCCTCTTATGGATGGCAATTTCGACCTGACCCGATTTACCCGACCTGTTTGACCTGTTTTGGGGCGAGGCGGGCATGGGTACCTCTCATCGACCCGACCTGACCTGCCCCATTCTCGACCCGTTCTTGCCTAAATTACATATAATATTAGTTAAATTAATTAAAATTTTTCCTCTTATTACATTATATTTTAGCTATAATAAAGTTGTAGATAAGTGAAAATCTCAATTTCTTCAATAATTTAACTACATTTTATCATATTATGGTTTCTTTCTTGGTCTTTCAATGAAAAGAACGAATATTTCTAATGTTTTTCACATAAATTACATACCCAATGGGTCGACCTGCCCCGACCCGCGCCCCTTGATAAATTACCCGACCTAGACCCGACCTGCCATGGGGTGGGTATGGGTATCGAGATACCCGCCCCAGACCTGCCCCATTGCCATTCCTAGCTCCTCTCGAACTTCCTGAGTATATTGAAAAACCAGGTTCAAATAATATGCACCTCCATAGATATCGAAGATGCTTATCCCATCTAGCATCAATTAACTTCATATATACATCAGCCCCATCTTCCATTGCCCCATAAAAGTGTTCTTGATAGTCTTCTTTATCCTCATCATTCCATCATGCACATACCCCAAAGATGGTTGCTGATCAGAATTAACTATCCTCAACAACTTCACGATTGGCAATGTCAACTTCATAATCACTAAACAATCCTGCCAGAAATTGTTATCCAAAACAATTGACTTGATGTGCTTCCCCTCTTTAGACTTTCCCAACTTGTGAGATGTAAAGAAGCTACTTGTAACAATACATAGATATATGAAAAATCACATAACTATATCAATACGTAGCTATATGAAAAAAAAATCAATCTGAACTTCTTCCACCACACATAAACAATCCAATATTCCAATCCAAATGATTACTCACAAAGGAACAATTAAACTTCAACAATTGGACCAAGAGTTGGCGGAGGCAGGGGCCAAATGCCAAATCCCAAATGTACATTAACATTTATTGCAAACAAATCCCAAATGGCCAATTGCCAAATCCAACAAAAACGTACCAAAGTAAATCGAGTTGAACGGCAGATGAGAAGAAGCTTCGATTGGCAAGAAGAAGAGGCAGGGGCGACCGAGAAGAGGCAGAGGCAAGGGTGGCCGAGCTTGAGGGAGCTCGAGGCGGAGGCAGGGACAGGAACGGCAGAGCATGAGGGATCTCGAGGCGGAGGAAGGGACAGGGACAGCCGAGCTCGAGGCAGAGGCAGGGACGACGACCTGGAGCGAAGCTGGGAAGGTCGATTCTCGCCGCTGCGCAGCAGGGAGCTGGAGATGGAGGGGCGTCAGTCGCCTGCGGGAATGGAAGGATGAGCGAGTTGCGAAGGTCGATTCTCGCCGCCGATGAAGGAAAACGAAGCTGCGCAGCAGGGAGCTGGAGCTGGAGGGGCGTCAGTCGACTGCGGGAATGGAAGGATGAGCGAGCCGCCCGCGTAGGGTTTCTTTGTGCTCTGCTTCTCGCTGCATCATTTTGCAATTTCACCCCCAATTCCAGCAAACGACGCCGCGTATTTGTAACTGCCTGCAGCCCGCAGCTCACTTGACCCGTTCGGACGGGTCAACCGCCCGGGTTCCACCGGGCTTGACCGAATTTAAGCGGGTTTGACCTGATCCAGGCTGATTGTAAATTGGGTTGGTATAGCCCGTTTTTCAGGGCGGGTCCAGGCCAACCCGCAGGTTGACAACTTTGGTCAAAAGTAAGTACAACGGCTGTAAAATGTAAATATAACTGTTGGGATTTTCAACGAGGACAACCCCATCACAGCCACCCACGTGTGACGCATCGAAAAATTCAATTAATCGAACGGCTCCACGTCTCCCACGATTGAGCTCATTTACTTCTCTACCCCTATTCTCCACTACATAACCTAACACAACCTGCCAGACTGTTCGACTTTCCCCACTTTACGTCATACGCCAACCAGAAGCTCTCTCTATCTATCTCCTCTTTCAAAGTTTCTTCCTTTCTCCTCCCTCTCTCTTATCTTCTCAATCCCTCAAAGCTTCTTCCTTTCTCCTCGCTCTGTTAATTAGATCTGGCAATTTCTACCATGTCCCTGCCAATTTCGCGTTCCTTCTTCAAAGTTGCCATTGGTCCGATATCCAGATCTCCTCCAATTATGAGATTCCTTCGTCGATCTGCGACTCCCGGCTTTTACCGACGGGATTTGCGCCGACCACCGACCACCCGATGTTAAGATTTGTACCTCCTTGTTTTATATTTTTCCTTACTTATTTTCATACTGGTCTTCTAGATCTGATTTTTTTATATATTATCACAAGACTACCGGCTCTGCCGATTTAGCCTATCGGCCACTCCCGGCTCTGCCGTTTTCGCCTATCGCCGACTCCTGGCTCTACCGATTTTGCCGATCCTAGACTCCCGCTTTTACTGACTAGATCTCATCCGACCACCGTATGGTAAGATTTGTCAGCCGTACCTTCATGGATGGCAGTAGAGAGAAGCTGCGGTGCTAGGTTTTTCTCTCTCTTGTTATTAACGTTTTGGCCTATTTGCTTTTTGTTTTTGCAACTGGTTCATGGGCCACAGTTGATTAGAGGCCGTGTTACATTGAGCCATGTCTGAGCCCACAATTCTTCCAAAACGCACAACGGGCCTCCCACATTTTCTCTGAGGTACTAACGGCTTACTTTCAAATGATTTTGTTTACAGGGCCCAAACCATGTCTGTGTTCATATATAAATGTCGCTAGTGATCGCAGCGAAGATTGAAATTCAATTTACAATTTTCAAATTTTGCCTGTCCAATTCCTTTTCAACTGGCTATTTTGCCCCTGAAACCATAGGTTCTCTTATATAAATCCTTTGCTCTAAAAACCTTTCAGATCTCAAATTCGGCGAAGGAGACTTTTCTCTATTCATACAAATCCCAGGAGTTATCTGAGCTAATGGCGATTTCTCACACTAGGGAGATGTTTGAGGGAAACTAGCAGTGCAATGTCTGCTCGAAGGTGATGTCGATGGATCTCTGTTACCGCCATCGCGAATCCCACACCAACTCATACCGTGAGGTATGTTCTTAATTTGTGCCATAGTTGTTCATACTACGATTTCTCACTCAAATCCATATTTCTCGTTATATCTTTGTGTTTGCATCTTCGTTTGCAGTGCAACGTGATTGATCTTAAGCATACTTTGATTTTTCCCTCAAATCCATAATTCTTGTTTTATCCGTGTTTGCACAACGTGAATGTTCTTAAGCATGTGCTTGGTAGCTCTGTTCATCTTGGTGGTGCTCTGAATCATGGACAAGTTATATTTAGTAACCCTTCAAGATGAAACTGTTGAATTTGTTACATTAGAGCAAAGGATTTATATAAGAGAACCTAGGGTTTCAGGGGCAAAATAGCCAGTTGAAAAGGAATTGGACAGGTAAAATTTGAAAATTGTAAATTGAATTTCAATCTTCGCTGAGATCACTAGCGACATTTATATATGAACACAGACATGGTTTGGGCCCTGTAAACAAAATCATTTGAAAGTACGCCGTTAGTACCTCAGATAATTCTCAAAATGTGGGAGGCCCGCTGGGCATTTTGGAAGAATTGTGGGCTCATGAAATGAGAGAGAAAAAGCAAAAACAAAACCGGTTGCAAAAACAAAAAGCAAATAGGCCAAAACGCTAATAAAACGAGAGAGAAAAACCTAGCACGGCAGCTTCTCTCTACTGCCATCCATGGAGGTACGGCTGACCAATCCTCCATGTGGGAAATCTGCAGAAAAAATCAGATTTAGAAGAACAGTATGAAAAAAACATTAAACAAGAGGTACAAATCTTACCATACGGTGGTCGGAGGAGATCTAGTCAGTAAAAGCGGGAGTCTAGGATCGGCGAAATCGATAGAGCCAGGAGTCGCCGATAGGCGAAAACGGCAGACCCGAGAGTGGCCGATAGGCTAAATCGGCAGAGCCGGTAGTCTGGTGATAATATAAAAAAAAATCAGATCTAGAAGAACAGTATGAAAATAAGTAAGGAAAAATATAAAACAAGGAGGTACAAATCTTAACATCGGGTGGTTGGCGCAAATCTCGTCGGTAAAAGCCGGGAGTCACAGATCGACGAAATCGGCCGAGCCATGGAATCTCATAATTGGAGGAGATCTGGATATCGGACCAATGGAAACTTTGAAGAAGGAACGCGAAATTGGCAGGGACATGGTAGAAATTGCCAGATCTAATTGACAGAGCGAGGAGAAAGGAAGAAGCTTTGTGGGATTGAGAAGATAAGAGAGAGAGGGAGGAGCTCCAATCGATGTACCTTCCTCTGCCACTCATTCTACAAGCTATTTCATAAAGTGCACCATCCAGAGTAACCACACGTTGGAAGTCTGTGTTTCCATACGCAATTCTTGTTGCCTTGCATGTTCAAAACCAGAAGTCAGTCTAGCTTTGGCATCAATTTGTTACCAGCGTCAATAGTAAATCCCAATTACATGCAACGAACCAAACTATTCTTCAGACATCATGGTAGAATTCACGAAATTGGCAAAGAGTAACAGCCACTATCAAAAAGGCATCTCCTTTGTCATTGTACAAAACTGTCTCGATACCAACTTCCAAACTAGTGAGTCATTTTTTGGCATTAACCATAAATAGCACAACCAGCAATAAAAGGAACTCATACCAGTATCATGAAAGTTGCAATTCCAAGGTTCTCCCGTCTAACAATTCAACACATGCTTGGGCTGCCGCTGTCGTCTCAACAACGATATAATCTAGTCCAACGCAGGCCGTCGATAAGGCAACATCATACTTTGCTGCAATGATATAAGCACATAAGTTATAGAAAAAGGCCTCTGGGACTTTGACCATAATGTCATAAGAAACATGCAAAAGCCTTGAACTGCTAAAGGTAGAGGTTTACAATAACAGACACCATTCACAAGACAAGTTGGACTATTGAACCTCAAAATAGAGAGAAACAATTCGTTGGTCTCTTTTAGAGCTACAAGTTCTGCTTCTTCCGGCAGTCTAATAAACAATAGCCAACGACGAAGTGACTATACCAGGGATTCAAATTATGCAAATATGGTAGATCAGATATCATTCTTGCAAGTGCAGGATACTTAGTAGAAAGTTGAAATACCAGGAAAAGGTAAAACTCACCATCAATGGCACCTAAGTTCCCCATTCTTCCTTAAATCCCCTCAATGCTTTTAGATTCTTTGGTATGTAAAATTGCTTTCAGGACAGACCCTGACTCTTTCTCTGAATATCGACTTAAGTTCTGCAACCTTCTGCCTTGCCGTTTGTTCAACTGGAATCAGTCTTTCAGGACTATCGATCTCGTCCATCACATACAATGGTGTAGGCTTGTAATGGTGGAGTGCAAAAACCAGAGCTAGGGAACTCAGCGTCTGTTAGTCAGAGATGGCAGATGTTAGTATCTTACGCCACGGGGAAAAGGCCACCGGACAAATTAGCAAAGTTCTTCCAACTTTTCTTTGGGGGCCTAACACTGAATACAACATCTTCAGAGAAAGGATCCAAAGAATCCACTAGCTCTAGCTCTGCATCACCTCCGAGTGTAATCATCTGAGTCAAATGTATCATAAGAGTAGGACATAACGAAGTAACACCATTAATGATTTGGAGTAAGTTGGCCAAGGGTGAAATACTAATGAAAGACTATTGTAGTATATTTTTGTCGAAAGGAGAGTAAGGATATATATCTCAAGAGAGGGACCTGATACAATTCCTTCAACTTTAAGGATATGGAATTGAACCCTGACAAGAACTCATCCAGCCTGCTTTCAAAAAAACAAACTGGCTTAGCTGCTGAACCAAAATGAAATAAAATACATACCACGAACATGCGTATAAAATATAACTAAGGAATGCCTTGCCTTTTGACATGGTCACGGTTCTGAGTGACTGCATTGAGCTCCTCAACTCTTTCATTATAGAGGGCAACCTTTCCTCGGTACCTGTCACAACCCAGGAAATTAATAGAGGGCCGGCCAACTTTGAAATTTATTTATGATAGGTATTGTCAGAAACATCAGTAGTGAGAACCATAAGGAAACCATACTCTGTGATCGAATCGAGATTAGGATTCATCTCTTTCAGTTGTGCTTGCAACAATATAACCATTTCCAGGGCTTTCTTCATATCACAATCCTCGGAAAGATTTCCATCAGCCAAGGTTGCTTGAAGCTTTTCAGGGTCCACAAGATCATTCTGGATTCTGCAACTAGAGAGCACGTACACACTTATTTCAGGATCATAAAAGCAAACTAAGGGTTCACCATAAACATACTGTTCCACTTGAAGGGTAATTGCATTTTGCAAGTCATTAAGCTTTTTTCTTATAGCTTGAAGTCAGCATCAACCTGACTACAATATGTAACAGTAAGCCAAGAATTCCATTCAAATTTCAAATTGAATTAAAATTGTCAAAAGCAGTTACCTCTGATGCATGCAACTCATCGACCACCTTCAATTGCTCATAATCATCCCTAGCTTTATCCAAGACTCCCTTATGTTCGTCAATTAACTGCCACAGACGTAATGAAACCAGCAAACCACACTTAAGCCACAACCAAGCCCTGGAGATCAATCAGCAAAGTTTAGCTACCAGAACTCCTGTGTTTTCTTGTACTTCTCTTGAACATCAAAGGCTTTCACTTCTATCTTTGAAAACACTTTCCAGTTTTTGTTTTTTCCTTTTCATCTTCTAGTCGTTCCTTTTCCTTCCTTGAATCTTCAGTCCCCTTCGTCAACTTCTTTATCAGTTTCTGACTTGTCTCTATTTGCACTTTATGGCGATTGATCTCAGAGCATTTATCAGCAATAGCACGTACGAGATTTTATGTAATTTCAATAATTCCAGGAGAATGATCACTTACAGAATGAATACTTCTGATTCTTCAACAATTGACCACCAGCATTTTCAATCCTGTTCTAAAGCGCCAGAGCCTGAACCAAAAAAAGAGCTTCGATAAATGATCCGCCTTCTCATTTCAGTAAAACAGCAATTGGAAAAAGAAAACCATAAAAAAACATATTTGCAAACCTTCTCTTTCAGCTCCTTTTACCCTGGCACAAGTGTATCGATCTATTTCTCCTACACAGATATAATTTTCTCAAGCTCGTCTTTCTTTAGCTGTGATGCAGCCTCCAAAGATGCAAGCTGCTTCTTAAGATAACTATGTTCCGATTTCAAACTATCAATCTGCAGAAAAACGGGTCTTACAAATTAGTTCAATTTTCTTAGCAACTCATACAAAACAAAGACTCTGATAGACACAACATTACCTCTTTCTGGCTTTTAGCGAGTTCCATCTCCAAATGTGAAACCTGCATCTTTTATGCTTGGTAATTTCTCACCACATCAGCAATTATTTTGCCAACGACATTCAATTTATCAACCAATGTTCCTTCTCTTCATTCTGCACGGCTTCTGCAGACACACTAGCAGCTCAAATCGATATACCCATCTTCCCACCCCTGGGTTTACTTCCTCCACCACTCATTGTATCAGCTGTTTCAAAGAGTGCATCATCCAGTTTAACGGTTTAACCACACATCTGAAGTATGTGTTTTCTTGTTGCCTTACATGTTCAAAACACAAGTCAGTCTAGCTTTATTTCAATTTGTTACCATCATCAATAGTAAATCCCGATTACAAGCAACAAACCAAACTATTCTCGAAATGAATATACCAGTAAACCAATGGTAGAATTCACGAAAGCTTTTAAAGCTCGAGTCGTTTGATCATACGAAAGTCCTTCTGTCATATCTTGCCACAAAGATTCGTGAAAAGTTAAAACTTAAAAAAGAATCGCATAATTTCTGATCAGATAGAGATGAAAGGAACTTCAAAGCTATATGGGCTTCAATTTTGGGTAAGGTCATAAATCAAACTGGAAAAGGTCATACATAAAGGTCTGAACTTAAGTCTACCACTTGCACCATGGAGGCATGGAGCAAAATTTATTTAATCTTTATCTGTTGCTAGAATATATATAGCGAAATATACAATAGGAAACTAGATTATACCTGGTCCAGATCCTTTGCTACGACAGTGTTTCGCAGTACAGCATAGAAAGCAACTTTCATTCTCTTATCCCGAACCAACACCAGACTCAAAAAGACGCGGAACACCATCCGGAGTGCTCACAGTTCCTGTTTGGCAGCAAGTCAACTTGTTTTTCCTGCATGAGGGAAGAGCAAAATTGCAGCTCAAAGTTCCTAAAACATAGGACCATATCCACCAGATCATACCCACACAAATTCTCCCACCAATGAACTTTATCACACAATTTTCTACAATTACTAATCAAAACGGAAACAACCTTATTCCACATTAGAAGAACACGGCAAAATTCAATCAGAGCATCAGACTAATTATATGTCTTTCATTGAGGCGACCAGTTCATCACACCAAGGTGATAAGCTTTCATATACATACCCCGAGTGTGGACAATCACGCCCTCAATATCGAGCTTCTTCCAAGCTTAGATAATAATGGCGGATTTGACATCACAGCCGCGGTTCAATGACGGAAACGGAAACGGAAACCGTCGTCTCCTTCCGGAAACCCTATTCAATATCCTTACCAGAGTGGTAAATGGCTATTCTATTTCCTTATCAGAGTGGTAAACGGTGATTGCTTCCCTCATTGAACAAACACTATTCAATATCCTTATCAGACTGGTAAACGGGAAGGTAATACTGCCGTTTGCATCCTCTATCCTAGTCAATTGGCCCTCGCTATTTGAGAAGAAAATGATACTAGGGTTTGTGGGAAGGGTTTCTCAACTAAGATCCTTCTGAGTTTTCCATTTCATTATATACGAAGTCTGTACAGAAGAGTAAAGAAGAAGCCTGTGATTAGCAACGGCTAATACACAGTAAAAGAAACAGAAAACTAAATTAACCAATGGGCTATGTACAAGTGTCCCATTAGTTAACTAACAAAGCTTTCAAATAAATGAGGCTTCTCTGGAGAATAAAACGGCGACGTTTCTAACTCTTGCTTTTGAGTAAAAGATGAACGGTGTCGTTCCAAAGCAATGCTGCGTTTTGTCCACGAAAAGGCCTCTTCCATGCAGTCTTCTTCTTCAGCAACCTTCAGAATGCAGGGGAACTCGATGATGATGAACAGGGTTGCTGCTGCTGTGGCGTAGGATCAGATAGGTTCTCCAATACGCCCCCGCAAGCTGGCAAGTGTCTACCAGACACTCCCAGCTTGGACAACAAGAAATTGAACCTGTCGATGCCCAAACTCTTAGTAAAGACATCTACAAATTGGTGATTAGTAGGTAGGTGATGAAGATCGATCATTCCATTCTGCAATCTCTCACGAATAACGTGACAACCCACCTCAATGTGCTTAGTGCGTTCATGGAATACCGGATTACGAGCTATGTGAATAGCAGACTGATTGTCACAGAAAACATTGGCAGAGTGTGAATGATCTATCCCAAAATCCTTTAACAAGCGTAGCAACCATTGAACTTCACAGTTGAGGTGAGTCATGGCTCTATACTCAGCCTCGGAAGAAGACCTCGAGACTATGCTCTGCTTCTTACTTTTCCAGCTAATCAGACTCTTGCCATGGAAGGTACAGAACCCAGTAATTGAACGCCTCGAATCAGGGCAAGTTGTCCAGTCTGAGTCACTGAAACCAACGAGCTGAATAGCAGAATCAGATGGATAAAATAACCCTTGGCCTGGTGAGTTCTTAAGGTACCTGAAAATTCGATGAAGAGCTTTGTTGTGCACAACAGTTGGAGCATCTTGGAATTGACATAATTGCTGCACAGCAAAGGTAATGTCAGGCCTTGTGCTATTCAGGTACTGGAGCTGACCAAGGAGATGCTTGAAAGTGGAAATATCCAGGTATGGTTCTCCATCAGTAGCTGAAAGTACCTGCTTCACACTAGAAGGAGTCTTGGCTGGCTTGCACTCATCAAGGTTAACACTGCCAACTACTATGTCATCCACATAAACAATGACCACGACCAGTGCACCATTCACAGTGGAAAGAAAGATAGAATAGTCTGCAAATGATTGTTGAAAACCATTACTAAGGAGAGACTCAGTGAGCTTGGCATACCACATTCGACTGGCCTGTTTCAGACCATATAAAGACTTCCTCAGTCTGCAAACCTTGCCCTTGTATTCTTTCTTATCTCTCAATCCAGGAGGCAGTTCCATGTATACAACCTCATCAAGATCACCATTAAGGAATGCATTGTTTACATCCATCTGGTGCAGGTGCCAGTTTTGAATGGCAGCAATGGCAATAAGCATTTTAACTGAAGTAATCTTAGCAACTGGAGAAAGTGTGTCACAATAATCAATCCCATAAACTTGAGTATAGCCTTTTGCAACCACTCTGGCCTTGAATCTCTCAACAGCACCATCAGGAAGAAATTTGGTTTTGTAAACCCACTTAGAGCCAATAGGCTTAACCCCTCGGGCAAGTCAGTGATGTCCCAAGTTCTGTTCTGATCAAGAGCATAGATTTCTTCATTCATAGCCCTATTCCAACGCTCATCCTTGGCTGCCTCAGCATAAGATGAGGGCTCTTGATTAGAGAGAATGGTCATGGCAAAATGTTGCTGAGATGGTGGAAGATGAGATAAATCTGCCACTGCAAGACCAGGCTTGGGTACAACATTGACTTGATGCATACCTACATAAAAGCCATCATATTTGTGAGGAAAAATAGGTACCCTTGTGGATTTCCTTAGAGGAGGAACAACAGGAGGGGAACTAGGAGAAGGAAGTGATGCAGGAGGACTATTTAGAAGGGAAGGTGCAGAAGCACTTGGGGATGGTAAAGGAGAGGAAACAGGACTTACAGCCGGAGGAGAAAAAGCTGTAGGAGTGGGATCAAGAACATGATGATCAGAAGAAGGAATAGGATCATCATCATAAAACAAAGGAGAAGCAGGAAGTGCATCAGTGGGGTGAACAGATGGACCAACTGCAGAATGGAAAGTGTCTGGTGAGTCCTTGAAAGGGAAAATGCTTTCATGGAAGAAAACATCTCGGCTGATGAAAACCTTCTTAGTGGTCAAATCAAGCATTTTAAAACCCTTAATGCCATTAGGAATGCCTAGAAAGACACACTTATGAGCTCGAGGAGCAAACTTGGTTTTATGACCAGTAACATTGGTTGCATAAGCAAGGCAACCAAAGACCCTCAAGTTCATGTAATCAGGTGGGACATGGTGTAAGATTTCAAAGGGGGATTTGTGTTGTAGAAGTGGAGTAGGGATGCCGTTGATTAGGTAAGCAGCATGTAAAACAAAGTCTCCCCAATAAGTTAAAGGTAAGCCAGATTGAAACTTTAGAGACCTGGCAACGTTTAACAAATGTTGGTGTTTGCGCTCAACTCTACCGTTTTGTTGGGCAGTATACACACAACTCATTTCATGTGCAATGCCATGAGTTCTATAGAAATCAGCTAAATGAAATTCTTGCCCCTGATCTGAACGAATCACTGTAATGGAGGTGGAGAACTGATTTTTAACCATTAAGCAAAAGGATGGAAGAATGTCTTTAACTTCTGATTTGGATTTCATGAGAAAAACCCAAACAGCACGACTGTGATCATCAACAACAGTCAACAAAATAAGAAAAACCTTCTCTAGATAAAATGTTTAATGGCCCCCAAATGTCTACATGCACCAAATCAAAGGGAGCAACACTGACAGGGTTACTAGTAGGAAAGGGTAAACACTTCTGTTTTGACAAATGACACACCTCACAATGCTTGTTTAAAAATAAAGAAACATCATTACAAGCTTCCTTAACTACTCTCATTCTGGACAGAGATGGATGTCCTAATCTGGCATGCCAAATATCATAATCCTGGCATGAGGAATGGTGAACTCCTGGTGCAAAACGTCGAGGGGAATCAAGGGAGGCAAACTGCTGGGATGGTGAATCAGAGAACAGGTATAAACCTCTATCCACCTGGGCTAAACCAATCCTCCTCCGAGTAATAAGGTCCTGAATTAGACAAACATTGGATTTGAAAACCAATGAGATTGGATGATTTTTGGTGAGTCTACTTACAGAAACAAGATTGTAAGTAAAGGTTGGAACAAATAAGACTTGAGTAAGAAATAATCCACAAGGTAACCTCACTATTCCTATGTGAGTTGCATTCACATGATGGCCATTAGGTAAGGTAACATTCACATCTATAATAAGTTTGCTCTTAATGAAAGAACAGATGTCACAGATGATATGATCTGTGGCACCAGTACCAAGAATCCAGACTGTTGGTGGAAATGGTGTAGGCAAACCAGAAGAGGAATGAGTACTTGAAGTGCTGGCAGTGAAATGAGATGGCTGTGGTGCTGGTGCTCTGACCACAGCATTGGCATGATGAACATGTGGGGAGGGAGGAGGTGATGGAGATGGTGAGGGTGAACTGATCAACATGGCTTTGAGCTTGTCAAGTTGATCAGGAGTAAAGAGAGTAGATAGGCTATCAGTAGATAGTCTGGAAGGGCCACCAGTTCCACCACTTTCACTTCCTGTGGACTCAACAGCTCCAGCAAAGGGACCACCATCAGTACCTTCTCTAGCCTTCTTGTTCTTAAGTCTGAAACACTCCTGAATGGTGTGATTTTCCTTCTTGCAGTATCTGCACCACTTTTTCCCATCAAAAGTGTAATCACGAGGATTCCTTCCCTGAGGGGATTGCTTAGACTGAGACTGAGCCTGAGAACCATGAGCTAACAATGCCAATGAGTTAACACCAGATTTGGCAACATTAAGACCCTTCATCTACCTTTCAAGTTGAACCATCTGCTTGAAAACAGACTCTATGCTAGGCAGCTGAGGATTCATTAAAACTTGTGTACGAGCATACTGGTACACATCATTCAGACCTTGCATAAATTTGATGATGAAATCGTGATCCTGGTATCTCTTGACTGTGTAGTAAGGACTATTAGGGCAGGGACAACATGTAATGGGCCTGTACATAATATATTCCTGCCACTTAGTAGTAAGAGCAGTATAGTACTGAGTGACAGAAAGATCCCCTTGAACACATTTAGCAATTTGCTCCTTCAATTCATACACTCGAATATTATCCTCCTGACCAAATCGATCTCTCAAATTGTCCCAAACATCCTTAGCTACCTTAAATGGAACAACACTGTGGGCTATATCATCAGACAAAGAATTATAAAGCCAGCATCTCACAGTGCTATCACAACGATGCCAAGATTGCCAAGTTGGGTCACCCCTGTTCGGCTGAAGAATGGCTCCATTCACAAATTCCAATTTGTTCTTAGTACTGAGGGCTAATTCCATTACCTGACTCCAGAGGTTGTAATTCTGGTCGGTCAACTTCATAGAGATGATGGTGGTCAAGCCGCCATCGTGAGGAGGCAGGTAATAGGGATTCAGCTAAGGATCCTCGTAACGGTGTTGTTGAGCTGAAGTGTGAAGAGATCCGCCAGGTGGGAAAGCAGCACTGGAAGCTCCAGCACCATTTAGAGGGATTGTGGTTTGAGGCGGCGGATCTTGAGTGGTGAAATCGGTCGATTCTGAACCATAAGAAGCAGCACCATCGACGCCAGTCACTGGATCAGCCATTGCGGAAGAATGCTATGAAAACGATTCATGACTAGCAAGAAGAGTCGAGAGAGGGAGAGACCTAGTTGCTCGAGCAACCAGGCTCTGATACCATGAGAAGAAAATGAGACTAGGATTTGTGTGAAGGGTTTCTCAACTGAGATCCTTCTGGGTTTTCCATTTCATTATATACGAAGTCTGTACAGAAGAGTAAAGAAGAAGCCTGTGATTAGCAACGGCTAATACACAGTAAAAGAAACAGAAAACTAAATTAACCAATGGGATATGTACAAGTGTCCCATTAGTTATCTAACAAAGCTTTCAAATAAATGAGGCTTCTCTGGAAAATGGAACGACGACGTTTCTACTCTAACTCTTGCTTCTGAGTAAAAGATGAACGACGTCTTTCCAAAGCAACGTTGCGTTTTGTCCACGAAGAGGCCTCTTCCCTGCAGTCTTCTTCTTCAGCAGCAACCTTCAGAATGCAGGGGACTCGATGATGATGAACAGGGTTGCTGCTGCTGTGGCGTAGGATCATATAGGTTCTCCAATACTATTAATCAGTCATCGATCATGTCGCGATCGCGTAACTTACCAGTCTCTACCAGCAATGTCCCATGGCTGGTCGTTTTCCACGACAAGAACCAGACTTTCTATTCAACGGGAACGGCAGATCCCGACTGCAAGCGAACCCATGTCCCTCGTCGTCGCCAGATAGCTGAATTTCCCGAGCGCAGCGAGATCTTTGAGCACTCCCCGTTCGGCTGGTTAATCTTTGCGCGTGTAATTACGGCTCCATTTAAGGCGACTCTCTTGACTTTGCTGAATCCTGCCACGCTTGAGGTCATTAAACTACCCAAACTGAATGGCGCCGGCTTCTACATCGCAGTATTGACGCTGCCCCCAACCCATCCCAACTGCAGAGTCATAGTGTGTTAGAAACCAATTTCTGTAGGGTTTCTCTATTTATTAATATAATTATTATTAGGATAATTATCAATAAGGTTAGTAGTCATTTAATAGAATTAGGTTATTATTAGGGTTTTCCGGTATTTCCTATATAAATGTACTTTGGGGTCTCCATTCAGAAGCAATCAGAAAAGAATTAAGAAAAGTCTATCTCCCTAAACCCTATTCGCTCCCAATTCCTCTCAATTTCTCCTCTATCCATAATCCGGCCGTCGGCCATTCTTTCTCGTTCTTCCCCAAATTCTACTTCTTAATCCCTAATTCTATTCTTCAAATCCCTAAATCCCCAATTATCAATCCCGTTAGAAACTTTGTTTCTAACATCTGGTATCAGAGCCTGGTTCGAGAATTGAGTTCACCACAACTCTCAACTGGGGACGAGTTCTACAACTGGTTCGAGGATGAGCTCTTCAAAGCTCTCGAACCTGTCGTGGGCAGAGCTGCGTGACCGGGTTCACCGCATCGGCCGTCGTTGGAGCTCCGAGGAGCTACCGACCGGGACTGCCACCACAGCAGAAGAGCAACTGTCGGTTGTGCAGGTTGACTTAGAGGGTGAAGTTGAGAGGCGAGCAGAGCAACCAGACGTGGAAGAGGTTTTGGCAATCGAGCCGCCAGCCACGAAAGAGCTTCCAAACGTCACCAACAAACAGCAGCAGCTTCCGACAGCATCGGTCACCACGACTGCGACTTCACTACCAACACTGTTTGCAGCGGTTGAACAATCATCCAAGGATGCCGATGGTACTTTCGCGGTCGTGAGTGAAGAAGAAGGTGATCCTGCTTCTTCCATCCTTGTTCCCGACAGTGAGAAGACCAACGCCTTGGAAGAAGAAACCCAAACCGAGGGTTTGGAGAGGAGACCAACGCCGCGTCATGTAGCGAGCTGGCGGTCTCGGAAGAAGCCGAAGACGGACGAAGAGGAGTCCGGGGCCGCCACGTCGGCCATCCCTACTACACCGAACGACATGGGGGGCTCGCCCATGTCGCCGCCAGCCACAGTCAAGGAGGTCTATTCGTCAATGGAAGCTGGGATGGAAACGAAGATGGCATCGCCGGGTAACGACTCGAAGGATTCGTCGGCGAACGAAGTGGACGAGGATGGCTTTCTCCCTCTCCCGAGTGAGGGCGAGTTACAGTCATCGTTGGAGAAGAAGCCGCTAGAAGACGAACCATCGTCGGAGAATGAGATGGATTCGGGTTTAGCTTTTCGCGGCCTGGTGTTCTCGTTGCCTCCGCGTGAGGACTCGAAGAAGGTGGGCGGCGCGCTCGGGGATAAGAACTCGAAGACTAGACCGTTATCGGGCTGGCATTCGTGTCGTCTGGTGAGCTGCTCGCCGTCGGGAATGAGGTCGGAGATGGTTCTGCCGGCGAAGGATGGGGAGGAAGGCGACGCGACAAGGAATAAAAAGAAGGAAGAAGTGATGGAGCTAGTGACAGCGGCCTGGCCGTGGAAGAGGACGGAGCTTCGAGTCTTGCTCGAAACGCGGCGATCGACAGCTTCTTCCGTCAGGGCGATGAACGAGGAAGAGACGAAGGTGGGGGCTGATCTGGTGAGAGACTCACCAAAGGACACGGTGGCCACCCGTCGGGATTCGTCGCCGGCAACTCACGGAGAGATTGTACCGCTGCAATCAACGCCGGCTCAAGCCTGGGTGTTAACCACCGAGAAGATACCGTTGCCGGAGAAGAAGGAGAAGGGTCTATCGATGCCGGAGATGGAGTCGAAAGGGCAGAAGGCAGCGGCGGATTCGGGCTGGCTTCCTCCCCGTTGGCAGGATCGCGCGCAGCCGACAAGAGCGAAGAGGTGGGAGGCCAGCGGGTTTCCTTCCTCTGAAACCCTAACCCGCCGAAGCTTGGGGTGGGTCGGGCTCTCAATGGGCCGCAGCGGTTGGGCCACACCACCTGACGAGATTGGATGTTCTTTAGTGATCTTCGGGCCGCGTTCTGGGAAGAAGCAAGCTGAGGGTTTGAGTGCGGGCCGGAGCTTGGTTTTCAGTGGGCCGAGAAGGATTGGCGGTGTGGGCCAGGGAATCCAAAGGAAGCAGTGAGTTTAATCACCAAATATGGGCTTGAAACCTTGGAGAGCATTGGGCCAATAATGGGTGGGCCGACTAGAGCTCTTGTGTGTGTGGTGAACTTGGAAGAAAAAGGAGATGGATTTATTAAATTGATAGGTGGGCTCTCAATTCATGGGGTGGCTCCACGAAAATTGTTTGAAGGTCTCGAGGAATTGGTAGACAAGGATCGATTCTTGTACAAGGAAGAATTCTTAAATTCCTTAAGTTGTTGGAGGGTGAAGCCAACGGAAGAGGAGCCGTCAAAGTTTGAGTTTGTCAAGGAAGCAAAGAATGGGCTCATGCTAATGAAATTCGAAAGGGCGGCCCAACACGAGAAGGTCGGCGCAAGAGGTCTAAGTGAAGAATTGGAGCACGATTGGAAGAAACGAAAGCGCAGGAAATGGAGTCAGGGTGCAGAGTGCGCGAGAAGGAATGAAGAGTGGGTCAAGTGGTTCAACCTTGAGGGCAAGGTTGGTCTGAAGGGGGAAGAGATGTTAGAAACCAATTTCTGTAGGGTTTCTCTATTTATTAATATAATTATTATTAGGATAATTATCAATAAGGTTAGTAGTCATTTAATAGAATTAGGTTATTATTAGGGTTTTCCGGTATTTCCTATATAAATGTACTTTGGGGTCTCCATTCAGAAGCAATCAGAAAAGAATTAAGAAAAGTCTATCTCCCTAAACCCTATTCGCTCCCAACTCCTCTCAATTTCTCCTCTATCCATAATCCGGCCGTCGGCCATTCTTTCTCGTTCTTCCCCAAATTCTACTTCTTAATCCCTAATTCTATTCTTCAAATCCCTAAATCCCCAATTATCAATCCCGTTAGAAACTTTGTTTTTAACATAGTGGCCCACAAGAAAGATCCAAAGCTTGCCTATTGCAAACCAGCTGGTGGTCTAAACAATTGCTGGACAGTACAAACTTTTCACGCCGTCAGGAACTTCTTTTGACGCCTCGAAGTTCGGCAAGGGGCCGCGTACGCAATCACAGACAAAGACGAGTTGTTTGCTATTGAGGAAGATTTAAGCAGAGGAAGCAAAAGCCAGCTGGTGGTGTCAAGCTTGCTAAAGAACGGGCTAAGGCCTATGTTAAACACCTCTACTTTCGACCACCGGCTGGTTGAGTCGGGCGGGGAACTTCTTCAGTTACTAATTTGTATGCGGGGGACTGGTCAATATGACGTTGAATTCTTGCAAGTTTACAAGTTGACCAGGTCGAGGTCGTTGTCGGCATCATCATCATCATCGTCATCATACTCGTGGGTTCAAGTGAAGAGCTTGGAGGGACGAGAAATCTTTGTCAGTCGTCTTAGCGCTTTCTCTTGCAGCCCCAAGCCAGGCCAAAAAGGACCCAAACCCAATTGCATCTACTTTTTTCAACATGGTTACCGAACCATTGCTTTTGATGTGGAAACAGGCCAATCATCACTCTTCTTGCTCGCTCCTCCTAAAGTAGACCTCTACCCTGACTCTCCAACATTCTCCATTGCCTTTCTCAGCTACGATCGCGGCCAAACTATGACTGCTACACGCCATGGCAGCTCGGGTTTTGCTGGACAACTCTGTCGTCGTAAAGTTGAGAATTTTGGCACGCACCAAGTCATCGGGAGAAGAATGGTTGGTGGAAAGTCAAGACTTTAGGATCCTACATGGTATTCGTGAGGGGACGGGATACGGTGACAACCCCTAGGGGGTTGTCAGATTCACAACTAAGGGTATTTTGGGTATGAAAAAAAAGAATATATTAATTACCTCTTTTGTATTAATTATATTGGGAATTAAAAATCCAAATTAAATACAATTTTTTCTGAAATTTAAATCATATACATTAATATCTCTATCTATCTCTCTCTCTTTCTTTCTCCAGCAGCCACTCCGCATCGACCGACAAACTTTTTCTCCGGCGAATTCTCTCCGGCAGACTCCCTCCGGCAACCTGAAAAAATGTACCAATGCGTTAAAAAGTGTACCAATCTATTAGTCTACTGGTAATTAATATACCAGTGCTAGTGGTACGCTACCAGTACGTTAAAAAATGTACCAGTACTAGCGGTACCAGTAAAAAATGTACCAGTACTAGTGGTATGCTACCTGTACAACGCTACCAGTAGAGAATAACACAACGCTACTAGCACTGGTAGCGCTACCACTAGCATTGGTAACGGTACCAGTAGAGAATAACACAAAAAAAAAAAACAGATGATAGTGGTACCAGATGATCGGGGAGCCACTGGTATTGGTACCAGTGAGTAGTGGTAGCGTACCAATAGCGTTACCAGTGGTATTGATACCAATAGTGCTACCAGTGGTATTGGTACCAGTAGAGACTATCAGATCTGGAAAAAAATAGGGATGAGGAAAGAGGGAGGCAGGGAAGAGTCTTGACCTCGCGGCGGCGGGGTCAGCGTGGTACGACGGTAGGCGCGGCAGGGCGGAGGACAGCGGCGCGGCAGGGGGAGGACAGCGGCGTGGGCGGCGGCGGGGACAGCAGGCGCGGTGGTGGGAGGGCTGTGGCGGCGGAGAGAGGGGGAGGAGAGACGGTGATGTCTACGGGAGAGAGGGAGGAGAGAGAGAGGGAGGATGGAGGAGTTAGGGTTTTTGTTCTTTTTATATGGTAGGGTGAATGATTGGGTGTGGTAAATTTTTACCCTTCCAAAAATATCATTCCTTTAATCTTAACCGTTAATTTATAATAAAAAAAAAAGACAGGAGAGAGAGCGTATCCAAGGGCTATGAAGTGGGTTGTGAATCTGACAACCCCCTTAGGGGTTGTCACCGTATCTCGTCCCTATTCGTGAGTCACACCTCGTGTTTCTCCATTGCGGCGACAATCCCCAGAATGGGAAATAAAATATACTTTCCCAGAGTGTCGGTTGAAGGAAACATTGTTTTCTATTCGCTGGATACCTGCAAATATCACACATTTGACGGTAACGAAAGTGTGATGGATGGTTTCCAACGAACTAGCGAATTTCATCTATGTGGTTGGATAGAGCCTAGTTCAGAAACATAAGCTTTTTTATGTGTTATTGCTGAAAGGCCAGTAGCTATCTTGTTGAGTAACGTTTGTATTATATATAGTAGTATATTTCATATTGCCTTATACGGTTTACGCATATTGCTAATAGCTTTCTTACACCGTAGAGTTCCTCTGCTAAGGGACTAGCTCTTGCTCTGCCCACTAATAAATAGGCCATATGCTACTTACTCCATTGTGACGATCTCAAGAAGAGAAGGTTGTTGTCTCCAGAGTTAGACACTGTGATTAGCCCCACTGGAAAAAAGGTCATAGCTCTAATTGGAGCATTACACATTAACAAAATCCGTAGAAGCTTTCAATTTGTTCAAAAATATCATATAGTAGGCACACAAGCATGGAATCGAAGGAAACGCAGTCTATTAATGGCAAGTAGTCTGTTCGGTTTTGTTAACCTAAAAGTGTAGAAGTGTAAATTTTTAATTTTTAAAGCGCGAATTTGATTACATTGTTTATGGTTAAAGAAAACTATACATTGCAAAGTTAGACCCGAGTTGGTATAATCTCATGATCATTCCTTAACGATAAAAGGAAAAAGGCTTTAGGAAATAATTTTGTTGGCTACGGGTTCAGCCTTTGAACTACTAGATAAAAATAGTGATCTATCTTTCATATGTTTAATAGAATCCTTACTCAGTATTCAGTTATAAACTTCAAAAATGCTAATAAACAGTATGGCAATAAATATCTAGTTGATATCATTTGCATTCTAAGAGTTACATTTGTTACTTTGTACACAGAAGAGGAACGACCATAATCAAACAGTCTTTTCACTCACTGCAAAGCTCCTGGGATTTATGGTGATGCTTTTAGTGCAGTTATCCGTTTTGTAGATCCCGACGAGCCGATCAGCCAACTCGAACATGTTGTTCCTAAGACTGCAAAAGATAAGGCAACAGGTCAAAGTATTGCAAGTCAGATGCTACTTGCTAGAGTATCAAGGTTCTAAACAGTTATGCCCAGGTGACACAGAAAGGAAACAAACATTGAAGCCCAAAACAAACCAAAATGAACATGGTTAACGTACCTGATGATGACAAATTGAGCATCCTTCGTGCGGTCCTTGACGTAGTGCCCTACAATCGAGACGTTCTTGAAGTCTGAATGTCCAAGTGAGTGAAATAACCAAGTTAAAAAGAAGAATGGATGTGAGAGAAGCATTGAAAAAGGCTGTCAATAAGGGAATGTGATCGTAGGTTACCTAGCGCAGCATCGATCTCGTCCATCACATACAGTGGTGTAGGCTTGTAATGGTGGAGTGCAAAAACCAGAGCTAATGAACTCAGAGTCTGGAAGTCAGAGATAACAGATGTTAGTATATTCGACCACGGGGAAAAGACAACGACTATTGTGACTCGACCGAGGTCAGGTTCATGGATCTAGCAGCCAGATAATAGTAAAAACAAGAATGGAAATTAACCTTTTCACCACCGGACAAATTAGCAATGTTCTTCCAGCTTTTCTTTGGGGGCCTGACACTAAATACAACACCTTCAGAGAAAGGATCCAATGAATCCACTAGCTCTAGCTCTGCATCACCTCCGAGTGTAATCATCTGAGTCAAATGTGTCAACAGAGTCAGCCATAACTAAGTAACATCAGTAGTGATTTGGAGTTGGTTGGCCAAGGGCGAAATACTAATGAAAAATACTGTTCTAGTATATTTTTGTTGAAGGGAGATAAAGGATATCTCAAGAGAGGAACCTGATACATCTCCTTCAACTTTAAGGATATGGCATTGAACCCTGCCATGAACTCATCCAGCCTGCTTTCAGAAAAGATACTGGCTTTAGCTGCTGAATCAAAATGAAATATAATGCATACCAGGAACATGGGTACAAAGTATAACAAAGGAATCCTAGCCTTTTCTTTCTCAATTCGTCATGTTGCCTTTTCACATCATCACGGTTCTGAGTGACCGCATTGAGCTCCTCAACTCTTTCATTATAGAGGGCAACCTTTCCTCGGTACCTGTCACAACCCATGAAATTAATAGAGGGCTAACTTTGAAATTAATTTATAATGGGTATTGTGAGAAACATCAGTAGTGAAGAACCATAACTAAACCATACTCTGTGATCGAATCAAGATTAGGATTCATCTCTTTCAGTTGTGCTTGCAACAATGTAACCATTTCAAGGGCCTTCTTCAGATCACAATCCTCAGAAAGATTTCCATCAGCTAAGGTTGCTTGAAGCTTTTCAGGGTCCACAAGATCTTTCTGGATTCTGCAACAAGATAGCACGTACGCACTTATTTCAAGATCATAAAAGCAAACTAAAGGTTCACCACTTAAACATTAAAATAAACTTACTGTTCCATTTGTAGGGTAATTGCATTTTGCAAGTCATCAAGCTTTTTCTTATAGCCTTTGCCTCTCATTTCCAGCTCCTTGTATCCTTTCTTCATATCTTTTAGCTTGAAGTCAGCATCAACCTGACCACAAAATGTAACAGTCAGCCATGAATTCCATTCAAATTCCAGATTGAATTAAAACTGTCAAAAGCAGTTACCTCTGATGCACGCAACTCATCGACCACCTTCTTCAATTGCTCATATTTTTCTCTAGCTTTATCCAAGACTCCCTTATGTTCGTCAATTAACTGCCATAGAAGTAATAAACCACACTTAAGCCACAACCAGAATGTGGAGATCCATCAGCAAAATTGACTACAAAAGTTTAGCTACCGGACCTCCTGTGTTTTCTTGTACTTCTCCTGAACATCAAAGGCTTTCACTTCTATATCTTTGAAAACACCTTTCAGTTTTTCCTTTTCATCTTCTAGTCGTTCCTTTTCCTTCCTTGAATCTTCAATCCCCTTCGTCAGCTTCTTGATCAGTTTCTGACTTGTCTCTATTTGCACTTTATGGCGATTGATCTCAGAGCAACTTCTATCGATATCCTAATAAATAGAAAGAGCATTTATCAGCAATTGTACGAGACTCTTTAAGAAATTTCAATATTTCAAGGTGAATGATCACTTACAGAATGAATACTTTGGACCTTTATCTTCTGATCCTTCAACAATTGACCACCAGCATTTTCAATCTTGTTCTGAAGCGCCAGAGCCTGAAACCAGAAAAGAATTATCCACCTTCTCATTTCATTAAAGCAGTAATTGGGAAAAGAAAACCAAGCAAAACATATTTGCAAACCTTCTCTTTTAGTTCCTTAGACCCTTGCATAAGTCTATCAATCTCTTTCTCCTCTGCAGATATCATTTTCTCGAGCTCTAGCAGCCTATCAAGCTCGTCATTCTTTGGCTGTGACGCAGCCTCCAAAGACGCAAGCTGCTTCTTAAGATAACTATGTTCCGATTTCAAACTATCAATCTGCAGAAAGAAAAGTTATTACAAAACTACTTCAGTTTTCTTAGCAACTCATACAAAACAAAGACTATGATAGACAGTTAGACACAAGATTACCTCTTTCTGGCTTTTAGCGAGTTCCATCTCCAAATGTGAAACCTGCTTCTCTGCTGCTTGGTAATTTCTCACTTCATCAGCAATTCTTTTTCCAGCGGCATTCAATTTCTCAGCCAATGTAGAGAGTTCATTTTCTTCATTCTGCACGGCTTCTGCAGACACACTAGCAGCTCGAATCGATGTACCCATCTTCCCACCCCTGGGTTTACTTCCTCCACCACTCATTGTACCAGCTGTTTCAAAAAGAGCACCATCCAGCGTAACCACACGTCGAAAGTCTGTGTTTCCATACGCAATTCTTGTTGCCTTGTATGTTCAAAACAGAAGTCAGTCTAGCTTCATTTCAATTTGTTACCAGCATCAATATTCAATAGTAAATCCCAATTACATGCACCGAACCAAACTATCCTTGAGATGAATATACCAGTAAAACGTACATAACACCATGGTAGAATTCACTCAATATTTTAAAACTTTAGTAGTTTCATCATACGAAAGTTAATAAACTAAAGTGGCAACAAGATCAATCACATGGAAATTCACTATTTAGGTAGCTAAGATCTACTCAAAGATGATACAGTTCTGACAAATTGAGTTCCTTCAGCAATATCTTGCCACAAAGATTCGTGTAAAAATAAGACTTTACAGAAACACATAAATTCTGATCAGAGAGAGATGAAAGGAACTTCAAAGCTATTTTGAGATAGGTCATGCCAATATCAAACTGGAAAAGATCGTGTATAAAAGGTCTGAACTTAAATCTACCAGTTGCACTATGGAACCAAATTTATTACATCTTTAACTGTTCCTATAATATATTGCAAGAGATAGAATAGGAAACTAGATGATACCTGATCCAGATCCTTTGCTATGACAGTGTTTCGCAGTACAGCATAGAAAGCAACTTTCATTCTCTTATCCTGAATCCTCACCAGATCAAAAAGACGTGGAACACTCTCGGGAGTGCTCACAGTCTCATTCATTTTTGGCAGTAAGTCAGCTTGTTTTTCCTGCATGAGTGAAGAGCAAGATAGCAGCTCAGAGTTTCTAAAAATTCAGACCATATCCTCTCCCCCCAATGGACTGTATCACATTATTTTCTCCAATTACTAATCAAAACTGAAACAACCTTATTTCACGTCAGAGGACATAATACAGCACACTTCCAAATAATTATAACCCAAATAGTAAATTTGATGAAGAACAAAATTGGCAAAGAGGAACAGCCACTATCAAAAAGGTATCTCCTTTGGCATTGTACAATAATGTCCCCATACCAACTTCCTAACTAGTGAGTCGTTTTTTGACATTAACCATAAATATCGCAACAAGCAATAAAAGAAACTCATACCAATATCATGAAAGTTGCAATTCCAAGGTTCTCCCGTCTAAGCAATTCAACACATGCTTGGGCTGCCGCAGTCGTCTCAACAACGATATAATCAAGTCCACCACAGGCTGTTGATATGGCAACATCATACTTTGCTGCAATGATATAAGCACATAAGTTATAGGAAAAGGCCCCTGGGACTTTGACCATAATATCATAAGTAACGTGCAAAAGCCTTGAACTGCTAAAGATAGAGGTTTACAATAACAGACAACATTCACAAGACAAGTTGGTCTATTGAACCTCAAAATAGAGGTAAACAATTTGTTGGTCACTTTTAGAACTACAAGTTCTGCTTCTTCCGGCAGTCTAATAAACAATAGCCAGCAGCGAAGTGACTTTACCAGGAATTCAATCTACGTAAATATGGGCGATCAGATCTCATTCTTGCAAATGCAGGATACTTAGTAGAAAGTTAAAATACCAGGGAAAGTTAAAACTCACCATCAATGGCACCTAAGTCCCCCATTCTTCCGTATATACCTTCTATGCTTTTAGATTCTTTGGCATGTAAGATTGCTTTCTGGACAGACCCCTGACTCTTCTCTGAATCAATGATTGACTTAAGTTCTGCAACCTTCTGCCTTGCCGCTTGTTCAAGTGGAATCAGTCTTTCTTGTTCTTTGATGCACTCCTGCAAAGGATGGAAGTTTTAGCACCAGGTGTCTAGTCAAGGACAAGAAACGGTTGGAACTAAGTTCAGATAGTAATCAAAAGCACAAACTTGCTCAGTTTTATGAGATTCTGATGCTTCAATCTTCTTTTGTTCAATTTCACTTCGCAACTTCTCAATGTTCGCTGTTTTTGCTCCAATTGTTAAATTTATGCTGTCCATCTGCTTACGTGCATTCTCAAAGGCTGCATGACCAGCTTCATGCTGCAATAATTTACAGAGGAATATTAAGAAACTATATCACAAGCTTGAAAACGAAATCACTAAAAATGAAAAAATAATGGTCAATTTGTAGAATTTGAAATAATCTGTTTGACCAAGAGAGACCATCTTAATTCAACGCATTCTGGCTGGTCACACTTTTTTGTATAACGGTTGCTGCTCATATTGTTAAACAACAATCTGACAGTGCTCTTCAAATAAGCAGGTCCTGCCAGTAAAAATATCACTAAGAAAAGGCATGCGGGACCAATATGCAGAAATCAGGGGACTTCTGAGCAAATAAACCAGATTTGCATACTGTCTCGAAAACCAAGACAAAGTTACCTTATCAGTCAAAAGCTTGCTCTCTGTGCGAGCAACTTCAAGTTCCCCTTTGTGATCAATCAGTTGCTTCTCCCAAGGTTCTAATTCAGCACGAACTTTTGCAAGCTCGGAACGGTACGCCTCCGCTTCACCTATTTACATTAATTAACAAGCCAAAAGACCCAGAAAATAAAATAAATGTCCAAGCTCCATGCCTCACAGTCTGTTAGTGTAACTACTGATGAATTGATACTTTTAACAACCATGTACAATTGTGGGTGTAACCAAAATAAGGCAGTTTGAATACGAGAACAAAGGAATTAATACAGCAGAACATACTCGTCTTTAGCATCTCAGTTTGACATGATCCGAAAATTGTGATCTAAGGGACAAAGTCAGCTATAGCATGCCCTTTTCCTAATGAGTGAACTCCTAGAAACCATCCAATATATTATTGCAGGAACAATGCTTGAATGTAGAGTTACTTTTCATCAGATAATGGAGGTAGAGAACAACCTTTAGAACGCTCTTTTATGTCTTCCAATACTTTCTCCTCTTGTGACAAAAGATTTTGCAGCTTTGGGACTTTATCTTCCAGTTGTGGGATCAAATTTGTTGATTCCCCGCACTCCTTAGTCAGATCATTGATTTTTGAGGAGTCCTGTTAAGGGATCAGAAGTTAGGAAGTGCCCTTTTCCTCTTGAACTTACACACATGCGTACCTTTTCAAGTTTGTCATCAAGCTTCTTGATCTTCTGTTTCTTGTGCTTCAAATCCTCCCGGTACTTAACATCCTGTCTTTCAAACTCCCGGAATTTATCTTTGCAGGTTTTGAGATCATCGTTTAGTTCCTGCATATGAGAAAACTTGAGCAACATACCCAGAAATATACGATAAATAGCATAGAAAATAGGATAACTGATAGACATAAGTTTTTCAACATCAACAATGAACGGGTCACTACGTATACTTCTGGAATTTGTGCCAAACTGTAATGATGGTTATGCAAACCTCGTGTCTTTTCATGTACTTATTGTGCACAGTTTCAAGCTCCTTCAGTGTCGTGTTACTCTCTTGAATCTTCCCTCTAGACAGAATTTGCAGAGAGATATTAAGCTCCATGGGTTATCTTTGGTTCAATTGGGAAAAATGCATAAAATGTTTGTCAACGCATCAACCTGTCAGACTTCAAGCTTTCTTCAAGGGTGGATATGTTAGTTTCTACTTCAACCATTTTGGTAGAGGTATCTTCAAAAGCCAATTTAGAGGCTTTCTCTTGCCACTTCAGGTGGGATAGCTCTTTAAGCATGTAGTTCTCTGCTTCGTTCTTCACATCCTATTCAACAGAAGACAAATAGCTAAGTAGTTGAATGTACTTGTGCAAACTAAAGAACAGCAGCAGGTACACACCTCCAACCCATCCCTTTCTTTCTCAGCTAGCTTTACCATTTGAACTACTCCAGATCTTTTATCATTAAGAGCCTCCAACCTACAAAGCAAATTTGAATACATAATAAGTCAGGAAGTACTTGCCACCACCTAATAAGTTTCACTGGACCATCCAGCAAATACTGCAGACAACCAATTAGTTGCAAGATTTTAGTCCTCAAACTATATTCTTACAAACGAAATCAGCAAAATATACCACTACCTTTATCATTATAATGGCTAAGTAGAAGTGGCATAACAAACGGTCTCCTGTATAGAAATTTACAGGTCGTTTACAAGTTGCGATTCTTAAATTGATGTATTGTTGTGAATGCATGTATAGTATTATACAAGTATTGTCAAATTTGATGCATTAAAAAATACAACGTTTAGTATGTGTGATTGTGTTTGTCAAATCAGCTAAAAGCTAAGACAAAACAATCTCAACTCAACTATCACAAAAATCGCAACTAAAAGCTGAGAGATACAATCACTCATTTTGAGTGATAGTTTCTGTCACATCACAGAAACAATCCATCGATTATTTCTGCTAAAAAATCAAAAAAAGATTCATTCTAAACAATACATGTATTCATGTATAGTAACAATCTCATCAAAACAATCGCAACTTCCAAACGACCCCTTACTTTACGTTTTCTAAACCATATATACCATGTAATTGGATGTTACGCTCCTAATCTTTCTGGAAGCGTTATTCTACAATAATTTATACCAGAGACCACTGGAACTCCTAACTTAAACTAACTATAACCAGAATGCAGATACTACTCCAAACACAAATTATCAAATGCAGGTTTTAGTATCATAGAGATGGGGAAAATTAGAATATGCTGTCATTATCGAAATGTACTCACTCCTTGGATGCCTCGTCTATTTTCTCTACATATTTGTTAGTCCCAATAATGTCTTCCAAGTATTCAAGAAAACCTTCATCATGAGGACCTTGAGCTTTTGGCTTCATCAATGAGATCTGCTCAACTTCACCCTAATCATGAAAAGCGAAAGTCGCTTTTAGAAATGTCAGAAAACAAACTCCTAGACTCAAACATGACAGACAAGTAGGAAAACAAACCTGAAGAATCAAAAACCGGTTGTTATCAAGGTCCACTCCTTTTTCTTTAAGTTTTTTTGTGACTTCTGTAAAATTACTCGAGCGGTCATTGATATAATATTTTGATGAGTTATCCCGAAATGCAACTCTCTTAATCACAAAATCACTTCCTGGAACAGCCTCGTAGTTACCATCATCCTATAAAGAAAATGTAGTTAGGCCATCAATGCTTGTAAATGCCAGGAAATCGTAAGAGCAAATATCTTTTCCTATTAACTCATACAACAAAACCATAGAGCAAGAATAAAAGATTAGGGAAGCTTACCAGGTCAACGATCTCCTGGAAGTGCACAGAAACAGCAGCACTGCTCAAATTCTGGTGATTTGTGGAGTTGTGAATAAGCTCCGAAACTTTGTTAAGCCTCATCTAGACAACTCAATTTCAACACAAGAAGATGGTTAGTCCCAAATCAAAACCTCCCTAACCACTTACTGTTTTCCTGAATCCTCCAAGTCAAATGCATATACAGTTTCTAGTCCCAAAAATGTGCTAATTTCTGCAATCTCAATTATTCGACATGAAAGAATTTGAAGGTACCTGCTTTGCTCGCTTCCCAAACACGAACAACATTGCATCTATCACGTTGCTCTTCCCACTTCCGTTGGGTCCAACCACTGCAGAGAAACTCTGGAGTTGACCAATTCAGCCACCAAGCCGGAAGAAAACCGAACATAGGAGAAACCATTTCAGCAATAGGAATTCGGAAGACAGAAAAATATTAAAAACCACCAAGTACACAGCATTTTTGCATTTCCTCAAGTAAACCGATAAGAACTTTGCCCAGTGGAAGTTGACAACTCAAAATTGCAATCAACTGATTAACTCATAGAATTAGGCAACCCACTAACTCGAGTAGCCCGTAACCAAGACTAATTTGCAGCTGGATCCTACGAGTAACTCAGAACCCTAGATTTCACAAAATTATGCTGACAAAAGGAAGAACGACGAGCAGGAACTCTACCCAAAACCCTAACCTTGTGGAAAGGACCGACGCGCTGTTCACCGGCGTAAGACTTGAAATTCATCATCACCATTTCCTTGATGAACAGCCTGGGACCTCTTGAAGAACCTGTGGATCGAGAGACCTCGGGCTCCGTGGCCGTGAACTCATCCCCAGTTTCCATATCCATCAAAATGGCACTTCCAACTCAAGAGAACTTCTGGCTAGCTTTACTTCAGTTCAACTTCACGGGGTCATAAATCTCCAAGCTGATTCTCGATCTTGAACCTTCAATTCTTATTCTCCTCCTTAGTTCCTTCCGGCTGCTGCAGATTGCTCTCTTCAGTCTGCTCCCTTTGCCGTCGTGCTTGGCCCGTCAACGCTATCCACTAGCTGACCTCGTTCTCGCCCTCCTCGCTCTCCTTAACCCACTGCTGCGCTCTCCCAATTGTGTGATTTTCTTCTGCGAAGGGAGACGTAGGAGAAGGAATTCTTGCTGGAGAGACGATTTCTCTTTTGCTTTTTAGTTTTTTGTTTTATTGGTTTTCGCGATTGAAGAGGGGGAAACTCTGGAGGCTTGGCGGGAACACGAAACTGCCAAGAGGTTTCAAAGCTTTTAGATATAGATGTGGACCAAGGCCCAGGTTGATGGTTCGTTGACTTTCAATCCATGCACTATCCCAGGCCCATTGCGGACTGGGTCATTGGTGGTTCGTGGCCTCAGGATTGAGAGTGGTGGCCTTTGACCTACGAGACTGGTTCAAGTCTCAGTTGCCTTTCCACTATGAGTGTTCAAATGGTTATTAAGGTAACTAGCTTATTACCCGGCCCGTTGGCCGGATTACTGTATGTTACCCACTTGTGGAATGGGAGAGAAAGCAAGTGAGAGTGAAGGGATTGGGATTCCACTTGATTAGGACCGGCCCACTAATCCGATTCTTCCCGACCCGCCCCAACCTAAAGGGTCAGAAAGAGCCAATAAGAAAATACGAACGGAGAGAATTAGTAATATATCTTGACTCTTCATAAGTGGGTCAAACAGGATAAAGGTTGGGTGAGGGCAATTTTTAGCGCTAAGCAGAGTTCTGGGTTGAATAACTTTACTTAGGCCTAGAAATTGGTGCTGATGCAGACTGCAGTTTTTATCATACCATCATCAATCATCATTGAATTAGTCCTAGGCATCCCTCCCCGTTGTCGGTCTGAATTTTAATGATGGCTTCATTCCTTGCACCAGCCATATCAGCGAGTTGTCATCTCGAGCATGATTTGCCTATGTACAAATGATACAATTAGAGTATGAAACTGAATTCAAAGAAAAGGAAAAGAGAATTCTATCACATGCCAATAAATACACACATAATAGTTGAAGCTAAGTGAAAGTCATTACTCGCACATCAATTCTCAAAAATTACAGACTAAACAATGGCTAGAATGGCACTGAAACTACCAAGAATCATGGACGAAACAACTTGTCAAATTAAATAATCCTTATACTGAAACTACCTTCTAACTTGAAATAAGACATGATCACAGTTCATAGCACTCTTATCACTATGAATTGGTTGCAGCTCGTCCTTATCACTACCTCCCAAGCTCAATTCAAACAGAATAGACACAGTTATGTAAGATAACCATATCCTTACTGATCATAATTCCTTTCTTCACTCCATTTTTGTCGGAGAAAAGAGTTATCCCCCTCTCATGCATTTCCCTTTCCCCCTCTCTTCTCCCTCTTCTTCACAAACCGATCCCTAAACCAGCAACAACAACACAAAATAGCCTTCGCCTCTGCCATCTCCATCTACTGAACGCGTTGGTGGCAAGACAGGATTGCAGAAGCAAAATTTTCTAAAATGAAACTAAATTTTTTGAAGGAGACTCAACCACGAAAAAAGAGTAAAGCAACAATGCTAATAGTTCAGATGGTTGGTTTTGATGTTATACGTTGCTTTTGTTATGGTCTCCAGTGTATCAACTGCAACAGAGATGTTTCCTCCAATCATCTTTAGTGCATGATTTAGAAGTAAGTCCTCTTGTTTGTGTCAAACGGAAACATTCATGGGTTCTTAACTCCCCTGTTAGTGTAAATGCATCAGCAGCAAAGAAGTTTGACAACACAGCAAGCACCCAGGCAAAATGATACAATGCAGTAGGTGATATGTGTCTCAAAGGTTTTGAGTTACTAAAGTTCATGTTAAAAATAAACATGAATTAAAATGGATTATTCTATTAAGCAAACATCCCCTCTAATCATACAAAGATCATATATCTAATTCACAAACAATTAAGCCATAAAAAATCATCACACATCCACCACCTTTGATTGCCTATATTTGGTTTTTCGCAAAGTTGTGGACTCTTAAGGGTAAAGTTCATGGGTAGTCTGTTTCATAACTCTAGAGAGCACAGTAAGCAGCCACCAACCAGACACAGTGCGGTAGGCGAATATGATTCTCAATTCACAATTTCTCACCACCGGAAGTAAGAACAGAACATAATAAGCGTAGCGTTCATGGGTGGTCTGTTTCATAGCACTACTACACAATTTGTTAAAAAAGAAAGAAAGGTATTTAGCATCACGGCGAAACAACTTTTACAGGCCAACAACGACAACATGCTGCAACCACCAGAATTGGTATCACAACTCATAGGGAAAGTCAAAAGATTTACTCTTAAATTAAGTAGTTACAACATCGAGCAATCGTCAAGCACATACACCATCACAAAAGTCACAAAACCTGATTCACAAAGCATTCAAACATTTGAGGACATTTCTGCAAAGATACAACTTATATGTCTTTTTTCCAAGCCATTTCCATCAACATGCTAATAAATTTGCAATGCATAAAACAAATGGGCCAAAACTTGAAATTCAACCTGTTTGACCGACCCATGCCAAATTCTAATTATTCTTTACTTTTAAACTTTCTATTTGAAAATAAAAAAAATAGTGAAAGAAAAAAGACGACTACAATTCGCCATTTGCACATCACTTATTCGGGAATAAAACCATATAAATTCAAAAGGAACTGAAAATGTTGAGGATCGTTTTAATGTTTAAAATAACCAAATAGATTTTTATGTTTAGTTTTTTACTAACAAATACCAAACGATTCCCTATAAAATACACTATAATTTGATCATTATGATGTCAAATAATTATAAAATATATATTTGAAATTATAAAAATTGGACTAATTGGGTTGGTCGAGGTTGAACCATTGAATAACTTTAAAATACATTATATTTTAGCCACTAAGATATAAAATAATAGCACAATATATATTATGCCAGAGAAAATAGCTTGTTTTAGAATGGCAAACCCATGATGTTCATTTGTTTTACTTGATGACCAAATCCCATGTAGGTCAGGCCCATTCAACTCTTTTATTTTATGGTTAGCGGTTAGCCCATTAGATACCATGCATTAGTCTATTGTTAAATTTTTTATTTTTAACAATAAAAAGGAGTATTATTTTTGCCTTTTCATATATATTTTATCACCACGGATAAATAAAAGGGTATAAAGAAAAAAATTGACACTCCTTGACTCGTTTAAATCCGCATGTGTACGGTAAGTTGGCCCGTTCCATAGAGGAAAGAGAAAAAATTGACACTCCCTATTTTACCCTTCCTACAAACGCTCATGGAACAGGGAATTTGAAATGGGGGAAGAGTTTTTTTCACCCTGGTATTATATGTTTTTAATTTAAAAGGATACAACAAATGTACTTAGTGTGATTGGTTATGATCCTTGCCTTTCTTTAAAATGGTCATGGTTCGAATCCCAGTACATACCTTTTAATGAATAAAAAAAAGTAATTGTGAAGACCAAAATGTCCTTCCTACTTTCACTCTCGTTGCAGGAAATTTGAAATGGGGCTCCCGTTTTTCCCTTCGGTGTATTATATTATGTGTAGATTATCAAATATATAAGTCTAAATTTTATTAACCATGAAATATAATATTATAATTAAACCGTTCAAACTAATACAACAATCAAATTATCCAAACTAAATTTTAATCGGTTTAGTTAATTAGTTAACCAAAATAACCAATTAATAATCATTAAGTGAGACAATTTTTCAGTTACGGTTACGGGAAAACCGTACAGTTACGGGAAGATTTTGAAAACCGTTGGGTGGGGGGGGGGGGGGGGGGGGGGGGGGCGGTTTTGGGCCAAACCACTACCCCACCCAGCGGTTTTGGTCTAATTTTTTTTCTTCGATCAACTCCTAACCTCGGCCGAAACTTCAAAAGAACGTAACCTTGCACTCGGGTATCCGATCGCAGTAATTTTTTTTCAATCCGCATAACTTTTCGAGATCTTGCAAGCCGCAAACAACCGTAGGCGGTTTGGTCCCCCCTCCGTCCCGAAAAAACGCCGTTTGCTACCCCGAACGAGCTTTTACCCGATTTTGTCAAACTTTGGACGGCCATAACTTTGTGCTCCAAAATCCGAACGTCACAAATTTTTTTTAATTCAGCATAGCTTTTTAAGTTCTACAAATTTTACTATGATGAAATTTTCAAACATGAATTAGTTTTGGATATACGGGATCTTGGGAATAACTTTACCTTTACTTTTCACAAAAGAGGAGTTGTAGTGGGGTGGTCTAGATGTTGTGCTAAATTTAGTTAACTATTTAATGTATTTAGGCTCGAACCACCATTGCTACTTTTTTTAATCTCTCTACTAAATAAAAAGATTAAATACGGATCTTGGAAATAACTTTACCTTTACTTTTCACAAAAGAGGAGTTGTAGTGGGGTGGTCTAGATGTTGTGCTAAATTTAGTTAACTATTTAATGTATTTAGGCTCGAACCACCATTGCTACTTTTTAATTCAGCATAGCTTTTAAAGTTCTAAAAGTTTTACTATGATGAAATTTTCAAACATGAAGTTGTGCTAAATTTAGTTTAACTATTTAATGTATTTAGGCTCGAACCACCATTGCTACTTTTTTTAATCCCTCTACTAAATAAAAAGATTTAATATGGGATGATGGTGACTCGAACCTAGGACCTATTACAAACAAGTAAACAACTAAACCAATTGTGACGAGACAACTTATGTGATTTAAGTGGACCAAAAGAAAATACATACTGCAAACCGCCGGATGGAGGTGCGGTTTCCAACAAAACTGCCATGGCTCATACGGTTCGTAAAACCGGCCCCTACCCGTGCGATTTCATCGAAAACAGCATCCCCCACCCAGCGGTTTTCGAGAAAGGGTGGTATTTTCACCGTTTTAATTGATGATATTGGTGGGAAATTAATTGATGGGTTGAAATTCAAGGATGACAATTTCCCACTGAAACGTGAGAGAAAACATAAGTCACAACTGTATTTTACTGTTTCTTTCTCTCTGTGATGTGTAGCTTTGCTGACAAAGCGGATTGTGGTTGTTTAGTGTTCATACAAGGTAATAGCTTTTCTAACAAAGATTGTAAATGGGCGCCGGTGCAGCTTGTGGATTAGCTCATCTACCCCAAGACTGTAAATATTTTTATCTCTTAGTCTGTTGTGAATCCTAAGTACATGCTTTATACTATTAGTTTCTGTTGTGATGAAAGACAGCTGATGTCATTGCCCTTAGTATGTCGCAGGAACAATTAGAGACTTAAATTAATGTGTTTGGAGCATGTACTTATCCAACTGACAACTTGGTATTCACAAGACCACCAGATTCCTTTAGTAAGCTTAGGTTGTTCTTTTAATGATAGCAACATCTATGCTTGGAAATTATCATAAGTTAAATTCATAAGTACCAAAAGTGGGGTCTTATCTTTTTCAATTTGTTTTGGTTACCTAATTTTGGTCTTTTTCCACCTTTGTTCTTCTGTACAGGTGTTAGGAGATGGTTCTCTTCCTATCTCCATGCCTGAAAAGGTGCATGATGTAAATTTAGGTGATGCACCCAAAACACTGGATTCTAATGAGTGTGAATCTGCAGTTGAAGCACTGACCAAATTGGATGATGTAAGTAGATCATTATCTGATATTGCTTAGGAGATGGTTAGGGCCACGCAGCCCTGTACCTAAATCTATGCAATAAATGTCAACGGACCCTCTAATTATCTCGTATACACATAATTATGTAATGAGGATTTTGCTGCTAAATTTGTTTTACCAGCTTCAGCTATAATTGGTCGTTAGACATTGCCATTACAATTATTGTTTTATGTTAGGCCTCACATGCTACCCCTTCCAGAGTTCTAGTTGTTCTGTATTTTGAATCCATATCCTTGTCCTAACAGTACGTTTATCTAGACTATTTTCATGTACTTTAAAGCGGTCCCAGTAGCAATATTGATACTCACCTTATCACCACCTCCATAAAGATGTTGTATCTGTGGTGCTATCTCCTCTATCTCCTATTGACATGTTTTAATTGTGTGTCTGCAGTTTTAGTTATATTTGACATGTTTTGATTGTGTCTGTAGTTTTAGTTATATTTGACATGTTTTGATTGTGTCCGCAATTGCAGTTTCAGTTATATTGAATTACGGTATGTAATGTGCATTGATTAATCGTTGTGTGTTTCATATAAGCTAAACAAAATTTCATTTAAGGGGATTCTCGATGTTAATAAATATTGATCCTTTTATTGTGATTGTTCATGGCAGACTCAAGGTAACTTTAAGTTGATTGGTGTGGCAGCAACTACCCAATAGTATCTGCAAAATGTTTTAGGTTGTTGCAGGTTCATTCCAGTTTCTTATTGAACTCCCTATTAAATCTTATTAGTATGCTACTGATTTTTTATACTCTTGAGAGGATTGACATATGTAAAATGGATCAACACGTCATCAATTTAAGTTCTTTGTTTTGTTTCCTCCTCAATATGGCACAAGTAATTTAATGGAAGTTTTAAGTATTTGGGATTTTTGTTTAATTAGGTTTACAAACTTACAGAGAAACATAAACATATTACCATAACCCATGTCAATCACATCTATTGTTGTTCATGTAGAGATAGAGAAGTGCATGTTGCTCGAGATAGGATTCTTGATATCAAAAGTTCATTGATAGAGGAAAGATGGTGGAACTTGAACTCTAGATTAGCTTAATGTAGATTCGGTAGTTGATAGATATTGTAGCTACTCAATAATATATTGTAGAAGTATAGATAAAACATTAAGATAAGATTGATTGGAATTGTAATATATTTTTATTATCTTTTAGTTTCATGCTATACAAGCAAAAATGGCAGTTTAACTAATTGATTGTCATAATAAAATACTGTGACCAATTGTTAGTCTCTCGATATGGGAGAACCAATCAAATACTGTGATCAATTGTTAGTCTCTATATATAGGAGAACCGATCAAATACTGTGACTAATGATTACCATCTAGTCACGGGAAATGAATTCGTCATGGTAAATACTGTGTTAAAAGGTGTATAACCCGTCTCTAAATGATTTTTTTGTTGGTTTTGTGTGAAAATATATGGTATTAGTCATGGGGCTCCCTGTGATTAATAGGTACAAATTATCATGGGAAATTATACCGTGAATAGTTATAACTAGGTACGGTACATATTTCCCTTGACCTTTACAATTAGACACGAAGGTATATATTACGGTAATATTCCGGTGACTAAAACTATTAAACACGGGAAACACACTTTCAAACACGGGATTTCCCATGATTAAATGGTCTTTTTCCTGTAGTGTAAGGAAGACTTATTACGTAAGTCTTCCGTTATGATTATACACTACATAAATCTTATAAAAGAATAATTATTTCTTATATACCAGTTACACAAATGTATTAAGTAAGCCTTTTGATGATTAAGGTCACACATAAAAGCTATAAGGATATAGTTATTTCTTATGTATTAATTAAGCAAGCATATGACTTAAATCTTTCGTAATGATTAAGACATTAGTAAAACTTATAGGCATAAGGACATGTGTGACTAATTTACCTGTGCACGGTATGTCATGTTTTAAATTTCCTAAAGAACCCTGTCGCCGGTTGAATGGACATGTGGCCCGGTTTTGGTGGGGTTCCTATAGAAAATAGAAATTCAGATCACCCTATACATTGGGTTTCATGGAGGGGAATAGCTCAAAGTAAGTTTCATGGTGGATTGGGGTTTAGGAACTTCCAGCCTTTTAAACAAGCACTCCTAGCAAAACAATGTTGGCGTATTTGGGCTAATCTAGACTCCCTTCTAAGCCAAATCTATAAAGGTCGGTACTTTAGCTCACAGAAGATTCTGGAGGCTCGGGTAGGGTCCAACCCATCATGGGGTTGGCATAGCCTACTATATGGTCGAGATATGTTACTTCAAGGACTTCGTTGGCAAGTCGGAGATGGCCATGACATAAACGCCTTCTATGATTCTTGGATCCCAGCTCTGAAACCAGAAATTCCGGTGATTAGGCCGGGTAACATTAGTTCATCTCCACGAGGCCCTTTTTTTATTAGGGAGGGTATGGGAGATTGGCATGTGTCGCGCCTGCAAGATTATTTCGACTCTCAATCAGTTGCCCTTATTTGCAAGATGGCCCTACCGCGGAATGCTTAACCAGATACCAGAACATGACATTTCACTAAAAATGGTAAATATTCAGTTAAGACAGGATATCACTAGGCTTTAGAAGGTATCTTGAATCCGAATAGAAAATCATTGACTCACATTATTGATTCTCCCATTTGGAAAAAGTGTGGGCCATTGATACCCCTCCAAAACTCAGGTTTTTCATCTAGCAATGTCTCAAAGTGGTGTTTCCTACAATAATGGCGCTCAAAACCGGTGGGGTTAATTGTATGAGTCGATGCCCTGTTTGCTGGAGGTTTCGAGAAAGTATAGAACACTTGTTATTTTGTTGCCCCTTGCCATTCAGTTATGGTATTTTGTGGGATTAAGTGATATACTGGATTCAACCCCAAGAGTTCATTTTAGTTTAAGGTGACGTCAATTTATTCTTACGCAGCAGTCTCAAACCCATATTCTCCCGGTAGTGTGACTCTTGTGGAGAATATGGAAATCTAGAAATAAAGTGGTATTTGAAAATACCCAGCCCCATGTCCATTCGCTTGCCTGCCAATACTCCTTTCAAGTCAGTGAAGTGCTCTCTATTCTGCTTGGCCCACCTGCCCTTGCTCTTGCTCATTCATCTACTTGGCTACTCTAGGAATGTCCACCCCAAAGCTATTTGAAGATCAACTTTGACGTTGTTGTCCAAGTCACTGGCTCATCGTTCGACTTTGTTGTTCGCGATTCAGATGGGCATGTGCTTCTCGCAGTGGGTGTGCATCATCATGGTATCTCAGATCATTATCTTGCAGAAATTCTTACGGCTAGGGACTCAATTTCTCTTGCATTATCTAGGGGTTTGTCTTGTGTCATCATCGAAGGCGATGCATAAGGGTCATCTGTCAACTCAAGCTAAGAATGGTGGAGGATTCCATTGGAGGCCTCATTCTTCGAGATTGTCGTTGTCTTCTTGATTCCTTCTCTCATTGTATAGATTTTAGGTCGGTTCCGCAAACTGTCAACTGGGATGCTCATAGAGTGACACATAAAGCCCTGCTGCTATCCTGGCTAAAGCTAGCTTCTTTTGATTTTGTAGGTTGGCTGGTTAGTGGGGTGGGAAGGGATTGAAACTTATAGGCATATCTAACTTGAACGATTTTGTGAATTATTTGATTTCAATTAAATTATTAAATAAGTAGATGAAGTTTCAAATATAAATAGTTACATACCGTTGCAGAGCGCAGGCTAAAAAACTAATTTATTTTAGTATTTTAATTAAGAAAAAATTTAAAAATAGTTAACAATAAGTCAATACTTCGTATTCTAATATTAAAATAATTGGATAATACTTCGTATTCTAAAATATTTGGCTAGTAATTTTAAAAGTTTGACCGATATGTTTACCCTATATATATAATATTAGAAGTCAGAAGTAAAACCTAAAGTAACATGCTTGAAAACTATTAATTTTAAAAGTTTGACCGATATGTTTACCCTATATATAATATTAGAAGTCAGAAGTAAAACCTAAAGTAACATGCTTGAAAACTTAAAAGGGAACGAAGTCTCATCATTTAAGTAATTAGGAAAAAAGTTTAAGCATTCAGTCTCTTAACGGACTTACTGAAGTACCAATAAAAAAGAAGAGTCGAGAGACCAATTATAGAAAAATCAAATAGCTAAACTGGTTCTGCAGTCTCTTGCTCGTAGCTTAGCAAGTTGTGAGGCAGGCAGGTAGGTGTCCCTTTCTTTCTGTGCTCTCTCTTCCATTGGTCATGTTCCCTCCCATGTCGTTGAGCATTAACTTCCTTCCTTCCCAAATTCTGGCGATTTGTGGAGTTGTGAATAAGCTCCGAAACTTTGTTTAGCCTCATCTAGACAACTCAATTTCAATACAAGAAGATGGTTAGCTCCAAACCTGTTTTCCTAAATCTTCCAAGTCAAATGCGCATACAGTTTCACATTCCCATAAATGTGCTAATTTGTGCAGTCTCAAAACTCTGGAGTTGACAAATTCAGCCACTAAGTCGGAAGAAACCCGAACAGGAGAACCCATTTCATCAATAGGAAGACACAAAATTTTTAAAGCCCACCAATTACATTGCATTTTTTCATTTCCTCAAGTAAACCGGTTAGAACTTTGCCAAGATGTCGACAACTCAGAACTGCCATCAACTGATTAACTCATACAATTAAGCAACCCACTACGTCAAGTAGATGGTAACCAAGTGTAATTTGACAACTGGAACCTATGAGTAACCCAGAAACCTAGAGTTTCCTAGATTATGCTGGCAAAAGGAAGAACGACGAGCAGGAATTCCATCCAAAACCCTAACCTTGTGGAAAGGTCCGATGGTGCATTATAATTTCTAATGCGTCGAGAGAACGATAATCTACTTTACTTCTACTCCTAAATTACCACGAATACTACTAAACTGGTTTATTATTCATCAACGTACTAAAACCAAAGAACAACGTACATATTTATAGAACTACTCTACAAACCCTTTCCCTCTCAAATAAGGTAAACTAATCTCAACCCAACAAGTAAACAGTAACTTACTCAACAAGACATAATAAACTAATAAGAATAATCATAATAACTTAACAATTAACTAATAATAATCCTAATTACTAAGCATATAAGCGACACCAAGGCCCATGGGTGCTATAATGCACCAAACCTCCCCCCCTTTGAAAAACTTCGTCCCCGAAGTTTAAGCGTCATCTCAACCCGGATCGATGAAGAAGAAGCTTCCACGTAGCTTGTGATGGACGATCACGAGGCTTGGACGACGACACCCACGTTTGCGATACTTCCAATTCAACTTCAACACATCAATTGACCACTTTTTCTCCTTGATGCTCATGGCTCCCACAACTTTGAACCATGCTTCGCTGTCGATCAAATTAATGACATTGATACCGTACGTAACGGCCAAACTTTTCATAATCAAAGGGAACTTAATGCCAAAATCACCAAGAAGGCCGAATCCTTTAAGCCCCTCTACGTGGAAGTTACCACCAACTTCACTCCCAAATACATGTTTTGCTGGCTTCACTTCAATCTCACGTCCCTCTTTAGTTCCTTGCCTTGTAGCTCTTTTCTCGGCAAATCAATTGTAACTTGTCCAAACGGTGGTATCCGCAAAGTCACAGGTGTTGAGTTGGACAATACAATAGGTTGTCCTTCATTAAAGATCGCGACCTGTCGATGGGAGCCCAAATCTACAACTCTTCCAACTTCAGAACTTGCCGGATTGACGCCGTATAACAAGCCGCCGGCCAACCCTCTCATACTGGGCCCGATACTACCTTGAATCAAGCTGCTCGCCATCGAGTTTGATCCTCCTCTAGCCACCACATGCTGACGGACTGTCGTGGAACAAATCCATGTCGAGGTGGTTGCTTTGGTGAGTCCGGCGGCGCACCCATACAGCTCAACCTCGCGGATGATACCCGTCGTGCTTTGCCACAACCTCAACTCTCCATCTTCAACGCCACGCAAATCAGTGGCTCGATTAGAACCGAACCATGTCGCCATGCCTGGTTGAGACTCCTTAACGTGGCTATGAGTGGACTTCCCAATTCTTGTGATTGGTGGCGGGAAGAGGGACGGAACAGCAGCTGAAGCGGACGCAAGCGCCGGCTCTGGAACAAGATTACTACCCATACGGAAGCTGGGTGGGACGGGTAATATATACCATGTGGCCGTGATGACAGTCAATGACGACTCCACCAAATTCGCTGGCTTTGTTGGGGTCTCAGCAACTGGTACGTTAATAGTTGTTGCTGCTGTCGTGGTTATATCAGAAGACTGCAGCGGCTTGTCTTCTTCGCCTCCCACTCGAAGACTCTCCCGATCCTGCCCCATCGATCCGTTCTTGGAGACTAGTGAGCTTCCCACGTTCTCGGACAAGTATTTCGCTGGCCATGGCTCGTTCGCGGAAGACCCCGCATAGGGCTGCTCGTCGTTTCCCATCCGGAGCGCAGTGAGCTCGTGTGCGGCTGTGAGTCCTCCTTGGCTAATTCCCAACACGACGAGGCCTTCCTCTCGCGGCCGCAGGGGTTCCCAGGCGGATTCAGCAGCAGCTTTACGCCGTTTCTTCCTCTTCTTTCTAAGATAGAATCGCCTCCCCCCTTTAAGGCAGATGTCTATGCACGACGTCGGCGTGGTGGTCATCCCCAAGGTAATACCCTCGAGGGTTAGGGTTCCAACAGGCGGCGGTGGTGGTCTGATGACCTTCGGTGGTGGTCTTGGAGTGGGCAGCCATGTGGACGGTGCTTCTAGGGTGATGGTGGGGGTGATCGAGCGAGACCAATCAACTTTGATTGTGGCGTGCGAAACGGCGTCATGCGGCGCTTCAAATGGCGGCAGCGGCGGTACGATGGAGGTGGGCACTGGTGGCGACGGGGTGGTGAGGGCGACAGATGCAGTAGCTCTGTCACAGGCTGCCACGAACCTTCCGCAACAAGACAGGGCGCTTTCGGTCAGCCGAATCAGCCGATTGAGGTCATCCCTTGAGAGCCATTCGGTGCTCATCGCCTCGTAACCAGGCTCTGATACCAATTGGCGCATTATAATTTCTAATGCGTCGAGAGAACGATAATCTACTTTACTTCTACTCCTAAATTACCATGAATACTACTAAACTGGTTTATTATTCATCGACGTACTAAAACCAAAGAACAACGTACATAATTATAGAACTACTCTACAAACCCTTTCCCTCTCAAATAAGGTAAACTAATCCCAACCCAACAAGTAAACAGTAACTTACTCAACAAGACATAATAAACTAATAAGAATAATCATAATAACTTAACAATTAACTAATAATAATCCTAATTACTAAGTCTATACGCGACACCAAGGCCCATGGGTGCTATAATGCACCATCCGACGGCGTTGTTCACCGACGTAAGACTCGAAATTCATCATCACCATTTCCTTGATGAATAGACTGGGACCTCTTGAAGATCCTTGGGATCGAAAGGACTCGGACTCGGTGGCCGTGAATCCATCCCCAATTTCCACATCCATCAAAAGGAACTTCCAACTCCAGCGAACTTCTTGCTCAGTTCAACTTCACGGGCACATAAATCTCCGAGCTGATTCTCGATCTTGCACCTTCAATTTCTCTTCTCCTCCTTAGTTCCTTCCGACCGCTACAGATTGATCTCTTCAGTCTGCTCCCCTTTGCAGACGTGCTTGTCCCGAAAACGTTATACACTAGTTGACCTCGTTATCGACCTCTTAGCTCTCGTTAACCCGCTGCTGCGCTCTCCCACTCGTGCGCTTCTCTTCTGCGAAGGGAGAAGTAGGAGAAAGGGATTTTTGTTTTGATGGTTTTCGCGATTGAAGAAGGGGGAAATTCGGGAGGCTTGGAGTTGGCGGGAACATGAAACTGGCAAGATGAGGTTTCAAAACTTAGATGTTGATGTGGACCAAGGCCCAATGTGATGTTTCGTGGAACTTTCAGTCCATGGACTATCTAAGGCCCATAGAGGTTTGGACTCTGGGTCATTGATGGTACACGGCCTCAGGACCGATTGATAGTGGTTGCCTTTGAGCTTGTTAGCCCGCGCTCTTTCACACTTACCACTTGACCAAATCAGCTCTGATACCATGTCATAAACCAGTTAGTCTCAATAACTCGAGTTATTGGAACTAACTAGTTTATGACAGGATTGTTCGTTGTCGGAAATGTCAATATTAGTAGTTTCATTGAATACACAATATTCATAGTTGCACATCTCCTTCCAACCTTCGAATTATAAGGAATATAGATTTCGTCATTTTGAAGATGTCACTAGAACACTCAAATAAATGTCCTTGATAAATGAAAGAAGCATAAACTAGTTTAAGTGACACGGTGAACCCATACATACAGTTGAAGGTGTTCCAACTTTAAATCCTGACGGGCATATATTTACCAATCTTCTAATTTTTCAAATTGTTTTCTTACGGAGTCTACATGTATTTTCAGCTAATAATTTGAAACTATGACGGCTCCAAACCTATTGAGATTGAAAAGTCAAAATCTTAAACTTAATCTGCTTGTATTTTATAACGATTGTAGAAGGTAAAAAGGAAAAAAAGAGAGACGAGTAATAGATGATACAGACATATGCAACCATAAATGCCAATAATGGACATTGCAACAACAGACAGGGGCATGCTACTGAAACAGAACCTTTTTTTGCCTTTCGCTTCCCTACCTGCAACAACCACCTCCATGTCTGACCACTGGATCAACCCACATCAACCGGCCCGGGTAGTATTTTTTGTTTGTTTAAACCTCCAATCAAACCCAACCATATAGAGCAGCAGATTACAAGTTACAACCCACAGACTCAGAACTAAGGATAAATATATCAGTAGTAGTGAATGTCATCAAGTAGGCTTTTATTTTAATTAAGGGCATTTGGGGCCGCCTTGCTGGGTCTTCCAGTTGTTGTAGCAAGGGCAGACGGCTTTGTTGCCGTAGTAACCCGGTGGGACGCAGAGGCACTTGCTGCAAATCGCAACGACAGACGACGAACAAAGTGAGAAAGCAAGTTAACATTTCAGTCAAATTGATACAAAAAAGACCCACAAGTTAGTTATCTGATGAGGAAGTGTAGACAGTTACCTTGTTGTTGTAGTGGTGGCCGCCGTGTCCATTGGAAGCCATAACCTGCAACCAAATTTAAAGCGGATTGGAGGAAAAACGAGTAAGTTCTTTCAAGAAGAGCAGAGCTGACGACTACAAGTCTTGTTCTGATTACTAACAATATTGTGACTCGCTAGGGAAGGAATTAAGAGTTACCAAAGTTTGGAGCGTGGAATACATGGCGATGAGTGCCAGGAGAAAGACGACGACACCGAGTTTGGCCATGGCTAAGATGGGGATAGCTTCCTGAGGGTATAAATGGACTGTTAATGAGAGAACCAGATGATATGCAAACAAGGATGATCTCTATTTATATATAGACTGATGAGAACTTTCTTCTTTTTGTCCCAGAGGTAACCTGCTGAAATGGAGGATTAAGTGTTTATTATTTTCTTGTGCAGGGGAAGCAAGGGGCAGGCAGCATTGATTTTCCAACAGTAGTTACACCACTTTATATTTCCATTCTCTTCAAAGTTAGTTACTGTGATTTTAGTTTCAATCAAAGAGACTAATGGTTCAAATCACATTTTAAATGAACTTTTTTACAAGGACAACGGTGTGGACTATGGATCTTTATGTGTTTTGCAGGGTAACTTAGGTACCCTTAATTTCCTTGATAAGGGCCGTAATTTCATGAGCTTTTGCAGTCCATTAGTAAATTAGCTACCTACCTGAAAATTAACATGCGCATTAACAGCACAAAAGAGAGAATGGCCGGCCCTTCCCCATACTGCAGTCCCACATATCAAAGATTCATAATGAATAAGATCAGCAATCAATAAATTCTGATCCATCTTTTGGCATCCATCCACCATTCACGGCATTTGATGAGCACTCAACTTGTTGCCCTTGAAATGTAATTATCGCTCTCATGGATGGATAAAGGAATGGAGATTAGGGCTATGCTGGATTTAATTGCACCGTCCGTCGCACAACATCGCAAATCAAAATAGACCATTCCATTCTCAAGCAGTTAATTAATTATATGTGTTCATTGTGATGACCACTAGACATTGTATGATCTATCACGTTGGGAATTTTACGGTTTAATTACTTTTTATTTGAGTTGCGTGATTTGTGTTCGAGTTGGTACAAGCGAGACATGGTATTAATAATGGGGTATCCATTCTCACATTTTATCCAAGTATAGTTCTAAATTTGGCGAATTGAGATTCATAGCGCAAGATCGATCTCTTCATTTAGAGAACATGATTTTACTTTGTAAATCTTCTCCTGGGATTATGTTGTGAAGCACATATATATTTATTGAATCATATTAAATAATACATATTTATTTCTTCACTAGATAAAGCCTACACATGCCAAAAGTGTTAAACAAAAGTTTGATCTTGCTCTAATAACTGCAAAATAATTTTATTTCAGAAGTTACTCGAATATCTTAAGTTTAATGCTACAAGTACCAGATGTAGGCAAAAACGTGATTCTATATAGAATCGAAAAAGAGGTAAAATCGTAAAGCGTAAAAGCGTAAGTTTTTTAATATATACTGTAAAATAGCTAAAATTTTGTTAAGTACAACATATACTATGTAAAATATGAGTGCACAAAATCCATATAAGTTAATAAATATCCGCAATTCATGTCTAAAGTAGAGCAACTCATAGCATCTTATCAAAAAGTTCATAAACATAGGTCCTAACAATAAGCCACCTTCCCCTCTATACTAATGAATTTGGGAAGGGCCTAGCTGGTGAATTAGATTACTCGATTGAAACTTAGAATGCATCAAACTATCTGGTATATATCTTTTAATCTCAAATTTATCATATTGTTTGTGATTTATCTTTAAAATATACATTTTATAATTAATTTCATGAAAATGTTATCCATTTAGTGAACTAGAAGCGTAAAAGTGTAAAGCGTTTTGGTGAACTAGAAGCGTAAAAGGCATAAGATTTTAAGCTTTGAAGTGCAATTTAGTTCGATTTTATACACTAAAAATTTTATATAAAAACGCAAGTATTTTGGTAACCTAGAAGCATAAACTTTTAAAATTCAAAGTGCGATTTTAATTGCATTGACTACAAAAATTAAACTCTACTTAGCACAAAAAGTAAAACCGTCAAAGATTATGTATATGTTGGGACTATGACTTGGGCCTGGAATGCCCAATGGGTCTAGTGGGGTAGCCCATGAGAAGTTCAAATTACAAAGGCAGATAAAGCAATTTGGGGGAAGTAGATAATGCAATTGCAGATGGGATGCGTCGTGTCCGGATAATAATCCTTTTTGTGAATTGATTAATACGTTCTGTTGTCCATTTCACCAATAATTTGGCAGTTACTTACACCTCATCCTCTTGTCCTTGAAAGGTTGGTGATAATATGGGAATTAGGAACTGACCCATTCTTGTTTGGACGAAACAGAATACGTTGAATATGGTTAGGGATGTACATGTACGTATGTGTGACCACCATCACATAATAATGTACCAAAATACAAGATTACTTCATCAAAACAACCCTCGATCAATTTCTCCAACAAGATTGAACAGGGGGCATAACCGCTAGACTAATCTCAATCTATCTAGCTAGAGAATACCTATTCTGACAAATGTCAACCAATCTCGAGATCATCCCCGAGCCAACACGTGTGATCAAATGCACGAATAGAATGCAGAGTATGAGCCAAGTTAATCAAGAGTTTCAACATTGCGTCTTGGTTTTTCCATATAAATAACAACTTAGTGGCGATTGAATTTATTTTCAAAACAGGTTGGGGATTCTTCACTCATATCTAGACGGCCCATCGTAGAGAAAACAAAGAAGATAAACTATGGAGGTGGAACGCAATAAAACAAACATATGAGTATCTATTTTTTAAATTGTCGGGATGTAAATGAGATGTCGGATGAAGGATGAGAAAAATGAAGAAGCGCCTTGGTTTTCCCGATTGGAAATAGCGGTAAAAAGAAATAGGAAATTTTCGAGTTCAATCGGGTCAATATAGATATGATTTCGATTCCAACATCGACGGACGGTTCTCCAAGCGGAAGAACTATGTTGAGAAATCTAACATATTAAAGGGACAAGTTATATGTTAACCCTACGAGAAAATATGTTAATTATTATTTATTATGCTAATAATACTAAATACTACTATACAACAACAAACATGCAAACTCAACGACAATGCGACTTGGATATGGTGTGTTCAAGTCCCACCGCGTCAACTCCAAGCAGAGTTGCAAACCCTTCCAATCTATAGACTAATTTTAATTTTTCTAGATGAGCAGTGAAAAAAGAACTCTTTCAAGCTCATCAAAATATAGAGCAACTAAGAGCTAAATAGCTTGCTCGCTCTCAAGCTCAATCTTCTCCATGGCATAATTGGATCGCATTCTTGATACTACCCCAAATTTAGTTGAATGATTGTAGGGTCAATTGCATTGTTGGTCACCGAGATTAAAAAAAAGTTTAAGTTTGGTCACTCTAAATATTTAAATCCATTGGTGGTACTTCAGTTTACTGAAACCGTTCACATTTGGTCACTCTCCGTCCAACTCTGTTAACTTTTGGTTACGTGGCGGTCAACTCAAAAAATTGACTGTTAAATGAGTGACGTGGCAAACGTGAACGGTTTCAGTAAACTGAAGTACCACCAATGGATTTAAATATTTTGAGTGATCAAACTTGCACGTTTTTTGTAATCTCGACCGAATGATTGTACCTTGCTTGATGCTTCCCTCCATAACAACTAGGTTCATTAGTGCATCAACCCACTTTCTGCTTCCCTTTCAAGTAGGGTATGAGATAAGATTATGCTTAATTATTTTGCCAAATGATTGTCAACTAGTGTTGCAACTTACATATAAAGACAAACAAGATGAGTGGGTTAATAAGCATGAACGAGATTAAAAGGGTTCTTGTTTGACCCAAAGTTAATTAAGGTTCTTGTAACTTTACCTCTTATTATTGGATGTTGTAACTCATAACCCACTAAAGTGGTGGTTTGTTTATCTTTATGGTCCAAAGGACTTGAAAGAATTCCCCTTTTAAGGATCTTTACTGTATTTATATATTCCACAAGAATATAATAAAGCAAAGCCACATTGAGGGCAAAATCAAAGAAAGAAAGCAATTGATTCTTCAAGATAATAAACACAATCCCAGATAAGATATGACCACATACACATATATATATATATATATATAGAGCTTCATTTCTATATTTTAATTTCCATCCTCAAATCAGAACCCACATCTAATAATTGGGTTTGTACCCCCAACAAGTGACCAAACCCCTATTTGGCTAATGAATAAACTAATAAGACACCCCTAAACACCCCCCAATATAAAACCAAATCCACCCCAAAAGGCCATCATCCATTCCATTCATTCCCTAATTAAATAATCAGATTAAGATCCTCTTCTTTCCATTATTGTCTTAACATAAAAGTAATCCATCCAAAACAAAGAAGTGCATATAAAGAAATCCATCAATCTTACATTATAATAATAACACCACCAAATGCTAGATATGTTAAGATAATAGTAACATGTAACGGTCCACCCCAACCCAAACACACCACCTTTTTGCTGCATTCACCCGGACACGAAGAAGATAAGGAGAATCAATCAATCAATCCTTCCCATCGCACCACCAAACTCCATCAACAAGGAATCATATGATACTAAAGAGTGAAAATCAAGCATAGACCCATTTCTCAGATTTTGGTTTCAAGACGCGTTAAGCCAAGCAAAGCAATCTACAGTCTTACACAGATCTACATGCAAAGAGAGCAGCAGTACCACACGGGTTGATCGAGATTAAGCTGAAGATTCTTCCTTTTCTAATCATGTCAAACCACAGCAGTAATCATCATTAATTAAGCACAAAAAAGGCCAAAAGGAAAGCTCTAATTAGAATACAAAATCAGGAAATTAATGGAAAGGGAGGAAGAGACAGATAAGAGAACTGGTCATGGAAATGCCTTTAATTGCTTGCTTGCTGCTCTCTAAACTACTACCTACTCATAAGTACTTATTAATTACCGGCCAAATCATCGATTTGGATCGAGGGATGGGGGAGAGATCAAGATCAAGATTCAAGATTCAAGATGATGAAGATGACCCATTAGCGCCGCCGACATTATCACCCTCAAACAGACGGTGGTGGTAGTGGTTGTGATTCAAACCATCCCCGTTATTGCTCACGCCGCCGGCGCTTGCGGCGGCGCTGTGGTGGTGGTGGTGAAGGCCAAGGCTATTATTAGTATTACTACTACCACTGACCCGGGTTTTGGCGAAGGTGTTCTTGTTGTTGTGCATCCAGACTTTGAGAACCCCTTTATCCACCTTGACCTCGTTGCAGAATTCCAGCACCAGATCCTCGTCGCTCTTCTGCATCTTCCACCCGACCCGCTCCGCGAACTCGTGCATCCGCTCCTTCTGGTGCTGGGTGAACCTGGATCTGAACCGCTTCCTCGACGACGAGCTGTGGTGGTGGAGGGAAACGGTTGCGAGATTCGGGTTCGGGTTTTCGCCGAGGCCCGACCCGGAAAGGGCAAGCAGCATGTGGGGAGCGGAAGGGTAGTAGGAGGACGAGATCGGCGGCGGGGAGGCGGAATTCGGGCTGCGAGGGGGCGCCGCCGAAAGCGGTGCTGGCGGCGGAGGGTGGTGGCGGTGGTGCGGATGGTACTCGATGGCGGCGAGCGGCGGCGGCAGAGCCAGAGGATTATGGGTGTTGGGGTTGTCTTCCGGTTCCCGGCGGTGGAAATTGCGGTGGCAGCCGCAGGCGGCGCATTTCAATGAAGTGGGATCGGTGTGGGTGGTGTTGGGGGAAGGCATGAACTCGCCGCATCCGTCCAAAGCGTGGCCGCCCAAAGAAGCGGCGTGGTTCTTGAGACATTCCTTGTAGGCGACGGCGGCAGGCGGCGACGGCGGCGGAGGGCGGAGGTGGTGGTGGCGTTTGAGGACTCCGTTGGTGAAGGAGAGCGGCTTGGGTGGTTGGATCCGGGTGGGCGTCTCGGATTCGGGCTCTGGGGATTTGGGAGACGGGCTGTTGCTGTTGTTGGCGGTGGTCGGAGCTGGTGGGTGCGGTGAGACGGCTGCTAGTACCTCCATGGTTCAAACATTCAACGAAGCTACATGAAATGAGAAACTGAAGTTACCCAAGTAGAGGTTTCTGGGTGGTGATGGAAACTGTGGAGGATCTGGCCATGGAGATTTGGAGATACTTTGGGAAAGGTTGAAGCTTGAAGGAAAGTAAGAGAGAGAGATAGAGATAGAGGAAAGATGATTAGAGATGGGATGGATGGAAATGGAGGGATGATGATGATGATCAGAGAGTCAGTGAGTGAGTGATGATGATGATAATTTGGTGGGGGTTTTTTCTTATTTATTTTAAAATTTTGTTAGTCAAGATTTGTGGTTGTGCCTTCTTAACCTTTAACTCAACTTGGGAGGGGTTCATGATAAAGTATGAACCCTAGTTGTAGGTTGTAACATCTTTGGGTTAAGTGACCCATACAATAACAATACCATGGGAGTGGTGTTGATTATTGGTTACTAAGTAATAAATGTTACCCTCCAAATCACTACTTGTCTTCAAGGTTGTCAAACCGTTTTATACCGTTGTGCCAGTTTAGTAAGTGGAATGGTATGACCGGTGGTATAACCAGTTTGTGCCGGTTCATGCCGGTTTAAAAAAATGTGATAACAATTAATATCCAATGTATTTAATCATATATAAAATATATTTGTGGACAATTTAGTTACAATCCAACAAATATCATCAACTTTTAACTATTACAATCATAAAATAAATAATAAATTAATTTTTTTATTCATTAAATTCATTAAAATGATGTCATTTTACTTAAAATGCATAAGTCGATCATACCGATAGTGTCATGTCGGTTTCATGACCGGTACAAGTTGAACCAGGTTCAACCGAGTGGCATGTCACCGGCATGACAACCATGCTTGTCTTTGACCCTTGCACAGTGTTACACAAGCCATCTTTGAAAAAAGGGGAAGTTACCCAAGCCATGTATAATTGTATGTGTCTATTTCCTTGAACTTTTGCTTTTCAACTCTCTTGTTGAAGTCTGTCATTGGAAGGAGGGGAGGTGGGGGTGTGGAGAAGTGGCAAGTCTTTTCAGAAAGTCAAAACTCATATTGTAGGTTTAGGTATGGACTCATTATCTAGCATTTTCATTTGCTTAATTTTGTAGATTAGAGAGTAATAATGGAGTAAACTTGGTCTGCTTAGATGGACTAAATCCATGTTGAATGTATCATGATCACATTCAAGTTTTTGTTATAAAATAATTGTAATTGGAAGTCTGACATCTAAAATTTTCTTTGAGCTCTATTAGAATGCTAATTTGCATGTTGAACTACCGTCATAAGTGATCTTTTCCAATGGTCTCTTTTTCCTATTCCGACCTCAAGTCTAAACCTTGACTTGCAAGTTGCAATTCTCAAGAATTTCCAGGCCGGTCCTCTCAAGGACCCCAGCCCAAACTATCCAGTCCTGGAGGGCTTCAATCCTCATCTTGGCCCAGCTTCCTACAGGCCCAATTCCCAAATTGACCGCTCTCTTCGCCCAGATCGCTTCTTCGGCGCCGAACATAAACACTCTCTTCTCCCGCCTCACTTATTGACTTCCTGGGACTGGGCCGAAAACTAGTAGAAGTATCCGGCCTTCATGGCCCGGTAAACTAATAACAACGTGTATTTTTTGGCCCACATAATGGATTTTAAGTTCTACCTAATCCGAACTATGGAAGTGGTTATAACTTATATGTAGGAATGACAATGGTTACGTGTATAACGATACTCATACTCATACTCACTACTCAGCTCGTGTTAGGTTGGATCTAGTTCGAGTTATTTATCATGTGTCGTTGGTCGGGGCAGGTTGAAACAATGAGTATGAAAAATATTAGAAATATTAGCTATTTTCATTATAAATGGAAAATAAAATCATATTATGATAAATGTAGTTAAATTACTGGAGAGATTGAGGTTTTCACTAATTTTAAACTTTATTACAACTAAAATACGATGTAATAAAAGGAAAATACTAAGTAATTTGACTAAGATTAAATGTAATTTAGACAAAAACGGGTCGAGAATGGAGCGGGTCAGGGTAGGTCGAGTCGATGAGAAAACCTATTCCCGCCCGGCCCCAAAACAAGTCAGATAGATCGGATAAAACGAGCCAGGTCGAAATTGTCTATCCCTACTTATAGGGGTTAATCCAATATTTATAGGATGGAAGTACTGTCCTTGACTTCATATAATCATATGTCAAACCAATGAATATTGAATACTATCATCTAAAGCAAAATAAGCTAGAGAGATCATAAAGAAGGCAAACCACAATATGTTAAACTCATCCGAACAAGGTCACATATCTATATTTATATTTTTGTCAAAGCTCGTTTCTAGATCATATATCTGTTCTTTTGAAGAAAACACAAGAGTCACAAAATTAAAATCTCCATTAGTTGGTATAATCCTAGCCAATTCATGCTAGATAAGTCCTTCAGCCAAAGGAATAGATGCCCCTTGATATTTTGAGGATTGATATCAACCGATCAAAAAAGCTTCTTCCCTGTTTGATAGGCATGGTTTCCAATAGTTGAAAAAACAATGGACAGATGCCCAATTTCCCAAATACCAAAACGTACGTATACCAGAAGCTTTGTTTCCCCCCCCCCCTCCACTCCCCATTCATTCTTTCTTTCCCTGCCAAATTAAACTCCCATTCTCCTTAACCCAATGTCGCCTTCTCCCAACCACTACCAACTCACATGCCACATTGAAAAATATCCAAATAAAACAGTCGTTCTAGCCACGGTTAAATTAACAATCCTTTTTTTTTTTTGGATTTTTGACTTTACTCCTAGACTGATCCCCTTCAATAAACATTAATTTGAGGAACCTTAATATTGAAAGAGATCCCAGCGTTGACCATTTGAAAAAGTATGTATTATAGAGTGCACATGAGTTTCAAAATACTACATAAGAATTCATGACATGTTAGAATGCAATACCTAGTTGTCTATGAAGTGTGATATATACGGATGTCATGTATTGTTATCATATGCGATACAATCATACAAAATCTATATTATGGATATAACGAAAAGACAAAAAGAACAACATAATGCAAGAAACTAGCCAGGTATTCTGCAAATCAAGAGTCAAAATGCATGGTTGTGATCAAATGACATGCCTAGGCATGAGACATGCGTGTACATATATATCAAGGGGTGGAGCTAAGTAGGATTAGCATGATAACAACCAACATGATTAGATGGATGGGTGCGTTATCTGTCTGCTGGTCATGTTTAGTTGACACTTGCACACAACCTTTAATTCAAGCTTTGCTAGGCTAGCTACTTCTTTGGAGCGTCTGGTGGGTTCTTGATTTGGTGATGTGGGTGCTATAGATTGTCTAATTTCCACCCTTTTCTTCCACTGATTTGATGGGAAGTTTTGGTATTAATTCAATGGCTTACATGAAACTGGTCTTACTTAGCTTAATTCACCGTTATTAGCATCCGATCGCTGATATAAGATAAATTTCGACCGGACCAAACACTTATCGACTAAACCATAATGATAGATGAATCAAGATACACAACTTTAATTGTGTTCTTGATAATTCCAGCTGTTATTTTGCCATTGTTTCTTTAATTGATCAATTACCTAACAAAACACAGCGACACAACCATGTTGGGCAGCCACTCATGAATCACAAAAATACAAGGCAATGACAAGAAACTACATCGGAGTACCATTTCATATGTCGAACCCATCATCACTTTCCTCGGAATATTCTTGTTGTCGACAACCATTGCCCAAGTTGTGGGGGGAGCTAGGAACTGATCATGAACAGGTATATATACCATCCCAAATCAGTTGGTCTTAGTGATAACATAAATGGAGTATAATGAAGAGGAGGAACCCCACGACGAAGAGATTATGATATATATGTGAATATTGAAGTGAAAGTTCTTTCATATTAATTATAGATCTTACACAATCCTCATCATCTAGCAATTCATGGTCGAATTACGGAAAATTTGATATCCACACCACCTGACCACCATCATGAAAATTGATGAACATGATAACTCAAATCGTAAGGATACATCATAGTGACAAAAATGAAAATATAGACTAGGATAAAAGTATAAAATTCCAACAACATAAATTCACGATTATCATATCAATTTGATTTAGGAGCAAAAAGGGTTGATAGCTTTTTGTCATCTCGTTCCCAATTTTCCCTCGACATATGCACATACATATATAATAACCTAAACCAAATATCGAGAAGACAGAAATACATACCTCCATCTTTGAAAACACTTTGAAGAATAAATCTTGTCCAATCCTAGTTCACGATCTAAGGAAAATTTGATGTCTAACCGTCATGAAGATTGGAAAATTAACCTGATCATCATCACATAGCTGCTTGAATCCATACCATGTTGAACTCAAGAGGTAGGGGAAGAACAATCACGCACAACCTCCGTGTCGACTTCCCTCCGGTGGAAGTTCCTGTGGCAGCCACAGGCGGCGCACGTCAGGGCCGCCGTCGTGCCTTCCTCACCATTGCTAGCCATGAACTCCCGGCAGCCGTCGACGGCGTACCCGCCGACGTTGGCCGCGTGGTTCTTCTGGCACTCGCCGTACCTCACGCTCCTCACCGTGTAGCTAGACACCGACGACGAGTTGTTGTCGTCGGCAGTGCTACTGCTCCTCGACGACGGCGCCTCTGCCGACGACCTCCTAATCACGACTTGTCTCTTCCTCATGATCGGATGAGAGATGGTTAGCTGCTAAATTTGGTATTAGTAAGAAGGAATAGATTGATTTAGGGGAGAGAAGCAAGAAAGTGGTAGAAGGAAGAAGGAAGAGGAAGGTGAAGTGGAGAGAGATAAGTTTAGATTTTTTTTTTATGTGTTTAGTTTTAGTGTTGATGAAGTATTGAAAGCCCTAACCCTAGAGGAGGGTATTATTTATAGCCAGCTTTTAGCATACTTTTCTCTTTCATCACTATTATTATATTTTTGAACAGACAGGCTTATCTCCTTGATCACCCTCATATATATAGTTTGAGGTCCATAACCAAGAGTATCAATGATAAAATCAATTCAACTGAGTGTAATTCATATACCAGGTGTTTTAGGTCACTTATTTCCCAGTGAGACATTTAGACAAAAAAAATATCGTTAGGCTTGAAAAAGAAATTATAATTAGCCATTGAAAAATGCGAAAACCATTCATTTGTGACATTTAAAGGAGCGCCATTTAGAGATGTTGTGTGGTGTTCCCCACACAATATCTCATGGCCAAATGGCTAATTCAATATCTCATTGCCAAATGCCTAATTTTGTACATCATCTTTCAAAATGGTCAATTTCCAAATAACTCATGTAAATGGCTTGTTAAACCATGAGAGTGATAACCCCCCCCCCCCCCCCCCCCCCCAATTTTTGTTGCCATTCAAATCATGGTAACCACCAAAATAGAGTTTTAGATTTCATGTAGTCGTTGGTACATTTGGTGTTTGTCAAGTGATACATTTTGTTATACACACACATTTTTACTTACCCTGGTACTTCTACATTATGAAACTTCCTATAATTAATTCTACTGCGGCACATGCCCTCACTTTATCGTTTCCTAGTACTCTGACCGCATTGCACATCGTTAGTTCACTACACACGTATGAATGGGTGGGGGGGGGGGGGGTACTCCATTAAAAGTATATGTATGTCTATCAAACGAATATTGAGATTCCTCGATAATACACATGGGCTTCCTTAATTATGCATCAATATAATTGGACTACATTATTATCTTTATGTTGGAATAATATTAGTGCGACTAAATATCTAGTTCTACACTTCTTTTGTTGTTGTCATAGACAGATCATAAATAGACAGAGTGTTACAAATTGTTCGGAAGTAAAAAGTGATAGTCAATCAAGTGTTGATCATCGACGCAAGAACTTGTTTTGCCACAGACAAAATAAACGAAAAGGAGGTCTTTAGCAGCCGAATTTTCTCAAACACAGCTCCACCCCAATCAGGTTGCACATCATTCTTCAAAGCTCGACGAATTACCAATTGAGAGTGAGCCAACAAAATGAAAACCAATCTAGTTCTACACATTCCCTTAATTATAAGCATCTTAGAGGGTCCAAGCGCCACATTTTTTTTTTTTTAAGTAGGGTAGCTACTAGCTAGGGATCCCCGACGAGACCAGTTTGATTGGAACAGAGATAAATAAATCGGCAATAATAATCAAGCTCTTAAGACCTAAAGAATCAATTTCCACTCTGTCTCAGTAGCCCACAATCACGTATCCCTTTCTGCCCTTTTGAAGCTTAGTGCCACTTAATTATTCCGTCTCCTTTAATTATGCCCGCCATCAAACCCCCAAATCTAGTAGTTGTGAATTGATCACTTAACTGCCCTCCCCTGCAAATGACAACCGCAAATCAGTGGGCCTTAAATCATTAGAATACAATATATTGCAACTAGTCTATGGTAATGATAATGAAGTTACGTAATAAAGTGGGTTTAAACTTTAAAGATGAAGGGTGAAAACAGAAAGAGATAAGGCAAAAAAAAGAACCCTATAAATGATAACAAAGCATTGGGTTTCACCTAAAAGTGTGATTGGTTTGAATTAGAATGACCAGCTAAGCTCTCTCTTTCTCTTAAACCTAACTTGACAGCATTTCTTTGGGACCCTGATCTCAGAGAGGGCAGAGAAGAGAAAGGGCAAGAACACAAATTTATCTTATGGGTGCATTGTATATTCCTTATATTGTGCCAACACAACACAGCCCATTCTCTGTTGTAACCCTTCCAATCTTTTTACCTAATAACATGATGCCTCTGATTAGCAACTTTGCCCAACCCCTACTGCTGCTACCAAACTTGCCACCCTTTTTGTTTCCCCCAACTTGATTCTGACCATCTTTGAGCTTAAATATCTTAGAAGAAATTAAACTTTGTTTCAGCGAAACAGATAGTACACGATGCTCGATGGATTGATTTACACAAGATACTTTGCCCTGGTACTGCATTTTGAAGTTTTGTAAGTCACCACGCCATCAACAATTATGGTTGGTTGCACAAGACCAAGGTTGTCAAACCGGTTTGTGTCAGTGTGCCGGTTTAGCAAGTGGAATGGTTCGACCGGTAGTACATACCGGTTTGTATCGGTTCATGTCGGTTAATATTACAAATAATTTACAAATACTCATATTTTAACACGACATTTAACGTCAATACCTAAATATTTGTACTTGAATCCAACAAATAACATCAACATTTAACTTTCTAACACATAAAATAAATAATAAATTACTTTTTATCAATTAAATTCACTAAGATAAGATCTTTTTACTTGGAGATTCGTATATCGATCATGCCGGTCATACCGGTGGTGTCATACCAGTTCTCAGTTATCCCTAGAGTAACTTTTATCCGTTGAGCGACGACCCTTCCACTCGGCACCGTCGGATCACTAAGGCCGATTTTCGTCCCTGCTCGACGGATGGTCTTGCAGTCAAGCTCATTTATGTAAGTAGAGGATCACCATGCCACTAAGTTTTTGATTTTTTTAGCCTACTTGATACACAAACTGGAATTGGGCATAGGGGAATCTGGATTATTGTGTAGCTATGAAAACTTGACATCGTAATTTCTTAAAATATACAAATTATCAGAAGAAAATTCTTAAAATAAAAAGAGGTGCAAATACCCCAACAATGTCGAAACAACTTAAAGTTCGAATCATGAGAAATCGTAAAAGAGACTATAATCTATTAATACTAGCTTATAACCCGGCTCGTTGGCCGGAATGTTTATATTTGATTATTTATAATTTTATGTTAAGTTTAAGTCTATCAACCCGTTTAATTTTTTTTTACAATCTTTCGATCGAGATGATACATAAAGAAATAATATATATGTCGAACAATCGAAGAAATACCATCATCATTTAAGAATATAAAATATAAAAATGTATCATTGATTTCATTTTCATAATGATAATATTATATTGGTTAGTTGATAAAGATAGAATATAAAAGCTCAATGGAATTACCACACGACTCATATATAGTTTGAAACTGAATCTAAAACCTCACAATCCTACATAAAGGCTGCAATGCTCTCCTTTTAGGAACAACATGTCACTAATAAAAAAGAAATAGAGAGTTGTTGATTCAAGTCAACTATATACTACAAACTTAGCTAAAAGGGAACCATCAAAACTTGAGAACAAACGGCAAAATTAGGGTTAACTCCAATATACTAATAGACTTGATCAAAGTCATAAGACACAAAATTAGACACTCAATTTCTATCAGTTTCAGTAGGTTGAATAAAGAATCGACCTAATTCAGTAAATCAATCAATGATTTCTCGTTTTAAGATAGAAATAGGTTGTGGTAGCTGCAAAAAACCATAAACCTAAAGAGCCAATAGCCACCACTCTCCGTTGAACGACCAAATTTTTATCCACTCTATCTTTAATATCAAGAGGCATATGTTCCAACCAAACAACTCCATTTATGCTACTTTGATGGACCTTCTCTCTGTGACCCTCAATTTCTCTTCCAATTGGGGTTCTTGTCAACTCGCTCTTCAACTCCTCAATCTTCTTCTCGTGTTTGCTAACTCATCTTCCTCGGGGCAGTTGTAATAAGTTCGCTAAAACCAACACTCCTCTCCAGTTCCGTCAATATGTTCATCTCCCCCTTGTCTGGCTTCACCCGCTTCAGTCCACTTCATTGCCCTTCAATAACCTCTCCATTTTTATTACTATCCTCGTCATCTCTCACTTCTCTCTCTTTAACTGCTCCAGTTTCGCTTCCATGTCTTTCAACACCCTCCTCAATTCATTCACTACCCTCTCCAACTCCCGCTTCTTTGCCTTCACCTGCTACCAAATCCAAACACAATATCCACCCCCCCCCCCACACACACACACACTTTCATTCTCAAACTCAATTCCAACTCTTCTACTCCAAGTTCAAATTCATAACTACTTGATTGAACTCCATTCTATTCGTCATGGATTAATATCGGATTTGAAATTTTCTATTTGGCTAGCTTAAATCCCCAAAATAAAACTGTCGTGCCAAGAGAAACCGGAAAATTAATTTTCAAATGCGCCCTTGTACTCGGAAGTGAAAGGGCCAAATTATTGCACGATGGAGGGACTTTTGGAGTAAGTTATAAAGAGATAAGAACAAAGATAAAAAAGCACAAATTTTAAATTTAAATTGAAAAATGCAATGACACAACACGTAGTAAAAGAAATAGTTTCTTCCATGTTAGCCAATTACAAATTTACCTAAACGAAAATTAAGTAGATCATGAATTTTAAAATGGATAAAATTACATGAAACTCTACTATGGAAATTGAAGTATTAAGCACCATAAAAATATATATGGTAGACTTAGTGGGCTTGTTGATCATGATGTAAAAGTCATTCACTTTCTAGAGTTTAACTTACGGTATGTTTTGTATTCAAATAGAAACAGCAAATTCGTTTAGTGCAATTAGTTATAATTATTATCTTTGTTTGAAGAAACTCGGGTTCAAATCTTGATAATCAAATAAAACGTTAACCCAACTCAGTTGATTGGGCCTAGAAAATGAAGGCCCACAGAACTTCGCTTATGTAATGGTCAAGATATGAGCCCTGACCCAACAATTTTAGCCCACATTGGGTTGGTGGGTTGAAAATCGGGCGGGCTTCGGCTTTTAACATCTCAAACGGTCTCAACTCCTTCATCTTGCTAACTTGACTTATATGCATGAAGCCATGTAGCACCGTAGTTGTAGTTGTTGTTGTTGATTTGTAAAGAGGTAGAGGGCGATAGCTCATGATCGTGGAGGCCGAGATTGTGACAAAGACGTTGCTATTTATGTTCCATTTCGTCGTACTAATAAGATTGTCAGATTACAATCCATTATGTGCTTCCAACTTCATATAAATGTGTTGAGTGACTCTAGAAAAGTAACTGTGAAAGAAAAAGTACAATAAGAAACTCCATTATAAAATGAGACTGATATCATTGGATTGCATTTTATACGATTCCAAAGAAATTGGACGATTAAAATTTTACAGGTAGTATGTAATCCCATGATGTCAATGCAGGGACGGGATACGGTGACAACCCCTAAGGGGGTTGTCAGATTCACAACCAAGGGTATTTTGGGTATGAGAAAAATGAATATATTAATTATTTTTTTTGTATTAATTATATTGGGAATTAAAAACCCATATTAAATACAAATTTTTTTCTGAAATATAAATCCTATACATTAATATCTCTATTTATCTCTCTCTCTTCCTTTCTCCAGCAGCCACTCCGCATCGACCGAAAAACTTTTTCTCCGGCGAATTCTCTCCGGCAGACTCCCTCCGGCAACTTGAAAAAATGTACCAATGCGTTAAAAAGTGTACCAATCTATTAGTCTACTGGTAATTAATATACCAGTGCTAGTGGTACGCTACCAGTACGTTAAAAATGTACCAGTACTAGCGGTACCAGTAAAAAATGTACCAGTGCTAGTGGTACGCTACCAGTACGTTAAAAAATGTACCAGTACTAGCGGTACCAGTAAAAAATGTACCAGTACTAGTGGTACGCTACCAGTACAACGGTACCACTACCATATTGGTAACGGTACCAGTAGAGAATAACACAACGCTACTAGCACTGGTAGCGCTACCACTAGCATTGGTAACGGTACCAGTAGAGAACAACACACAAAAAAAACCCAGATGATAGTGGTACCAGATGATAGGGGAGCCACTGGTATTGGTACCAGTAGAGACAAACAAAAAATCAGATCGTCGTCCCTCCCACGGCGCACGGAACCAACCCAATCGCACCGCTACCGCCGCCGCACAACCGATCCCTCACGGAATTCGCGAACGACATGCCGGGGCCCACCCGCATGCTTTCCCCGCGTCGATGTCGGCGTGAGAGGGACTGCCGCCGTAGCGGAGATCGGCTAAGAGGCGGAGGATTGCATGGCGATTACGCCGCTGCGGGCGGCCATGTTTCTCTGGCCTGATAGGATGAAGACCTGCGACGGCGAATCCTGCTGTACGGGAGAGAGGGAGGAGAGAGAGAGAGGGAGGAAGGAGGGTGAGGGTTAGAGTTTTTTTTCTTTTTATATGGTAAGGTGAATGATTGGGGGTGGTAAATTTTTACCTTTCCAAAAATATCCTTCTTTTAATCTTAACCGTTAATTTAAAAAAAGAAGAAAGAGACAGAGGAGAGAGCGTATCCAAGGACTATGAAGTGGGTTGTGAATCTGACAACCCCTTAGGAGTTGTCACCGTATCTCGTCCCTGTCAATGCATCTTCATTTCCAAACTCATCCGTCCATTCGGGAACAGTATAGTAAATAAAAGCGGGGAAAAAAAATGACAATCAATGAATTTTAAGTCAATACCACCAATTAGCTGCCAGTAAAAATTGACCAATTAATTGTGTTTTACTCGAGCACCGCAGTAAGAACGTCGTCATGTGTTCCCAACGGCGGTCAAAAAAGTTCCTTCGTCGAGTAGCCATTTCTCGAGTAACGACAAGCTCGCCTCGTCCGGATCAGAGACGTCCTCGCACCCTTCTTCCGCCTTGAACGTCGTCGTCGTTGTAGCCGCAGGAGACCCGCCGAGGGAAAGACCGGAACAATTCGAAGCCCCGTCTGCCGACCCGAACCCGAACCCGAGCAGAGCATTGAATGAGTGACCCGGTGGTATTAACTCGACCACCGAGTCCCCACCACCACCAATGGCCATTGACTCGGCCGAGTCGTTGCAGGGGGACGAGTCGCAAACCTTACTCCCGGCGCTGCTACTAGTAGGCTTGTTTCTCACCCAGCCTTTAAGCAACCTGGCGATATTGTCGGCGCTGGACGCGTACGCCGTGGAGGAAGACGTGGCCGTCGGCGGGGGAGATATGGCGTGGGAGAGGGCGCGGCGGGCGGTGTGGATGTCGGATTGAAGCCTTCTCTCCCACTGGCCTCTGGAGGAGGGTTTCGTAGATTTCCTGCTGGAAGACGAGATCGATGAATTAGCCGACGAGGAAGTCGACGGCGAGGCAGACGGAGAAGAGGAATCGCTATTATTGTTCATCATCGACAGCTTCTTCTTGAGGTGGGTGTTCCAGTAGTTCTTGATGTCGTTGTCCGTTCTCTCCGGGAGGTACGAAGCTATGGCTGCCCATCTGTTCCCGAGAAGGGCTTGGAGATGGATGATCATCTTCTCTTCGTGGTCAGTGAAGTTGCCGCGCTTGATCCCTGGACGGAGGTAATTAGTCCATCGAAGCCGGCAGCTTTTGCTGCATCTCAGCAGCCCTGCAAAAGTTATAAATGACACATTATTTCTGATCGCAAATAGTTTTTTTTATGACAACTTCTTACTGATCGCAAATAGTTTCTTTTTTGTTGCATTACACAGAAATCACAGATGAGAAATGAGAATTGGGGAAAGTACCTGTGTGGGTGGGGACAGCTCTCCAGTTACCAGGGCCGTGCTCCTGAACGTAGGAGACGAGGAGGATGTCCTCTTCAGGAGTCCATGGACCTTTCTTCACCCCAGCCTTGTCACAGCATGGTGGTCTCCCCATTCTTCAGATCAGATCCTTCCCTTGTAATTGGATTCCTCACCTTTCTCTTCTTTTTGTTTCTTGTTTGGAGAAAGAAAGCAGATTGCTTGCTTGCTTAGATGCGCAGGTGGATTCTAAAGGGTACTGTGACTTGTGACTTGTGAGAAAGTTGGGGAGAAAGGAACGGTGAAAGTGCATTTATAGAGAGCACATTGCCCAAATGCTGACATTAATAAATAGGGAAGGAGAAAGAGACAGAGTGGAAAGGGGTGGGGGTGGCAGAGCAAAGAGAGTCAAAATGACAGCAACAAATGGGATGCATAATGGGTGAGGCCAAAGTCAGCTGTGTGAGAGACCAATGCTCTTTCGAAACCGCGTCCGCATTCAATGTGGCCTTGCCGCTGCTGCATTCAATTTCAGTGGAAAGGGCTAATTCTAAGCTTTCTTTTTTCCTGTTTTCTACACTAGCTAGCTAGGGTACTAGTGTCGACACAAAGCTCTCTGGTTGGCGATGTTAATAATGGAGTTTGAGTTGGTGATTTGTGGTGATCATAAATCATAATCCTGCTGCTGCTGCTGCTGCTGCTGCATGCTGCTTGCATGTGCAGTTAATATGAGCGAGAAGACGAACTAAGGATGATGGTGCTGGCTGGCTGGCAGGCAGGCACAGTAAGATTGTATAATGCCGCAATATCCCCAAGGTCTTTTCCCTCCCTTTAATAATGAGGAGGGATTATATTTGCCATTATATTCCTTGAATTGAAGAATTAAATTGGACTCCTCTTGAGCTTGACTTTTGTAATCTGTCTTGTCATTTTCTCTCCATGTACTCTTCTCTTGCTAGTTGCTAGCTACCTAGTTTGTTTTGCTCAGCCGATGCGTTTCGATTAAGTAGTCCATGACTAATTAAAGTTGCATTAACTTAGCTAATTCCTTTTTTTTAGGACGATTTGAAATTTGGTTTTGATTTTCAACCTCTTCCAACAATTTGAAATTGTTTACCACTAAAATTGGCTTAAGTTGGGCCTGAATGATGGAATTTTGGGCTTCATACCAAGTACCTCAACACACACCCATGCACCAAAGCTTTAACACTCTTCAACATCAAGTCATCAACCACCCAAGTGTACATGGTGGGGCGAAACTTGTCTAAGTATGGAGGAGTAATTGACGTAGCTTGTTCCCAAAAAAACCATAAAAAACATCAACACTCTCGTTTGAACATTGTTCGGAGATGTGTGAACCGTGTTATTGTCGCTGTTCAAAAAGTCGAATGTGCATTTATTGAAATCAAACACCAGATATTCCTCGCCGAAAAAACAAAATTATTTCTTTGAATTAATTTTTTACACGTATGTCCAGAAATGTTGGAGATAAAATTACATTTTATTACCTTTATATTTATTACATTGAATTATAATACCTAAACTTTTACAACTTTACAAACAGGTACAATGTGCTGGTATGAAGAATTTTATATCACTAGTTGTTGCTATGGGTAAAAAAATGACACGGATCACCTACGTTGACCCAATCCTTACGGGCTCAATCGACACTAAACTGACCCAACCCGACCCTCAGAATCGGGACGGTTCGAGGCTGATCAGTGGATCTCTACTCTCTAGGGTCAAACTTATACCCCAACTCTAAGTTACTAAAATCAACTTGTTATTCAGAATGTTGTCATTATTTCATTGCAGATACTATATTGATCATACATCTATGTTTTTTTTCTTACAAAATCGATATGTTTAAGTATCAAGATACTAGGGATGGTGCAATTTCAGAAATGAGATCTGTTGAATCAATAATGTTAGCAAACGTCTCATGCATGAATGGCCGGATTCGACATCAAGAGGGATTGGTGAACAATAAAATCATTTACATGCATTCTGACACACATATATATGCTACTGATTGTCATTGGAAAACAACAGAGATAAAAATACGGATTAATCTACAGAAAGATATATATGCAAACGCATCCCATTTCCCACCGAAAACTTTCCCTCAAGTAAAAAAAACAAAGATATATATATGAGAAGGAAAAATACGTTACGTTTGGTTGCACCAATAATTCAACAATAATATGGCAATACATATACAGAATTACAGTGATCATGCATGGATGTCTATTATTACAAAGAGAGAAGAAGAGAACACATGGATCGGCAGAATGATGAATGAACTGAAATCCCACAGTAAACCCTCTTCATTGCCCACATGCAATTGCAAACGCTATGGCCTAACAAAGCAAACAGTTTTTTTCCCGATTTTGCTGCTCTTTCGTTGCATGTTCATTAAGTATGTGTAATGTATCATTTATGTCCATGTCCCCTTTGACCCTTTCTTCTTTGCTGGGGAGCTTCTTCATCTAGAAACTTGATGACGTGGAGAGTTAGTTGCATTTAGAGGTGGCAATTGGATCGGATTCGTGGATTCATAGATTGGATTGGTGGATCCATGGATCAAATGGATTGGTGGATTCATGGATTGGATCAAATGGATTGGTGGATTGATCCATGAATCCAAATGACATCCAAGGCTTGGACCAAAATGTAAATTTTGAAAAGTTTAGGTACTAAAATGTCATAATGAAAATTTTTAGGTACCAAAATGTAATTTTCCAATGATGTTTTCGTATAAAAATATAAATTTTAGGTACCAAAATGTAAAATATAAAAAATATAGGTACCAAATCGTAATTTGTCATTTGGATACATGGATTGATCCATGAATCCACCAATCCAATTGGATTTGGATCAAATGTATTGGATTTAAATGGATTGGATTAGGTGGATAATTTGGTGGATGGATTGGATTGGATTCATGGATTTGGATCCTAATTGACACCACTAGTTGCATTAGTAGATTAACAGACACTCTTGTTGCATAGTTAATTATCCAGTGAGAACAGGAGCGGAGCTACTTGAAAGCTAGGGTGGGCCCCTGCCCCCGGGATTAGTCCCGACCCCTAGAATGTTAAGGATATTTAGATAAAATGTGAATAAGTAGGACTTGACCAGACATGAGTTCATTCAATTATCTGGTCTACTAGTAGCTAATCTTATTTTTAGTGTGGAGCACTCAGGTTCAATTCACCACTACCTCACATTTTGCTATAGTTTGAGTGATTTAAATGACTTTTAGAGTCTATTGAAAGTAAAGTAAGGTAGCAAAACATTTAGTTTACATACTATTTTTTAGTAATTTTTCAATGGTTTTAAAGAACGTTGTATACTTTTAAAATAATGATTTTATTTTTATTTACATTTAATTATTTTCGGCCCACCCGGTGTAGAAATCCTGGCTCCGCCCCTGAGTGAGAAGTTTTGTGTTTCAAATCAATCTATATACAGATTAATCTTGTATTATAAATGGAAGATTTCTCTTGCTTATATTGATTTTACACTACAGATGAATTTTTTTATTATATAGAAACCTGTAGTTTTTGATAGAAACCTGTAGCACTAGGGATGAGACTTTGATAATACTACAATGTAAAATAAGAAAAGAAATATATATCAATAGATTAAACAACCAAAGAAATATGTACCAATAGATTAAACATATACCAATATATTAAACAACCAAAGAAATATATACCAATAGATAAAAAAAAAATATTTCTCTAAGTAGAAATTCCATCTTCCTCCCTTCCTTCTCTCAACCCCATGCATTATATATGCATACTAGCCTATAGCCCGGCCCGTTGGCCGCATTTGTTTAAGGAAATGGAGTTACAATATCTATAATGATAGTATCGAGAAATGAGTCTTGTTTTATATTATCATAAGATTGTTGCAATTTTGCAATTCGTTGAAGACGAACATGTAATATGAATGAACATTCATAATAAGTTAGAAATACATTTGAAGATTAGCTAATCACAATAAAAATACTTACATGAAATTTTACTAATCACAAATCTAATCTAGTTGAGTATTACGACAAATAACATGCAAGTCCAAAATAAGAAAACTCAATACATTGTCTCATTGTTCATGACATGGTACTCAATTCAACAAAGGCAAAAATAATTTCACCAACACAAGTTCACAATAACCAAATGCATCGTTCCAGGGACCGACTGTGACCATGACTTCAAATGTCTGTTCTCCAAGCATGTCCAAGCATGTTCAGCATTGACAACATCTGCATGACTGAATACAGATTCAACAATCGTTCGTAACTGTGATGACGGGAAGACGATGTCAACACCAATGAATTCGTCCTCAATTGTGAGGTGGACGAAATGGATTCTGGATGCAGGGGACCAGGACGTCGTCAAATTCGTTACACGTCCGAATAACAAAAAAGAGGTGCCTTGATGTAAACACAGAAACGAATATTGTCAAAGCAAATCGATAAAATGCAGCATACCACAAAAGGCGTACGATTAAAAAGAAATTTATTTGTTTAGTTACCTGATTTTCGACATCCACTTGCAACATAATGAGACCGATGGTGTCGGCACGCTCACAAATTTCAAGAGCATCATCATATTGCAGATTAGCAATAAAACCATGGGGAAGCCTATATATTGGACTGTAAGTTTTGGCATTAAGTAGTGAAAAAGAATCGAAATTACATGATGTAGTATTTGTTGGATGCATGAGCAGTACTTACTGATTGAATTGAGGCAGGCCCGCCATATTGAATGCAATTCGCACGGTCAATGGAACCGAAGTGTTTTGTATGGGAAGTAGTAAACGGAAATTGTAACATGAGAGAAAGTGGTATCTCCATTATATAAAGGAGAGAAAGTGATTCTACACACGTGATTTACTTGGCCGCATGCAGTGGAGTACGTGTGTGTGTGGAAAGTGGGATAGTGGGGGAGTGGAGAAGGATTTGTGGCCTCGTGGGGGAGTGGAGAAGGTTGGCCATTTAGAGTTCAAGAGGCGGGTGTGTCACGGAACTCACGACCCACCTTCTTTTTTTTTTTTTGAGGGGAACGACCCACCTTTTTAAAATCAAACATGCGCCTTCCTTTTATTTTGTTGCAATTAAAAATTCAAAAACAAAAGAAGGTAAGTACAGAATAAAATATAAAGAGAAGAAAAATCAGTTCACTTTTCCCAAAAAAGACCTAGCAGCCCCCCAAATTATGCTTTTTCAGTTTTAATAATTCTCACTTTATTCTTTTATCTCTAATAAGTGAAACAATAATTGTAAAAAAAAATAATTGTTAAGTCTACCAAGTAAGTCAACACCGGTTTATGATCGGTTTTTCATATCGATTAACCACCGGTTATTTGATAAACCTTGAACCCTTTACTAATCCGGATCGATGTCCGGTTCCGTTTTAACAACATTGCTAATTGCGACTGTGTCAACAATTCTTGTCCAAAATTGCCTCTCAAAGTTGGTAATTATTATTTGATGCGCCAACCCGGCCGGCCCGGCCCACACCACCACTAATTAACATGAAATGAAAATCATAATGAATGTATTTAATAAAGAAATAATGGCTTGGAATGCGGCAGCCTTCACCTCATAGAAGATCCAAAAAAATCGGATAATGGGCACTAGAGGAGGTGGGGGAGTGGGGGAGTGGAGAAGGATCCGCCCAAGGTAGTGTAGGTTGGCCTTTTTTTTATGGGAATAGGTTGGCCATTTTGTTTCAACAAATCCGGCTGGGCATTCACTCTCTAACTATATTTTATTTAACTGAACCATGCTTGGGTTGTTTTGTGGGCTGGGTTGTGGTGTTAATTTAGTTTAGTTCAGTTGCGACTATGGAAGTTCTTCTTCGTATTGCAATATAACGGTCACACTCGCATACCCTTCGGTAGAGTAAATTGAGGTACAATTAAATATAAAGTAGTGTGCATAAATCACATTTCATATAATTGGCTGTTAAAAACAGGAAAATAATTTGGACAAATTGAGAACTCAAGATTCAAATTGTAACGACCCGATAAATTTGAAAGTCTTAGTCCTCAAATCGAATAAAACATAATACATCAATAAACCACTACTAAAAAATCTCAGTGAACACAATGTTCTGCATAGTCTTCACCGGTTTACCTTGAGAGTCACAGCTAAGAATCTTGAGTCCCCTTTCCGACGTAACTCGAGACATAGCAACATACAACTGTCCATGAGAAAATACTTGTCTTTGCAAATAGATGCCAACGTGATTTAATGTTTGACCTTGACTCTTGTTAATTGTCATTGCATATGACAGTGCAATTGGATATTGCCTTCGAACCAGAGTGAAATTTAAGCTCTTGTAGTGGACCGATAGACTTAGGCGTGGTAAGAAAACTGTATCACCAACATGTGTCCCGGTCCAAAATTTGGACCTCAATAAACCACTTACCTAATCTCTTAACGATCATCCGAGTTCCATTGCAAAGCCCAGTACTCTGATCCAGATTTCGAAGCAGAATAACAGGGCACCCCAACTTCAATTTCAACTCATGTTCCGGAAAATTCCCAATCTTTAAAGAGTTCAAGAATTCAACTGTGTAGTCCCCTTCTTCAACATGTTGATTCTTGGCATCAATCTCTAGCGAATCCGAACTAAAATAAGAAACTTCTTCACCAGGAAATAGACCCAATACATAATTGTTAATGGCCGCAACAGTGTCATTATGAGGGGCTAAGATAGCTCGCTCAACCAAATAGGTTGACATATTTTCAGTGGAGAGTAACTGACCATATATTTCAGCAACAATATCAGGAATTGGATCACTGCGACGGGGAACACAAATGTGTAGAGGTATCGGGATAATTGATTCTCCAAAAATATTACTATTTGTACCATCACCAATTTCCAAAAGCCATTTGCTAAAATTTGAGATTGCTAACCTGGCCGATGCTTCAGAATGAGGCAATTTTAATCGCATGTTCTCGGTTAGCTTCAATACTGTCATAGACCGCCACAAATAAGATCTCTTTATGGAAGAATTAACAATTTCAGTCCGTGTACCCTTCGTGATGATAGGTAACGTCTGTCGGAAATCACCTCCAAACACAATAGTCATACCTCCAAAAGGCTTCAACTCAGAATCAACATGCTTAACTCGGAAAATATCCCTCAATGTCCTCTCTAGGTCCTCTATGTTGTGTTTATGAGCCATCGGTGCCTCATCCCAGATAATAAGTGAAGCATTGAGAATTAATTCAGCTACCTCAGAACCTTGCTCAATATTGCAAGTTGATTTTGTATCACAATCCAGGGGAATGTGAAATCTTGAGTGTGCAGTTCTTCCACCGACCATGAGCAGTGCAGCAATACCAGATGAAGCAACACATAATACTATCCTCTTCTCAAATCTTAATTGCTCACAAATTGCTCGCCACAGAAATGTCTTACCAGTACCCCCAAATCCATCCACAAAAAAGCATTTACCCTCATTGGTATAAACAGAATGTAATACCATATCGTAAGCGATTTGTTGTTCTCCATTCAACGGTCTACTATGTCGATCCTCAGAACAGTTGAAACACCCTAACCCGGCCGGGTACTACTTTTACTAAAATGCCCTTGATAAATAAAGTGTTCAAACCTTAAATTGCAGCGGGAAAATTTTTCATAAATAAAATACTGAAAACACACACTTGTAGTTCAAAGTGAAGCCCTAACACGTGGGCAAATTAAACTCAAACTTTAAAATCTCAATCTGATCTCAAAATAATCTCCAGTCTGTACTCATAATCATAAATTTAAATAACTAACAATCTCTGTAGTGGTTGCTACTGAAATCTTTGACTAAGCATCATCCGTAACGCTTATACTGCTCTCCTCTAGCTGGCTGCCCTCGAACTCGCTGCTCAATACTGCTCCTCTAGCTCTTTCTCTAGCTCTTCAAACTGGTGAGTGAGATGGGGTCAGTCTACGCCCTTACGTTTTAATACTTCTACTACTTGAGTACTTTACTTAAACACTTACTTTAGCTAGTGGAAGTTGGTTGTACTTCCAATCTTAAAATCTTAACTCTTAAACTTTGAGGGAGTTAGAGTTACTCTCCTCTCTTAAAACTCAAATCTTGACTTAAATACTTGACTGACACGGGGATCCCTCACTAGCTAGTCCGGTTGCCAACTCATACGTATGAGAAGCCATTCAGGCTTTCCTTAAACTTAAACTTAGTTAGGGAAGTCGTAACGATTCATCCCCCTAACATCTTAAACTTATCGTGGTGGCTCTTCACCACGATTCTCAAGGGCATAACTGCTGCCCACCTTAAAAATCTCAAGAGCATAACTGCTGCTCTAACTCAAACTGTCTCAAAAGGCAACGGACTGGCGCTAGTGACTAAAAACACTTAAAACGACTTCACCTTCTTGAAGGTGAGTTACTTCTTTAAAAAGAACTTGCTTCTTACTCTTAATAATAACTTATACTCGTTAAAATTTCAAGGTACTTAATAAACACTCACTTCAAGCATAGCTCAAACAAAATCACCTCAAATAGCACGAAATCATCTCATACCCTAACTCAAGCAAAGCACAAACAATCAATCATACACATAACCAAGCAACGATAACCAAATCGCTAAAATACTTAAAATCATAATACTTAAAAAAATACGTAAGGCGTAGAATTTACCCCCTTTACACTCACCTTAATACTGAAGTCAAAACCTCGAGATAAGGCTGTTGTGCCCTGGTCTCCATGAAACCACATTTTTGCACGGCATCTCATCAAAACAGGCACGAGCAGACGAGATGTTCTTCACCCTTGGCATCTTTAGGAAGAGCCCGCTTCACTTCTACTTGCTTCCCGTTCAAATCATGAAATGTTTTGTGCAACACTCTATCGACCCAATCCTCCGACTCAAAGGAAATAAATCCAAACACTCGATTGGCCATAAGATCCTGCCGCCATCACCTGGACTATCTACTTCCCCACAAGAAGGCGATCTCACCTGGACCATCCATTATCTGGCGGTAGTGAAATTGGTGATGACGATGTGATAGAAGGATGGACTTGTCCGCTTGCGAGGGGAAAGGACAAGTGCTTCCGGCGGTGAGACGCGCAAGGGAGCGTCTTGGGCGGCGAAAATTGGATGGAGTCGAGGGTTTTGGAAAACCTTGAGGGCCGAGCTCCCTCTCGGTTTATATGTATTTCTTTTTAAATAATAATATAGTTATTATTATTATTATTATTCATAAACCGTGGTTGCAACCCTTCGTACGTAACCATCGATCCAATCATTTGGTCGAACCTAACCCAAAATTCGGGATGTTATATTTCCTCCACCCTTATAAAAATTTCGTCCCCGAAATTTGCTTGAAACTCGTTGCTCATTCTACACCATCTTTGTATTTCCTTGCCTCAAGAATTTACTCTAGCTAAATGTACTTCGATGATGTCCGTTACTTGTAAGATGTCCGTTGCTTGTCCCGTATGATTTACTTCACTTCTTAAATTTCCTCTTGACCATAGAGGAGATTCTCACCAAGCTCGTTAGCATCGGCCAGCTTTGGGTGGCTACTTATCCTTTTTAATTCCCCACTTGGGCATAAGGCGTGACGAGACAACACATCAAGTCGATTTATTGGTCCAGCCTATTCCGTACTTGTTTTTGAACCTTAGATCGAATTCGAGGTGTCACATTTCCTCCCTCCTTAAGAAAAATTTCGACCTCGAAATTTGTTCATTGCTGATAACCTAAAGTCTAACTTGAGGTAATCCTTCTTCTGCAAGGACTTATACTTCCTTTACCTTATACAACCTGGAGCTATAAACCCTTTCCTCCAATTCGTGTGCTTCTTGACCAACTAATTACTCGCCCACTTTTCATAAATCTCTTGCTCAAGCTAGTTACTTGCTCAACGCGTCTATGGCACTCTACCTTCTTAAATGCCTCTGATGCTATAATGGCTTCGTAGCTCATATTGCTCTCAACTATTTGTCTTGGGTCTCTACTTAGGATTCCTTAAGAACTTTAAGGAAATAAATTATTAGCCAGCCCTATTCAAGTCATGACTCGTTGTAACTTCAGCTCATACCAGGCCCAAACCTTGAACTTGGTCCTCCCTATCTTGACTGCTGACCACTCTCCTTGGTATAGAATGTTTGACCTGCTTAATGATTAACTCCAGTGCTGATTCCTAGGTATCGCTTCTTCTCCCTTTATAGGCCTCGTTATTCTCCTCTTTGATAATTTCACTTGATACGCACTCTTGATGCCGGATTCACCATATATGGTTGCTTTAGCATGAGAAAATCCCTTACACATCCCTATTGACATTCTTAATACCCCTTTCAACCCAAAGGTTACTAATGGCGTCTTAACCTCCATCTTGTTATCACAACTCCTTTAATGTAACCTCATCTGTGGTTGACCACATCGGTCACCTAGGTCCTTGTATCTCCTAACTTGTATCTCTTACCTCCTTCCTCGATACTTAATCTTATCCGTTGATCATAAACAGAAAGGTCATCTCCTCGTTACTTCTTTCTTAATGCCGAGACCTCATACTACTGCTTTTACTTTCTGTATGCGTCAGAGGCATCCATTGCATCGCATCCCTAACTTGCATTCAAATTGGTGCTTCTTTCAAGACTCATGACATTCTCCTTAGCTTGCTTGTTCACCACTGGCCGCCTAAATAATACTCCCTTATTGTTGTTTGGATTTGCAGTTCTCGTACTATCCATTCCGCCACTCTTAGACCCTAGCTGAAATTCCTCATACGGTTTCCCCGTCCAACATAGTCTTACCCGAGAGATTGACACCTTTCACCAGTATAGGCAATTATTGGTTTCACTTTGGGGTATCCTAGCAGGTTCCCTAAACTTATATCCCTCTTACTTCGTTACTCTCACTCTTCTTCTTGATGTTCCTCGCTAGTTCTATATGTCCCTCGTCCTTGATGCAGTCATTTTGATGCCCATATTCTCTTCTCACTTATGTACCTTGACCGATAAGGTTTTCCCTTCGACCGTTCTGGACCACCACACTTCTACTTTAAAGTTGACCATTGAGCTTCTCCGTTCTTGATGGGCTTCCTATGGTCCAACTTATTCTCCATAGTCAATCACCTTAACGCCTCCTTGTTGACCTTCGTATTCTTTCGCCGGCTCTTCCTAACTATCTTTCTTCCTGAATTTGTCGTTTTATCAACTACCACCATTTTCACCATAACTTTCATTACAGCTTGTGGTTCCCTCCTTACTTCCACAACTCCTTCATCGACGCTCGGTACTAGCTTTGATCTACTCAGTTTAGTAGCTCCTCGCCATACCTCAGAGCCAACATTTCCACTAGAAACTTTCTCTGGGTAGACCTGACAGATGACACTCACGACTTCTACTCACGATGGTGCTCGACCACGTCCCAACTATCTTCCTTCACGCATTCATTGTCCGGTCGACAACCACCCTTTTTATTTTATTTCGTATAGCGTCCTATGGTGTTCTCCTTGCTCCTTTACTTTTACTACCCTTCTGTTGATACTTGTACTATTTTCGGTCACCAACCCAGTTGAGTATCTTCTCGTTGTTGTTTTGGGTCACAGCTTCCAATAGGGGCTTGCCCTTGGTAGGCTTGAACATACCTCATCCACGTCTTTTGTCTCGACCGATGCTTATACATAACCTTAATCTCTTAATCATAGCTCTTAGCGACTTAACTAGATATCACTAATTTATCCTTAACTGGCCGTCTTTTATGGATGACATCCTACTTCGTCGTACTCGCTCAGAGTGGGGCACCTTGGGTAAGGTAACTTAGTGATTTCCTTCTTCTTGGTAATGCTTTTCCTCGTCGTACCTCTTTGTGCAGCTTCTTGACCTCGAGTCACCTGATACTTGACCCATTGACTTCTTGAAATCTCGTCAAACTCCCTCTGGCCTTTTTGCTCTTCCTTGGTATTGGTCGCAAACTCTCTTCCTTACGACCGTTTAGACTCTTCCTCGAATTCTCCAACTTTCATAGAACTTCTAATGAACGTGGTACTTGCTTGTCTATACCCGGTTGATTGAATGATTTACTCCTACGGCTGGTTCCGAGACCTCAGCTCTTAGTCCTCTAGTTCCAACTTAGTAGAGAGGTTCCTCCTTCTATCACTCCTCATGTACCCTAGGAGGCTAGGTGTTCCCTCTATTTAAGAGAGGACAATCCCATAATAGATCGTCGTGAACTCTTGCATACCCCTTCCAACGGTCCCAACGTCCTCCTGACCTTTTGTGATCTGGGTAGTTTGTAGGGTCTCTACTATCCTCCTTCTAACTCGGTGTTATCTTGGTATCCCACTCACGCACTTTTGAGAAGTGGTTCTCTATTCGTACTGCCATCTACTAGCTAACTGTTATTCCCTCTCACATTCCATGTCTTTTCTTATGTATTGACCCCCCACTGTCTTCTAACAGGCATGCTTTAGACTTCGGTGGCACTTTCCTCCACGTCTCGTCCAATGGTGGTCGTACTGAGACCATAACTTGTCCTCTACATCATTTATCTCGTTGCTTGTCTTATTCCTTCTAAAGGGTTTTCATCGGCCCAACTTCCCAGGGTCATGTTGACTCTTGTCTTGTTCCCTTCAAAAGCTTGATACCGGTCCAATTCCCCAGGGTCATGTACCCTCTTCTAGATGACGTAGTTTATCTACAAGGGTCCCTTCATCGTCATATGTAAATGATTATACCTCCTCTACGCCTTGGCCTTTTGACTCTTTGACGTCCTTTCAGACCCCCTCTAACCCACTTACTTCCTCATTTACTTCATTTACACTACCCTAGCTCCTCTTGAAGTCTAAGCTTTTCACTGCTCCTTGTCACTATGTTGTAATAGCGTTGACCACTAAAGCTAGTTGAGGGACCTCTCGTGGTACCTCTTCATTTCTTGGCTCGTCGCTTCCTCGACACTTCTTAGGGTCAAGGACCCTGAAATCCTCCCATCGTTATAGCTACTGACATCTAGTGACTGTAGCTCTTTCTTCGGAGATTCATAGTTCTCCTATTTGTTTGCTTTTGCTTATTAGATCCTCTCCTTGCTACCTAGTAGTGGAATCCTCGTACTACTCCTTCAACTCCTTCAAAATCCTAGAGGTATTCCTCTACGATTGAAACCTCTTCTATTAGAACTTTAGTTATTTACCTTAATACGATTAGAGTAGACTGAAGATCCTATAAACTCTTAAAAGAAGATCCTTGACTCGTTTTCCTTTCCTTTAAAACAAAACCTTTAAAAACTGAGACCGACATTCCAGTATTCCTTGGAAACCAAGGAACAGAGGAAAACCGGCTCTGATACCAAAATGAAACACCCTAACCCGGCCGGGTACTACTTTTACTAAAATGCCCTTGATAAATAAAGTGTTCAAACCTTAAATTGCAGCGGGAAAATTTTTCATAAATAAAATACTGAAAACACACACTTGTAGTTCAAAGTGAAGCCCTAACACGTGGGCAAATTAAACTCAAACTTTAAAATCTCAATCTGATCTCAAAATAATCTCCAGTCTGTACTCATAATCATAAATTTAAATAACTAACAATCTTTGTAGTGGTTGCTACTGAAATCTTTGACTAAGCATCATCCGTAACGCTTATACTGCTCTCCTCTAGCTGGCTGCCCTCGAACTCGCTGCTCAATACTGCTCCTCTAGATCTTTCTCTAGCTCTTCAAACTGGTGAGTGAGATGGGGTCAGTCTACGCCCTTACGTTTTAATACTTCTACTACTTGAGTACTTTACTTAAACACTTACTTTAGCTAGTGGAAGTTGGTTGTACTTCCAATCTTAAAATCTTAACTCTTAAACTTTGAGGGAGTTAGAGTTACTCTCCTCTCTTAAAACTCAAATCTTGACTTAAATACTTGACTGACACGGGGATCCCTCACTAGCTAGTCCGGTTGCCAACTCATACGTATGAGAAGCCATTCAGGCTTTCCTTAAACTTAAACTTAGTTAGGGAAGTCGTAACGATTCATCCCCCTAACATCTTAAACTTATCGTGGTGGCTCTTCACCACGATTCTCAAGGGCATAACTGCTGCCCACCTTAAAAATCTCAAGAGCATAACTGCTGCTCTAACTCAAACTGTCTCAAAAGGCAACGGACTGGCGCTAGTGACTAAAAACACTTAAAACGACTTCACCTTCTTGAAGGTGAGTTACTTCTTTAAAAAGAACTTGCTTCTTACTCTTAATAATAACTTATACTCGTTAAAATTTCAAGGTACTTAATAAACACTCACTTCAAGCATAGCTCAAACAAAATCACCTCAAATAGCACGAAATCATCTCATACCCTAACTCAAGCAAAGCACAAACAATCAATCATACACATAACCAAGCAACGATAACCAAATCGCTAAAATACTTAAAATCATAATACTTAAAAAAATACGTAAGGCGTAGAATTTACCCCCTTTACACTCACCTTAATACTGAAGTCAAAACCTCGAGATAAGGCTGTTGTGCCCTGGTCTCCATGAAACCACATTTTTGCACGGCATCTCATCAAAACAGGCACGAGCAGACGAGATGTTCTTCACCCTTGGCATCTTTAGGAAGAGCCCGCTTCACTTCTACTTGCTTCCCGTTCAAATCATGAAATGTTTTGTGCAACACTCTATCGACCCAATCCTCCGACTCAAAGGAAATAAATCCAAACACTCGATTGGCCATAAGATCCTGCCGCCATCACCTGGACTATCTACTTCCCCACAAGAAGGCGATCTCACCTGGACCATCCATTATCTGGCGGTAGTGAAATTGGTGATGACGATGTGATAGAAGGATGGACTTGTCCGCTTGCGAGGGGAAAGGACAAGTGCTTCCGGCGGTGAGACGCGCAAGGGAGCGTCTTGGGCGGCGGAAATTGGATGGAGTCGAGGGTTTTGGAAAACCTTGAGGGCCGAGCTCCCTCTCGGTTTATATGTATTTTTTTTAAATAATAATATAGTTATTATTATTATTATTATTCATAAACCGCGGTTGCAACCCTTCGTACGTAACCATCGATCCAATCATTCGGTCGAACCTAACCCAAAATTCGGGATGTTATAACAGTCTAAGTCATCGGGTCCATAATTCATCTCCATATCTATCAGCCTGTTTACCGTATGTGAACGCAAACACTGATCGGGAACATGCAACCCAGGGAAATCTGCTAATGACTTCGAAAATCTCTCCATCAATTTGTCAATATGAATAAGGCACAACTCCTTAATTTCATCCTCCGACAAATTCAACTGGAGTAAATTCAGCTCTCTACGTCGTGAATGCAAAATGCCTTCACTTAGTAATTCCCAATTCTTTAACCAAAAAGAAGTCACATTAGCCACCTGACAATGAATAAGAATTGTGACAAAAAGTTTTCTAAGTTTATAACCAGAAGCCCAGTGCGAAGCTTCTTGGACACAATCATTCCATTCAGAATCTCCTGATAACAGTCCCCGAGCATAACATGCTTTTTGGAATGTTTCATATACCACCCCATTCACTGTTCTAATATCATCATAAGAACAACAACCCCTAACAACATGCAATAGCATTCGCAAATAGTATCGCTCCTTTGCGGATGGGTAGCAGTAATATAATCTAGCAATGCAGGTACCTTTTTGCGCTGCTGCCACTTCTTGTATTTTTTATTCCATACATAATATTGTGGCATCTCCGCAAAGGTATATTTCCGTGCATCCATTGACTGAAGATTGAGATCCATCCATGCTAACAACATTGAGGTTTGGGAACTGCTAGACTCAACCGCTTCCTCCACGTTAGAATCAACATTTGAATACACTGTATTTTCACCAGGCAAATGACAGGACATACGCAGTACTGTTGGAGAGTGAGTGTATATATCAAACCTAAAAATTCTCCAACATGCGTCTCCCGATGTGATGTAACGGGCATCCATGAATGCCTTTATCTCATCGATTTGCACAACCGTAGTTCCACGATTCCGACCATCCATAGCCGAAGCTGTTTGTTGTACAGCTACAGTGACCATTGCACGATCCTCGGGTTTGTTGATGTACTTAAACAAATATTTCACAGCCCTATAGAAACATCAAATAAAACCAAGTTGTAGATGTTAGATAGGGAAGTAGGAAAAAGTTGTATTACATTTTTTCTTAAATGTGACTTGTATTAAATAAGAAATCAAAGTACAGAGAACAAAAGGCAACAAATGGATCACAATAGCTTATCCAAGGGGAAAAGAAAATGAAGGAAAACACACCAAAAAATATTACAAAAATTACGGAGTTGCGGCAAGAAGTCACACCAATAAGATAACACTGGGTTTATAAAATAACTATAAAAAAAAGAGAAATCACACAAATATTGGTTTGGTTTTTATTCATCTTTGGAAATTAAATCATAATTCATATGCATGCATAAAGTTAATAATGAGTGTAGCATATAAATATACATATAGCCTGTCATTAAGAATCTGAGTTTGGTAATATAATAAAGGAAACAACAACGTCATATAGATAAATACGATTTACTTCAGCCATATCTTGTCTTGTTACAATATTCAATATTGATATGCGCTCCAAATCGTAGTAACAAATATCGATTGTAGGGTACAACCCATCGATTATCCAGATCAACGCCGCCACAGTTGAAAACTCTACCATTGTTCCGCCGACGATATTTAGCAAACCCAGTTTCATCAATAGTTGTTTGAGAAGAGTATTCCTTGGGGTAATGCTTACTACATTTCCCATTCTTCATGCACACATTATTAGGACGTACTGTACCACACGGGCCATGCATCATTGAACTTGTGACAACTGCATACAGTTCAGGATCAAGATCAGGATCCGGAATTTCAGCACATATTATGGAATCAATAGCCGCAGGACCATGGAATTTATTCTCCGAGGCCAAAAAAGCAATATGTGTGCATGAGGGAGACCCCGCTTTTGCCATTCAATTGCTTTGACATCTGTACAGCAAGATGCAAATAGTGGAAAAGGAATATTAGTTCAATGAGGTAAGAGAGTAATGGATGAACATTAATAGATAAATAACGAATGAATAAGCACACATATATTCATTGATTTTCCCAAATATTTGTTTCTCGCGAATCTCTAACATAAACTCATCAAGCTTGATTTTGAAAACTCTGGCGGTGATGTAAGCCCGGTCAGGATCTTTGCCACTGTACCTTCTAATCAAATCAACCATTAACTGTATCTCTGGCCAGTTAGAATTGCAAGTGAATGTTATAAACAAATCAGGATAACCAATCCACTTGCAAATAGCCATCGCATCCTGAAAATTCTCATACTTGTATCTTGGACTACCAGTGTGTGAGGCAGCTAAAATAACTGGCTTCCCAGAAAGCTTGATATCACTATCCCCTCGCAAATAAGAATTCAACAAATCCTTGTAGTAGTGTCCTCTTAGCTTCGACTGATGGGTACGCATCCAGTCTAAGCGTTCAGCCTCAATTAACGCAAATGCATTCACCATATATTGTTGAAACAATTTACCAGATAATAACAGAGAATTCGACTCCTGGAGACGGGTTTGAAGACGATATGCATAGAAATCACACTGGGTTATCATTTTATCTCCAACACTGATATTAGAGCTACTGTGACTATAGCTAATGCAGGGATGCCACCCATCCTCGCCATATGGGAATAAAATTGGATATTGTAATGCCATCAGACTTGGATGGTATACGCTAATCCTTTCCATTTCTGAACCCTTCTGTTGAACAATTATATCTGGAGAAAATGATTGCTCTCCTGTTTCATCTACAATCAATGCTGCAATCTCATTCGCAGAGGGCAAATCATATTCTCTACTATTAATTTGACGCTTAGCCAATAGTTTCAGTTGAAGCTCCTGGACACCAGAGTTTTGTATCCTATCTCGCGCAGAACGAAATGTACGTACCAGGATATTATTGTCATCAAACATATGCTGGAGGCCTTCAACAATACACTGGTGCAACGGATTCTTGGCAGGATCAGTGGAGTAAAAGTCCATACGATTCTGCACCTCGTTATCTGAATCGTGAATGTAAAGCTGTGCAAATTTCGGACTATCCCCATCACCAGGAACCAAACATCCTATTCGATGATAAATCTGACCACCGATTGAATATACATAAACTCCACGACCATCATTAATAGAGTGATTGACTTTACCTCCGAGAGAAATAAAGCAAAAAACCCCATTATAGGCTCTGATGTTAGTACGAAAGTGACGCGCTAATGGTGTATCCCCTTCAAGTAGAGTTTTAAGAAATTCGGGCACATCTCTGCGGGGAGGCAATTTCACTTTACCATGTTTGCAACATGAAGGAAATGCAGGCTACACATCATTCCGTGTAGATAAAGTACTCTCGAACCGCCACATAACTGCTCCACAATGTTGACACGTACATGAAGGTGGACCAATATCAAAAAATTCAACCAACGGAAGACCTAGTGAAATAGATAAGTAATATTAATAAATTTTTGTCACAGTAATTCATATATTGAATGAGATTGAGAAACAGTGAAGCCGATTTAGGCGCGCTACAGTAAACACAATTATTAAAATAAATGTTCTCAAGGCAAGATAGATTGGTATACCGCTCATTTTAAGTAAGAATAAATCAAATTTCAGGAAACACCAAAGTTTGTTCATAACACACAAATTTGCCGTTGACACATCAACATCTAAAAACAATCCACTATTTGCATAAGGTGACATGAAGCGTACATCACTAAATTATATGCATGGCATAAATGGGTACATTGTATGTTCTAAAACCAAAATAGGAAACAAAATATGTTGACCAAAACACAAAAACTAAACCAAAATAGAGATGAACCATTTCATGTATAATAGTGGCCATTAGAATCCACATACTTTGATTGACTTCTGTAGGAAAGAAACTTCGGCCACGTCTCTTTCTATGCAGATGAATACGTCGAAGTAATCGACTTTGCTTTTGTAATAGAAATCTAAACTCCGGCTCCAAAACTATGAACAACACCAAAACACATACGATATTAAAGAAATAAATAAAGATTCAACAATCTAGAATAGCCTAATTTGTAAGACTTGCTACAAAATTTAGCAAACAACAACCTTGGTGTTCATAAGGCAAGCCCCTCCTATGAACCTTCTGTTTCAAAATATGATGTCTTCTCTTACGGGCGACTTGGGATAGTATTCGCCGAAGTTGAGAGAGTTGGAATTGTAAGCCAGCTTCTTCTGCAGAATTTAAATATAAAACCATGTATTACTCATTGAATAGATGAACTAATTAGAAAAATTAAAACACAGATAACACACCTCTCTCAAATGCTTCTTCCTCTTCAGCAGATAAAACACAGCGTTGGTACTGATCTTCAGGATGAATAAACACTGCTCGACGTTTCCCTAAACAAATGAAATTCAAGGGAAAATATTAATGTCAGTTTGCATTGAAGCAGTTGCGTGCTAAACCATGACACTCACATGGTACAGACGATCGATAAATCTGTGGTTGGGCAGATGGGATGACATTTGCACTATCCATATTAAATTCTCCAATAACCTTATGCAATCTGAAATAGAGGTCGTGGTAAATGATGCACCCGTTCCAGTAAATTTTGCAGCTGCCATTCATATAAATTAATTAATTGTTACAACAGAAGTTGAACTCCTCACCAATTATAAGTTTGTGCGAGTTAATGACACATACAACACACCACACAAACATAACAGTCGAAGAAAAATATAACTATATAAGGCATAATTTAAATTGATGAACAAAACACATATAACAGAATGGCTTCCAAGCTTGGGGATGCAAAGGAAGAGCGAGAAGGACAACAATGTAATGGCCAACACAAATATAATTCAAAGGCATCCATAAAAACCATATCCAAAGAGAAGTTTGAAAAAGAAGCAAGCTGGCAATAAGAAAAGCACTATAAGTGCTTACCAATTCTAGTTCTTCTAACTATACCAAGCTTATCCCTTCTTTCAATTATGCAGTTTACGCTTTGTACTTTTAGCACAAATGGATTCCAACTCTAATGTCACAATACAAATACAATGCAAATGAAGTTGAAGAACAATAAAACAAACTAATGGAGTGAGATAAAACTGTCCAATGATCTTATGTAATAACGGGGAAAAAGCTTGGTAGAACCAATACACTAACCAGTGGAGCATGCTTATCAATACCGCCTACTTTATACTTCTTTAGTGATTAGAGCTGAAAGTACATTATCAGATCATAGCCAGTCCCATTAGATTAATTAACCTAGAAACATATGAGAGAAAACCTTACTGATCAAGTTGGATTTCGACATTTACCTGCAACATAGTTAACATCAGAAAGTAAATTGATTATGTCTCATACGTGGTGGCGGGTGGGGGACGGCGCGCCAAATTTCGTCGGCGATGGGCTGGTTCTGGACTCAAGTAGGCTGGGCCTCTGAAGTATGGGCTGGCGAGAGAAATGGATCCCCGAGGCCTTATGGTTTACGCTTTCCTTTTCCCCCGCCAGGCCAGCGGTAGTTTATAGCCGGCCCTTCGGTTTACTGACCCGGAAAACGACCCGGACGAAGTACCTGGCTGCCGCCGCCGAACGTCTCTTTCTTTCCTCTTCTTTCTCTGCGGCCCGGAAAAACTCAGCTCAAAATCGGCAGTCGGCTGCTCTCTGGAAGACAGTCTAAGCGAAGTGGAATTTAAAGTAAGCAGCTTTGTTACTTTCAAGAGAAAGGGAAAAATTAAAAATCCCCTTTTGATCTCTAGAGAATCCAATCAACAGAATGAAGCGAGGAAGGTAAGAGAGAATAAAGAAAACGGAATGAACCAAAGGTAAGGGAGATGAATCTTTGCAACCGAATCCCTGGAAAAAAAAAACCCAGAACCCGAATCCCTAAAACTTAAAAGCAGCGACAACAACAAACAGAAATCTGAAAGAGGAAGAATAACTTACGGCAAAACCAATACCGATCTAACGCTTAGAGAACGGAAATCAAAGGTAGATGCAATCACATAAAAGAACCAGATGATTGAGTCAAGGTTTGGTTTTCTCAAGGCCAAGAAACTTATTCGAATGAGGTGAAAGAGTGGAAGGAAGGGAAATCGGAAATAAAAAATACAAATTAAATGAGAACGTGGGCCTGGAAGGAGAAAAAAGTGGGTAGTAGAGAGTTTTTTATACAAATTAAATGAGAACATGGGCCTGGAAGGAGAAAAAAGTGGGTAGTGGAGAGTTTTTTGGTTCTGAAATCAGGCGGGACTCCTTTTTTTTCCGCTTAACACTCTGCCACATCAGCTTCCTAAAATTACTCTATAGACAGGAAATTTTGAATGGTGGTTGCAGTTTTACTTTTCACCTATAAATTATACTGTTGATGCATTCCTCCCTCCATGCCCTGCAACAGACGTGCGTGACCTACTGACTTCCTTTGCTTTTCCATAACTTTCCCGGCCCACTTCTATTTACTACAAAGGCCCACATTTTTTCCTTCCTTTTGTTTTTAGTCACCCACAATAACGTGGTCCCTGAGACCAAAACAACGGATTGGGCCTGATGAGCGAACCCAAAGTCCAACGGTATTCTTAAACGTAAGAAAAAGAAGTTTCAGACGTGACCGGGCCGGGCTGGGCCGGGCCAGAAGTATATTGGGTTTATCTACTAATTCTTCTACTCCACTTGTCGGCCTCGCCACGAGGATCCATCCATCGACTTTGATGTCTGGTAATTGAATCATCGTGGACAACTTGGCTGTCGAATTTTTTTTTTTTTTACAAAAGATAATCTTATATAGATTGATAGAAATAGATCATTACACCCTGAAAAAGCAGCCAGGCCAGATAATCAAAACGACTTGTAGTCGGGTACAAAGAGGGCTTTTCGAGCCACCAAATGAGCTACCCTATTGCGACGCCGACCTACAAATCGAATAGTAAACCCCATGTTCATGTCAAACAACTGGACAACCTCTTCAAGAATCGATCCCACTCGATTATCCCTAACATCTCGCCGAAGAATCTTCTCAATGGTTGGCTGTCGATTTGAGACGGTCTTTTACCGACATTTTTATGTACCGATAGAGAGCAAGCAAGTGACCAACCAATGGATATTCACTTCGTATGATTATTGAATCAAGGACCAATCAGCTTCAGATTTGGGAAAGATAAGGGAATGGATTATGGTGTCAATCGCATAGGGGGTTGACACGGTGCCAACCATGATCAGAATTCTACATTTAGGTTAGTAATTCAACCGATGAAAAGACATTGATGGCAAATTGGATAATCAAGGGGTTGAAAGCACAAACCCTCCATGTTTAGCGTAAGGATACCGGTTTTGCTTTTTTTGTTTTAAATCGAAACCAAATTGATTATGACGTATCAGTTATGAATTTTCGATCTCGAGCCGACATTTACAGTGAGGAGTTTCTAGTAGTGTACAAGTAGTGGTCGTGTCAACTAACTATTACGTTGTGGTAATGTTCTAGCTTCTAACATGTTATTATGGTACTATTGATTATGAACCATCATAATTTCATTTTTCAGTATAAAGGTCAAGAAACCCCCCATTAATGTTTTTGCCCTCCAAGAAGCCCTAAACCCTAGCTCTAAGAATGGCTTAAGGAATGGAATAAATGTCATTGGAAGTTCCACTTCAACACGGCTAATAAATTTGCCATTCCTGTTCCTATGCAAATGGCAAAACTTTATCGGTTCTCACCTGACCTGCCACCGCCCTTCTATTATAATAAAGTTTATAACCACAATTAACAGAGAAACCAAAGTTGGTGGCTGTGATTCTGTCGCTAACCGGTGGCTTTTTTTTTTGAGGAACGAAGTACAAAAACAATCCGTAGTTTGAAACTTTGAACAATTCTCCCACTTCATAATTTCCCCCCTAATCCGACAATTAACAAAAACGACGCCATCAACCTCCATTAACCACAACTAGCTTGAGCTTTCAACCTAACCCTATTTTTCTCTCTTGTCCATATCCCCCCTCCCAACCAAACCTACTACCTCCGGCTATGTCAGATATGTTGGACGGGAGTCCATGCGAGCTAGTGTTATCGAATTATTTCCACGGACCTTTTAATACGAAATTAAAGTTCGTGCGAACTATTGTTATCGAATTATTTTCACGGACCCGAAATTGAAGTTTGTAGCCGAAACTATTTTTATTGATACGCAAGACCGGGATGAATGCTATTTTGTTGGACTTTTATTTAACACGGAACACAGACCTCTTCAGCTAAGGAAAATGTCAATCGCAAAGGAAAACATGACTTCACAAAATGGAAAAAAGGAGAATAGAAAATAAACGAAATCCGACCCAAAAATCTCTGCAAATTTAGCACAATAACGGCATGTTGAACTCCATAGAAGAGTACCGGTAGTTGTAAGCAAGCAAACCAGAATCGCGTCTGGTCGCTGGGAGGTTCTTTTCTTTCTCTGCGTCGTCGGATTAATTAACTCTCAAACTTTATCCTCCTCCGCCTAACAAATCTATCTCCCTCCCGTCTCCCATGAAAGCAAATCCCCTTTTCATAAATTAATTAGGTCAGACTTCAACTTCTCTCATCTTTCCCTCCAAATCTCCCCTCGTGCAGGATTTTGTAGGGGGTTTTCTTTCTCTTTCTCCCCTCTTTGACATCCGCGTTCCTCATTCCTTTGGTGACCGGTCTATTCGGGGGGAGTCGAGGAAATTCAAACTCGGAAATCATACTATTCTGGACTCTTGCTCTGTTTCACCCCCACTTCCCTTCGAGATGAAACAAGGAAGAGGATTGGGAAGGTTATATTGAATGAATGGTTGGTTGCGGCAACCATGTTTCTCCCCCCACCAAACCCCTTTCAGAGCGACGAATCATGGGGTTGGGCATGGGTTCTTCTTCTTCCGGTACCACCCGGAAATTGCTTCCTTTTGCGGCCTCTTTCTGGGTTTGCTTCTCCACTCTGTTCCTTGCTCTGTTTCGCTTCCTCACCGGAACCACCACCACCGCGGCTCTCGGCAGGTACCTCACGCAATTTCTTCCTTTCATGGGCTGCGGTTTTTCTTCTTTATATTATCGATTTGTTAGTAAATCTCGATTCTTTTCTGGTACAAGAGCCGAAACCAGCGGTGCCGCCGTTTATGTAGCGAAAAGCTCCGACTTTGTAGAACCTGGGGAGCTGCCTGAAATGGGGACTGAACCTGGAATTGAAGCGGAGTCGGACGTTTCTGAATTTAGAGATGAAGTCACGGAAGTGAAGGATGATTCAGGGGATGAGAAGTCTCCCAAACTCGTCGATTTTGTAGAACCGGAGGAGCTCGCTGAAATAGGGGCGGAACCAGAAATTGAAACGGGGACGGACTTTTTTGAATGTAGAGTAGTCAAGGAAGAGAAAGATGATTCAGGAGATGAGAAGAAGTCCCCCAAATTCATGTTCAAATTCGAGTACCAGAGCTACAGAGAAGAAGAAGAGCAAGAGCATATTGAATTTGAGCTTTCTTCTCCGTTGGACTCTATACCCACCGCTTCAACTACTAGTAAGTACGAATTCTTGTCCGGAAAGGATTTTAGTCACTATGTGGAGGAGCCGGAAGCCGTTCGCCTCACCGTGAAGGAGTGTTTTCTCGGTTCCGATGAGGGTTTTGCAGCCGCCGGCGAAGTTTCCAAAGTTGTTGAGCCGGAATTTCTTGTTGACAAGAAGGTAGAAGAGATTCCAGTTGATGTTCTTCCATCTAATGACGATGCTGCAACTGAGGCGGAATCATTTGATCAAGAGGCTTCAATCAGCAAAGGGAAGAAGACAGTTGATTTTGAGCTGCCACCAGGGGATTTATTCATGGGTGATGAACTGGACTTGGAGTCGATAGCTTCAAGCAGTGGATTCATGAGTCGTTCCCTCTGCTCAACCAGTGATGATGACGGGTTTTTTTCAGATTGCGATTCTGAAAAAGAGGGAATGATGAATTTTCTCCACAGCTTGAACTACGAGGAAGGCGTCGATGATCTCGAGGATGAAGAATCACAACCTGAAGTGGGTTCCGTGGTAAATGATCCAAAGGGCAGTAAAGATTATTCTTTTAAGTCTGATTCAAAGGATGATCCATCTGGTTGGGACTCTGAGGACACTAGTAATGGATTGGAGATATTGTGGGAGCATCAAGAATTGATAGAGCAGCTGAAAATGGAGCTGAAGAATGTTAAGGCGACTGGGCTCCCAACCATTTTGGAAGATGACGAGTGTCCAAAGATTGTGATGGAAGATTTGAAGCCATGGAAGATCGAGGAGAAGTTCCACCATGAAGATAGGATGAGCGAGCTTCACAAGTTCTACAAGAGCTACAAGGAAAGAATGCGCAAGTTCGATATCTTGAATTACCAGAAGATGTATGCAACAAGTAAGGCAAAGTCATTGTTTCTTCACTTGCTTGGATTTTGCATCAGTTTTTGTTTTAGAAAATAGAAACATTGCTACAAGATCTGTTGCAGAAAGTTGAAAGCTTTATGTATAGTGAATGAGAACTTCAGAAAAGGTTTGTATAGACATACACTTGCAAGTAAAAGTAAAATAATTTTTGATGAGCTTTCCGTAGAAAGAGCATATCTAGGATCCATTATGTTTTAGGCCTAGTTTGGTAACTAGGGATTGCTCTGTGATCTGAGAAGACATGATTTCTGGTATTTGATTCATTTGATTTATTTGAATATGGTACACAAATCATGTATTTCATCTTCCATTCATGTATTTTGGATAGGGTTCATGGATTTTAACATTACATCCAGTTGTATAGGGTCATTCATGTGTTATAGAATTTCCAATATAGTATTCGACCAACCAGATTTATTTTGTTTTTTTTAATAGTAACTCAGATTTAGCTTTCAGGTAAGGATGCATCATTTCCTTTGCTTTATACTCATTGCGAGTGTTGTGTGAAAGCTGATCCCCTTTTTTTGCTTTGGCTATGATAGCTTATTTGGGTGCCTAATTCCATCAGATATCACTTTATTATCATTCTTTGGATTGTAATGCAAGGTTCACTTTCCATGGTCAACTAAACAGGTTTTCTGCAGTCCAAGGACCCATTTCAATCCACGTCAGCAACTAAGAAAATTGAGGCTTCAGCTTTGGGAACCCTTTTCACACAGAAGCTGATGCTACTCAAGCGCAAGAAGTCCATTTCTGATCCAATGGCAAATTTCATGAAGGAATTGCAGGGTGTGTTAGAAACAGTGTATGTTGGACAAATGTGCCTCTCTTGGGAAATCCTACATTGGCAGTACCAGAAAGCATTAGAGCTCTACGATTCTGACCATTTTGGTACGAGGATATACAACGAAGTCGCAGGCGAGTTCCAGCAGTTCCAAGTTCTGCTGCAAAGGTTCATCGAGAACGAGCCTTTTGAAGGCCCGAGGTTGCAGAACTATGTCAAGAAGCGTGTTGTGATGCGGAATTTGCTCCAAGTTCCTGTCATTAGAGGTAAGAGAAACAAAGATTCCTCACCCTTTTTGTTCGTTGTGTGTTCTGGTTTAGGATCACAAAGTAGTAACTAAATTTGCATTGTGGGATGTGCAGAGGACGGGAGCAAGGATAAGAAGGCAAGAAGAAGAATAAGAGGGAAGGACGGTGGGGCGATTACAAGCGACCAGCTGGTGGAGATAATGGAGGAATCAATCAGAATCATGTGGAGATTCATTCGAGCCGATAAAGATTCACATACTGCAAAACATTTCAATACAGGGAAGAAAGGAACTCAAATAGAGCCACGTGAAGATCCTGCTCATCTCGAGTTGCTCTCAGAAGTCCACACAACTCTTCAAAAGGTCTTTACTTCCCTCTCTTTGCCTAACAAAGTTACAAGCTTTACAAGTATATTGGTCAAAATAACAAACTAAAAAGTGACGCCTTCCTGCCTGTCCATTCTTGCAGAAGGAAAAGAGGTTGAAGGAGATGGTGAGGAGTGGTAGTTGCATACTGAGAAAGTTTCAGAAGAAGCAGCAGAAACACGACGATGAAGAAAGTAGTAGTCCGTCGTCGGATAATGTGCTGTACTTCTTCTGTCAAGTGGACATGAAGCTGGTTGCCAGGGTTCTTAACATGTCGAAAATAACGACCGAGCAGTTGCTGTGGTGTAGGAGTAAGTTGAGCAGGATCAGTTTTGTAGGGAGGAGGGTTCATGTTGACCCTTCTTTTTCTCTCTTCCCTTGCTAGTTAGTTGCTAGTACTAGTAGTAATAATGCTACTGTATATTTATACCTCTAGGCACATTTTTCTGTATATAGTGTAGTGTAGTGAGGGGAACTATCTTGCATTCCAAGGCACTTAGGGGGAAAAACACTAATGAGAGTTGATGAAATCAAGAAGGCACTTCTGTTAGCGGGCAAGAACTACTGTACATCAGCTACTGACAGAGATGTATATCTCTGCATTGTCATTTCTTCTAGAGCTTTTCTTTTTGGTTTGATTTAATATGAAGAGAGTTTCAGCCAAATGGGAGCTGGTTGACTGGAAACTTTTAGTCGGCCATCAAACCCACACGTTTGGAATACGTGGGTGGATGTATACGCAAAACCAGTCAACCAGTTGGCGGTCGTCCAAATGTGAAATGTGCAACCCCCAACTCCAATGGGAAAGGAAGTAAGCAAACACTTTTCACACCTTAATTTTGTTATTTACCGTCCAAACATTTACATTGAGATTTCAAAATAAAAGGTATTTTACTCGGTTTTAAATTAGAATATTTATAAGAAAGCAGAGTAAATCGGCATTATGATATGTAACAAAATTAGTATAATTGATAAAAAAAAGTATTATCTACTTTATATAAATCAGGCAAAACAAAATTTAATTGTGCAATATGATTTTAGTTACAACAAGATATATGCTAACCTTCCAACTTGATAGAATGAATTATATCAATCACATTCAAATAGGTGATAGACCCTTCTAGATAGAGCTCCTAAGTTCAAAGGCTCATGGTCAATAAGACAATAACCCATTACTAAGGTCAATGTTTTGAACAAGGTTCTAAAAGGCGCTAGGCGTAAGGCAGGCGCTCGGCTCCTGACTTGCGCCTTGCCTGATTAGGCGTAGCCTAGGCGCGCCTAGGCGTTCAGAGCATAAATGGAAAAAGTTCTCAAATATTTACTGTTTTCTGGAATAATTCATATAATCCAAGTGCATATAAAATTAGTAATGCCTAGTTCTTAACAGTAAACACTTAACATAACAAATAACAAGCAATAGTGACCACTTCCTAGAATCACAAGTTCATAAAATGTCGAAATACTAAACCATAGTCAATAAGTTCATAAGATAATGTTCATTCTTCATCATCCAAGTAGGTCCGTCCAGCCACCACTACATCTTCATCATCCTCCAAAGCAATCTCCTCACCATCCTCCTCCTCTTCCTCCTCTTCACACTCTAATTCTTCATCATGGAGCTCTCTCACTCGTGCACTCCTACGAAGCTCACTCTGTTTACCCGTCATTGCATCTGTAACAGTACTTGAGGGTGCACAATGTAATTCCTCATCCTCATCTACGAATACATACATAGCATGGTCATCCCCTAACCGTGTTTCTGATTTTCTAGGGCAAGAGGCAATTTTATGATTTTCTAGGACAAAACGAAGAGTATTGGGTTTAACCGCCTAAGCTCGCCCAGGAATGCCCAGGCACGCCTTCTCTCCACTAGGCGCAAACTAAGCGCTACCAGCGCCTTTTACAACGCCTATGGCCAAGTCAAGGCGATCCTCCACTGCCTAGCGCCTAATTGAGCCTAGGCGTGCGCCTAGGCGCGCCTTCTTGAACCCTGGTTTTGAACTAACATATTTCGAGGAAATAGATTTTTTGTTTTTTGACAAAAGATAATCATATATATTGATTAGAAAAACAGATAATTACATCATGGAGTTAAGCCAAACCAGAAAATCAAAGAAACGACTCGTAGTCGGATACAAATGAAGGGCCTTTGTAGCCACCAAATGGGCTAGCCTATTACTATGCCGACCTACAAATCGCACACTGAACCCACTTTGAATTGATAAGCACTGCACAATTTCTTCAAGGAGGGCTCCAATTCGGCTGTCTCTAGTATCTGACTGGTTGATTTTGTAAATAGCCGCCTTGGCGTCACCCTCCAGTCGTACTGCCGTAAACCCGGATGCCGGACACCAGAAAATTGCCTCCCAAAGACTGAGGACCTCAGCAGTCAAAGGATCAACAATCCCGACAAACAATGTGTTTCAAATGAAATAGATCTTTTTTCCTTATAACTGAAGAAAGGTATCTTTCTTGTCATATAATTATTGCTATCTAGGAGTTGGAGGAGACCACAATGTGTGTCAAAGTTTCTACTACATATGTTGAAGAGGTATTTAGGACAATTAGATAGTTAACAAATATATATTTTTTTTTTACGACAAGATTAAGTGAACGAAAAATGATACAGAGTGTTACATGTTGTGAGTTGAAACTCATGTTGTTTTTCTTCATTGTGTGCCCCAAACATATGCAAACTAGCTAGCCTATAAGTTAGTATATGATCAAACAAACTTAGTAATAGATATATGTATGACAAATATGCTTTTAAGGAGAATAAATTTCATTGATGTGTTTCGAATTCTTATGAGCCCTTTATTTTAGTTGGTTTGACCTTATAAATTGGATTGAACCAGTTGAGTGGTGGCTCACTTGTCAACAATAAACGCCCAAACTGGGGTCGAGTTAGAAATACAAGTCTTGAGTCTCAACCCTTGACTAGTGTTTTCAAGCGGTAGTCAGAATGGTCGAGTGTTGAAGCTTGCAGAAAGCCGTTTCCCTTCAAACCAGTCAAAACCACAAAAAATGATTAAAATTGCAACAAATCAGTGGTCTAACCAAATTGATTGGTTTGAATCTCTTAGACAGAAAGTTCCGTCTTGATCGGCCAAACCTTATTATGGAAAATAAAGCAAATATACACATCTTTTAGGTTTAGATAATATATTAATTGTTAAATTATTGTATGATATAATCAAATTAGTAAATTACATTCAAATTATACAAATATTATTAAATTATTACCATAAATGAGTATATATTTTTTTTTATATCTTTTGCATAAAACGGGTTAAAGCGCTCAAACTCCAATCCGACCAATGAACTTAAAACAATTTATTTCACCGATTCAACGGATTAAACCAATTTGACAACTTTGCTCTTGTCAAGGTGGCAAAAAAATACATTCAGATCTAGGGTTTCCAGTAAGATAAGTAGATAACCCACCGTAGGCAAATATCCATACATTTACCGCCGGAGTTGCTAGTTAGCTTCCCCAGTTTTCCTGCGGCAGTAACCCAGAAGGCGTGGTACATTCAGATAATAGCTTCGAAACAATGGTTCAGCGGCTCACTTATCGGAAACGCCATAGTTACGCCACCAAATCCAACCTGCACTGCATCGTCAAAACTCCCGGTACCTCTTATTCTTCCCCCCAAAGTTTGAGATTTGTTGAGTTCGTTGTTTCGAATGAAAGATAATCTCTGGCGCTAATTGGGTTTTGTTTCACTGGTCTTCTTCAAAATTGAAGGTGGGAAGCTGGTCTATCAGACCACAAAGAAGAGAGCTAGTGGCCCAAAATGTCCCGTCACTGGGAAGAGGATCCAAGGGGTTTGTGATTTGGCTCTTATTTTCTCTATTTGATTTGGATTCTGTCTAGTATTTGATGAAATTGTTGCGTAGCCAGTCCTCGAGAATCCAAATTTAGCTCTAGACTTAGGTTCTAGCTTAGCAAAGTTATGAACTTTGGATGTGATGTTATCTACTAAAAATTTGCTTCAGATTCTGGAGTTGGTGTAGGCTCTTAGATTACAAATGTTGATTGGGAATTTGGGACAATGTGGTTGAACTGTATACAAAATGCATTTTCAATGCTGAAATTGGCATTTTTTGGCAGTGCATTGGTATGGTTTTCAATACTCGCTTGTCTTTGGAACTATTCTCAGCTCCTGCAAAGTAGAGTTCTAGCAAGACTTCATTGTAATCTGCATGTGGATAGCAAATGTGGTGTTTTTTCCCCATAAAAGAACCACCTTTCCTCTAGGCATTTTTTTCTTCTGGAAATGCTATGTTCCAGACAGTTTAACTGCACGGACTTAGGTTATGGAACAGACCGGCCACCCTCTGAACATTCATGGATGTTGGTTTGATAATAGTTGTTGTCAATGCTGGTGCAGATTCCTCATTTGAGACCTGCTGAATTACAAGAGGTCAAGACTGTCTAGGAACTGCAGGACCGTGAATCGCTCATATGGTGGTGTATTGTCTGGCGGTGCTGTCAGGGAGAGGTAACCTCCACCAGTTTTTGCTTTCCATTGCTTTGATTCCAACTTGAGGTTTTTCTAAGAAGAAACATCTGACTTGAGTTTGAACTTAAACCACGATTTCATAGGATTATTCGAGCCTTTTTGGTGGAAGAGCAGAAGATTGTGAAGAAGGTTTTGAAGATTCACCAGGCGAAGGAAAAGCAGGCCTCTGAAGAGCTAAGAGCTGACAGCCTTAGGGTGGGAGAGTCTTTGGGAGTTTACAAGACACAAGTTTGACAGGAATTTTGATGTAATTGTTGAAGGTGTTATGATTACACAGAAAGTTAGATGCACTCAACATTTAGCATGTTTTGGTGCCCTTCGCGGCAGCCAGTTATGTTGTTTTTCGTTATTATCCCTTTGAGGGAGTGAGATATACTTTGTTGAGAGTATTATGAACGTGCCTAGTTATGCAGTAAACGATACTTAAATGTGATTTCCAATTCAGTTGCAGCAAGAATATCACACTCAACTTCCATAAAAGATATCATGCATGGCCGAAATGCTTAGAACTCTGCCTTAGTAGATGGATTATACTTCCCTGCTTACATGAATGGTTCTGTTAGTACTTAGTAGAGTAGGCTGAAATCGCATCCCATTACTGAAACTTAAAAAAAGAAACATTTGTCAAGAGTGGGATTTGAACCCACGCCCTTTCGGACCAGTACCTGAAACTGGCGCCTTAGACCAACTCGGCCATCTTGACATTAACGTTTAATTATGATAACCTGCGTTTTAATATAGATGCTGAAGCATCAGACACATAAAGACATGGAGGATAAATTGAAATAGGAATGTAGCAAGGGGACTTTAGTTATGGTCATTTTCTTTGTAAGGACAAAAAAAAGTAGGAAGTAGGAACCACTAGTTTGATGAAGACTAAAAATAGTTATCCTATTATGATATTATATATATCATGGATGATAAAAAAAAAAACAAATCTTTACTAAAAGTATTTATTCGTCAAGTTTGTAAATTAATATATATAAAGCTCAAACAGATTTACTGTTGGCTAATACTTCCATTTGATTGGACCATCTGTTTCTTAATAAATTCATTTGATTGGACCATGTTTATGGGCTTTTATCATGTATCCGCTCCGTTTTATGTTTGCGGCTAATTAATTGGCGAAACTGAAAGGGAAGACAATTTTGAATATTATGGGAGAAGATAAGATTTTGGGGAAGAAAAAGTGAATGGGTGGAGCAAGATTGTCAAACCGGTTAGCAAGTGGTATGATTTGAATGGGATACAATTGGTTTATATCAATTTAACATACTATATAAAAATATGAAAAACTATTAACATTTAGTGAACATATGTGAATACAATCTACATTCATATATTGTTTTAACAAAATATTTGAAATATGACAAATCAATAACATTAACTGAATTCAATAATCATATATAAAAACATAATTGAATACAATCTACATTCATATATAAATAAAATACAATATTACAAATAAAATAACAAATACTCATATTTAAATACAATATTTAACGTGAACATCCGAATGTTTATATTTGAACCCAACAAATAGCATCAACATTTAATTTTCAAATTCATGATCGTGTAATAAATAAAAAATTATTTTTTTATAATTAATTTTTATAAAATGACATTATTTTGTTTAGAGGTCAGAAATCGATCATACCGATAATATTCCAACTATTTTTCTAACCGACACCAATTATACTCACTTTTACCGTCTGACATCCATCTACATGACAACCATGGGTAGAGGCGAGTACGCCATGCATCATCCGCAACATACTCAAGAGAAAATTTGACATAGATGATGTAAATTAAAAATGGAACAACCAAGGTTGTCAACCCGCGGGTCGACCCACTTTGACCCTGACCCGGTGAGAAAAACGAGCCGCACACACCCGCCGGGTCGACCGCTATAAGGTACCGGGTTGAAGGTCAAATTGTGTAATTTTTTTATTTGATTTGCGAAATGCGCATATTTTCCGATTTTTCTTTTCGCCTAACTCAATCTTTGGAATCCTAAGTTGAATATTTGAATATTGATGTATATAAGTGTGTATGAATTTTCACTTTATGCTAGATCTAAGTACGATATGTTATTTTGGTGTAATATTATATGTTATAACTCATATGTTAGATAATATTTGATATAATTTATAAGGAAAAGTACAATATAATGACTCTTTCCATATTTCCGGGCCAAACCGGGCTAAAACGGTTGACCCATTAACCCTTGACCCACTAGCTCGACCGGGTCCGGGTCAACCCGCGAGTTGACAACCTTGGGAACAACTAATATCAATACAAGTATACCATCGTCCGCAGCATAGCGCGGTTTTTTTTATTTCTTTTCTTTCTAGTTTTATTTGTAAATGTGATTAAACTTACTGTTACTTTTTGCATGACTTATAACTCAAAATCATAATCCTAACTCTTGCTACTATAACTTCCATAGTGAAATTCCCCAAAGTACATAACCCTAATATCAGTGGCGGACCTAAGGCTAGTAAGGGTGTGTCATCCGACACACCCTCGCTCGAGAATTTTGCAAAGAATCTATATCTTTTTGGTAGAAATTTTTTTACTTCGGGATAGCCGACACACCTTCATTACAGTCGAAGAATTTATTATCCAAATGAATCAATCTTAATCATAATCTTTTTTTAATTATGTTTAAAATAACTCATAAATCATAATCCTATCACTTCCCATTAAAAAAACAGGCTCTCAGCCTATACAATATATATGTGTGATGTGTATTGAGTTTGGGCCTATAATTTAAAGAGAAAAAAAACCCACAAGCCAAATGGCCAATAGCCCAGGCTGACAATCTTTATCCTTTAGTTTACTTGCTGTTGAAGTTTGGTGTTGACTTTACCCGTTGCAACTGCAAGCTGCGAAAAAGCATTTTCAGCTATGAAGATAATCAAGAACGATCTTCGAAATCGGTTGAGTGACCAATTTACGGATGATTGTTTAGGTGTGTATATTGAAAATATTGCTTTGGAGCATAAGTGATGAATATATTTTAGAGACATTTCAACATATGAAAAGTCGTCGCGGTTCGTTGTAAACATGACATCGTGGACTTTATGAATTAATTTTTTTAATTTATACTTAATTTTTTAATTTAATTTAATTATTATTGGATTTTATCGGCGACACACCTCTCCGACAATCCTGGGTCCGCCACTGCCTAATATAATTCATTCATCAAAAGCATCCGGATTGTCTTTAATCCTCATAATAATCAAATTATTTGTTATTGTATCTCTTTCTCTTGATTCAACAATTGCACTCATAAGCACTTTACAACCTTATGGATATATGAAATCAAACAAATAAACCAAATTTGTCCCAACATTAAACTCTCCCAATTAGCCAACCGCTCAAAAGTTGATCTTGCCATCAAAAGTCTGCCCAAACTGCCAATTCGCCGGCGCCACGTCACGAAACACCTTGAACGCCCCGTCGCTCGTCACCACCTGAAAGGTCAACGCCTGGCCCCTCAAGTCAACCCCCTTGGTGTCCCACTTCTGGCCCCAATTCCTCTGCATCTGAATCCAACCTGTATTTGACCCTTTTACCCTCACGTTCTTCACGTCGCCGGCCCTGCCCACGTTGTAAACCAAAACCAGGTTCCAGTTCGGGTTCCCGGTGATCTCGAACTTTACACCTCCCTGTTTCCCGCACCGGACCCGGCGGTAGCTGACGTGGACGACGCCGGCGACGGCGGGGGCCAGCTTGACGAACATGGGCATGGTGAGGTCGAAGTGCCTCGCCGGCGGGTCGCACCAGCCGCCGGTGGAGTGTGGCGGGCAGAGGTTTGTGGCGGTGATTTGGATTGTGGGGGCGTTTTGGTAGCAGCCCTTCCACGTGGCGTCGTTGACGCATTTCAGCTCGTAGCATGCTCCGCAGGTCAGTCCGTCGTTGAAGAGCGGAGTGCTGAGGGCCGCCGTCTCGACGCCGTAGCCTTTCTGGAATACGTCGCCGTATCCGCATGCTCCCTCTGTGTGTTGAGAAGTTTACAAATTTTAAGGTTCTACATTTAGTCATTTACAAATTAAATTAAAATAATGATGACATTTACAGAATTGCTAATACTCATATTACATATATATTTTTTAAAAACTTTGATATAAGAAACTACATATTATGAAACTTATTACGTCTCAAGAATTTCATGTATACGAGAAGGATAGACCGATTAGAGTTGACGAGATTCAAATCAATAATAATTTTAAAATTATCATTGTAATTTGGATATCAGGGTTCTTTTTGAGACTCAAATCAATCAGCTCAAAATTATCATTTTAATTTGGACATCTTAAAATAAAATTATATTATCGATTGAAATTATATCTAGCTATAATGTAACTACACAATTGCACTATCGGTGTTGATTCAAGATAATGGTGATTATTATTATAGATAAATTGATGAAAACTTACGGAGTGTATCTTTTGCAGACATGTCGCCATAAAATGTTGCATGGGCATCCTGCCACGTCCAATCATTACCGTCTTGAGTACTAATTGTCGTCACCTTCCCATGCACAACCATATTAATTTGTAAACTTCCGGTCAACAACACAATTATCGGACACAACACGAATATCTTAAAGAGATAAACCATAGTTTTAAGTTTCGTAATAGATTATAATATCTAAGATGCAAATTATATTACTGAAGAAGTGATTATATTACGTTTAGCTATATGGCTAAGGTGTTTGGTAAAGTTGAAATTTATAGGATTAATCCTCTAGCAGATGAAACAATGGGGAGGCATATTATGGAAGATATATAATTAATGGAAGGCACACCTCAATCTTATATTTGAAACATTTATTTTCTTCTCATAAATTTCTTTTTTGTTTGGAAATTTTTTAATTAATTATATTGAGTAATAAGGAAACTATATAATATTATTCCAAAATGAAAATTGTGCATGTATATATTAACTTAATCAAATTCCTACCGAAAGATGTAAGTTGGTTTTTATATATTGATTTTCTTACCAATTGTTTCTTTGATTTTGCTTCTCTTTTGTTTGTTTTGCTTTGTGATAAGGTGACCAAGTTTTGGTAAAGATTTGGTGGACCATTAAGGTCTAAGGATATATGTTTTAGTGCGTTTTTCTTTTTGCAAATTATTGAATCTAATTCTTATCGTATGATTAATTTTTATGTTATTTTATATGAGGGTATGAAGTTGAGGTGTTAGATAGAACATGTCTAACCAGAAGGCAATATGAATTCTACAGTTGAGAGGTTATAATTCATAAGTGAACATCGCAGCAGTGGTTATACATAAAGAAGTTTGTATACTATAAGGTAAATATGAAAGTAATAATCAAGGTTGTCAAACCGGTTTATACCAGTGTGCCAGTTTAGCAAGTGGAATGATTCGACCGGTGGCACATATTGGTTTGTGCCGGTTCATGCCGGTCAATATTACAAATAAAATTATAAATACTCATATTTAAACATGACATTTACATCAATACCTAAATATTTTTATACTTGAATCCAACAATTATTTAACTTTTATACTCATAAAATAAAAAATAAAATAATTTTTATCAATTAAGTTCACTAAAATAAGGTCATTTTACTTAGAAATTTGTATATCGATCATACCGGTCATACCGATGGTATCACGCCGATTTTATGACCGGTATCGATTGAACCAGGTACAACTAGTGGCACGCCTGCCGGCGTGACAACCATGGTAATAACATATATTAGTTGACATTCTTGGACCTACTGCTTCTTGTCTCATGACACCAAGTGTATTTATTATAAAGTCGTTCATGATATAAGATTTTGTTTGCTTCCCATCGCAGGAAGGCGATCACTCTAAACCCCTCGATGATAAACTAGTATATGAAATGACTCGTTCATGCTTGAACGAACTCACATATGAATGTGGATTGTAGTTGGTTTGATGAAACGCACTCTCGGCAAATGAAATAATGACTAATCCTAGATCCGATCCATAAACAAGATAGGCTCATAAATATAAAACGTTGCCCACAAAGTTATATTGGTAAGCAGAATCCTCTAGTCTTTCATGATCACTTAAGGTGCCATGTTGTTGCTAGACCTAAACTATCCAAATGGATGTCATAAATCAAACTTAAACAACAACCCAACCCAACTCCATGCATCCTTAGATGAGTCCACCCAAGTAAACCAACATTCAACGTTGTGAACCCGTGGGTTGACTCGGATCCGGTTGAGCTAGTGGGTCAAGGGTTAATGGGTCACCCGTTTTAGCCCGGAAATATGGAAAGCGTCATTATATTGTACTTATCCTGATAAATTATATCAAATCTCATTTAACATATGAGTTATAACATATAATATTACACCAAAATAACATTTCGTACTTAGATTCAACATATAGTGAAAATTCACACACACTTATATAACATTAATATTCAAATGTTCAACTTAGGATTCCAAAGATTGAGTTAGGCGAAAAGAAAAATCGGAAAATAGGCGCATTTCGCAAAACAAAGAAAAAAATGACACGATTTGACCTCCAACCCGGTACTTTGTGGCGGTCGGCCCGGCGAGTGCGTGCTGCCCATTTTTCTCGCCGGGTCAGAGTCAAAGTGGGTCAACCCGCGGATTGACAAGCAAAGTTTTTAGTACCATTTAGAAAAGAAGTAAAACATATGTGATCATTTTGTTCTATTCTTCATGTCTGATTACCTCCTAGTCCTAGGCTCCTAATAACGAGGAGGATTGAACCTACGCACAAGGGCCTAAAGATTATTTGGAACGTACAGAGATATGATTCGTTCTCCTGCAAATCCCAGACTTCTTTGTTTTTTTCTTTATTGTTGCGATCGTACTAACTGCTGCCAATTAACAGACACAATATCCCTCTCTCACCCCCTCTGTTTCGCCAAATTTACCCCTACAGTTTGTTCCCCTCGTTCTCGAACCTTGGATCCCTTCATAGGGGCAATATGGTCTTAACGGAAAAAAACAGGCAAACAACAGCAGCAGAGACTATTTTAATGAGACAAACATACCTTACCACCCATATATACACACAAAACAGCCTTCCCCCCTTTTTCTCTTACAGTCTCTGTTCCATTGCAATGCCTTCTCGGCGAAGCAGAAGCTCTACTGAATCGACCAATTTCTAGAGTGTGTGAAAATCAATCCGAGTTTCTTTGGGCTATCCTTCTCACAATCCAAACCAGCCTGATTGATCGATCAAGAGCGTAGTACTAGATTTTGATTTTCGTTCAGCGGATTCAGAGCAATGGCCTGCGAAATTGCTGCAGAATCTATTTCTGTCCGAGAGAATTAGGGTTTCAGAAGCGATGAATCAGGTGATTCTGCTCGTTTCCTCTCTGCAAAAGAGCTGTTTGTTTCAAGAGAAAATCAATCTTGTTTTTAATTATCTGGATGTTGAACGGTGAAATGATCTGTTTGCAGGAGTCAGTAAGCAGGTGTGTTCTCGGAAACCGACCTAACTCTGAAATCGGAGACGGAACCGTTGAAGGAGGACAATGCAGCTCCGAAATCGGCGGCGGCGGCGGCAAAGGGGGGCTGCTTGAAGCTTCTCCCGACGACGGATTCGAGAAGATACTCCTGAAATCCATCCTAGAAGACGACAAGGCCCAGCTCAAATCTCTGTGGTTGCCGTTTACGACGTCGTCGGAGAGGATGAAGTTGGACAGCAGAAACGCCGTCGTCGCTGCGGCGCTCGTCAAGAGAGACCGGGCCGTGCTCTCGAAGCTTCTCCACATGTGTTGCATCTTCGACGCCGTGGAGTGCGCGACTGCGGTGGTGGACGGCGAGTTCGGAGCGGTGGCGCCGCTGGTGAATGATGTGGATGCCGAGATAGGGATGTCGGCGCTGCACAAGGCGGTGGCTGCGAAGGCGGCGCGTTGCATCGAGATGCTGCTGCGGCGACGCGCGCGTACGGACCAGAAGACCAGAGATGGGCGCAGACTGATCGCTGTGGAGCTGTCCCTTTTGAGAATAAGGTAAACGTCCCAGACTCAAACAAAGGCGCTTTTTCTAGCTCCTCTTCGTTACACTAGAATGGTAAATACACAGCTTGGTTTGTTGTGCTCTCGTCCAAAGAAAACCTTATTCGGGAAATTGTTGCTTTTGGTCATTGTGTCCACTTTTGGCTCCTTGTGCTAGCCTTTTTGCCTCATCGCTGATATTTCCTCGAAATTTCCTTCTGATGTCTGTTCATCTTTTTTTAGAACTGAGGTGATTTGGAAACCAGACGAACACTCCGTTGAAGATCTGGTGGTTCAGCTCAGTGGAAAGGTATGCAATATGGCAAGCATTTCCTACTCTTTTCCTGCAACTTGTCAGTTTCTTGAGTATGGTGTGGGCCGAATTTGGAGTAATTTTCAGTATACTTGCTTGCAAGTCAACGATACTAGGCTAGCAACCGTAAATAACTACAGTAAAATTTATGGTTTATTAACACTTAATAAGATAAAATTATCCGTGTGAATAGTTATTCGTTTGCCATCAATTTTTTTACACTATAGAGTATCACGAATGTTGTTTAATTGTATTCACTCCCTAGTTCACTGTTTGGGTGATGTTTGGTTAATTGTATTTTTAGAAGAAAAATATAATAGCCAAAATTAGAACTTAAAGTAGCTACAAAGATTTGTAAGTTATAGATTAAGCAACAAACATTAAGGTTAAGTAGCATTGTTCAGTCCATGCTATTTCATTAATTAGTGATTGCATTAATAAATAAATGTTCACAGGATTTGACATCCGTGACACTTTTGTGTGAAAAGACCAAGGAGATGAACGATGTGGTTTACAAAAGTGCGGTTGGAGGACATGTAGTTGATTTAGCCATCTTGTTAGCGGTTGCTCCCGAGAGGGTAAACAAATTAATTTTTATCGATTCAGTGACAAAAGAAAAGGCGACGATATACGAGTGTGTTGTCAAGGAAGCTGTGACAACACTTGGACAACTAGCAGGAACAACAAAGTCTTTGATAGCTTCTGAACCTGGTTGTGCTCTGACCAACGAGGAGTTGGGAGAGAAGAGGAAACTCCTCCTCTGCATAATCAAGTTGCTACAATTATTTGGTGTGACCGGTGAGAATGAAAAGAACTCTAACGACAAGAAGAGGATTCCATCGCTGATAAGAGCGGCAAAGGTAACATCTTTATGTGGATTTTGCTACATGAAGTGAAATTTTTTATTTGATTATAAAAATATGTATGTGATCACCATAAAACTTTTTTTATCATAACAATATTTCATAAAAAGAATGGGTCAGACGGTACATATGTCCTTCAATTTAAGTTTCTAGTATTAAAAAGTTAGGTTCTTCCTATAGAATGGGTACGTTTGAGGCTAAAAGTGTCTTTATAGAATTCCTTAGAAAGCAAAAGAACTTTTTTCTGTTTATAATGTAGACAGAGGATGGAAAGGCTCTTATATTGTTAAATCATTTAAATAGTAAAGTTTAACATATTTTGTAATAAGATTGTAGTGGTTTTCATACTCTTGATAGTTAACGACTTGTTCTACATTTGATGTATTTTCATTTTTTTTATATAATTCTCCTTCACAAATATTTTATTTTCATGGTTCATTATGAAGACTTTCCTAATGCTTAATGTAGCAGAGAGACAATGGTGTTAGTATGTACTCTTATTGTAATTCATACTCTAATATCAATGTTATTTCGTAAAAAGTAATAATTAAGTTTTATTTAGAAACTCAAAGTACTCGTATACATTCGTGTATGAGTATGAAAAAGGATGCATAGCATGTAATTAATTAACGATTTAGACTATTAAGATTTTGCATGACACGCATGCATGCGAGTGGGTAAGTTGTCCACTCTCCATTGCAGGATACCTTAGAATATTGTGGTATGTTAATGCAAATGGTGTGCCTTTGACCCCTAAATTTCTTTGCTTGATTATATCGGTAGGCAGGAGATGAAGACGTAATTGATCTACTTTTGAAGACTAACATGGACGTAAATGTTACTGATGTCCACGGGAACTCTGCTCTACTCTGGTGCCTCAGAACTTGCAAGGGAACTTGTCCTCCCCGAATGAAGTTGGTCTCTCACTTTGCACTTCTATTCTCTTCTTTTCTACCGATACTTCATTTTTTCTTTGTTTTTCAGGATAATGAGACTACTACTTGAACATGGAGCCCGGTCAAATCAAAAGAACATGTTGGGCCTCACTGCGGCGCACATTGCAGCTGAAAATGGTATTTCCCAAGCAATACAGGCAAGATATAATGTTACAAATTCTGCCAACTATATGATCAGGTAACATCTATCTTTAACAGAATAATTGATAGCTTGACGGTGGTCTCTCTTGCAGATACTTGTACTGAATGACCCAAGTTGCATCACCACAAAGACAGAAATGAAGGAGACTCCATTGTATTTTGCTGTCAAGAACGACCATAAAGAATGCGTGGAGCTTCTTTTGAGCTGCGGGGCAAGCACTAGTGTCATGAATTTGCGGTTAGAAACTGATGCTCGTCCTCTTTGTTTCTGGTTCATAGCTCCCTGCATTTCTGGCCTTGATTTCTCTGTTTCTATCTTCCTTTATCTGAGATTGCAGTAGCTCATTGTTCATTTTGGATTCTTAAAAAAAAATACCATTTACCAGGAAACAAAGACCCATAGACTTGGCGAAGTCACAAGACATGCGCTTCCTGCTGAATCAGACAAGTATTACCTCGAGTAAGTTAGAAATACTCAACTTACAGGACGATCACTTGATTCTCAAACAGTTTGCTAGTTCCATCTCATTGCATATATCTTTTTCTCTTCAGAAAATCGTTCTTTTCCCGTTCAACATAAACCCAACGCTCAGTTGCACGGCGGCCAGCCAACATCCCCAACTTGGGAAGACCTTATGACCTCCTTCAGTGAAGACAGGGCTACCAATAGGTGACCAACTTGGTTATTACAATCGGAACTGTAAATATATATATCTGGACGCGCCTGGCAATTCTCGTAAATTTGCGGTTTACATTGTTGTTACATGATGCTATTCTTCAACAGTAACACAGAGTCGCCTACAACAACCGAGACCTGTAAATATTATGGCTCTCCAAGTGGATGTGCGAGAGGAGGGAAATGCTTTTATCTCCATGACGAGGAGTCTCCCCGGACTAAGGCTTCAGATGGTGATTTGTCCAGGATTGATTCCCTTGCAAGATGGAATCATGTGAGAAGAATCTTTGTCGGAGGCCTCCATCCTTCGGTGGATTCTGGTTAGATTCTATGCGTAACTAATCTCTGTTTCATTTCTTTTTACTTTTATCCTTCACAGGTTGTACACTCATTGATTCATATGTTGTTTACTCCAACATGCAGCGTTACTGCAGAAAACATGTGAAGAGAAATTCGGTCCAGTGGAGGATGCAGTGATTATAGGGGCTCGAAATGGTGACAGGGCTACTCACTCTAGAGGATTTGGGTTCGTGAACTTTAAGGACAAGAAATCTGTAACGGCAGCTCTGAAAGAACATCATGTGACCATAATGGGGAAGCAAGCTGAGATCAAAGGGGCTGTTCCCAAATACTTGTTACTAGCTGATCAGTTCCAGCGTCATCAACATCTGCAGCAGAGGGATAATCAGGTCCATGCAGAAGTAGAAAAACCTGAAGAAGATAGTGCACAGAATAGGCCCACCACAGGTAACAGCGAAGGGAATGAAGATAGAGTTCTCAGTAATGCCAAAGAAGAAAATAAACTCGAGCTGAAATCTTGGGTTGATATTGTCTGCCATGATCAACCACAACAAGAGCAACTACGACCAGTAATAGTCTCCGATAGTACTTCTCAGTCGCAAGAAGAAAGCATGCCACGGTGGCTTGCAGTGTTCAGAAAGTGGTTCCCAGGCTTCTTACGGAGGGTCTCATCATCCAGAGCAGAGGTATATGCGCTGTCTTCTTTGAAAGCTGATTTCAGGGCTGAATTTGGGCTAGAGTTGGACCATCACTCTCTTGGCTTCTCAAAGCTTAGCGACTTCGTCAGATCAATACCTGACCTTTGCTTCCCCAAGTACTTGCCTAATGCTAATCACATGATTCTAGTGCCTGCTCGCCCTAAGCCACGTCGTCCTCGATCACCACCACAACCATCTCTCCCAACTCCCACCTCCACGTCATACAGTAATGCGCCAGTAGCGCATAATGACACTCACCATGATGGCAAGTCCTCTGTTGAGGACCATGAACTGGAGGTTTCTTCACAGGATAATGAACCAACAGATAGTCATGTCGAGGCCTCAAAGAATGTTGACAACGTGAGTCTGCAGAGTCAGGGTGATTCAACTTCTGGGCTTGTCACGCCTCATGAATTCCCAAAGCCAGAGAAGGCTAAGCATGTAGGGGAGCACATGGTTTTGGAGCTCATTGCCCGGGAGAAGAACCGCCATCACCAATCAACACTCTTCCTCCGTGAATTTGACTTCTATGAAGTAAGCAAAAATCAATGGAACAGTGATGTCTCTTCATCTTTTCAGCCTACTGTAGCTTCCAGAACTAACTTGTGTCTGGTACTGTATGCAGAAGTACAAAGTAAGCGTGAGAGAAGGGCAGTGCTTCCGTTGCAATCTGCGGCGGACGTTGTGGGCCAACTTCCCATGCCGGCACTTGGTCTGGTGCGTGGAATGCAAGGCAAAGGTGATTGATGCAGTGGGGAGTTTCAACCACAAATGTGTCGTGTGTGATTACAGGGTAGAGAATATAGACTTGATCTTAGACCAAAACCAGAGAGAGGTGCATGCTCCCTACGCATGGCGTTTACAAAAGTAAGGCCGGGGCTCTATACCATCTAACTAACTCCTCCACTGTTTACTGAAACTAAACCTTTGATGTCACTGTTCTCCTTTTTTTTTGGTGTGGCAGCCCGTTGAACACAACAGCATCCCCCAAGCAGCATTTTCCCTCCACTTTTGCAGCATCAAAAAGCTTTCTGTGAATAGTAATGTAGGGTTTTGAGAGGTGAGGAAGGAGACAGTTACTGCATTGCAGTAGCCAGCATATAGCTTTTGAACAGAACACAGGTCTAATAGTAGCTACTAGTATTGGTAGTAGTAGTAGTAAGTGGCCATCCCAGCCTCCCCTTTGTAGAAAAACCAGCGTGGGAGCTTTTGTAAGCTGGTGATGGCTTTGATTTTGTTGATGTTGCAGGTGAGTCGGGAGACGAACATATATGGTACACAAAATCACCAACTTGGATTGTGCATATAGTCATCAGTAAACTTAGATGGAAGTACTGAGATGAAAGTACATGAGAATGTGAATATATGTCATCATTTTGTGTAGTACTAGTATCTCTCTACTCTGGTAATTGTTTGATTCTAGCTTTATAGTTTTCCTGATAAACCCCGAACCAATATTTGATTCTATACTTGAAGCTATAAAGCCTTTATTAACGAATTGAGCTCAAATTAGATCAAACTCGACTTAATTTGGATCATTTGCGACCCTAACTTAAGTGACCACCAACAACCCTCAAATCGTTGCTGTACATTACTGATCAAAGTGCAGAAGAAACAAATAAAATAAGCAGCAAGTAGCAGGCGCCAGGCAGGCGGCGGACCCATAGACGATGATACGAGTAAGACCAAGCTTAATGCACATAAATGGAATCGGGAGACATTGAAATCATCTGAAGTAAGCTGGAATTGGAGAATGTCTCCTCCAGCGCCGGCCCTCTCCTGCTCCCGCCGTCGCCGCTCTCCTTGGCGATGTGAACCAGCTCCTTGGCAACTTCCGCTATCCCGATCTTCCCTTCCCGGCCGAACAGCCAGCACCTCGTCGCCAGATCCGCCACCGCCTCGATCTGCTCCCGCCGGAACGCCGTTTGCTCGTGGTAGTACAGATTCGGATCCACAATCTCCTCTACCTTCCCGCTCCTCTGCATGGCCGCCGCAGGGAGCTCCCTGCTCTTCGTCCCGGCCACCATCTCCAGCAGCAGCAAACCGAACTCGTAGACGTCGCTCCGGTGCACAATCCCCCCGCCGATATCGGATCCGATGTGGAGCCTGAAACCGGCAACGCGGACCGAGTGGCAATCGTCGAGGAACAGGCACCCGGATCTGAGATTGTGGTGGAAAATTGGGGGAGAAACTTCCTGCTGCAGGAAAGCGAGCACGCTCGCCGTCTCCGCGGCAATGCTTAGCCTCTGGTACCAATCGAGGCCGCCGGCTTCGCGGCGGCGTAAGTGCTCCTCCACGGTGCCGTTCCCGGGGAACTCGTAGACGACCAGCGGGGTGTAGCCGCAGTCGATGCAGCAGCCGATGATTCGAGCCATGTTTCGGTGGAAGACGGCGGAGAGGACTTCGATTCGCGAGAGGACCTGGCTCAGATCTTGCTGGTTCCGGCATTCCACCTTGTGAACCGCCACCGGCGAGCCGTCGGCGAGCAGCCCGGCGTAGATTGCGCCGCTCGAAGTTGCGTCGGTCAGCTTCTGGCCGTCGTCGAAGCAATTGGTAGCTTCCTCCAGCTCCCTGTAGGTGAAGGAACGGGTCGTCCAGGGCTTTCTGAAGGACAAGGTGTTCTGCAATTTGTTCTTGTTTGGCTCGTACGTCCCGCCATTTGTACGCCGCTTTAGCAGGCAGAACAACGCAGTTAACGTCGCAACGACGAATATTGGTCCCAGGATTCCTGAACAAAAAAAGAAAATCCGACAGGAAAGTTGCAGGATTGTCATCGGAGAGTTCCAATCTAATTGAGCAATTCGTACCGGCTAAAATGGAAACCATCTTCCTGCTCCGCCGTCTGGTCAAGCAGTCGCCGCCGCGAGCTTCTCGGCCATCCTTAACACAAGCTGTAGATACGACTTAGTGAAGAAGACAAGAGAAAAACTTGGAAGAGTGTAAAAGTGAAGAAAGTGTTGACTGTTCGAACAGACTCACTTTTCAAGCAACCTCCGCCGCCGGCGTATCCATCGCCGACGAACCCGTCTCGGCACACGCACCTTAGCCCCCCTTGGACAGTGGTGGCATTGACTGTATCCGCATCGGACGCACACAACCTGTTCGACGAATTGCCAAGGAGCGCCCATTCCAATTTGACCCCGCGCTTCCCAACACCAGCCCCTCTGGGCACCACCCAGCAGGTGAATCCCCTGCATCCAAAGTTGGAGAAGACACTGAACCCATCTCCCAAATCCCAGGAACTGCGATCGGAGAGAGGGTAGCAGCAAGCAGGGGAGCCGTTGCTGTCCCCGTCGCAGCCGGGGTAATCGATCGTCTCGCAACCAGGCTTGCACAGCGAGGAATCGTCGCAATCGTATAGCCCGACGACGTTCTCTTCCGATATCCCGAAGTAGCGGTTCCCGGCGAAGGGGAAGGCGTTGAGGTTGTAGTACTGGCGGCAAGTGGATGCAGGGAAATCTACGAGGACACCTTCCGGGAAGAACTGGAGGACTCTGTATCTGTCGGCGTTGATGGTGAGGAAAAGAGCGGTGGAGTTGGAGCAGGTGAGACGGAATGCTGCTGCTGTGGAGGGAGAAGCAGAGCAGGAGGAGTTCGAGAGGAAGAAGGGGAAGGGAATCGAGAGTTCCCCGCATGTCTCGTTGCAGTGTAAAGGTGGAGGAGGAGGAGGAGAATGAGAATGGCAAGTTGAGAGGTGAATAGTGTTACAGAGGATGAACAAGATCAGCAATGGTGGGAACATGTTTCCAAGCAATCAAATGAAACAGAGGTTCATCGGAAGTTGATTCTGTGATGAGCCCAGTGAAATATATGAACTAGCTGCTGAGTGCTGAGCAACAATGAGGAAGAGAAAGAGAAAGAGAGAGAGATCGAGGCATGGGAGTTGGAGAAAGAAGAGAAGATTGGTCCCAGGAATGGGTTACAGTTTTGTACCAAAGGGCATGGAATGGCGAGCTGATGAGCTGCTTACTCTATTAATTAAAAAAGGCAACACAACTTTTGAAGTTCTCAAACTTCGATACCGAACGCTTTCCTTTTATTCGTTTTTATTAGTACCTAGTATGGATTAATTATAACTAGATAATTGACGTGCGTTATGTATAGTTGATAAGTCCCAATCCGCGAGGCTTGTTGAACACAACTTAGAAATCGGATTTATAACCAGCAAACAGAGTAACAGGGGAATGGAAAGATGGTTAGGAGTGCAACTTCAACACCACGCACGGGGAAGAGGCTCAACCGAATTCAAGGTAGCAATCTGATCACGATTGAGGTGATGACTCAATCGATACATGGCTCGCTCGTTGTTGGCGATTTGAACCAAGCAACAAGGACAATCCACGAGTTGAAAACTCAATGAACAAGTTCTGAATTGATTAACGTCCAACTATTACAATGGAGTTTGTAGGTCTTTAAATAAGCAAACTGAAACCTAATTCGAGTACAAAACAAACAAGGAAAGCTAATTAATCCTACTACGTTTAAAGGTAAACAGAAAAGGAATCCCAAATCATCCATAAAACCCAAAACTTGTAGCTCACGTAAGCTGCCTCCAAAACAGGTTCAAAACCTCACGTTCACATGCCTCCAGGTCTCCATCTCCTTAGCCAATACCTTGCTTCTGTAGACAAACAAACACACTTTTATGTGGTACAAAGATCCTTCCCTGATTCGAACCCATCTTCCCTGAATGTAGCTCCAAAGTGACCTTCCTGACCATGCTTCCAGACTTAGCCAAATTCTGCCAGTTTGCCAGTTTTGAGACAGCTACTTTGAGGCCTTGAAACACAGCCTTAACGACCTTGTATGAACCCGAATCCCATGCCATCTTGTAGAGGAAGTGTTTTATCTTCAAAATAACACCTTAACCTCGAATTTCTATCAACCCAATTGGAAGGTTCGAGCTCACAAAGTCGGCTACCTGAACTCATCATAATACTTGGCCAAAACTCAGATTGTGCAAATGAGTTAGCTTAACTTCTTGAACGAACAATTCTAACTTGGAATGGAAGCAATCCAAGCTCATATCAATAGTAACAAGTACCGTATGTGCACATTTAACAAGAGAACCAGAACCCATAGTGGCAAAAAGCAAAGTGAGTATATCTGTAAAGGACAGAATTTAATACATCAAACCAACATACAGATCTCCTCAGAACTCAGAAGTCATATTAAAGAGAAAGCCATACACATTCTGCCAAAAAGAAGAAGACTCGCACCGTATGGAGATGAGGTCCAATGCTATCAACACCGCCAAGCCCAAAGCAGCCAAGATGTGGCCTTGATAATTGAAGAACAAAGCGCAAGCAGAATAAGGTACTCAACGTAGCAGTCGGATTACTTGAAAAGATGCTTCTTCAGGAGAGTGACTGCTGTAATAACCCTCGACTCCCAACCAGTGTGATAAAAATGCAACTGCAGATGTGAACTGACCATCTCTGCACAAAAAAAAAAAAAAAAAAACAATCCACAGCGTAATTTAAACTGGGTAGTTGAAAGGCTAAATGAGAAGAAAACTTAAAAGCGCAATAATGTGAAGTGAAGTTATACATGGATGTAGCATTAACAATAACTTCGACAACTTGGACATACATGTGACCGGCTCGGTATCGACAGCAGTTCCTGCTCCTCAGCAGTAAATATTGGGCGCCATAAAATGGATATTCTCACAATTCTTGTCACAGACGATAGGGTCCAGAAGTGGCTCTAGTATCTGCTCCAAGAATGACGCCATCCTATGCAGCAAGTGAAGGTGCCAAACCGGCTTAAATTAGAGAAAGCAAACACAAGAGACCATCTTTCTTGAGCATGTTACCCACTCAACCCTTGAATACCCCTGATTTTTCTATCAAATAGAATAAACATGAAAAATTCACACCACGTTCCTAGAGCAAATGCTACGAGCTCAAAGGTTTCATTAACCACAAAGTAGATAGAGTAAATCCATGGGCAAGTCAGTAAAACCAGCTCAAAAAATCAAACTAAACCTGACTAAAGATCTCATATTTTCTACTGGGTCCAGCTTAAAGTTCAAGAGATGAGTAGAAACCAAATACAAAGAGATGAGCGGAATAAGAACCACAAACCTGGAAAGTCAAGCTGACAATGGCGGTTCCGTCTTCTTATAATTTGGATGCTTGACGCCCTTCCCAGAAAGCATTTTGTTCCTCTCGCAGAGTCGAAACTCAACCACACTTTGGCAACGTCTCCACAATCGACGAGCTTGACATTCCGGCAGAGACTAATCTCACAACTAACAAACTGAAACAAAACGGGAGAAGAAAATAAAAACATTGAAAACAGAAACGGAGGTAGCAGCCACAAAAGCAAAAGTAAAGAAGAAATCGACCAGATGGAAGAAAAAAGAGGCACCTGAAAAAACAACAGTTTGAAAGTAGAAAAACGTGACAAAATTGATGATGATCAATTCCAGAAGAATAGTAATGCCTCTTGACACCTTGGCTCAGTTGCGGACTACTAGTTGTTGATATGTAGAGATGAAAGAGAATAGGGGAGCCCATCGACAGGATGAACATACTCGAGCTTGGGGCAGTTCCAGCTCTTCAGTTCTCTAAGAGAAGTGAGGTGTTTGAGCTTGTGGTAGTTGAGACGAGACAAATTTGGAAGGTTCCACAAGAAGATCGATGTAAGAGTGGTTGGCAGAAGCATCTCCTCGGGAAAAGACTCCATATTATCATTGGCACTCAAATGTAACTCCTCAAGATAGAAAATTGATTGCAGATGCCACCCAGTTCGTCCAGCTATGAGCTTGTCACAACCTTTGATTTCAAGCGACACCAGTGAAGGGAAGAGACTGCCTATGCAAAAAGATTCCAACAGAGGACAGTCCTTGATTTCAAGCTTCTTGATAGAGATGTGATGTTGGCCTTCTCCAAGAGATCGCAGATTCTGTAGATTCCTGATTTTCAAAGAGTTCAGAGAGCATGGAAGAATTCTCTCCAGGGGCAAAGATTCCAATCCTTCATTCTGACCAATTACGAGGTTCAAAAGAGATGACAACAATTGCAAGTTCCACTTCCTCCAACCTGCTATGAGTTTGTCACAGCCATTAATGTTCAGAGTCTCTAAATTTCGGGGTAAACCACCTTCAGGGAAAGACTCCAGCTTTGGACAGTTATCCAAGAAGAGCTCCACTAGTGATGGGAGAAGAGAGTGCATAGGTTCGGCTAGAGACTTTAAGCTTGTGCAATCACACAATATGAGCTGGGTCATGTTAGGGGCATGTAACCTTCCCACAGGAAATGAGATGAAATTAGGGCACTTTGAAATCTCTAGGAACTTGAGATGCTCTAAAGTGTCCGATGTGTTTGCAGCATCAGGTCTCCAAAGGGATACTAAGGTTTGACATCCATTGATTGAAACAACTTTCAATTTGGGGAAAAACTCCAGTGGCATGTATCGAATTGAGTTACAGTCTCTAACCATAATTTCTTGCAGAGTATTAGAGAGATCGAGAACCAACTCCATGTCGTCTAGCAAATCCTGGGCAACTTGAACTCTGAGACGGTGGACTCCGTGTGTCAGCATCTCGAGCCATACATCACGTGAATCGTCCTTCAATCTCATTGAGATTATGTTTGAAGCCCATGGAACTGAAGCTAATCTGAGCTCCTGGCATCCTCTTATCTCGAGTCTTTCTAGAGAGGAAAAGTGGGAAGGGAGGGTTTTCTTAAGGCTGGGACAATGTCTGATGAAGAGTTCCTCAAGGACTGGGAATGCCTGACCTCCGTCATAAGGAATCCACTCGGTCCATTCAGTTAACTGTTCAAATATCAAAGTTTTGAGGGATCCAAATGGGATTTTTGTGGTGCCATAGAACTCCGGACCCACCGTGACAACCTCCATAAATGCTTTGATGGATAGTTTCAGGAGAGATGTTAACTGCCCGAGTGGTGGTAAGGAGGAGCAGTATTTACACCCAGTAAGTTCCAGAGATAGTAAATGTGTGAAGGAAGAACGTCCAACCCAGCCCGGAAAACTTGTTCCTCCATAACCTTCAATCAATAGATGCTCCAAGTTCATATGTGGCTCCAAGTTCTTCAGCACGGTCCTTTCATGTAGTGAATCATCGGTATCTCCATTCCATCTCAACTCCAATCTGCTGATGTGGATCTTCGTCTTCAAACTAGCTTCAAAAGCGGATTGATAATCTGTGACATTTTGGAGATTCCATATTCGAAGTGTTCCTGAGAGATGTTGAAGGCCCCCCATCTCCTTAATACCAGAGCCAGAACCTCTATGAGCTCCACAAACAAAGTCAGTTAAACTCCGGAGGTTTGCCAAGTTACTCATTTCTAGTGGCATCTCTTGCAGCATAGTTTCTGTAACATCTAGGCTACATAAGTTAACTAAACCAACAAAAGAATCTGGAAGTCTTCTAATTTGAGTTCCACTGATATCCATGATCTGCAGTTGCTTCAATTTGCCAATCATATCAGGCAAAGCCTGAATGTTTTTGCACTTTTGCAAAATCAGAATTTCCAAATTATACAATCTACAGAGTGAATCAGGCAACTTGTGGAACACTGCTCGGGAGAAATTCAGATATCTCAAGTGTTTCAAGTCACCAATTGCATCAGGCAACCTGGTCACTCTATAACCAGATAAAGATAGCACCCGCAGTCGTGTAAGTTTCAAGAATATGTTTTGGAGTACCTTGTCATCCATGGATTCGGTTTCATAGCTGCACCATTTCGACCAATCTATTGGCAACAAGGTCCTCAAATGTTTAGCTTTATTTATGCCCTCCCATATGATACTGGTGTCAAGTTCTGCCCTTGCATATGATAGATGCCGAGTTCTTCCTGCAACCTTGAATGATTTGGCATCCTCCATTCTGTAGCAAAATTCTCCAGCAATATATTTGGCCAGGTCATGTATGAGATCGTGCATTTTGAAGCACAAATTATGTTCACCTGATTGTTGGAAAAACGATCTTGATACAAGATCGTTGAAGTACTCAGAACAAGTGTCTTCCATTTCCCTGCTTCCTTTTGATTGGATCACGAAACCCTCTGCCATCCATAAACGAACTAATTCTTCCTTCTCAAATTCATAGTCTTTGGGGAATATTGCACAGTACACGAAGCAAGGTTTTAGATGCAATGGAAGATAGCGATAACTCAAGATTAGTGCTGGAAGAATGCTGTCATCACTTGTTGAATCCCATATGTTGCTCTTCAATATATTCTGCCATTTGTCTACATCTGCATCAGCACGAAGAAGACAACCAAGTGTTTTTGCAGCTAAAGGCAAGCCATTACATTTCTTCATTATTTCCCTGCCAATCCCTTCCAAGTCTGCCCTCCGCCCACTTGAATACCCACCATCAAAAGCAGTCTGAGCAAACAGAGACCAACAATCCTCATCATCTAGTATCTGTAGATTGTGAGGTGGAAGCAATTTAATAGTTGGCACCGTGCGAAGAACAGAAACTACACTATGGCTTCGGGTTGTCGCAATTATCATACTTCCAGGTGCCATGGACTGCAAGGGTTTAAGCAAGTTAACCCATTCAGCGGCACACTTATCATACCAAACATCATCCAACACAAGCAAACACCTCTGGCCTTCAAATGCCTTCCCCAACCCGAGTTGAAGTTGATTGAGAGTTGTGCAGCCGGAACTCCTCCCACAGACTTCTTCAAGAATGTCCTTTGACACCTTATAGACATCGAACTCCGCCGAAATACATACCCATGCCCTGAGTTCAAACCATTTTTTGACTCTGCTATCCTTGTAGAGAAGCTGGGCAATGGTGGTTTTACCAATCCCACCCATACCCACAATTGGAATCACACCAACATCACCATTGGTACCACCTGTTGTTGCATTTGATAGGAGAGACTGAATTATGGCTTCCACATCATTCTCCCTACCATGAACAGTTGATCCGTCAGTCAGAGAAGTGGTCGTCCTGTTTTGAGACGATGAATTTCTTGCAATTCCTTCTATCAAACCAAGGACATCTTTCTGCGTTACCAAATCTTCCAGCGTCTCAAGGATACCTCTCAACTTTGTGTTAGTGCCATCTCTGAAAGAACGCTGAGAGATGAAGTTTCGCACCTTTTCTGCAGTGGTGGGGGACTGAGATCCCAAATAAGGTTCCAACTCCAACCGCTTGAATTCATAAGATATTTCATCCAACAAGTCATCTGCTTCAAGCGTTGCGTCTTTGAGATCGTCGAGCCACCTCTTCACGGATGGCTTGCTAATCTGCTTCTCTTCTGCATCATCAAGCACTCCACACACAGAGTTAAATATCATTTCCAACTTGTTCGGCATGCCATGATTGAGTTTATGGCCCCTGATGAAATGGAGTAGCTCAGGAGAAGCCATCCTGTCGAACAAGACATCGAAAAGGGCAGAAAGGAATGATCCTCCAATTAAAGCAGCAGCAGCATCCATGGCTATTTTTATGAGATATAAGAATGAGAGTGTGCCAGGCTTTCAGAAAGCAGAGCAAATGAAAACCAACGGGAAGATTGTTCCTTTACTTAAGTGACCAATGAGAAAGACTTTGTGCAGAAGAGAGGATATAAGAAATTGTCAAAGGAGCCATATTAGTTTTCAAACCAGAAAGAGATTCCATGATACAATGTACAGTCATTAGATTAATTATTAAATTCGATCATGGATGTTCCAGGAAACTTACTTCAAAAAATAATTGTTTGAAGGTAACCCAACTCAATTCCACGTCTGCTGAAGAAACCTTCAAACACTGGAAAACAAAATTACAGAAGATAAGGGGATCGTGATGGGGTTTTTGTTTGATGCATACAAGGTCGACGGTTTCTAAGCAGCAACTCGGACGGAAGTTTCCAAGATAATGAAGTGATTAAATAATAATTAAACGATGACAACAGAGAAGTCAAACTAATTAGCGAAAGCAGCTTAGCTTTGTAATACGAGATCGATTAGCAGTCGGGATATACTTGCCGTTGATTTTGAGCTCCGGCAACTCCGGCGAGCTGATCGCTTCCCCTTCCGCTTCCCATCGGAGAGCACTCTTGCTCTCAACCTCCCGGGCTTTCGGCGCTTTCTCATTTCAACAGGTCTGTTGGTCCCGATGGCGCCGGCCTTAGGATACCCAATTCGTGGGTTCCAGGCCCACGCTCACGCTCCAATTCGCTAAAACGCGAATTCATTTTGGTGGGAGCGCGAATTACTTTTGCGGGATCGCGAGTTTGTTGAGGGAGAACGAGAATCCGATTGAAAGTGGCCCTTTCAGACATTGGCTTTGCCGGGGTAGTGGGAATAGACTCACCGAGAACACTGCAGCAATCAATTCTTAATGGACGGAGGAGATTGCCGACTAATTAAACGGATGGTTGGACTGAAAAGGAAGGAGCTACTAGCAAGTAGTGAGCTGTATTTTGAAGGGATGGAGGAGTACTTCCTTCGGTAGGAATAAGGGGTCTTCGCGTCGGGGAGATTTGGCGACCAGCAGTCGGCGGTGATCTGATCTGGAAGAAGAACCGACACCAGGCTTCGGAACGAGGAAAGACATTAGATGTGGAAAGGAATTATTCACTTATTATGTTTGGGTTCATCAACGGAACAACGGGTTTTTGGAACAGAAATGTGGATGGGATCATGGGAAGCCCAAAGACCATTTAATCTTGGATTCTATAATTTTGTGCAGTAATCTTCAACTTTCGTTTAGTTTTTATTTAAATTCCAAATTATTATAATTCTTTTTTGAGAAAATAATAGATTTCATAGAAATCAAAAGTCAGCCTCTGCTGCAATTACATCAGCAATTTGCCCAGGAGCACTATCCTGCCAAACCTTGTCTCTAAAAACATTAAAAGGGAAGAAATGTGCTAAGAGGTGAGCAACCCCATTTGCTTCCCTGTACACAAAACTCCAATCCACCACATTAACCTCCGACCCAGCTGAAATAAGGCTACTGCACACACTCTCAATCTCTGTTCTACTATTTTCTCTTCCATTCAGAATGTTGATCAGTCTCTGGCAATCCGATTCCACCTGGATGACCCTTAATCCCTTGTCTTTGGCTTTCTCCAAACCAAACTTCAAAGCCATTCCTTCCGCAATCTCAGGAGACCAGCCAGCCTTGACTGTTCTGCTACCAGCCAGGATCATTTTGCCATTCCAATCTCTGATAATGAAACCCATTCCCACCTCTCCTTTGCCACTGCAACCCGCATCTGAATTGAGTTTATAAATTCCTTCTGGTGGCTTCTTCCATCTGTGAATCCTTCTATCTGCTCTTCCACTTCTGTTGTTGTCTTTTCCCTGCACTGCAACATAGTCTTGTATGAAGTCATCAGCTTTTGTAAACACTTCCCATTCATGTAGCATTTTGCTATTAAACAAACAGTTATTTCTTTCTTTCCAGAAAAACCAAAGCAGAGAGCTGAATCTTTCAATTTCCCCTTCTTTTGCTTCCTTTATCACCCTGAATATCCACTCTTTGCAGGAAAGGCCATCTGCCATCTGGAACAGACTTGCAACAGGCGTTTTTGGCCAGATCCTCCCCACCCAACTGCAATTCACCAGACAGTGTTTTAAAGTTTCTTTCATTCCACAGTTTGGGCATTCGTCCCCTCTTCTTTTACTCTTTTTGCTAATCTTAACACCAACTGGAACTATATTATGAGCCACTTTCCATAAAAAGACTTTGATCTTCCCGGGGACATTCAGTTTCCAGAGTTTATTCCAACCAGTATTCAATTCCTGATCATCAACACTCCCTGCCAGCTCCTCCCCAATTATGTTCAACTCCATATCATATCTAGACTTGACAGTGTAATCTCCATTTTCCGTACCAGTCCAGCATAAGGAATCCCTATCCAAGCCAGGAGAAAGAGGAATATCCAGAATTGCTTGCTGCTCTTCCTGAGTGAACATTATCTCAATCAAATCTCTTCTCCAGGTTCTTGTTTCTTGGTCAATGAGGCAAGAGACTTTTGAGTCCCAATCCAGGAAAGAGCTATAAGAAAAAACCCGGTAATCATCAAGCCCTGGAATCCATCTATCTCTCCAGATATGGACCTCTTCCCCCGTTCCAATCCCCCATCTGCAGCCTGTTTTTAATAAGTCTTGAGCTCTCATCAAGCTCCTCCAAACATAGCTCGGTCTCCATCCCACTTTTGCTTCCAGAATACTGCTTTTTGGATGATATTTAGCCTTCAACAATCTGGCAACCAGTGACTGAGGATTAAGGTTCAGATTCCAGAGTTGCTTTGCCAGGATGACTGTGTTAAACACTTTAAGATTCCTGAAACCTATTCCTCCTTGATTCTTCTTCTTACACAGCTTCTCCCAACGTTTCCAGTGAATCCTTCTTTCATTCCCTTTCTGCCCCCACCAGAAATTAGCTATCAAGCTATGTATATCGTCCAAAATTCCATCAGGGATCCTAAACACCGACATGGCGTAGGTCGTTTGAGCCTGGGCAATACTCTTGATCAGAATTTCTTTCCCTGCTTCTGAAAAGTACCTATTTTTCCAGTTCATCAGCTTGTTTCTAACCCTGTCCCTGAGATTACTGAACACCGACTTCTTTGATCTCCCCACCATAGTAGGTAGGCCAAGGTATTTAGCAAGTTTGTCTCTTTCCTTGATCTTTAACACTTGGCAGATCTCTTGTCGTCTGTTGTTCAGCGTGTTCTTACTAAAATAGATCTCTGACTTGTCCAGATTTACCATTTGTCCAGATTCCTTTTCGTAATCTTCGTGCACTTCTTTCAGTTTCTTAGACTCTTCCACCGTGGCTCTAGCAAAAATTATACAATCATCAGCAAACAGCAAGTGGGAGACCACTGGAGCCCTATTGCAAATTTTCAGGCCATGAATTTTCTTCTCCTTCCCGCTTTTGTTAATCAGAGCTGAAAGCCCTTCAGCACAAAGCAGGAATAAATACGGGGAGAGGGGGTCTCCTTGTCTCAGTCCCCTACCAGGATTGAAGAAATTCGATTTATGGCCATTAACCAACACTGCATAAGACACAGAAGAAACACAATTCATAATAAGCTTGATCCACTTCTCATCAAATCCCAATTTAACCATGACTCTTTCAAGAAAAATCCATTCTACTCGGTCGTAGACCTTAGCCATATCCAATTTGAGAGCAAGTAAGCCTTTATCACCTTTGTTCTTATTCTTCATAGTAGAGAAGCACTCAAAAGCAGCTATCACATTGTCAGTGATCGATCTTCCAGGAACAAAAGCACTCTGTGCTTCACAAATGAGATCATTCAGCACTCCTTTTAGCCGGTTTGTAATTGTCTTAGATAAAACCTTATACAGAATAGAGCACAGACTAATAGGTCTATATTCTTTGGGAGAGATAGGATTTTTTACCTTTGGAATCAATGCAATAAGAGTCCTGTTAAGCTCTGTAGGCAGACTGCCTCCATTGAGAAAGCCCGTCAATTCTTCAGTTACTTTTGGTGCAATGGTACTCCAATTCTTTTGGAAAAATAAGGAAGGAAAGCCGTCATCTCCTGGTGCTTTGGTAGCATCCATTTGGAATAAAGCAGCCTGGATTTCCTCTGCCGTGAAGGGCCTGAGAAGTTTCTGATTCATCTCTTCAGTAACCTTCTTCTCAATTGCATCGATTACTTTCCAACAGTTCTGATCTGCTCTACTTTCAAAAAGCTTGGAGTAGTATTGGAATAAGCACCCAGTCACCTCTTCTTGACCCTTATGAATTCTACCCTGATCATCCTGAAGCTTTTTAATGGTGTTTTTCTTCCTTCTTTCAGATGCTTTGGCATGGAAAGCCTTTGTGTTCTTCTCCCCTTCCTTTAGCCATTCCATCCTGGATCTTTGTTTCCACCGCTGTTCATTTTTGTACAGAAGATCCTGCAGTTCCAGTTCCAGCTGTCTTTTCCTTGTTCTCCAAGTACTGTTCTTCTTTTGCAATTTCATACCTTGTAAGCTCCTTCTGATCTGGGAAATTCTTCTCGGAATCTCACCAAACTTTGTCTCACTCCAACTTTTCAGCTTTCTTTCACAGCTCTTTAAACTCTGGTCCAAGGTGTTCCAACTTGCTTCTTCCCAGGCTTCTTTGATTATCTCCCCACTCTCCTCATCTTTTGCCCAGAAGGATTCAAATCTAAAACACTTACCCCATCTAATCTCCTCTTCTTTTTCTCCAAAAGGGTCAATTAGGATTGGTAAATGATCAGAGACCACTCCTTCTAGATGGAGGACCATGGCATTTTGAAAGAGATCCATCCACTTTCCATTTGCTACCGCCCTATCGAGTCTTTCCTCAATAAGATCCTGGCCACTTTTCCTGTTATCCCACGTAAAAGGATATCCCACAAGACCGAGATCTTTCAATCCACAGTCCATTAACGCGTTATTGAATCCCATCAAACGAGTTTCACTTACAAGATTCCCTCCTTCTTTCTCCGCATTTGAGCACAATTGATTGAAATCCCCTGCGCAGAGCCATGGAAGATCCCTTCCATCATTGAGCTCCCTGAGTAAATCCCATGTACGATGATGATTTTCTTTCTCCGGCCAACCATATATACCCGTGAATCGCCATTTGTCTCTACCTCTGTCATCTTTGATTACTGCATCCATAAAAAATTTTGTTGTACCTTTTATTTCCAGGTTGACCCCTTCCTGCCAAAACAAACATAAGCCACCTGACTTTCCTTCAACCGGCACTCCATTCCCGTATTTGAAACCCAACTCCCTCATTGTTTTCTCCCAGCCACTCTTCTTCAACTTTGTTTCTGAAAGAAACACGATTTGGGGTTTTTGGAATCTTATCGTCGATCCCAGTACTGCAACTGCCTTGGGATCCCCTAACCCTTGGCAGTTGAGACAGAGTAGACTCATTGTTGTAGGCGGCCCTGTTCCTTAACAGGGACCGCCTCTGGTAGTAGTTGTTTGAATCTTTCTTTCTCCTCCTTTGATCTCTTCCCCTCATGCTTGTAACCCACCTCTTCTTCACCATCAATTTCCATATCATCCTCTTCATTGCTTCTCTTCTTTCCCGCTCCTACGATTTCCCCTGATTCCCCTGCCTTCCTTTCTCTATCCTTTTTTCTAACCCACTTTTCCCCTGCCTTCCCCTGATCTCTTCCCCCAAATTATTATAATTCAATGACATGATAGAATGGAAAGAAGGGTTGATAAAATTCTAAATGTTGTTGTGAAATACACCTACACTTCCATTTAATTAAACATTTATTCATTAATGTTTTATGGTTCATTACTTGTTAATATAAATATATTTGAATAGTTTTCTATATACTACCTTTTCAAGTATATTAAAATAAAAAATGATATAATAATGACGGTCTCATCAGTCACGCTCTCGAAATTAAATTCTTATGAAAATAACGCTCTCACGCTCTCGCTCCACGAACTGGTTACCTAACGCCGGCCAACTCTTCTCCGATTTGGAGTCAATCTCGCCTGCGGTCTCTACAATTTGGGAAAAAATCCAAAAGTACCACTGTTTTAAAAAAAATTCAAAAATACCACCCAATCACAAAAAATTCCAAAAATACCACCTTTTTCAAAAACCGCCACCCCACCCTGCGGTTTGCACGAAAACCACTGGGCGGGGTGCAGTTTTCTATGCAAACCGCTGGGCTAAGGGTCGGTTATAAAAACCTGACCAAACCGCTTGGTGGGGCGGCGGTTTTGGGCCAAAACTCCACCCCACCCAGCGGTTTGGTTCAAATTTTTTTTTTTCCGATCAACTCCTAAATTCGGCCGAAACTTCAAACGAACGTAACTTTGCACTCGGGTATCCGATCGTAGCGAATTTTTTTTTTAATCCGAATAACTTTTCGAGATCTTGCAAGCCGCAAACGCCGTAGGCAATTTGGTTCCGCCTTCGTCTCGAAAAAACATCATTTGCTACCCCGAACGAGCCTTTTTTTATTTCGTCAAATTTTGGACGACCTTAACTTTGTGCTCCAAAATCTGAACGTCATGAATTTTTTTTTATTTCGCATAACTTTCCAAGATCTACAACTTTTACAACTTTTTTTTATCCCTCCTTCCCTCTGGGACGTGATGTCCGTTTCTTTCTGTTGGATAGAACGTGATAAGAGGAGTGGCACTGCCGTATAAACAGGCATCTAAGCTTGCAAGCAACTCGGAATCGGATGACAAACTTCCCATAAAAAGATATGTAGGGCATTGTTCCCACTTTGCAAGTTTCACCCGCAGTCCACCTTCACACTTGCGTAGAGAATAATTGACTGACCATTTTGTTAAACTCTAAAGTTAAAGGGACCATTTTGGATAATTGCCCCTTTACTATAGACTGGAGAGTGGTGCCGCGCGTGTGGGAAGCAGTTCTGTTCTGTCTTCTGTGGGTTTACGTTGATCAGAGCCATCTTAAAGTTAAAGCTTGCCGCCATTCTGATACAGGTGCTGTTAGAGGAATCTGTAACGAGCTTACTTCGGCATTAGTTATAACGTTGAAGTAACTCAGAATTAGAAACGGCTAGCTGTTTCCGTTCATCGAACCGCCGGTGTGATGTTAATTCCGTCATTCCCATGTTAGCTGGCTCGGGAGTTCGGTATAGAGGTTAGTATTTCCATACCTGGGATATATTCGAAAATCTATTAATTTCTACGAGGTGAACTGGTTGCCTCAGTCGAAATATCGGTGAATACCATGTTGTTGAACTCACGGTTCCGATTGATTTCCCTACTCGTTTGCTTGAAGGAAGTTCCTGCTTTGAATTTTAGCTCACCAAGTGTTCGATAGAATGTCTGTCAGAGCAAGGAGTGCTGCGTAGATGCATTCGCAGTCTGCCTACGGTACCTTCTTCTTCTTTCTGATAACGGTTGCATTATGCTGGTGGAAATAAATGGTCAGGGTGCTTGCTGTTTTGTTGTGAATGAAAGTATTTGATCGAAAAGCCATGGTCTTTGTGTATTCCCCTTGTATTTGAACTTTGTTGATTTTGCGTGCTGTGTCTGTGATAGCTCTGATTGACCCTTGTACCATTTTGCAGTTCACCATCTTCGGTCGAGATTGTGGTAGACTTGCTTTGCTACTGGGTCGTTGTGGAGCACTCTCCTATTGATTCTTCGTTGACTTCCGTATCTTCATCAAAAGCTGCATGATACCCATGATGATCAAATCTATTCGCAGACGACCACTTGCAGCATATATCACTTTAAGATCGAAAACCACCGCCACACAGTATGTAGAATCGAGAGCCAGGGACGCTGTGTTCGAGAAATTCATGGACAAGTACAAAAACCTCCTGAAAGTCATTGCCATCCAAGACCTTATTCTTTCAAACCCCACTAGAACCCCACCTTCTGTTTCCCTTGATTTCCTCAACAGACTCTCCCAGAAGCTACACCTTAATAGAGGCGCAGCCTCTTTCCTCCGTAGATACCCTCACATTTTCCACATTTACTATGAAACAACGGTCTCCCAACCTTTTGTCAGACTAACTGATGCTGCTACACAGATTTGTTTCGAAGAAGCAGAGGCAATTACAGCAACATTGCCAGCTGTTGTTGACCGGTTGGTTCGGCTTTTATGCATGTCAAAGTCCAAATCCTTGCCACTCCGTGCCATCTTCAAGGTTTGGAAGGAGCTCGGGCTTCCGGATGATTTTGAGGATTCGGTAATATCTCAAAACCCACATATTTTCAGTCTCCATGATGCCCATGAACCTCACACACACATCTTGAAGTTGGTGGATGAATTCCCCTTGTGTCATCTTAGGCCTGCAGTTGATGACTGGAGGGTCACAGCCACTGAGTGTGGTAAAAAGAAATGTGAAGCGCATGATACTGCTGAAATGCAGTATTGCTTCAAGCATCAATACCCACCTGGAATGCGCCTGAGCAAGAATTTCAGGGCTAAGGTGAAGGAATGGCAGAGTCTGCCTTATATGGGTCCTTATGAAGAGCTGAGGGAGATGAAGCCATCTAAGGTGGGGATGAGAAGACTTGAGAAAAGAGCAGTTGCTATTGCCCACGAGTTCTTGAGTTTGACAGTTGAGAAGACGGTAGAAGTTGAGAAGATCAGCCATTTCAGGAAGTGGTTTGAGATTGAGTTGAACATGCGAGACTTGTTCTTGGATCATCCAGGGATTTTTTACTTGTCTACAAAGGGCAAGAGACATACAGTATTCCTTAGGGAAGCTTATGAGAGGGGTCGATTGATTAACCCTAATCCTGTGTACAATGTAAGACGAAAGCTTTTAGACCTTGTTGTTATGGGACGTCATCAATTTCCTTGCAATAATTGAGGCCATGGGAGGTTTGGTTAGCTGGAAGAAAAAACTATGGTCCAAACCGTCCTTCCCTTATTAAGGTCTAGGATTTCAGACCTATTCTTATTAGATCTTGAAATGAAACTGGAAACTTGGTGGATTCAGGCAACCTAAAAGAGCAAGTGGCTGTAACGTCCAGGCAACCAGTCCATGAGTCTGGGTATGCGACGTGGTGTCATCATCAGTTATCCTCCTCAGGCTCCTGTGTGATTTCTTTTCTTGTTGCTTCTACGTTACCAATTTTTGAAACCTGGAACATGAGTTTGAGATTGTTTTCTATCTTCCAAACTAGGGAGAGGTACTGCCCCAGTTCGTTTGGATTGCTTGATTCCATCTCCAGGTTTTCTGCAAAGAAACAGGATTAGAACTTTAACAATGGGTTTCTAGGATGATGCAAGGCTTCTTGGTGGAAGAGCAGAACAGTGTGAAGCAAGTGTTGGAAGATTCAGAAGGCAAAGGAAAAGAGCAGATGGCTCAAGGAGTTAGACAACTAGTAGATAAAAGACTGTTAGGAAGTAGTCGTTGCCCTTTGAGCTGTGGAAAGACGGATACAATTTGTGTAATAATATTGTTGCATGTTTTCTTTTCATGGAAATGGAAATACTTGGTTGACAGCTCTTCTTAGTTCGGTAGTTGTATGTAGAAACCATATCATTAGTCAATATGATTGAATGTACAGCTCAAAATCGTTCCACAATAAGAAATGAACAGAGTTTTCAGAGTCAAATAAATTGAAGTTGAACACCATCACTGAAATTAGTAATTCAGCCCTTGAAATGTACAGCTCAAAATCGTTCCACAATAAGAAATGAACAGAATTTTCACGGTCAAATAAATTGAAGTTGAACACCATCACTGAAATTAGTAATTCAGCCCTTGAAATCTCCAGGCCATTTGGATCTTCTTGATAAAATTGCACGATAAAATTGCACAAAAAATAATTTGTATCATTAGTTTAAATGATCGAATGTACAGCTCAAAATTGTTCCACAACAAGAAATGAATAGAGTTTTCACAGTCGAATAAATTGAAGTTGAACACCATCACTGAAATTAGTAATTCAGCCCTTGAAATGTACAACTCAAAATCGTTCCACAATAAGAAATGAACAGAATTTTCACAGTGAAATAAATTGAAGTTGAACACCATCACTAAAATTAGTAATTCAGCCCTTGAAATCTCCAGGCGATTTGGATCTTCTTGATAAAATTGCACGATAAAATTGCACAAAAGATAATTTGTCAGGAGTGGGATTTGGTTTGGTTAATGTGGATAATTGGTTTGGTTTGGTTAAATTTTTTAGCTTGTTTGGTTTAGGTGGTTTGGTTTGGTTTCAGACACTCCTAACCAATCAAACCAAATTAACCAGGTAAGCAGTTTTCCATATATCTTATATATATTGTATACACATAGTTAATACTTGGCATATAAACTGATAAACACTCAAGAGTCATACATTCCTTCCTTTTAGGCTCATCAATAATAAAGCTCAATATTGTTCATATATTGTACTAGCTTTTTACCCGGCCCGTTGGCCGGTGAGTTTCATTTTATCATTTATATTAATCAATTTATCTATATGTTTAAACTATTTTGGATCTTCTACATTTTTTACATTTGCATTCATGCGTGAGTATGCGGTGCGTCTGTAAATTAAAAATTCTCAATGCTTAGCACGTTCACTTATGATGTTTCAATTCTCTGATCATAAATCATGTCACGAAGATATATCATGATACTCAAATGCGTGAGTATGTGGTGCGTCTATAAATTAAAACAACGATACTCAACAAATTTTATCTTATACAATATATGTCATTCAATGAATCTCGAGTTTGGACAAACTCTCAACCAATGATGTTGCTCAGATGACGACAACTTAGTTAGAATGTTTTTATAAAGGTACTTCAATATTAGGTAAGTTTGGTCATCCCAATTGAAAGTTTACTGTCTTATTGCAAGATCATATTTGTCGATCAAAACACTCAATTTAATATCTTATACAATATGTACCAATTGTTAATTCCTGAAGTTTAATTTAGACTCACCCTCAACTAATGATCGTTGTTTAGATGTTGGTTTAGAATCTCGGTCCAAGATACTCACATACTGTCGAGGGTTCTAATCTTAACATGGTCCATTAGTGTATAATTTTCTAACTTATCAAATATGCATTTGCTTAAACTTATACTAATATCTTCATTTTGTTGGTGTAATGCCACATCTATTGTCAATATCTAAGCATGATACTATACTCTAAGTAAGAACACGCTATCTGGACCACGAATTAACCGGATTTGTGGGCATGATACTATACCCTAATCCTTGATGAGTGAACCCTATGTCTTAGTTATCTAAATCATAGAGCTTAACCCCTAAGATTTTGCATGTAATTTGTTGCATATATTTTGACGAAGCATGACCGTTGATTTTTGTTTAGAATTAAATTGATCTTAGGGTATGAGATTTATAAATTTAAGACCTAGATTTTAATCTTGAAGGGTTTGAGAATAATACCATATGCCAAACTCCAGTCAATTCAAGGTCTTGATATCATTTTCTTACTCAAAGTATGTCATAATATACATATATAAATATAAAGAGTTTAATGTATTTTTAATTGTAATTAACACCTTTGTTTGACCGAAATATGTAAACTATTAAGAAAAATAAGGGGAAATATGAACAAATGTAAGAGAAAATAAGGTATGGAAGCATGCATTATAAGAGTTCCGAAAAGTTGTTTTTCTTTATCGCCTTCATTTGTACAATCATGTACTATATTATGACTTCGTCAAGTTTCTATCTAAATGAAAAACAACTTTTGAAGCATTTTGCTTTTTAATACTTGTTTTCATTAATAGATACAAACATTAGAAAAAGATAGTGTTTGATAACCAAAACATAAAATTATATAGTTGGTTTTTCAAATTCAATTGATTAATAAATGTTGATTATCTAAACTTCACTGTATTAAGTTCTAATAAAAATTAAAATTAATTGATCAGATTTAATCAAATATATTTGTTAAAAGATTACAATATATGTCACTCTCCAAACATACGTATACTGCTGCTATACATATATATTGCAAAAAACAATTATTGAATAAAAAATATATATTAAAAGAAGATATAGATAGCTACATAAATGATCATTAAAATAAAAAGAAAATATTAAAAGAAGATAGATATAGATACATTAATTGATCATTAACTAACTTTTTTTGTTGTAAAAAAAGTGTACACCATGGCACCTTGTAAATTCTCCAAATGCTTATGTGGTAACAAACTACTTTTGAATTGCCATAATATTATGTATAGATAGATATTTGTATTATTAGAGTGTAGATGTAGACCATTATATATGAACGCTTAATTTAGATAAAACCCATACAATACATTAGATGAAAACGTGAAAGAAATGTCTTTTTCAATCTATGATCATTGCTAAGATACTAATTCACAACAATTAATTAACTCCGTACTATTGACATGTATTTTTATTAATTGAATACTTCTATTGACCGTAAGATAGTTGTATTAGTTGCATATATTTCTGTAAGGGTTAACTATAACTATGTGTTCATTGTAATGTTTTATTCGTCATATAAATTGTGAATTGAGGCATTATCCAAAAAAATTCTCACTTAATGATAATGTGATGTAATATTGATTAATCTGGTTAACCAATTAACCAAATCGATTAAACTTTAGTTTGGTTAATTTGATTATTGTATTAGTTTGGGCGGTTTGGTTATTATATTATATTTCATAATTAATATATTTTTTCCTTATTTGGTTCAATAATTACCATGGTAACCATTTGAACACCACTAATTTTACGTACCAATTCCAATTCAGATTTCACTATAAAATCTATAGACCTTAAAATCTTACAGTATTCACGATCTAAATCTTTAAAATCTTATGATTTTACGATTAGGATTTTTGAGTCAATTTTACCTGTTTTCTTCATAATTTGCAAAATCGCACATCTTTTCCTTCTCATTCACCAACATCATCTATTTCTCACACACTAACAACCATCGATCATCATTAATTCACATCAACGTATTTATCGCCATCGGTTCACCACCTCTTAACATTAACTATGATAAATTGGAACATTAACCTTGAGAAATTATCATTGTAAGTGTTATGTGTTTTTGTGTTATTTGCGATTTTCCTTATTAATATTATTCTGTTTCCATTTTTATATGAACCTTAAAATCATACGATTTTACGATTTCGATTTTACCCCAATTTTTGATTTTACGTAAAATTCTGATTTCGACAGCTTTGGTCCTATCACCAGTGAAGTCTAAAACTTACATCTCCAACCATCATTAATCCACCTTTTCAAGCTCACTTCAAATAAATGATGACTACACTGAAGGAAGTGAGTGTGTTTAAGAATATGTGAGCCAAATAATGAGCAATACTATCTTTAGTTAGTTGCTGTGAGAATATGTGAAAACCTTTTCTTGATTGTAGAAAGACATGCAAATAAGGGATACTAAATAATGAACAAATAAAATTTTCTGTCATTATATTCTTTTATTCAAATGAGTTAAAGCTAAAAAGGGATATACGATAGAAAATGGGGGACTCGTTGATTAACAATTTAGGCTGAATACATAAAATATCGAAACACTTAAACGATTACAACGGATAAGTAGTCATTCACATGGTTGCGATTTTCTTAGAATTTTAGATAATTGCAACTTCCAACAAATAAGGAGTCATTCACTTGGGTTGGGTATAGTACCATTGATGTTTCAATTTTGTTCTTCAAGCTTGAGGCAACTTTGGAAGACTTATTGAAAAATTGAGCATTAAGAGCATTCAAATTTTGTAGTATAATTTTGTTCTCCATTATTCATGAACACGAAAAGGAATTTAGTCTTGTAGACAAGCATGCAATTGCAAATAAAAAATAATAAAGCATCAATAAATAAAATCTTCTTATGAACACACTAACTGTTTACACAAAAAAAAAAAAACTATACAACATTGATTACAAAATATCATGTACACAAATGAAATGAGCTTCAATATCCTCTGCACAAATCCCCAATGCAAAAACAATACTTACCACAAAAAGTGTATACACACAACCCCATTCCTTAAACAAATGCTAGAATTAAATCCCATGGTCCATTATCCACTCCTAGTCGGGGGATTTAAGAGTAGCATTTGTTCGTTGAATAAGTAGTAGCAGTGGAGATTTCAGGAGGACAAGAATTTGGTGGGGGAGAATCCCATGCATCATCTGGTGCAGGATTTGCAGGCAAGCTGAAAGGAAAGCCAATCGATCTAATCTCACTCCCAACCCACTGATGATTGTGGTTATGATTATCATCATCTTCTCCACCACTACTCTCCATCTCTTGTTGCAGAGTACTGATGGAGAATCCACTAAACTGCTGCCCCTGCCCTTCAAATTCCAGGGCTTCGGAAGAGGCCTTGTTGGACAAAACTGAACCTGACGAAGCTTCAATCGAGGGAAAAATGAAATTGTTGGGAGCTTGAGGGAATGGGAACAGCGGTGGAGGAGAGAAACTTGGGGTTGAAGCTTGTTGTGGGAAGAATGGTGATGATCCAAGCTCTGACACGCAAGAAACCACGTCGGATGAGGAGGTGGCTTGGTGTTGGTTAAGGTGCTGGTTGAAGAAGTGGTGATCAGACTGTGTCGATTCGTGATGTAGAGGCGACGACATCATCCATGGATGATGAGACAGAGCTCTCTGCGACATGGAATTCGTCTTCTTGAATATCCGACATATCGCCCATGCTTCCTGTTTATTACCAAGACCATCAACAAACAAATATTAAGAGTAACTTTTATGACAAGAAACTGTGAAAACCCTATGCTAATTCATCTTGCAATGTTTCTTTTTTCTTGCACAATTATAGTCAAATGAATCTTTTCTTACGTTGGGAGGGAGGGATTTATCGAGGAGCTTCTTCGGCTGAAGGGATTGCTGATTCTGATCGGAGCCGGGGATGGGAGGGAGCCGGAACTCGTGCATCATCCAATCAGTCTTGATCCCTTTGGCAGCTCTTCCTCTGTAGAAAACCAGTGACTTCTTCAGCCCAATGCACTTGGTTCCTTCCGACGAGTAAATCGGACGGTCGGTTCCAGTAGCCTTCCAGAACCCGGCTCCGGTAACCCGGTTCGGCCTCGCGCTGTTCCTGTACTTTCGGTCCCTTGGACAGTAGAAATACCACTCTTTCTCCCCTGCAGTCGTCGCCACCCCTGTTTTTTCGTTTTCAACATGTAAGAAAGCAACCGACTTTATTAGGAAAATGGTTCTCAGATGTTAACCCCACTGGCCCACTGGCCTCCACAATTTCAATAAAATAATGGAATCTGATTTTGGATTTGGATACTAATTTATATTTCCTAGTTTTATCTTTTGCTTGACGTGGGTGACTCTACAACAGGGGAACTTGCTAGAGTGTCCTACCTATCTTTTATGCATGAAAGTGAAAGCAAGAAGATGAAAAAGATCTCTGCCATGAGGAATTTCATGAACCCAGAAGGAATTTTCATGTGGGCAGGAGGTTTTACTACCAAAGCTGAGTTCTTTACTTGAAAAGGGTGAAAAACAGGGGAATTCAGGGAATTTGAGAAAACAGGGGAGGCTGGCTTACTTGGAAGATCCCAGGGGTCGTATTTGTAGATATCGACTTGCTTAATGAGCTCAATAGCCAGAGACCTCTGCTGTATTTTCCTCTTCAGATAGAACCCTACCAGCTCCTCGTCCGTCGGATGGAACCGGAAACCGGGCAGCATCACATCGTCGCTGCCCTTATCCGAGTCATTCTTCTCTTCCATTTGAAGAAGAAAAAAAAACAGAGCTTTGAGCAGCAGTGGGGAAGCAGACAGTTTAGCAGCAAAGGTTTTTGGGTTTTGAGTGGGTGAATCTCCAAGTTGGTTCTTTATATGAGGGGGTTCAGGAGAATTGTGGAAAGACTTCTTCGCACACTGTTGAAGGAAAAGCCAAGAGCAAAATGACAAAGGAACCTTCAAGTTTTTTTTTTCCAAAGCAAAGGAACCTTCAACTTAGGGTCGTTTGGATTGAGTATTTGACAAATTTGTTGTTTGGGACCAATTACCACACAAATACCACATAATATAAAACTTGTTATTTGGTATGTGATACTTGGTCTCAAACTTGTTATTTGGCAAATACCTGCCCCCTCCCAAGTATTTGGCAAACAACACTTTTTGTGTTATTTTGTCTCAAACCTGTTATTTGACAAAACACTACATCCAAATAACACATCCCACTTTTTGTCAGCCAAACATGTTATTTGGGGTTAAATAACAGATTTTGTGTTATTTGACCTCAAATAACACCCCCAAATACTCAATCCAAACGACCCTATGTTTAGTAAAGAGTATATTAGGTTTCATTACTCTTCTCATGGGGATTGGATTGTGGGGTTTAGTGAGGCAGAAGTTGAAATTTGAAAATATGAATTCTTCCCCAAAAGAGGATCAGTTTTACATTAAAAAACCCTCACGAGATTTGCTCTGGGGTGGGAATGCTATCAGTTGTGCTATCAATGAATCCAAATGAATCAAATAGAATATGATTTAAACATTGGTCTACTATTACTATATTATTACTATATTCTACTATATGCCATTTCTTTTAAACATTTTATACAAGTATAGTAATGTTTAATGTGGATGCATCTGGGAGTGGTCGTCTGTTTTTTCAGTTCCTTCCCAAGTTTGTGCTAACCATCCATGAAACCTTGGTGAGAATAACTTCTTGTTGGATGACAACCCAAGTTTGTGCTAACCATCCATGAAACCTTGGTGAGAATAACTTCTTGTTGGATGACAATTGACAACGGTTGATGTGACTCGAATCGGTCTATTAGCCACTACGACTGGTAGTCGGGGGTCTCGCTATAGTGAAATTGGCTCTCTCTCGCCTGTGGACGAGCTAACACACATTGTGTTAGTGAACCACGTAAATCGTGTGTCTGTGTTTTTCAATTCTCGCTTTCGTATTCTTGCTTTATCGATTCCAGCAATTTCCCGATCCGTAGCAGCGCGTTTATAACAACAACTTTATAGCGGATTGTGCAATTTGAAGTATTAGTTCTTTGTTGTAATATTATACCGTTGATGATACATATGCAAAGTTGATGTTGGTTATTGTACGATTCTTCGAAAATTGATGCATTAGAATGTTGTTTTACACTCACTTTAATATTTAAAAAATAAAACTCAAAGAAAGTTCCTTGCTAGCTAGTGATTGTTTGGCCTAGTTGAACACCTTGTGAAAGAATATGTGTAGTATAAGTCTATAAGATAATTTAAAGTGAATTTGGTTAATTGTCAATTTGATCTCTCTCACTTTCTTAGGGAATAACAAAATCAATGAAGAATAATATCATCACATTTAATACATAATAATTCGAATGCCACATTTTCTCATTATAGGCGGAGGCATGATGTTTGGGATGTGTCCCAGGACACAGGTAAGTTAATTAATACATCCTATATATATTTTTACAAGGAATCAAATATTCAAATTCATCGCATTGATAGAGTATAAAAAGTATCTTACCACTACTATACAACTCAGTGATTTTTATTTGATTGATATAAAATTAATTTATACCCTATTAATGAAATCTTCAATTAAAATAAATCTCTAATTGAGTTCTTTATTCTCAATTACCCTATTCAATTTGGTCCAAGAACTATGAAGCTTGACTGCTACTGGGCTCTCACTTTTCTAGTATGCTAGTTTCTATTCAATTTTAATTATTAATTATTAATTAATTTTTTATATTTTTATATTTGGAAAGAGGACACACTTAGATAACAACCTCACTCGGCCACTATTTCTCATCCCCATTGTCCAAATTTGGGTGCATATAAGAAAATGACACACCCCATTGGCATTTGGCAATATATATTGTTAGCTTAAATCATGTTTAGGACTTAGTAATTGAGTAAAGACGACTAATATGACAAACTAAATGTAAAAGAGTCCATACTTTATTGCATAATATATTATTTTAAGTTAATTATCCTTATCATGACTTGATTCAAGAAACAAAATTGTTAGGGAAAACAAACTCATGTTGTCAAGCTAGGGGTCAATAAAACACAGCCCTTAAAACTTATGACATTTTTTTATATCATATCCGAATTGACATGTAAATTATTCAAGAATTAGAGATTTATTAAAGTTAGGTAGAGAATGATGCATGTTTCAAAGGTATATTTGGCTTCCAAAATAATCATTACCAGTCTTCTTACCCACGCTGGGACTGCCAAGCAAAGTGAGGAATTTGCAGCAAGAACAAACAAAAGAAGGAATCAGAACAGCTACCAAAGTAAGGAAGGAGAGGGAAACCAAAATGTAATAGTACAAATATGAATATTAAGACTTTCTCAATCTGTATGATTTTGGATCATAGGAATGGTTCAATCTGTAAGATGTGGCTTAAGAGGGATGAATTCACTCCGTGTCTGTCATATGCATATAATTAATTATGGGTTGTTAAGGGTGGGTTAATGACGTGAAGTAGTGGGTAATTAGTGGGTTAGTGGTTTCCTAGAATTGGGGATTTAGTTTATGCATTGTTGTTTACGTTTCAGTAGTTTGTAGAGTTCTTAGTTCTCTATTTAAAGCAGCAGATTGAAAGAAGAGCAGGCAATCAAGTATAATCAAGAAAAGAGTTTTATACACCTACGTGTTAATTTGGGAGATTGGCTTTCCTCGAAAAAGTTTAGGGGTTCCGTTCTCGTCATTAAAAAGTACACTTCTCTTCTACCATTCTATCAATCTTTCCTCCATTCTTATTCTTCATATCCCGATCTTTCACCCTAAATTCTATTCTCCGAAAAGGGTACGTAACAGTGTCATCAGTTTTACTAGGGAGTGACCAAAACTATGCAAAGGGAGAGCTGACTGACCTGCTTCCTCTGCTTCAAAATCGTCATATCCGCGACCAAGCGAAACCGATCATAACAGCAAAAGAAAATGTTCGTGAGAGGTTTCTCAGGAGAACAACCACCTGAAACGAAATTGACAGGGAAGAGGAATAGTTTATCACAACCGTATTAAGTATCAGTAGGAGAAAAGAGATGGAACAACAAAGCAACTGAGGGAAGAGAGAACAAAAACAAAGGAGTACAGGAATAGTGAGAAAAACCTGCAAATGGGTTAAGGTGAAATAATGAGTGGACCACAAATGAAAGAGTCCCGTGGTGTTTCATCCACCATCAAAAACGAAAATATACCTTCTCCTCGCTCTTTTCTTGTGCCAACCCAATCTCCTCAACCCTCTCTGCTCCCCTTATCAAACCCCACTCCCCAGTTTAGGAATTAGGGTTCTAGACTCGGGGACATCAAAAATCACAACCACCATTGTGGCCACAAATGGCGCCCTCTACCAGCCGCGAATTCCCTTCCCTATCTTTCGTCCCTCTCCTCATCCTGATAATCACCTCCACCGCAGCAGAACCCAGATCCGCAACCGCCGCCGAAGACCCAACCCCGACGCCATGGCCGCTCCAATTCCACTCCGTACTCTTCATGAACAAAAGTGGCATTCTCCAGATGATCGACCTCTGGTACGACTGGCCCAATGGCCGCAACTTCAACATCATCAGGGACCAGCTGGGCAAGCTCACCTACGACGCCGAGTGGAACAACGGCACCTCATTCATGTACACCCTAGATTCCGATCGCGAATGCAAAACCCTCTACCCGGGCGTCGGCATCCTCCGACCCAATTGGCTCGACGGCGCCAATTACCTGGGCCAGCGCTACATCGACGGCTTCCTCTGCAATGTTTGGGAGAAGGTCGATTTCATTTGGTACTATGAAGACGTCGAGACCAAGCGCCCCGTCCACTGGGTTTTCTACACGGGGAGGCATGCTCATGTGATGACATTTGAGGTGGGAGCCGTGCTGGAAGATGCTGGATGGCAGGCCCCTGCTTACTGCTTCGGCGGCGAACAACAACGGGGAAAGGAGAGAAACCCTGCAGCAGGAAGAATTGAATCTGTGGTCGGTGTTAGGAGGTTCCTTTTCGGCTGACCGCATCAGAATTGTAAAATGTGCTTGTTTCTATGCTTTTGCTATTCTCTTCTGCCTTGTGATCGTTTGATTCTAGTTGAGCTCTCTCCATTTCTAGGATGAATAAGAGTTTTGTGGCACCGCTTCCGGTAGATTCCCACTTCTTGGTTGTTAATGATTCGAGTCAAGCTGAGTTTTGTCATAATTTGGACACGGTTCATTTAAATAATTCTAAGTTCGTGCTTGGGTCGTTAATAAAAATAGAAGATCGAGTTTGGCCTGGGATTGTCAAATGAAATTAACAAGCAAAAATGAAGTTCAGATGATAAAATGTCGATTGTAGTTCAAGTTCAAGCTAGAATCGACTAAGAAGACACCAATATCAAATACTTAAAGGCTTTTGAGCTTGTTCACTAGCCTATCTAGCAAAATCTGTCAAGGCTCGTGCTCTGCTTGTTCATGAACCAACTCAGATAAAAACAAGCAGAGTGTCGGACGAGTGTTTCTGAAATCGGATGCCAAGTCGTTCATGAGCAACTTGGTTCATTAACAGCCATATTAATACGAGTGCCATGAAAATGTTTTAATGGGTGGCTTCATAGGGGTAAAAGAATAATAGTGGGAGTTGACTTCTAACCTTGAGCTTCGCTTGGCCTTTATTCTATATCGTATCTCTCCAACATCTCCTTGCTTGCATAATTTTTTTCAACGTATTTTTCTAATTTGAGGAATTTTTTTTTTTTTTGACAAAAGATAATCTTATATTGATTCAAATAATAGGCAGTTACACCCTAGAAGACAGCCAGGTCTGAAAATCAAAGGAACGACTCATGGCCGGGTACAAAGAAAGGGCTTTCCTAGCCACCAAATGGGCAACCCTATTACTACGCCGACCTACAAACTGAATGCTAAACCTAGGCTGGGCATGGAGACAATTAGCAATTTCTTCAAGAACGGCACCCATCCTGTTATCTCCATGATCCCCCCCCCCCCCCCCCGATTGAGCTTATCAATAATGACTTTGACGTCGCCTTCAAAACGAACATCAGTAAGCCCTAATCCTTGACACCAAAGCACAGCCTCCCGAAGCACCAACAATTCCACAACCATCGGATCATCAATAAACGCAAATTGCACTCCCGTGGCCATACTGATCACTAGGGGTGGCTATACGGTCCGGTCCGGTTAAATTGGCCCAAATTGATCCGGTCCAGTCCGGTCTTTTTGAAAATATAAGGACCGAAGATTGGATTGGATACAGTCCGGTCTTGATCCGGTCCGGTCCCAATTCGGTCTTGATTTTACATTGAGATTGTGGGATTTGAGTGGCCTAAGACCTTAAAGGGTGAGGAGTTGGTTAAGTTTTGTACTAAGTGCAAAGGTTTGTGACCGTTTATGCAAATTACCCTTAAGTTTTGGGTGTTGAGCTCTCTTATCCGGTTTTTTACCTCAAATCTAAGCCCAAAAATTGGATTGTTTACTATCCGGTCCCGGTCCGGTCTCGGTCCGGGTTATACGGTCCGGTTTCCGGTTTTTAATCCGGTCCCGGTCCAAATAGCCACCCCTACTGATCACCCCCGTAGGAAACAGAAGAACCATTCCACCAGCCGAGTGAGACCCCCTCCTAGTGGCCCCATCCCACCTACAGACCAAACGAGGATCACCTTCCGCCTCCAGCTGACCAGAGCTAGGAAGAGGAGCCTGCGAGATGGAGCGGGCGGGCAACCGAACCCATTCCTCATACTACTGGGTAAACTGACGCATCACCACCTAGATCCCAAAATGTTTTCCTTCGAATACCACACAGTTATGAGAACGCCAGATCCGCCAGAGGATGACAACCACCGCAATGAACAAAGTTGGTTGACTGATTAAGGCCAAGAGCCTTTTGAGAAACAACGGAAACGTCTGACGAGGTAACCCCTCCCCTAGATAGTCCAATCCCGAGTAGTCCCAGAGGGCCCGAGCCACTGGACAGTAAAGGAACAAATGCTCTAACGATTATGAACTATCCCAGCACACCGGGCAACGGGGGTGAATCGGGACCCTACGCTCAATGAGAGCCTCAGTAGTTGGGAGGGCCCGAAAGAGAATCTGCCAGACGAACACCTTCAGCTTAGGAGGGATGTTTGCCTCCTACAGGCGAATCCAACTAGCCACAGTAATTTGAGGATATTGAATAGATATTTTCTATGTGTTTTCCATCAACAAAAAAAAGAATGAGAGGAATCACAATGAAAAAAAGATCCATCATGTACAATAAATAATTGGGTTAATACCCTAGTTTGGCCCGAAGGTTAGCGTAAGTGTCGGTTCTGGCCCCATTTTTCAAATAAGACATTTATGGCCTACTTTTGAAATTATTAGACAGATTTGGCCTGCAACTTGTGTTGACTGTTAGTATTAACGTTCAAACATTTATTAAGTCAATGACTCAGTATCTAGTGCTGAGATGACATCCACATCATTTATTAATTAAGAATAAAAAATAAATAAACACATTTAAATAAATAAAATACTAAAATCCCTCGCTCTTCTCTTCCAAATCATTTTCCAATCTTCCGTCGAAAAAAAAAATCATTTTCCAATCCGCCTCCTACCTGCCCAGTTCCGCTCTCGCGACATTCTTCCTCAGAAAATAGAAAATCCCACTGTCTTCCAATCATCTTCCAATCCGACTCCCAACTGCCCAGATCCAGCGACCCTTCCTCGTCCCTTCCGACTCCGCCGCTGCAGCGCCCGTCATTGAGCAGGTGGTGGGCTGTAAGTCAATTGTCGTTGCAGCGACCCCAACTGCAGCAATAAAAAAAACTCGATGAAGCGATCCCCCTACTAAATTTGGGCAGTAGACGGCGACGAGAAGCAAAGGCAATTGATGCGGCTGAGGCAGCGGCAGAGGTGAATCGGCTGATGCCTCGAGGACGGCGAGCTGACGACGACGGAGAGGACCACGGGAGCCGCCTCTCTCTTTCTCGTTCCCTTCTCCGTTCGGATTTCCTCACTCTCCCTTTGTTTTCCCCTTCTTCTTCTCCTCAACTGTCTCGGATTTCATCACTATCGCCGTTGCCTCCTTCTTGGTAGGGATTGCTGGGGATTGGAATGGAAATGGTTGGAGAAGGGTTAATGGTGGGGGAACTGGGAAGAGAGGTCGGAAAAGAGTGGTGGGGGAGGAGGTTGGGGAAATAAATGTTACTTTTTTTATGGTTAAAATAAATGTTATTTTATATTGGGAATTTATTAATAATTAAATTGGTTTTAGAATTAAAAATTCTAACTAAAAATTAAATAAATAATTATTTAATGATGTGTCACTACTCACTCATGCAGCGTCCACATCAGTAAATTTAGCTGAGTCATTAACTGTAAAAATGTTTGACCGTTAATATTGACGGTCAACCCAAACGTTGGGCCAAGTTTGTCCAATAAGTTGAAAAGTAGGCCACAACTGTCTTATTAGAAAAATCGAGCCAAAACTGTCACTTAGGCCAAACTTCGGGCCAAACTAGGGTATTAACCCTAAATAATTTTACCAAAAATATATACATATATATCCTGGGGTATAAAAAGCAAATTTTTTGGTATAGTGGCTTAATTAATGAAATGTTTAGTATTTTTTTTTTTTTTGGTGAGTGAAATGTTTAGTATTGAAACATAATGGGTGAAAATTGTTCTCTATGAGTAAATAATACACATTTCGAAAAACAATTTTTTGTGCTTAATTGCTTATTAATCTTAATGATGTGAATCTTATGACCATAAAAACAACCACGGAAATCACTAACAAAGAATCATTTATATTTTTCTTTTATCAATGGATCATTTACATATTATCACATAGTTCATGAGTTATATTATAAAAAAAAACCTAGAATCTTCGAAGCAAACAAGGAGGAATCCAGTTCCCGAAGCTGAGTTTCGGCTAACCTCTACTATGCCCTAGCTCGCCAGCCCTTAACGCTTTGTTTGACAACAAGGGGTGTAAATTGCGGGGGCAAGTTGAGGGGTAAATTGCTGGGGGTGTAACTGGAGGGGTAAATTGTTGTTTTGATGAAAAAGTAGGGGTGTGCAAATAGACTCAAAAGTAAGTAATTATATTATTATAAAATAGATTATTAAAATTATAAATATTATCACAAAATAATAAAATAAATATTATTATATAATAATAAATATACTTTAATAGAAATCATTATTATACAATAATGCTCAAATAATAATTAATTATAAAAACTGTATATCATTGATCGAGCGACCTCAAAACTCGAAGCTCAACTCGTAAGTAGTCATTCTATATAGGGTTTTCGTGTCTAGTTTAATCTTAAATTGTCAAACACATTCGAATTTGTAAGTTTTAACTATTTAGTCAAATAAATTGAGTTAATCAAATAATTTCTCTCTATCTTTTCCACAAACAGTTTCGTATCTCTAATTTTCAATGCAAATTCGAGTCAACCAAGAGATTTAGATTTGACTTGATGAACATTGATAAACTTATTTCCGGAATCAAATGATGAACCCCAAATAATGTCTACATTAATGATATTTATAAAAAAATTGATAATATTAATTATTATATAATTATATATGACACAATTAGAAAACAAAATTCCATAATTTCCCCCTTCTCCCTCCCCCTTCCCCTCTCTTCCTTCCTTCCCTTGCACCCCAATTTGGGATAAGCCGAAATAGTAAATTTACACTCCCGTTTTGCACCCCTACTGTTTCAAATTAACCAAACAGGTGAAAATATGTGGGAAACTGTGTTACCCCTCACATTTGCACCCCTCCCATTTACCCCTCTTCCCAAACAGAGCGTAAGAGTTAAGACTTCATCTTCTCTCCCTTCATCTCCTCTTCCCGTCGTTGAGTCCTGGCTAGCCTCTGGTCTGCCTCATCCCTCACGATATCACATCCAAGGGGAATGGATCAGGTCAGTAACCTTATGGTGAGTAACCATGAGTAACCCGTCCACATCAACATGACATCAGCATCCTCTCTCCTGGAAAGCCTTTAATTTTCCCCTCTTTAATATTTGATGGACGATTTCTCACTCATTTTAAGTCGAAATTTTTTTTTTGCACAGTTAGATCAGATTAATTGTGCTCTTCAAAATGATATCCACTTTAATATATTTTTCGAACAAAAAAAATTGAGCCATTTTTTACCTATGGTATTGAAATAAAAGCATACCTATGGTTTGAAAAACGTATCATGGTGGTATGAACAAACCAAGACTGTAGGATGGTTGAATACATGATAGTAGAAGTATATTAATTGTCATTTACGACTTTTAACATTGTATACCACACAATACCGCCCCGTACCAGGGTGGTATTGTATGGTATTGTGTGGTATTTTTTGGTCCTGTAATTTGTTCACCCAGAAATTTGTAGATCCAATAGATCATGATGAACTCGTCCCTTCAATGCAAACGTTTTCAAAAACGAATTAAAAACGAAGAAGATACCATACAATACCACCCCGGTACAGGGTGGTATTGTATGGTATTGTGTGGTATTTTTTGGTCCTGTAATTTCTTCACCCAGAAATTTGTAAATCCAATAGATCATGATGAACTCGTCCCTTCTGTGCAAACTTTTTCAAAAACGAATTAAAAACGAAGAAGATATCATATGGTATGCAGTTGGTATCGAGAGGCCAGAATTTTTTTTTTCTCAAAAAATATTGAAAATTGATCTCATTTTGTAGAGCACGATGAACTCGTTCCATCTGTGAAAAAAAATTAAAATTCGAGTTAAAACGAAAAAGATATAAGGCAATTAAGAAAACTAGAAAAAATAAAAATGATATTTAATTCTTCTTACTTATGTCTGAATTTTCTAAATACTATCTTGAGCCACATCCAAGGTATGAATAAAGTTTGAAATATAATTTTTTTTTCCGGTACTGTTTTACTAACAAAACATTAATTGTAATTTAACAAACGGTGTTATATCGCTGATTCGCTGTGAAACGTTTCGGAAATCTAGGAAGGGGACGGTTAAGTCAAAAGCGGTGGTGGAGAGTGAGGCAGGCAAGTCGTCATAGTTTTAGGCAGTGCTGTCAAAGCCGAGCCGAGCCGGCCGGTCGAGCCGCCAAAATCGCCACCCAACCATAAAACCGGCTCGACTCAACTATTTAGTCGGAGTGGTTATTTGGGGCGGCCGGAGAGCGGCCGAAGCGGTTAACCGCTTGAACCGCTCGAGCCGCTCGCCCGGTTTTTTACCTTTGGGCCGGTTGCTTTAATTAAAAAAAACTTAAATATCGAAAATGAAAGGGGAGGCTACTGTGCTGAAACCCTAATTTCATTCTTCCTCTTCGCGTAGACAGCCAGACACGAAGGAGAAGCAGCTTCCTCCTCCGCAGCCGCCGTTCCCCGTAGCCCGACGCCGTCGTCGTTCACCATCACTCGAAGCCGTCGCCGTTCGCCATCGCTCGACGTCGTCGCCGTTCGCCATCGCTCGACGCCACTCCCCCGTCGCCCGTCTCCATAGTCGTCGTCGTCTTCGGCGGCTCGTTCCCCGCTCCTGCCGGCGAGCGCAACGGCCGGCCGGTGAGGTCTCCCTTCTCCCTTCTCCGGTCACGGCTGCCTCTCCCCTGCATCGACCCCTGCTGTCCATAGACACTCTGCTTCCAGGTTTCTAATAACCCCTGTTCTCCTTTTTCTTTCTACTTTCTATTTGTCTTCCTCATGTCTCTGTGTATATGATATCCATAGAATAGCGCTGTAGATTTCCTCCTCTTGATTCTAATTTGGTCTGAAAGGTGCGACTTTCTTGTTAATTTGGCCGGTGTTATTATTGTGTATACTTGCTTTCTCTTTCGTGAGCTTTCCTTATTACCTGTCTGCATCACATAGTCATCATGTCTTTTCCATCTGTAGTATACATCTAGCTAACAAAGAATGAGTTAAGAAAACTAGAAACTGGTTCTGTTGTTGGTTGTCAAATTTCATGAACAAATTGTAAACTGATAAGAACCACGAAAAAGAAAGAGTAACTTTCAGATTGGGTATTTGGGAAACTAAAGTTTCGAGAGTCTCTCAGGTACGTGCAGTGGACAAGAACAAATTTCAAGTGATGGGTAAATTACATTTGTTCCAGGGGACATGTCCCTTTTTGTGTAGGAGTAGGATTATTGTCTCTCTGTTGGACTAACGGCAGAGTAAGAGTGATAAATATATTGAAGTTAATTGTCTATGGAGAAGAGTTGGGTGGGAACTGATACCATGATTAAGAAGTGTCTACTATTTATACAAATGACTATTTATTAGGTACCGGTTCTCAAACGGGTTTTAAACGGTCTAATGCCGGCTGGACCACTAAAGACCGAGCCGTTCATGTTACCGGGTCATACTCCGGTTCGGTTCTGACAACATTGGTTTTAGGGCTTTGTTTCTGTTTATTGACGATTAAAGATAGAGTGACCGAGAGCGGCGCCGCAGCGGCAAGTTTCGTCATCGCCGTCGTCGTGAAGTGTCACCCGACGAAGGCGTGAATTTAGGGTAATTGCTCCACCACTCAATTTCCTTTCTCACTGTTTAGATCTTTCTATCTCTTCGAGTTTTCCTCGCTTCAACCGTGGTGACAAATCTTGTTTCGCTGATCTTGGTCGATGGTCTCTATCACAACGAACAATCCTAGGGTTTCATCTCTTTGAGGTTGTAGCTAGAGTTTTTGTGTTGGTTTTCATCTCTTTGAGGTTACAGCTAGAGTTTGTGTTTAATCGTTCCTTGTAGGAGGCCACTTTTGACACGCCCTTTCCAACATCTGTTAACATAGCGGGATTCAGAGGGAGAACTTAGCTTAGCCAATCTCTTTCCCTACTTCGTGTCAGCTTCCTGTGCTGTGAAGTATTAGTTTATCGATTTTAACATGAGTCATGCATCTTGGCTTAGGAGGTTGATGTTTTTGGATTCTGATTGCCTTAAATCAGGGCCTTCTGCTGCTCATCTTGTTGCTGTCTTTTCTCTAGTCTAGTTACAGCCTGACTGGATATGGGAAATCCCTGTCGATTCAGGCTATTGATTAAAAGAATACATTCTCACGTTGGTTGAATCAGGTGTTCTTTCTTAGTAATTAGTATAATCTATCTGGAGAACTTTGTGATTTTTGGAGATTTTCCCCCTTCATCGAATGCCAAAGCCTATTTGTTCTTTGTCATGGACGTAGTTTCCCCTGAAATCATTCGTGGGCTTTTCTGCGTTGCTGTGAATTTTCTTCTCTGTGGGTTGCTAGTGAGGTACCAATTTTGAATTCAATCAGGTTCCTAGATGCTAAATATGATCATGTTTGTGTCTTTTTCCTACTTTGAATGTGAGCACAGCTTCCCCATTGATTCTGTTGTGAATTTTTGTGTCTTCTCTGTGTGATATTTGAAGTTACAGTGTTTCTAAGGGTATGTGTGCCCACTTTTCTTAGTTACATTGAAAGGTATTTGGTGAAACTTTAACAAACAGTGTAAAATGCACAAGGTCCTGTAAAAAATTATAATTGGGACAGACATAGGTGGCCAAAAGAGTGGATCAGTTGTGATAATAGTAATGCATCTGTAAAGATATTCTTTTGTCTTTGTTGGTGCGTCATGTCCCCGGAGAAGTACCTTTGATATTTGGGATTTCCCGGGACACAGAAAGTCTGAAATGCAATGTTTATTTTGAGCATTACATTATCACTTTCAGGACCAGTATGAAACTATCAATGTTTCGCAGTCTGAATCTCCATAGTCCCTTACTGTACTATTCAACATTAGCTCCCAAGATTTCAAGTACAGATAGAGTTGTTAGTGCTTGTGCTCGTACTGCGAAAGCAAACTGGTGTATCACGAAGTTAAGTAGGGAAGGGAAGCTAAATGAAGCACGTGAAGTTTTTGATCAAATGCATAACAGAGATGTAATAACATGGACGACAGTGATTAGTGGATATATCAAATCTGGATGGATTGAGGAGGCAAGAATGCTTTTTGATAGAGATGATGCGATAAAGGATGTGGTCACATGGACTGCAATGGTTAATGGGTATTTGAAACTGAATCTCAAGTTAGAGGCAGAGAAATTGTTCATGGCAATGCCATCAAAGAATGTTATTGCATGGAACACCATGATTGGTGGGTATATGCATGTTGGTGAAATAGATAAAGGGCTTGATTTATTCATGAAAATGCCCGAGAGAAATGTGGTTTCATGGAATTTGGTTATTACTGCATTGACAGAATATAGGAGGGTGGAGGAGGCAAAAATATTATTTGAAAAAATTCCTCAGAAGGATGTGGTTTCATGGACAACAATGGTGGCTGGTTTGGCAAAGAATGAGAGAATTGATGAGGCCAGGGAGTTATTTGAAAGAATGTCAGAGAGAAATGTGGTGACGTGGAATGCAATGATCACAGGATATGCGAAGAATATGAGATTAGATGAGGCTTTTGTATTATTTGAAATGATGCCTGCTAAAGATATAGCCTCATGGAACACAATGATCACAGGTTTTATTCAAACTGGTGAGTTGGAGAGGGCGAGGAAGTTGTTTGTTGAGATGCCCGAAAAGAATGTGGTTTCATGGACAGCATTGATTACGGGATGTGTCCAATTGAAGGAAAGTGAATCGGCATTGATAATCTTCGCTGAAATGATCAGAGATGGTAATGTAAAGCCCAACGAGGCAACTTTTGTTAACATTTTGAGTGCATGTAGTGACCTAGCCGGTCTTAGTGAGGGACAGCAAGTTCACCAAATAATTAGTAAAAGTATCTTGCAGCATAGGGCATTTGTTGTGTCGGCATTGATAAATATGTATTCAAAGTGCGGGGAGCTTGGTATTTCTCAGAAGATATTTGATGATACAGCAGTTAATCAAAGGGATTTGATTTCTTGGAATTGTATGATTGCTGCCTATGCTCACCACGGATGTGGAAGGGAAGCGATTATATTGTTCGATCAAATGCAAAAATCTGGGTTTAAGCCTAATGATGTTAGCTACGTGGCATTACTTTCTGCATGTGTGCATGCTGGATTAGTGGAGCAAGGTCTGAAGTACTTTCAGGAGCTTCTCAGTGACGGGTCGATACAAGTAAGAGAGGATCATCATACATGTTTAGTTGATCTATGTGGTCGGGCTGGAAGGTTGGAGGAGGCGTATGATTTTGTCAGGAAACTCAGTCCTAAGGAGTCATCTTCAATATGGGGATCGCTGCTTGCATCGTGTACTATCCATGGGGATCTGAGGATAGGAAGGCTGGTTGCTGAAAGGCTTTTAGTTGAGAGGCCAAAGAATGCCGGCTCATTTTGGCTCATGTCAAACATGTATGCTTCTGTTGGTAAATGGAAAGAAGTTGAAAGATTGAGATTGGAAGTGAAGGATAAAGGCTTAAAGAAGCAGCCTGGATGTAGTTGGCTGGAAGTTGGGAATAAGGTTAATGTGTTTGTTGTTGGTGACAAGCTTAGTTGTCAGTCTAAGTCACTGCATTCTTTACTCTATGATCTTCATGAGAAAATAAACAAGAAAGGTCACCTACTGGATGCAAGTTTTTTGGAGACAGATGGTTGTATGCAATAATTCCTTGAAATATTTTCCATTGTATTTGGTAATCAATAATCATTGGATGACATGTGCTGAGAGTTATAATTAATCCACTTAACTTTTCCTTGTTTCCCCCTTCAATTACATATCTTTCTATTGACAAGAAGTGTTACTTGTGATTGTTATGTAACCTTGGGCTTAGTAAATTACATTTCTGACATGGTGTTTAATCCTGATTTTTATTTGTGCTTGTTATTATTATGTTAAATGGGAATATGGTTTCACCTGCCATCACCATCATGCTCTTGTTAGTTGCTTGTTTGAGCTCAATGTTATTTTCAAGTTTTATGCAATGAGTACTATCTTTCCTTTTTGTTTCTTGCTTGCTTCAGTTCAGCTCATTTCTTAATGGCAGTTGCTAAACAAGTTTTTCATTGGGTAAGCAATCCTTAACTTTTTTTAATCTTTGGGTGCAGGGATAACACAAAGTTCTATTGGGTAATTGGTTTGTTTTGCCAAAGAAAGAGACAGGGTGAAGATGGATGATTGGGGTATGTGCTTCTAACTCACATTCCAGTCTTTGGCGACTATCTGAGTTGGCACATCTGATTTAGCTGAAGAACTTTATCTGTATCAAAGCCTTCGTTAACGTGGAAATATGAAAAAAGATTCTACTATAACGTACCATCAAAGCATGACCGTGCACTTGGTTCCATTTGTGTCTCTGGCAACTGTTGATAAATTATAGTGGTTTTTAATGGAGTTCTGCAACTCAACGTAAATAATACTTAATCAAATTGTTACTTGCTAGGAATGCTGCTTGACGAAGATGCTCAAAGTTCCTATTGTGATATCACTAAGCCGGCAATATGCTGACCTGATACATTTTCTTATTGTTTACGTTGTAGAGGATGAGCAAATTCAACCTGTGCTTTTGAAGGAGCAACCTAAAAGCAAATGGGATGATGAAGATGTGGATGAAGATGAGATAAAGGAATCATGGGAAGATGAAGATGAATCACCCACGGTATGATTAATGGTCTTACTATGATCTTAAGCATCTAATCTGGATATTCATGCATTGCGATGTTTCTTTTTGAACATGCTGAAAAATGTTTAGTTACTACTGCAACATACATAAAGCAGCAAACAGAGCACGAGCTTCAGTGTTACTATCTGGAAAGCGCTGCTCATCTCAGGCAGTTACTTACTCTGTGGCTAGAAAAGGCATTTAAGTCATCATTGCTGGAATGTGTGAACACATGGCTTGAGAAATTGTTGTGTGCTCATGGATTTGTCAATACCCTATTTTCATGCAAAGTGTATTTGGCATAGGTGCATGTCCTTAGATAATTAGAAAGTGTCTTAGATTAATTCAGTATAATGTCAAGGGCAGGCTAAATGCCTTAGCAAGTCCACGTGCAGCATGTTATGGGCCTGAATAGTATCTCACAGTGGTCCTTTCACTAGGAAATCGTCCTAATTTCCCTTTTCCCCCCTTTTTTCTTTGATCAATCTGTTTTGTGGATCTATAAACTCTAGAAATAGAACAACTCTTTCAAGACTTGGAAATCAAAAGATGCATTATTAATATTTAGTATTTAGTATGATATCTTCTATGTATATTCCCAGTTACTAGAGGTAATGATCTTAATTCCTGAAAGTACGAGCTAAAAATATAACCTTCAACATAAGCTTAAGCAGTTGCCTGGCATCATACCAAATAACAGTCCAATACCAAATATATACTAAAGCTCAATCACTGGACTTCATCAAACCCCTTACTTGCTTACCTTGGTAGCTATGCCACTGATATTAATACTGTTCAGTGTCATTTAAAGTTTTTATGTAACTCAATGATGCTCTGTATCAGGTGCCTGCATCAAAACCTGTGCCAGAAAAGGTCCCCAAGAAGCCTGTGTTAAAGTCTACAAAAGAAAAAACTGTTGAACCAGCAAAGGAAGAGCCACCACTAGACCCCGTAGCAGAAAAGCTTCGCCAGCAAAGGTATTAGACTTTGTTTTCCAAGTTGAACGCTAACTTATCATATAAAATTTAAAGATTGGCTTCTATTTAATTTCCATTGCCATGATGTATGATTAAAAGTGAGCTTGAAAGTATTACGTTTAATATGGTGTGATCTCACTTTGCTCAAGCCAGTTGCATGCTTGAAACATATCCTTTGAAACAGATACTTCATATCGTAGTGTGACAGTTTAAATCTAGTCTACCAGTGAATGTGATTTCATTGTCTGCTGGTCAATGCTACATTTTGTTAATGATCTTTTAAGTTGCAGTCTCAATAAGGATTGTTCCTTTCTATAGGCTCGTGGAAGAAGCTGACTACCGGAACACTAAGGAATTGTTTGGTTCAAAGTCGAGCACCAATGAAAAGAACATTGATAATTTCATCCCCAAATCAGAAAGTGACTTCTTGGAGTACGCAGAGCTCATTTCCCAAAGGCTCCGCCTGTATGAGGTGCGTTGATTTATAGCTTTTGTTGTTTCTTTTTTGTATTTGAAGGGCGAGGCCCTGTTATTTTTTGTGGTGACATAGTGATGCCCCGTTTTACTGATATTTGTGAGGTTCGAAAACTGCAGAAAAGCTACCATTTTATCTCTCTGCTCAAAACTGTGATGAGACACTCAATGACTAGTTTGAAAGCAGCAGATGCAAAAGAGGTGGCGTCTTCAGTTACTGCAATTGCAAATGAAAAGCTCAAAGCAGAGAAAGAAGCCAATGCTGGCAAAAAGAAGACAGGTCACTGTCTTGATTTTGCGCTTCCAGAAGTCATCTCGTTTCTTTTTGTTGTTTGTTGATTCGGGTTCTTGTTGCAGGTGGGAAGAAGAAGCAGTTGCATGTGGATAAGCCGGATGATGATATTGTGGTGACGGGATATGATGCGCTTGATGATTATGATTTCATGTGAGTTTTAATATCTAGATCAGTATCCAATGTTGGCTGCTGAGAGCCTTTCATTTTGAGTTACATATTTGAAGATATGAACACACAGACGGTCAATGCCGTGGCAGTGGTATTGAGATTTTGGAGGAGGGTAAATGCTTTTATGGGGATGTGTTTGGGTTGCTAGAGTCGAAAGCTTATTCGAAAGGTCTAATATTTATTAACTGTCCTAAGTTTTTTATAGTGTTGTCTGGTAAGGCGGAATAAACAGCTATTACTCTTATTTTGCTTATGTGCTTCAGAGTTGGAACTTCTTAGGTGTCACTTGTTTGCGGTTTGTTATTGTGAACTGGATGCCAAATTTGGGGCTCAAAAGTGACCTTTTTCAAATAGCCCGCCATGGATATGAAGTTTTCTGGAACTTGTTAGTTACTTCGTTGCTCGGTTGTATTATTGATGATGATTCGATGATCTTTGGAAGACGGTGCTTCCAAGTTGGTTGTGTTAAGCTGTCTCGGCTACATTGTTTTTGTCTCTCCATTTCTGAACTTCCTGTCTATTCTATCTGGATTGCATTTCCTGCCTCCAGATATGATTCCAGGACGACGCCTTGGAGTTTCTTCAATCCGAGAATGTCCAACTCGTCTAACAGATATTAGGTCAGTATATTAGTTGGTAACATTTAGGGTACCTCGGTTGCAGTTCGCAATCTGGGCCTTAAAAATTGTGACCTTGATTGATAGACTATCAAGTCTCCTATTTAGACTTGATGCCCTGCCGAGCTTCATGAGCCGGCTCGATTTTGATCAGACTAGGTATCATCAGAATGAGAGTGGGTTCCTGCTCTGCAGTTCCAGTACTGTTTGCATTGTGCCTTTCTCAAGTACTATAGATTTTGATCGATCGGTGGCAGGATTTACATTTTGGAGTCAAGGCTCTTCTTCCATTTGACTCACTTAAGAAGAGAGAAATTTGTGAGTGAGGAAGATTATTGAAACAAATGAGTTTTTATTTGATCACGCGCTTCATATATGTGCGACTAAACTCGGTCCAACTTGAGGGGTTCACATTGCCACTAATTCCATAGTATAAGACTGATTAGGGGATTAGGGGTGGTTTGGAAGTTGTGATAGTATAAGACTGATTAGGGGTCGTTTGGAAGTTGTGATTGTTAAATAGATTGTTAAATATATGTATTGTTGAGAATGCATGTATAATATTATACATGTATTGTCGAATTTGATGCATTGTAGAATACAACGTTTGGTATGTGTGATTGTGTATGTCGCATCAGCTAAAAGCTGAGACAAAACAATCTCAACTATCTCAACAATCACAACTAAAAGTTGAGATATAACAATCACTCAAAATGAGTGATAGTTTCTGTCACATCACATAAACAATCCATGTATTGTTTTTGCTAAAAAAACAAAAAAAATCGATGCATTGTAGACAATACATGCATAATGACAATCTCAACAAAACTATCGCAACTTACAAACGACCCCTACACTTCCAAACGACCCCTACGAGTTCAAAGTTCACTTCATCCTTCTAATCTTGCTGTTATTGTTGTTCGATTACTTTCAACATCATTTCCAATAGTGGAATGGAAAATTAATCAAGTGACTTTCACTTTGCAGTTTATTGCTGCAAGTCAGAATAAGTATTCTTACATAGTATTTTAATATCTGCATGTCAGAATAAAACTCTGACTTAATTTTTCATTCTCTTTGACAAGTCATCCAAGCTACAGTTTGAACTTCATTCATCGGCTATTTTGGGGCATTTTTTTGCTTACTTATATTCCTACCAAAAAGAAGTACAAAAAGGAATTATAAAGGTACAAGGTTACATCCGACCTGGAAAAGAAAACGATGGTAATTAATAATAAATATAACATGAGGTTGAGGGCAAACCCAAAGTTTGAAACTTTCATGCTATAATAATAAATAACAATCATCATTTAATTTTTGATCCCAACGTTAATCAATCAATTCAAAACTTAAAACTGCCAAAGCACACAAGTCATTAGCTAACGTCATTTTTGCCATGTCGTATGATAAAATTACAAAAGAATGAGACGGCAAAAGGTAGAAGAGAGGCATTCAAGCACTAATCTCCTCCGCCATTTCCTTTTTCCCTCCTTTTCTTTCTTCCTCCTTTCTCTGCCTTACTTTTCCGTCCTTTCCCATTTATTCTGACCCGAAAAGCTTCCAACTTCCCTCTCTTTCTCTCACACTTCCTTTCTTCCTTCCGTCTTCTTCACCCAACACAAAAAAAGGTTTGGAAAACCCTCTCAAGACTTTGGCTTTTTCGATTTCTAGCCACAAACAACCCAATTTCCCTTTTCCTATCGAATAGTCGGGGGAGGAAAAACCGAGCGTGTGTTCAAAGGGAGAGGGGGAAAGGGCTAATGCGGCTTCCTCTGTTAACGGAGCTCGCCGCCTGTTCTCGTTGATGGTGGTGGTCTTGATTTTGTAGCCCCGCCGGCCCGCCTATTGTTGACTATTGAAATCTTTCTCCACCCACATTTCCTCTTTCTAGAATCGTTGTCTTCTTTCCTTCTTATTGGGATTTCTAATTCACCCCGTCTTCCGCAATCATTCAATTCACGGGGGTTCTCTCTCTCTCTCTCTGTCTTTTAGAGAGGGCAGATCCCGAGATCTCTGTCTCTCTTTCCTCTTCTTCATCCGTCAATCTTCTTCAATCCCATATCTCGTCGTTTTCCGCCATAGCTCGCGAAGCTTTTTCTTCAGCTTCTGTTCAACCGTCTATTTCAAGCGATACCCAATTTCAGACGGCTTTTCTCCTTTCCAGATTCAGGGTTTTTGGTTCGTCATTTTTTATTTCTCTTTCAGATCATCTCCCTGTGTGTTTTTTTTTTCTTCAGAGGAGCTTCATTTTTTAGTTATTATTATTGAGGAAATCCCTGACAATCATCCTCAATCCATTTGTCAAATTCCATTCCATCCGGCTTTCCTTGTGTTTTCCGTTTCCGATTATTCAATAGAATTCTTTATCGAGAATCTCAAACCAGGGGGGGGGGGGGGTTTCAAAAGGAGACTGTTCCAGCTCATCTATGGAAGGATGTTTCCTCTCATCATATCTTAACCCCATTCCCCAAAATCCACTTCATCAGGGCTCTCCATAACCAAAAGTCGCAGACTTTTTCATCCTTTTCAGCTCTGGTTTCTGGATTGAAGCTGAATTCTCTTTTAGGGGGGATTCAATTGAGATGGGTTGTGTCAGTTCGAAGCAGCATAACAAGCGATGCAAGCACTGCCAAGCTCCGTATTCCCCAGTGCCCAGAAGCTATTCGATGCACGTTATCCACCCACCGCAACACAAATCCGACAGCTACCATCTAGTAGCCCTAACTTCCTCTACCCTCGGCTCTCTCAAGCTCGAGACGGTGAACGACGGAGTCCAGGTCGATTCTCCCAAGCCCACCACCGCAGCCACCAGCGTCAGCAATGAAGATTGGTTGCTACCGGAGATGATGAAGAGCAAAGAAGAGTTCGCAATGGGGTTAATCGAAGCCAAGACCTGGTCCAAAATGATCGAGGAGAAGATCCCACGAGTACCCAATCATCATCCCAAAACCCCAATCATGACTCCACCGGGAGAGCCAGAGACGATCAACACCTGGGAGTTAATGGAAGGCCTGGAAGAAGATCGTTTCACCAGCCCTTGTAGATTACCCAACCACATTCGAAGCTTCTCGTTCGATGTCACCCGCGAAGCCACAGATATCGTCGTCGATAGCCCCAAACTCAGCTTCAACCATCAGATAAACGCCACTCATTTCAAAGTCGGATCAATCGATGAAACAGAAGCAGAAGCAGAAGAGGAAGAAGCAATTGATAAGAAGCCGCATTTGGGAAAAGGTGGGAAGGACTACTTCGATTCGAACATCATCTCGATGTTCAGGAAGTCGATGCAGGAGCTCTCCCCAAGCCACCCTTACCATTTGAAGAAGCCGGCGAAAGAGAAAGACAGAGTGATCGTCTACTTCACGAGCCTGCGCGGCGTGAGGAAGACTTACGAGGACAGTTGCTACGTGAGGGTGATCCTGAAGGGAGCAGGCGTTAGAGTGGACGAACGAGATGTATCGATGCATTCAGGGTTCAAGGAAGAGCTGAAGCAGCTGTTGGGAGGGTGTGGTGGAGGGTTTAGTTTGCCAAGGGTGTTTATAGGGAAGAAGTACATTGGCGGGGCAGAGGAAGTACGGCGGTTGCACGAGGAAGGGCAGCTCGAGAAGGCGGTGGAAGGGTGCGAGCAGGCCGAGTCAGAGGATGGTGGTGGTGGTGGGAGTTGTGAGGCTTGCGGGGATATAAGGTTTGTGCCTTGTGAAACTTGTAATGGGAGTTGTAAGATATACAATGAAGAGGAGGAAGAAGAAGATGAAGAACTAGAGGATGAAGAAGAAGGGTTGGAAGGAGAAGAGGGGATTAATGGTGGTGATTATGGGTTTCAGAGGTGTCCTGATTGCAATGAGAATGGACTAATTCGATGCCCAATCTGCTGCTATTGAAGTTCATCAGCTCAGTTGTCACTTGTTGATGATGCAGTTTCAGGTTGGGTTGGTTCTAATCTGTGATTTGGTTTGTGGGTTTGGGTTCGGTTTTTGTACAGAGATCAAATGGGTTGGTCTTAATTTTTTGGGGTTTATATATGTTTTTTGATGAATGAAAGTAATGTAATACTTACTTACAGGTATAGTGGGGATAAATAACATATATGATTTTTCCAATTGATTGTTGTGAGTTGTGACATTGCAATGGTGTATCCAATGCCATCATTAAGTTGATGAATGGGCTGGCATTTTGGGGTTTCACTTAATCACTTTCCGCTAAGTGTCATCATTTGGGGCTGAAACTTCAAAGTGGCTGCTAGAAAAAGGAAATGGGGTGGTGCTTTATTTAGAAGCCATTGAGCTCTTCTCTAATGATAGTTGTTTGAATTTTCAAATGTTTTGGTACTTTAGAGTGAAAAGCTGTCTTGAAAAGTTGTAGACCTCAACTATATGGATATTTGGGTATGTTTTAATGATGGAATTTTAGATACGAGATCATTTGATCTAGTTGCTTTGAAATTGTCTTATTTCATAATTGATATACTATATTAAAATATTTGTCATTCTCTTTATCAATTCAAGTTGATGCAAAACAAAATATTTTAAATTGCATCAGCTCAATTGTTGTATCACTATTCTGTTTCTGTGTTGCCAAACTAGAAAGGACTCAACGTGCCTCACCCAAACGACAATTTGTGGCTGGTTTGATTTGATTGTAATACTCTAGGGTTTGTACATTTCATATGATTCTATGTGGTTGTGGTGAAGGCTTGTTGTTATAAACGTGCTGCTATGGATCAGCAAGAATGTGAAAGCGAGAATTGAAAACACAGATACACGATTTACGTGGTTCACTAACAAAATGTGTGTTAGCTAGTCCACAGGCGAGAGAGAGTTTCACTATATCGAGAAAACGGTTACAGACCAGGCCCAGAACCCGAACCCAAATAACATTGAGCCCATACACCGCGGGCGGGGGGCGTTGCCCTTGGACCCCACTCGCTGACCCCGACTACCAGTCGTAGCGACTGATAGTTCGATTCCCAAATAACATTGAGCCCATACACCGCGGGCCGGGGGCGTTGCCCCCGGACCCCACTCGCTGACCCCGACTACCAGTCATAGCGACTGATAGTTCGATTCAAGTCACATCAACACTTGTTTTGGTATGTAAGACTCCCTTTGATGTCTTTCATTCAACCCTTCAAATCAAAGTTAAAGTTTGCGAGTTGAATGAGTTTTTCACTATTATACAAACTCCTACCTTTTAAGCGACAAGATCAATATTCTTATCTAATTATAGAATCTCCAATGTAAGTATTTATATTATATATCTCTATTTCTTTTAGAATAAAGTTTATTTTCATTCTACACATATGACTCACACTAGCACATTGTTTAATTACATATAGTACTTCATTATTATTATTATTTTTAACTTCGGAGTTCTGATGAGTACTTCGTTATTTCTAAGAAGACCACGCTAAAATTAATTTGATAAAAAATAATTATTGACAGATTGCTCTTCAAACTACATCCACCAACAAAATTGTTAGAAATGCAAAGTATTTTAGAAGTAAATTGCTGGGGAAAAGATGGTTGATGGTAATAATGGTGGGCTGTCACAGCACTAACTCCTAATTCCTACCAATTCTATTACTGTCTCCTGAGTCCCTGAGCCCTGACTACTGAGACAGGCAACCCGCAAAATGAAACCCATATTTTATTTTGAATTTAGTAGTTTTTAATTTTTATGGAACACTGGTCTCCCCCTGCTACACAAGCTAATCTGCAGAATCCTGATATTGATATTAATTAATTAATTATATGTGGATTAAGTTGCTAATAATGTTGCTTAATAAATAATATAATCACGTGTAAAATTATGCACAGTACTATTATCGTCCTATTCTGGTATTTATAAAAAAAAGCACCTGGCATTGCTTTTCCAATGCTCAGTTGTTTTGTTTTTTCCCTTAAATTATTGAGTTATCAGTTGCGAAGATTTCCAGGGTAGGATATTCAGTGCTTTAGTCAATAAACTAACATACAACGAATTCTTTCCGTTCTTTCAGGAAATCTTTCATTCGCCTTAGCATTTGGCTGTAATCATAATGGTTTCTCATACAGGGTATTTGTGGGGAAGTATTCTCTTCTTTCTCTCTATCCGAATCAGTATCGTGTCTTTTTGCTTCTTGGAGCTTTCATAGAGTTGCCCACCTAATGGCAAAAAAAAAAAAGGCTCTTTTATCGGGAGTTCAGTTGTATATGGACTATCATTCTTTATTATTGTCTATCTTTTATATTTGTTGTCCGGCCATGCCCTTGGACTTATGTTGGTTTAAAAAAAAGGTCAAAACAATGTGATTAGTGAATAAATTATGCAATTAATTACTTTGGAAAATCGTCAGGAAATGGAAATGGAGATATTTGCTTATTATTATTAATTAATTAATTAAAATTTATGAGTTTTTAATTTCCTATAAGAAAATTGAGAATATTGTTTAAGCAGCACTAACAGCGAGGCAAATAAAGCATTCCCTGAATTTCTCCCGAAAATCGGCCACTAAATGCAAGCAGTGGCAGAAGGTTAGGTTAGTTATGTTTGTGTAGGGAATAATTAGAATGTGTTTTATTATTAATTAATGGATCAAACATGCTAGGCGTGAAGGCAAGTTGTAGATTTGGTGGAAGTCTTTTAAACCCTAAATAGGGGGAAGAGGTGACAAATGGTCAATCCTTCCTCCTCCTTTGATTTTTATAATTTCTTGACTTATGTCCTAATCTTCTTCATTTTTCATTTGTTTTTTTTTTTCTCTAGAGGAGAACACCATGTATTTAAGTAAACAAAAATTATAAGTGATAGAGTGATCCTAAATCAAAGTCAGATTTCAATATGATTGTCGACTCACTATGATGACCGATAATTCTGAGATTACAAAATGGTTGGGTATGTTCTTCGTAATGCAATAACGAGATTTGAGCGAAATGCCTCCACCCAAATACGGAGTGAAAAGTGTTAACAAATCTTTTATCACTTAAAAAATAAAGATTGAAAATATTATTTAGTAGGAATGAAAATGGCTTAGGATGGGCAGATATGAGATAACTTAGTATCCATACATATGTTCCATGACAGGTTTCAAAGACAAGAAAAATATGATGTTTGGTTGAAACATCACGAAAAAATACTCGTTATACAAAATTGAGAGGATGGCATAATTAATGTGCTCAAATTTCTAAGAAACTAAATCACTCACTTAATGGTAACTACATTTGAGTTGGTGTAGTGTAATATCACTAACCAAATACAAGTAGTTTGACTGAATATTGGATAATTTTTAGATATAAAAATCGAGAATGAAGTGAGTTGGGACGAAACAAAGTGAAAGACGAATTCATACCTACCCGCTACACCTGAAAACCAATTAAGATAGATTGCACAAAAAAAATCATATCAAAATTGTTATTTCCAAAATGTAGATGACTGATAAATTAATGTTTCACAATTACAAATTTACAATTAAGTCATCAATTATAGAAGAAAAGGGAAAATGCAAAGGATGAGTAAGTGGTTACCCACTACTAGCCCAACTAAGGGGTCGTTTGCTTCAAGGATTTTATAACGAGGGTTTTGTCATGGATTTGCTAATTAAAAACCTTGGGATTTATTAGGGATTTTGGACATTATGGATTTGAGGAAATTCTTTGTTTATTAAGCTATTTTTATCATGGATTTGATGATTTTTCAACTTGTCTCCAAATCCCAGGGTACGAGGTGGGATTTATAAAACTGTGGGGCCCATGGATTTGGAGGGAAAAAAACCAAATTCGTGGGGTCCACAAATTTATCTAAACATTTTTTGATAAAGCAAACAACAAATTATGTGTAAATCCATGATGATTGGTTTTTTGGTACCAAATCCATGATGCAAATCCTTGAAGCAAACGAGACTAATGTTGCTTTCGAAGTACATATTCAACTAATCGCGGATTTCAATTCAAAGGAATTACATATATATGTACGTACTGCTTTTCCTTCCAACTTCCAAATCCACGCCACGGTCCTCTCTTTAATTCTGAAAGCAACACAACTATTATGAAAATGAACCTACCCAATTAAATAAAATACACAGAAATGAACCCACCTAACCTAATTACTATCGAAAGGATTAATACATGTAATTAAATTCAATTTTCACCACCAACGCCGTCAACTGTCTTTCTTAATTGGATTAATTATATTCCGTTTCTTGTTGGGTATATTACTTTATTGTTATGGTGAAGTCTTTGTTGATTGGATTCGAAGACATTGTTTCCCGTTGTATAATAATAACGCCCTAACAGAAACATTGTTGTTCAATGCTCACTTCATTGTATGCAAAGTGAGAAAATGACATTATAGCTAGCTAGCAGATTCACCTAGATGTATGATGTATCTATCCAACATCTCATAACAAATATTTGTTGAAAAAAATAAAACCTAAGCAAATTGGTTTGTAATCATGTATATAAGAAAATGGAAAAGGTGGAGCAGGTATATTATAAATGAAAATACAAATCGATTTCTCGAGTAGCGAATTATCTGACATATCAAGATCATCTATCATTACTATTAGGCATCAATGTGATAGATTACTTAAATGTTTAACGTGTTGGGTAAGTGGGTTGTAATTTTTCTAATCAATTATTTTATCTAATTGTTAAGTTGGTAGTTAAATTATGGCGTCCAAGACTACTCAAATTAGACGTGGACCGAATGAGTGGATACCTAACCTAATTAGATTTTATTAAAATTAGAGCATCTAACACATCAAAGACTGAACCAAGGTTGTCAACCCGCGGGTTGACCCGAACCCGGTCGAGCTAGTGGGTCAAGGGTTAATGGGTCAACCGTTTTAGCCCGGTTTGGCCCGGAAATATAGAAAAAGTCATTATATTGTACTTATCCTCATAAATTATATTAAATCTTATCTAGCATATGACTTATAACATATAATATTACACCAAAATAACATATCGAACTTAGATCCAATATATAGTGAAAATTCACACACACTTATATAACATAAATATTCAAATGTTCAACTTAGGATTCCAAAGATTGAGTTAGGCGAAAAGAAAAATCGGAAAATAGGCGCATTTCGCAAACCAAAGAAAAAATTGACACAATTTGACCTCCAACCCGGTACCTTGTAGCGGTCAGCCCGGCGGGTGCGTATGACCCGTTTTTCTCACCGGGTCAGGGTCAAAGTGGGTCGACCCGCGGGTTGACAACCTTGGACTGAACAAACACATATTTCCTCACAAAAAAAAAAATACGTGAGATGTCATGCGAGTGAAACCGAGGAGGTTTTGTTGAAAATGCCACAAAATTTCCTTGGATCGTGTTGCATGCATATATACTCATGGTCATGGATCGTCGTTTTTTTCTTCTTCTACATCATGTTACTAACAATCAATCGACATAAATTCATATATATCCCTAACAATCCCTGATAATCCGACGAGAAAGTGTTTCAAAAGATTACTCGCTTTTTAATTTGATTCTAACATTAAAAAAAAATTGATTGACTAATATATGCACAACATTTCTAAATCCCATTTGACCGATAATACAAATCTAACGCATGGTTTACTCTTTCCTTACCCAAACAATATTACAAAGTTGATGTTATGCCAAAGATGTGATTACATTTATGGCTACCTGCTCTCTCAACCTCCAATTATCAAATCGTGTCCATCTAAGGCCGCCCACCACCAAAATCAAATCACGAGTATCTGTAGCTGCAACCTACAACTACAAGGAGGATAAAAGGGCAAGGAAAAACGAAACAAGACTACAAACAACAAAACTCACAGCGGATATCTCTGCTGCCTTACATATTTGCATTTGCATGGGGGACCCCAAACAAAATTGCTTTCAAGAACAAAGCTGGGCCAGCCCGCAACAAACCAACCCATCAAGGTAGCCCGGCCCGCCAATCTACTGGACCCTGGACCCTAACCCAATCCGATTCTCTTTTTCCTGGCTTAATTACTGCAAAAAAAACCCTACATTTTCGAGGGCAAACGAGTGTGCTAATCTGTATCATTGATTAATCGACTCTCATTCTCTCAGTAAAAGTATGAAAACGGGAAATTAGGGATGGGAATGAGTCGGGTCGGGTTTTGCCAAAATCAAACCCAAACCTATGGGTTTATCCGTGAAAAAAATTCGGGGTAAAACCCACTGGGTTTGAAAAACTCAAACCCAACCCAACCCGTTGGGTATCCGAGGGTTCATGGATATCCATGGATTTTTGTTGTAAATAATTTACAATAACAAGTTCCTATCAAAATTTAAGTCAAATATCAATCTCTCAATACAAATTATCCATATTTAAAACACCATTCTAGAAAATTCAAGCAAATCACAAATTAACTATACAAATTGTTCAACACCAATCTAGAAAACTCAAGAAAATTGAAACAAATCACAAATTATCCGATAAATAACATAATTAATTGAAAGCTTCTTCCTTTCAATTAAGTTTCTTCACTCTTCACTAGATAACATCAACTTCATTCTACACAATTAGAAAGAAAAAATTAGACATGTCACCACAAACATAAATAAGATTAGTTGTTTAGAATATTAAATATACCGAAAAAATTAATTATATGGGTGTGGGCGGTTACCCATGAGTCGGGTTTACCTAAACCCAAACCCAACCCGTTAAATAGTGAACGGATTTAAACCCAAACCCGGCCCAAAACCCATCAACGCGGATTTTACCCGCATTGACCGGGTTGGATCGGATGGGTACCCATATGTTCGGGTTTTGTTGTCATGTGAATTGTAACTTGATGGATTGTATAATCCGTTCCAAAATTAGTTTTGCGTTTACTTGGCATTTGGAATATAATTTCTGCTCGACATAATATATTGTATTGTTTCTTTCACAATGATATTGTTTCTCTTTTCTTGGTTACAAGTTGCACTAAGCTAGTGCCCAGTGGCGATATTATTTTGAGTTTGTGACGATGATATGCATGTGGGCGAGTGAGGCTGATGTTGTTTTGCTGCCGAAAGTGACATTTGTCGAGAAAAGGTGATATAGGGAAAGTGGCAACTCTTGACTGTAATGTAAACTCACGTTCCCCAAGTAGCAGAACTTACAGCTGGGTTTCATATCAGATTGGGAACTACTAACTAGCTAGGAAGAAGAGAAGCCCTCCCCCTAATGCCTAATTCATCTCAGATTTGAACTCACTATCACACTATCACAAACCTCTTCCATACACATTCCACTATTTAATGTACTTTCTTTTTTCTTATGGGCCGGGTTGAAGATATATTGTTAAAACAACAACCACGTATAATTTCGGAGATCTGATGCTAAGTGTCCGTATGATCGAACAAAGATTCATGTACTTTTTAGAGTGCACGTATATATTTCAAAAATCACTGGTTATAACACAAATCCTAAACGTTACAAATGTTTGTGTGATATGGTGATTCGCTCATAAAACATGAAGGAAGATGCAGTGGCGGACCCAGAAATTTTACATAGGGGTGTCCTCTTTTAAAAAATAAATTAAATACAAATAATTCTAAAATACTTAAAAAAATAAATAATATTTAAATAAGAAATACCTTACTCATACAGTCATACAGCTTGAAAAAATTCGCGATGTGTTTTCATTTTAAAAAATGATTGTAGAACACACTTGGGGTCTACACTGTTCAAAAAAATTGTCTCTGTATATCATATTAAACAATCATTCACGAACTGATAACATATTCGATTTCTAAACTTGTTCTTGATGTAATCCAAAGCTGAAAAGACTCTTTCAACACTTATCGTGCAACCATAAATCAATACAAATTAAGGGTAGCTTAAAATTTGTTTAATTGTTAGATTTTGAAAATAATTAGAGATAGAGAATGACATTATACTATTACACAGTGTTTAAAATCGAATAACATATGAGTTGTAGCCTAATGGAAATTATATTTATTAAAATAAACGTGTCCTAGGTTTGAATTACCCAAACATTCACTTATATTCTCATACTCAAACTAAAAGACGAGAATAGGATAATCACTTTTTTTAGATTTAGGGGTGTCCCTGACTATCAATTATAATTTTTTTGTCAATACGTAAATTACCACCGGGGGTTGGATAATCGTTTTCCCAAAATTTAGGGGTGTCCGGGGACACCCCAAACACCCGTGGGTCCGCCCCTGGGAAGATGAGCAATCAGAGAAATGAAGGAAGATGAGCAATAGGTCCTGGTAATTAGAGTAGTCGGAAGGACCTATTGCTCATCTTCCTTCATTTCTCTGATAGATATATTGGAAGAGAAATACAGGGGACCAGTTTATCCTTGCTATTGTTGCTGGACTCTATCTTAGTTGACATAAATGAGCAGGAATTTTCAGGTTAGATCATTCATTATACTGAACCATCCATTCATCCATCCATCCACCACCCTCCATCTATCTCCTGGATTTGATTCCTTCTCCTTATTCCTTTCATCCATTTAAGTGGCTGTCTGATACTGAACTGAAGAAGAGCTATAGATCGTGTGGCCGGCCATGTGATTGGCAGTGGTCCTTCTTAGAAGACAACAACACTACGTACCTCCACTTTACACCCAAATGCTAAACAAAAGATTCTCCACTTCCTACATGGATTGCGTTGATCGTGTCATTCCAAATGCATATATGAGGCTTGTAGCTAGCCTAAGAAGGAATATTTCCTCGTTACGATCTCAACAACGCATGAAAGCCAACAAAAATCATCATCGAAGTGGTTAAGGTATATAGAGTCACAAACATGATAATGTGAAACACATATATAAACCTGGTCTCGTTAAAATGTCAACAGTAATCACAAATTCCAGGTTTGAATTCGTCCTTCTACAAAGGATCCCTTGAAAGCACTCTTTCGCCCTTGGAAGCAAAACATCAGTTGGTGTGCTATGCTCTTAGGTTTGATTCCCGCAACCTCTCATTCTATACCAAAATAAAACCCCTCTTTTAGTTGTGCGCTTAATAATTCATTTCCAACTAGCTAGTTTTTTTTTATTATTATCAGAAGAGATGAGATAACCTCGAAAAAATGTCCCGACCTCCGATCATAATACGAATACAAGAGAAGAACTAGGCTGGCAAAACATTTGATTAGAAGAGGGGTTTTCTTTGTCACAACTCACAACCATGAGATGATTTTTAACAGCATGCCTAGTGTTAGGCTGGTCGAATATGACACAAACAATGAAACAATGGACCATTTTTTATTCACCAAAACACACATAAGTACATAACTTACCTTCCATTTCTCCATTCCCTACTTGCCCTCTTTATGTCCAAACTCCGCGGCTGCATGGGCCGCACGGCCCAGAACATCCGAGACCCAGACCGCACCCTGGGCGAAGTAGCTGCTGTTCACCACCGCATGGGCCGCGGCAGCCGCAGTCCGGCCCGTGATGGTGGCAGCAGTCACTGCTGCCGCTCCCGTGTACAGCACCGCCGTCTTGGTGATGTCCGACACGTGGTACTTTTCGTCTATAAATCTCGCCGTCTCCATCCCCGATTGTATCGTCTCCGTCAGCCCGATTCTGCTGCTGAGCTCGGCCACTTTCGCTGCAGCAACAGCCGTCACCTTGTGGGATTCGTCCAGAGCTCTGGCCTTCACCAGCGCGTCTTTCCCCAAGACGTATCCTTTTGCTAGCATCGTTTTCACCACTTCTTGTGCCACTGTCACGGCTTCCCCTGGGCTGGAAGCCAAGTGGTTCACATGGGATTCCTGTGGAGGTTGGAGAATTGTGGTTGAGAGATTAGGGGGAGTAAAACTAAATGTAAGAGGATGAGTGTGTAATTGAAGGCAAACCTCATGGTAAGCTCTGCCTTCATATATCTGGGTGCCCCAGAGTGCTATGTATACAGGTTGATCTGCAATGCTAGCTCCCTGAAGAAAAGAGTGACATAAGATAAAGATTAGATTATCAGACTGATGGGTAGGTATGCAGGAAGATAGTGTGAAGAATTATCTTATATCAATTACTACTATGTCCCTAAACCGAAAGCCAACTCATATGGGTTTGAAGTTTATACAGGTCCGAATGTCATGTGTTTAACAAATAGGGTTGTAGGGGTTCAAACACAGGACCTTTTGCTCGAAGACTCTGAAACCATGTTAAGAAATAAGAACCAGTTATTTCAAATAATTCGACTTGTTGGAAATGTTCCATTATGAATGTAATACCAATTAATAACATATATAGATGACCTATGGCTGACTAATGTTCACTATAGCTAGTATTGCAGAATGCATAAAAACCCTATAAAGAGAGCAGGAAAAAGAAACTAGCATTGGAATAGGTATTTGAGAGAACCATCTACATCAATTACGTTCTTCATTCTGTGCAAAATGCATATTGGAACTTACGCTGAGAAGGATGGCAGTTTCAAGAGCATAGGCATCTCTAAATGTCACGTAGGCAGTGCAAGCGTATTCACCAGATCTGTCTCCAGAAACAACTCAGCATATGTTAACAAAAGCATCAGATGAAAATGCAAGCAAGACTTAGAGGGGGAGAGCAGACTCGAAGGTGTCAAATAACACATTCTGCACAATCCGAGCTCAGAAGCTCCAATAGCAGACCAGGTATGTGTAAACAATAGTACTTGAGTTGATAGTCCGGTAATCCAATGCGTGAACAAGCAAGCATTAGGATTCTACTTGAAGGATGTGTATTGAAGATACATTTACCTGACCATTTCAATGTGCTCAACTGTACCACAGTGAGAGAAGAAATCATGGACATCCTTCTCTGTAGCTTTATGGGACAAGCTTTTTACTTCAATTGTATACCCACCACCAGGATTCATGGTTTGCGGATTGGAAACCTGGAGACTAGATGAGGAGTAGAAGAAGTACATATAAGCTATTTAAGCAATCTAGCTACCACAGAGATAAATGACCTTAGGAATTCCCATTTGCAAGGAAAATGCCAACGTTTGGGTAGAGGAGATAAGATGGAAGTCAGAGGACGTAAATAATAGAATTATCATCCCAAGGTCCATAAATTTCAGTGGTCCTTTGTCTCATCGCATCTCATATCAGGGCTAGCTTTGATTCTAGATAGGAAATCGCCTAATTCTGCCTGTCTCTGTGACCTCTTAGGGAATGTAGCTCACTCTAGATTCTAGACAGACAGACATGCAATTTGGAAAGTTTGTATTGTATGGGATCTCTGTACTAGTTCATCTATGCAACCCCATAAATTGCTGTTGTTCATTCCCAGCCCACTACACCAAGGGAGGATGAAACAGGGTTGTGCAAGTCTTAAGCATGGAGCCATGGGAGAATCAAAGATTAAAAAAATTGGTGATAAAATGTTCTTACTTTTTCACTCCAGAGCAATCTTTTGATCAACTCTGATACGACCCAACAAGCTTCCCTCTTCTCCAGAGCAGAATCTGCAGCGGAATTTTATGAAACGATTTCAGCACAGATCGAAAGTAGACATTCACATAGCAGAAGCCAGAGAAGAAAGCAGAGCTGCAGAGAACAAGCCAAGATCAGCTGGTTGATGAATAACAGAACTTACCCGCCAAAATCAAGCGGACCCCTTTGCCGCGATTTTCAGAGGGGAGGAAGAATCGGGAGTTCTGGAGGCGAAGCTTTGGGAATTGGGACCTAATTCAGTGGAAGGATTAGATTACAGTGGTCAGTGGGGCATAGATTGCTTGCTATTTGGCTTAAGCTGTGAATGTGAGTAACTAACTGGTGGAATTTTCCCATTATTGCAACTGCTGACTAGAGATACAATAAGCCCTATCCCACGCGCAACCAGTTTCCTAACACACGCGCGGGTATGACAATTAAAAAGAAAAAAAATACTTTGCCGACGGCTTGTAAAGTTAAATTGCAACATAGTCCAAGGCTTTAGCAAAAAAATCCACTCAATTCACTTTTTGGGCCGACAAGGCTTTAGCAAAAAATCCACTCAATTCACTTCTCTTTGTTGATCCATCAACCAACATTGGCCCAACCAAACCATAAGGCCCAATTGGAACATCCAGCAGGCTCATCCATGCAGTTCCCTCTTTCATTTTAACTTGCACATTTGTGTTCGTCACGATTAGAGGTATGCAATAATTCGATTCAGTTTAAATTTTTTTTTTTTTGAACCATTCAGTTTAATATTGGTACCTACTACTGTTGGTCAATTCGGTTAAATATGGATCGATAGACCTAGTTTGAAATAAATTTAACAAAATTTGTAAATTGAATCTGGATTGAAAGTTATTTAATCTGTTTAGTGCTATCAAAAATTAGATTCAATTCTTTTTTATTTTTTTAACATCCTACATATATTCAACCTACTATGAGCTATAGTGACAGTTTCTGTCTCTACCTTTTCCACTTAAAGAACTCATTATATATCACAAACGTGATTCATCAGTGTATTATATACGTTGACTGGCCAGAAAACATAATAAATATGAACTCATCTCGTGGATAGATTTTTTAAAACTGAATTCATTGGTTAATTAATGTGTGTATGTTACACGATAAAGTCCACCATGATACAAATCAGAAAAGCTACAATGATATCAATCTCGATCGAGATGACTTATTCCAGAATCAAACAAACCCGAAACCAACTTAATAATAATAAAAAAAGGTAGAAAAAGAAGAGGAAAACAAGAGAGCAGAATCATTATTGAAACCTATCCAACTGCTAAATAACAGTAAACCGCTCCCGTGGGTCTTCCCGACAAATGGCGACAGTCGCTTTTCCCTTTCTCCTTTTATGGATCTCCTGATCCATCGCAAAGCTAAGCAAGCAAAAAGTCAGGCTTGAGCAACACTCCAAACTCCAAAAGTACTGCTAAAGGAGGGGAAAGATCGAGGAGATACAGAAGAAGAAGAGAAGGCCGGTTTACGTTCCGACAGCCGCAAATTGAGGAGCAAATCTTGTTGTAGTCGGCCGGGACAGTCCAAACCAACGATATGGGAAAACAATACCTTTTTCTTTATCCCTGATCGTTGGTGCCTTGTTTCTTCTAGCTAGCTAGTTACTTAATTACGCACTTCAGTTCATTACTGGTGAATGAACGTTGTTGATGATGATGATGAATTATTAAGAGCGGTTGATGTTTTTCCATGTCCCCTCTTCCCCGCTCCTTTGCTCAATCCCATCAAACTTTGCAGTCCAACTCGGTCCAGCACCTCATTCAAAAAAATCTGCCATATAATTAAACGGTTTGTTGACATGCTATCAAACTTTTTTATTGACATGCAGTCCTTAAAAATGACTTTTATTCGAAGAGACAAGGTAAGAAATGATAATTTCAAATATCATATTCTTTCTGAACGGCTCGAGTTATTGTGATGAATTAATGAGTTTTTGACAATCTCCGAAATGGACCTGTTGTTAGTAAATTGTATAAGATTCATTTCAACTTCTATCAATGGCTCGAGTTATCGAGACTAACTAATTCTTAACATGATCTCATAGCTTTTGATGACCAAGAGATACTGTGTTCGGACCTTGATAACCTTCATTTTTTTTGTTTTAGAGGGTGTATTAGTAAAATTGTAAAAGATTCATAACTGATACAATCGTGTTGGTTGTCGACAACATTCAGGTTTTCTTTGTGCCCTTTGAAAGGTAAAGTGTTGGTTACTACAAACAATCATATTGTTGTCAAGAACTCGTTCATCTCAAATTATTCGAGTTATTTAAATAAAATGATTGTTTGCTAGATAGCAGAGTCTTTGGATGATAGGCTTTGTGTTGAAATTCATATCAAGAACTTGTTCATCTAAGTTATCCAAGTGATTGGAATAAAATCATTATTGAGCCTTTGATTAAGAGAATTTGTATTCAAATTCTTGCAACCTCTCTAGTTTTTTGCGGCCATAACTCGAATTCAAGACTTCGTGATATTCAAACTTGTGTCGTCGTTACCAATCTGACCAACCCATTATTATTTTATACAAACTTTAATTCCATTAGGTCTTTGTGAGAGCATTAGATCCACCTGTAACTTGCTGTATAACCAGCCAATCACACTGCAGCTTATTAACTCAACTTTTTGATAGGATCTTATTGGTTTGCAAATAATGCTCATAATTATTTTGGATGTTTCCATTTTTGGTACATATTTTCTAGTCTGACGAATCAACAACCAACTTTAAGTTGAACTAAGAGAGGATCGATCCACCGATGGACCAGCCCATAAATTATTTTAAACTTCATTATTCTATTTCCTCCAATTCCTTTTCAGCTTGATGTGGGGATTAATTGACCAATGCAAAAGTGAACCAATCAATCAGCTCCCATTAAAATTGCTAACAATATCATTAGCCTTTTTGTTTGTGGTTAGTCGTCTTAAGCACGAATTAATGATAATATAATATGATTAGTACGTTCATGAAAGTTCAAAGCCTTGTCTGTTCTCTGTTTATATTGCAGAGATAGGGTTGATGGAAGGTCTCTATCAGTTCCCTCCATGGAGAACTTAGGCGCAGGTGGCAGAAACTTTAGGCTATGTCACTATATGTTTTCTTTCAGTTTATGTAATTATCTTTTGATTTTTTTTTTCTCATTTGGTTTTCATTTTATGTCACGCCCTAAAAATAAGCATTTTGGGTATCATGGTCTAGGATCACTAGTCAATTTTGATATGCTCAATATAGGGAGACATAAAAAATTGGTTTCATATATGGTCTCGTGACTAGTTAATTTGCTTATGATAATAATAATGCAAATAACTTCTTCATTTGGATATAAAAGCGAAAAAAAGAAGATAATTTCTACATGAAAAGGATTGAAATTTGTGACCAATAAGTGTTGGACTAATAATTTACAGTTGAAGTATAGACTCGATGGCCATAGAGGTGTGCAGCATGGATCGGTTCGATTGTTTCTATCCTTAGGACAAACCCTCTCATTAAAATCAAAGAAATGCCCAGAATACTTAATGTCAGAGCAGATTGGGTTGCACGATCAAAAGCTAGAGCATCACTTCCTGATGATTGGATTAATATTCTTGATCTCATTTCTGATCTTCTTTAAGATTTGTAACCGAGTTTCTCGTCTTTCATTGGATTGGTGGAATAAAAGTTGGTAATCTTTGTAAAAAAAAAAGTGTTGGGGCTAATAATTTACAGTTGAACTATATAATATTGTAATTTCTTATGGAAGTTAGGACATGATTCAATGGGCTTATAAAAATGATGACATGAATTCTTCATAAAAAAAAATGATGACATGAATTGAATACCTAGACAAATGGAAGGCTCATACGAAATTTCATCCAATTCATGAATTGGTAAATACCACGTCAATATATGTCGGACCAAAATCATTTTAATTCGAATATAGCGTGTCAACTAATGATTTTTTTTGGTAATCATGTGTATATTATTAAGAGGGGAATGACGACATATAAGAGAAGTGTACCATGTTAAATCTCAAAACAAAAGGAAAAAGACACAACTTTGCCCTTGTATGAGGCTATGATTTTCCTTTGGTAATCATGTGTATATTATTAAGAGGGGAATGACGACATATAAGAGAAGTGTACCATGTAAATCTCAAAACAAAAGGAAAAAGACACAGCTTTGCCCTTGTATGAGGTTATGAGCATCATTCCATGTATGGGAAAGGATATGTAACAAAAACACGACTCGATCCGTGCCCCGAATTCTCCAATAAACCTTAAGCTTATGCTTGAACAAATCTCTAAATCCGCTCATTAAATTCTCGATCTATAAATCTACCAAACAAAACACAATTAATAACAAAACTATATGTAGACCAACCAATATTCGATAAACTTCAAATTTGTGTTTCGAACGAATCTTTATATCTGCTTACGAAACTTCTCGAACCATATATCTACAAACAAAAAACCAACCTTAATTGCCACCGATATGATTAATCCAACCAGTGAAACAAACCAAAACAACATAATTCTTCTGGAGATGTATGAAAGTCCTATCATCCCAATCAAAGAACACACACCACAATTACTAACCAATCATTCTCTTATCTTCTGTTACCTATCTATGATATATATCATATAAGAAGAAAACTAAAGATAATATTGCTCTGTTGTGGTATGGTAACCACTAACCACCAACCCAAAAATTTTGGGCTTTTCCCACTTTTCTTTTACCCCATTGGAATTCAATTTTTTTACCAGCAACGCATGTAATAATTTGGGTCTTAGATACAATGTCACTTTCACCTTTCACCGAACTTGTCTCACACATTTCTGGATGTTGTGTTAATTGGTCACGGGACTTTGTTAGGGAAAGTTTAGTCCCTTTCTCCCTGCTCTCTAGTTGGTCCTTTCACAGGTTTCAATTCCTTACATAATTGTTTATTTCCTGTGGACGTCAAAATTTTGATTTGATTTATTTTTATTAAAAAAATTTATTAATTAATGTGTGTGGAAGATGTGTGCTACACTACAGCTTTGGATGCTATCTCTAACAATTCTCCCATTGGTGGGCTTGACAAATGCTCTGATGCACCAATGACATTTTTTTTTTATACATAAGTTTCCACAGTTTATTTATGAACAATTTTGTAGTGTTCTTTATGACAATGAAGGGTAGATAGTGGAATAGTTATTCAACCATGGTGAAAAGGGAGAGATGAAATTCTTATGGTCAATATTAGCCACACAGTATAGAAAGAGTATGTGGAAATTATTGTTCTTGTGAGCACCACAAGAACAATTCAATATTTGAATAACTTTGTGTCATTAGATCTACATTACTCGTACGGAGCATTTACGTTTATGTTCATAATAAAATGAGTTTAATGAAAAATCAAAATTTTCTTCTGACGATTTAATAAATTGCAAAGCAATCTATCTATCTCTTTTTTTCTTCAATCGTTGCAAGAGAATATATTAAAGACCATCCTCTCCTTTCTGAGTCTCCCTCCCCTGGCCTTACATCAGCCAAGAAAGTGAGGGAATTTTCTTGATGATAAACATTATTAATGTTATGTTAGCTAGATAGATACCCATATTTCCATCTGGGAAATGAAAGGAAGGTTGTGGTTTCTGGCAGCTCTGACTGTCCTGCCAGCCTTTGCATTAAAGAATGCCATGTTTCTTTGTTCGACACTGACTGCTTTGCTTGCTCTAGAGACCACTAGAGGAATTAAACGATCGATTGGACTGCTGGCAACGTGAGCCTGCTAGGCTTTTAATTTTCGTCTAAATTTGTTTATCAATAAGGTTTCCTGAATCCTGAATCATCATATATATAATTATTATTCAATTTGATTCTACGAGATTCCGAAGTGGAATTACGTGGAAATTAATAAAACCCAGTTAGCCTAATAAAACCATGCATCGGCATCTAATCAAATCAATCATGACGATGATAGCGTAAGTAGTCTGAGCCTGTAGCTTGGCTGGGCTTCACTAATAATAATACAAAATAATTAGGTGGATTGATCCAACAGCAGCAGCAGCAGGTTTCAAGTACGTAATGTACAAAAACAATTGACAAATTAATTAATTAATTATGTTAGAGATGGAGTGGCCTAACTAGCTAACAGTCATAAATCTGTATAAACATCGATCGTGTCTATTTGCCTGCCTAGCTATCCTATCTATCTTATCGAAAAACATGCATGGATCTAAAATGAGACGGTTTAGGCTTTGGCCATGAGGCCATTATGCCACTTGATTCCTACTTGCCGACAAAAAGCACCCTCCTCATTAATATAATTGTTCATACAATTTCTTTGCAATTAATTCTCCAGTTTCTTCACTTGAATCAGTTAAAATAAACCCTCTCTGGATCTCATGGGGAAAGTTTGGTAGAGAAGCTAAATATTTATCCCGAAAGAAGTTAATGTCGTCCCTGCTTTTCATCAAATTATCTATAACTAAAACTCTCTTAGCTAGGGGCATGAGCATTCTCTTATTTAGTCATCGAAAAGAAAAGAAGATAAATTAACAGCAAGTTTGGCACTTAGTTGTATTGGACATCCAATAAAGTGGTTTAATTTTCCATTCCATCTAGTGTTGGTTTCTAATAGTGAAGGATAATTAAGCATTTGGTGAATAGTTGACTTTTAATTCATGTTATCAAGCTAGCCAAGTGGCAAATAATTAGTGTCCATCCTGTAACCTTGCTTGTTGCTAACGTACGTTTAACGTACTCTTTGTTGTACTGGAGCTTAATTAATTAATAAATTGTACGTACCCATAAATTAAAACCATACGTGAGAAGCACAAGCTAAGTGGGCGGATAGAGTTTCATTTAATTAATCTCTCGACTGCCTGCCTGGTTAATCTTTCTCGTAAGGTAGGAACAGCAAGGAAATCGAAGAAATAGATAAAATCGATTTTTTTATCAATACAAACACTTAATTTAATTATAATTATTAGTTACATTGCATTGCATGTTGCATGTGGCAGCTCTTGGACTTTACATTACATTACATTGAACTCTCTCTCTCTCATCTAACATAAACATATTATCTATAAATAAAATATGGTTAACCAGATTTAGGTCGTCATCGAAGCAAGGCCTACCAGCAGCAGCTAGGCAACAGATAGATAAATATATCATTGATTAGGCAGCTAGCTAGCTCTCACACCAGAAGATCAATCTCTTTAACCCAAAATACATATAGATTATGGGTAATCAGACTGTTGATGTGACTTGAATCGGACTATCAGCCGCTACGACTGGTAGTCGGGGTCAGCGAGTGGGGTCCAGGGGCAACGCCCCCGGTGAGGGTGCGGGGGCCACGCCCCCGGCCCACGGTGTATGGGCTCAATGTTATTTGGGTTCGGGTTCTGGGCCTGGTCTGTAACCGTTTCCTTTGCCAGATTGGATTAGGTTTAGACCCACATGGAGAAGTACTATAAATATTTCTCATACTCCTCTGTAATCTGTAATCTCCTCGATATAGTGAAACTGGATCTCTCTCGCCCGTGGACGTAGCTAACACACATCGTGTTAGTGAACCACGTAAATCGTGTGTCTGTGTTTTTCGATTCGCTTTCGTATTCTTGCTTTATCGATTTCGGCGATTTTCCGATCCGTAGCAGCGCGTTTATAACACAGACCAGTAAACTAACACAAGTAACTTAATTAATTAGGGATATATAGATGGTGATGATGGTGGGATCGGTAATTAATTAAGGCATGCATAGAGCCGGCTAGAGACCATAAACTCCATACATGAAGGAAGATGGCTAGCTAGCACGGCCATACACACATACATCGATCTCACACACAAACATACATAAGTAAATAAACTTAAAACATATATAGATAGATACATATGTATATATTGTGTCAATTGATAGTTGGATAAATATATAAGAAATATTATTATATGGAGCGGCAGCCGTGGCTAGCTGGAGTGGAGACGACATCACTGTCACATGAGCAAGCTCCTGATAATGGCGGCCTCGGGGCTGTCGGCGTCGATGGTGGAGAGAAGCTCCGACAGCCGGTCGCTCAAGTCCTCCACTTCCCTGTGCAGGCTCCTAATGTAGTTGCATGTCTCCTGCAGCACCTTCGACGCCGACACCTGTCACGTAAACACAGTTTTCGGATTTATTACCTTAATTTCGGTGAATAATATGATATTCTCTTTTCTTTTCTTCCTTTCCTTTTCTTTACTTTCAGTTTTCCGTTATTATGTCGTCTAGCTTGCTTAGCATCCTTCTCCTTTTTGTTGGTTTTCTTGCGCCTTCCTTCCCGGGATTTGCTTACGAGTCAAAATGGTTGTAGAAAGTTTGACCTTAATTCATTTATTGGGTTTTACCAAACAAAGACTAAATAACTCGGCATATATATAGTAATAACAACAAATTAAATGCACTCATTTCTAAATCTCGTCCTTGATGTCCGCCGGCCGCCGGGGGAGCTTGCTTCCCCTTCCCCTTCCGCCTCACCAATTTCAAAACCCTCCATCTACTTTTGTCATTATTATCTTATCTCCGTGGCTAGCTTCAGGTTGAAGTGGAAGAACAACAATATTATTACGACTACTTGCTCCTCAGCAGGCGTGAGACATTATTAATCACTTTCTCGTTTACCATGATAACTTATAACATTGTACTAAATATTCTATTCATGTGCTCCCTTATTGCCATGCGCCATGCTAGCTAAGGAAAAGTCAAAGTCGTGTAGGCATAAATAAATAAGTATAAATATACCTTGTCGGAGCGGCGGCTGTGGCGAAGCTCCGGCAAGAGTTGGCGTAACTTGGAGACAAGTTGGATGATCTGATCGTCGGTGATCCTCGGCACACCTGAAGACTGCTGCCTCGACGTTCTCCGGCTCGACATTGTTCTTCCTTGTTCCCTAACACCTTACTGCTGCTGCCTCTGTTAATTAAGTATATGAAAGATTATTTGTACGTTTATTTCGCTACACATACAACAACAACCTTAATTTCCAAGCTTGCAATATCGGGAAGATGTGGCTGGCTAACAAGTAAGTTGAAAAGGAGAAGTAGAGAGAAAAGAGATATGGGGATGGGGAAGAGGGGAAGCTTTCAATGAGGGATTATATGTTAGAGTTTGTTTTGAGATGAAGAGAGGAAGGAGGGTGAGAGAGGGAGAGAAGAGATGATGGAGTGGAAGTAATGGGGAAGAAAGTGATAAGAGAGTGTTGTGTGTTATAAAGAGAATGGGGAAAGGACCACAAAACACAATATTGAAAGAGAAAGAGGCAAGAATAGATGTAAGGTGAGAGAGAGAGAGAGAGAGAGAGAGAGAGAGAGAGAGAGAGAGAGAGAGAGAGAGAGGGTACTATAAAATAGACAGTGATGTTGGAGGCGAAGAAGACAGGTGCATCGGAGAAACAAGTGGACTTGCTTGCTATGTGCTCGTTCTACATATTATGCTCTTATGTATATGGTCGAGATAGATAGATTACATGGGATTTTCTTGACTATGTTGTGGGCTAAGTTGAATATTTGTGAGTCAATAGCATCATATATCTATTCTTAGGGTCGATACTTCAGTTTTTTTATTATATATTACGTCCAAATATCTTGCAATCTAATCTAGGTAAATTTGTCCTAATACAATGGCAAAATTATGTGTAGGCTAATTACCCCCTCCTTAGTATTTTGGTTTGAGATTAAAGTTGTGTATCCATGTGTCAAGAAAACACAAAAAAATTGGCGTGATAAAGAATATCAGGTATCATCCTTTAAGATTCAGGTCAGTTCAATTCTGAAAAGTTATCATTGTCGTCTCTTGTATTTAGCCCCTACATACTCATTAATTATAAGCTCGGACTTTTTCGTCTTACCATTAATACAACATAATATATTGTATATGCCGACTTCAAACCAACCATAATTTTCATTGGAGAAGGTACGTACGAAAACAAACACTAATGATAGGATATGTAGGCCTAATGAATAGGATATGCATGCACAATATCCAGCACATATTTAGGAAATGAAAAAAGCTCCAAGGAATACCATTTTTACATTACACAAAGTTTCTCTCTAGACCTTAAGTTGAGGGGCAAGCAAAGATCGTTATAGAAAAAATCAAGGAGTGGGGATGGTTCTGAATAGAAAAAAGGAGTAGGGTACTTGTGTGATTGTCCCCAAGCTGGGGTAGATGATCAAGTGGGTTTAAAGAGCTATGTTGGTTATTCAGCTAGCAAGAGTGGGCCTTTTTTATGTGTATATGTCTTAATACCACAACATGACCATGTGATCATAATTAAGGACACCCACCCATTTTATACTAACTCTAGGGAACGGCTACGGTGCTAATTGTATAATAGTTAGCACCGTCCTAATCAAGGGAAAAACTACTACTAGTTTGAATTAGTAGTGATTTAGCTTAGATGTTGTATTGATTTTATAATAATCCATAGTGATTTCGTTATTTTTAGTAGCGTTTTTTACTAGTTATCACGGTGCTAACCCCTATAAGGGTTAGCACCTAATCCCATCCCCTAGCTCTAGCTACTTTTAATTTTTCCAATCTTAGTACGTAAATAAATTAAAGTTGTTTCAATTTCATAATTTTACGTTCTTTAGATATTATATATAGGCTAAGGCTTTCACTGAATTTCATATATAGCACAAAATTAGCTAGAGAACTTGCATGCCACCACACATCCCTTTGTCGGTTATTTGTTCTTCTATTTTCGATCTCTAGTATATTGGCCACATGCATGTCTCGATGAGATGGAGTCGAATTTGACTGTGATTTATATGATATAACTTACTAGATAGCTTGTTTTTTTAATGTTTGTTTCATGCATGAGCATGAAAGCGTAAGAAGTATTGTTCCTTTCCTTCTTTTTTTTTTTTTTAACTCTTTGTACCTAGCTACTTCCCTCCACTAACATGCACCCAAAATAGTTCATAGTACTATATGTTTCTGGGCATCGTGCTTTGCTCTAGACTAGAACTCAGAGCCCTCTTGCATGAATATGTACCATATAGAAAATCTAGCATCATGCTTTGGTTGGTTCGTTTCGATGGAACGAGATACTCTCGAATCTTCGTTTGTATGTATAAGTATTGAGCGTGTGAACAAACTACGATTTACTATGGTTTTGTGGTTTAATTTGTACATGACTTAGTTCTTAACGAGCTTGGATGATGGTAGAGTAGAGAAAAAGTTTGCCCACTTGATCGAATTTGGTTTCGATTTTGTTGACACTAAGAGATGAATAAAAGTGAAGGCGGCCTATCTAATATAATGCATGAATAGTCTTTTAGACAATGAAGTTTAGAAAGATTCTTTAATGAAATTCAAATGTGAAAAATGTTCTGAACATACAACAACAAAAAAACAATCATGAATATTTACTGACAAAGATAATTTAAATCCATGTTTGGACTCGTGATACTCACGAGGCGAATAAAATCTGGACAAAATGAGTTGAGATAGGTCAAACGGGTCAGAGGACCATTTCATCTTAGCTATAGGGATGGCAACGAGTCGGGTCGGGAGCGGATAGTGCATATATGTTACCCTATCCAAAGTAGTTCGGGTTTTACCCATACTCATACCCACATAAGAATTGGGTAGAAAATCAAAATCATGTCTATACCCGCTCGGCATTCGGGTATCCACGGTTATCCATGAACAATAATTTATCTTTATAACTCAACTAATATGTTAACATTCACACGTATAATCACATTAAACAAGAGAAAAATAATGAGTACGGATATTATTGTCATCTCTACTATCTACCCTTTCTTTCCCTGCAGGATCTCCAAGCTCTTTTACTTCTGCCCAGCGCAATAGCCCTTTCAATTTCCTCAACGCAACCAGGCTACGTACCAGGTCATGCGGGCTTCTTCCAGTTCTGAGTGGGCTAACTTTACTTTTGGATCCAATCTACTAGTCGGCCCATTCCAATGTCCGGCTCTCCTGGGCACGAAATGAAGCCCAAGAAATACTATTATTCTTGGCTGGCTTCTCGGACGGGGTCAGAAAATTTATTTAGTCTTTATGACCTTTCCCAGATTTGAGCCCAGTTCAATCCATATATCCAATAGCCCACTTGTATTATTGGGCTCAATTAAGTTAATTTGCTTGCTAGACTATTTAATTACACTCCAGCTTCCATATAAGTTTCATTTCCTCGTGGACACAAATTTGGTGGGAGTGATCGTAGCCTAGAGCTTTAAATAAGAGATCATGATTTCAAAGTTATTTTGACATCAAAATTACTGTGATGTAAATGGAAGGATTAGGTGAATTTGTTTGTTGAGAGTTAAAAAGAAGAAGGAAATTGATGGTTATTTTTCAATGCAGCTACCATGAAAGAAAGGGAAATGTGAAGATGGCACAAATGGGCCAATGGGGGGAGAGCTGTCAGTCAACAATTGTAGACTGTATTCAGAGATTAGATGTATATGTACATTATGTACTGCAAAAACAGATGGAGAGAAACAGCACACTGCAAAAGCCCATTACAGAAGGACAGGACAGGGCCCATCTGGAAAAAAAAAATATTCCCTATTGGGTTATTCTTTCCCTTTTACTGCTCAAATCGAATTGTACTAAACTCCAAACCAGAACCCTCACCACCTCCAATGTTTTTCTTCCACGGTTCTAAATTCCAATCATTGTGAAACTAGTAAGGGGTCGTTTACAATGCATCGTTTTTTGTTTTTTTAGCAGAAATAATACGTGGATTGTTTTTGTGATGTGACAGAAACTATAACTCATTTTGAGTGATTGTTATATCTCAACTTTTAGTTGTGATTGTTGAGATAGTTGAGTTGAGATTGTTGAGTCTCAGCTTTTAGCTCATGCGACATACACAATCACACATACCAAACGTTGTATTCTGCAATGCATCAAATTCGACAATACATGTATAATATTATACATGCATTCTCAACAATACATCTATTTAACAATCGCAACTTCCAAACGACCCCTTAAGTTGATTAAATTTTATTGTAGGTGACGGTTGGTTGGTAAAATATGCTATGCATAATACATGAGTAACTTAGGTTGTTATGCTAAACAAATCTAAAGTCATACAATTTTGAAACTCGGTTGGCTTTTTAACTTCCAATTCTATATAGTTATTCAAATCGTTGTTAGCGTTCATATCCTCTATCTCAAACCTTTTCATGGAATTATGGATAAAAGTTACAACGATACCACAACCTTTAATGCTAACATCGAATCGATCAAAAATATAAATTTTCAGATCATGATTCCTTTAAACGTAACCGAATTGTAGATGTAATTTCCTAAATGATGTGGCATCATCAGTTATACAATTAGAAAAGAAGTTGTTACTTATTGTCGACAACACTTACTCAACGAAATATGATAATATCTTCGTTTTAAGAACAAAACATCATCATAATTAAAATTGCATAATTTTCTATATAACTTACCTCGTTGATTTTGTTTGATTTTTAACTCAAAATTTAACAATGAACGGTTTGAAAGGAAAATGTCAGCCCAAATATAATAAAATTAAAAGAGTGGGAAAGGAAACATGGGCTAGCTTTGGTGATTATTTACATCCATCTGTCAATGGGGTCTCCATTCAGAAAGAAAATACTTCAATGGCCACCCCTCATGAGTTGATTCTAAAATGATTGTGAAAAAAAAAAAGTAACCGACTAGGTTTAAGGGGTTGTTTGGATGACAAGATTTGATTCAACGCTAGAATGTAGCTTATCAAATAACGAAATGTTGCATTCTCTATCTATTAATTTGTACTCTACCAAAATGTGAGGTTGAGAAAATGTAATTAATTTTATTACTTGCTCTAATAAAATGTCGAACATTCCCGTGCTCGTATTTTATATCGTCCATTTCGCATTGGAAAATACACAGCAGTTGGCTGAGCAAGAAAAGCTTGGCTGGTCTGGATTCAACTGACAGAAACCCATCATTTCTGCACTGTGTTGTGCTGTGTCTTCCTCCATATCTTCTTTTTTCTATTGCTTTCGATATCAAACAGCCATTCATCTTTTGTTTCCTGTGTGGTAGGACATCAGTTATCTTTCTCAGTAAAGGAATCACATTCCCTTTCTCTCTGTGCTTCTTTTTCCCAGCCAAATCCCAGCAACCAGCAGAAAAAGAGAAACGGCAACTTATTACCAAATATTTTATAAGGTGGGGAAGAAGAAAAAGGAAAGAAAGGTGTCATGATAATAATGAAGGGCACTATGCACTCACTTATGTGGAAAGACAAGCATGGATCTTTATGAAAAAAAAGAAGTGATCATCTTCCCATTCCATGCTCTGCTTTCTGTGGCTTCGATGCAATAATAATGCATACCACCACAACACTGTTTTCCTGGAAGCTTGCTCTTCTTTGCCACTGTCTTATCATTCATGTGAACTGTGAAGGGCCCTTCCAAAGGCCCACAAGCAAGCAAGCAAACCTTTCTTTCTTGCCATCTTTATGCTATTGAAAAAACATGCCATGGAGCTTCAAAAGCAATTCTAGAAAGGAAGGCAAAAGAGAAATGGAAGTCACTTTATGCACTGATTCAACAAACTTTCGAGGGGTCTCATTTCCTTTCACCTTTCCAAAATGAAGATTTAATTGATGATAGTATAGTATGTGTTGCTATGACTTGAATTTGGATTATCTGTCGCAGACTGAAAGTTTACGGAGTCTTGCTGACATATTGATGAAATTGAAGCAAGGCCAAATATTTGAACTCAATTTACATGGAGTGGAAGGGTTTGTAAGACAATTGAGTCGATCTACCCAATATGCTTATCAGTTCACGAAATGAGGGACAATTGGACAAATGATACTTTGATCAAACTTGCTCAATGAAGAACCTAAGTCTCAATATCAAACACAACATTTATCACTGCCACTTTTATTTTGTGTTTTGAATAACTAGTAACAAAGTTAGACAATCCGCTGGAATAGTAGAGAACGGTTAAAACGCCAGTTTCGAACCAGCCGTGCTATTTGGACTCGTTTGTCGTTTTTATTATGTTTTATTGATTTTGGATACTATTTGAGTGTTTTTAATAGGAAGTATTAGTTTGGGCAGTTACACGAGATTTGTCAGACTCTATCATCTATAGTTAGACTTTTCTCATCATGCATTGTCAATTATGATATCATAAGATTAGGAAGTTTTCCTTACAGAATAAGGATTACTGAGATTGCCGCATTATTCTAATGTTCCTTTTTTACACAATACATTAGGCAATAGAAAATTATGATATTACAAACACTTGACTACCCCAATTGGTAGAAAACAGGGTTACCATTACATTAGTGATCTTTCTCTCAGAAAAGTATCCATCTTCCCCAATATCTACATTCTCATCATCATCCATCATCCCAAAGGGAAAAATGGAAACTTTTCTTCTTTCAGGTTAAACGGGAAACACAAACCCTAACACATAATAAACAACAACAATGAGGTTTCTTGATCCCCCTGCCTCCATTTCCAGTCTCAAATGTGATGGTGCTGTAACTGCAGCAGTCTCGAATAAGCCCCTTCAGGCCTACTAACCAACTCACCATGGCTCCCTTGCTCCACAATCCTCCCATCCTGAACAACCCCGATACAATTCACCCCTCGAATCGTCGACAGCCGATGCGCCACCAGCACCGTCGTCCTCCCCCTCATCAGCCTCTCCAGCGCTTCCTGCAGCACGCATTCTGACTCGGCATCGAGAGCGCTAGTCGCCTCGTCGAGCAACAAGATTGCAGGGTCCTTAAGCACGGCTCTGGCAATGGCGATCCTCTGCTTCTGCCCACCGGAAAGCTGCACCCCTCTCTCCCCGACAGGCGTCCTGTACCCGTCTGGCAGCCCGCTTACGAAACCGTGCACGTTGGCTGCACGAGCTGCTTCGATCACCTCAGTTTCCGTCGCGCCTTCTTTCCCGTAGGCAATGTTGTCGAAGATGCTCGAAGCGAATAATGCGGGCTCCTGTTGGACCAGACCGATTTTCTGCCTCAGCGATTTCAGGTTCAACCGGCGGATATCTTTCCCGTCGATCATTACTTTGCCAGCAGACGGGTCGTAGAACCGCTCGATCAACGCGATCACCGAGCTCTTCCCACACCCGCTGGCTCCAACTAAAGCCTGGCTCTGGCCAGCTCGAATTCTCAAGCTAAAGTCCGTGAACACGGCCACATCCGGTCTAGTCGGGTACGAAAAGTCCACGTGTCGCAGCTCGATTTCTCCGCGGACTGATTCGACCACCTCGGCCTCAGAATCGTCCGGGTCGATGAGGGTGGAGCGGTCGA